TTCTCCCGCGGTCGACGTAATCACCTTAACCGGTAATAATGATGTTACAAAATGGCCCAATCGCACAACATAATCCATGCATATCTTTACCCAAGAATAGATAATTCGTGCTGGGAGGATATCCGCAAAGGTCGAATATTCGCAAAAGGTCGTGGAACTGGCCGTGAATATCACCTGACACGGGGCACCTGTATTAGAGCTTGCATTCTCGATTAGAGCGGTGAGAGTCCTCAAGTATACACACCAACGATATTGACAGGAGGGAGCAGCTCCAATAGGATTGGTTGGCTCATAAAGACTTCTCGTGCTTTATGACAGACAGATAGAACCTCGGAATTTTTCAAGCAGAGAGATTTCGACACCTTGTGGTTTCGCGCATCCAAAAGCCGTGCAATTATGTCGTCCAGATCATATTTGTCTTTTGGGCCAATTCTTCCACCAAAACTACTGGAAAAGGCAGTTCTCGGTGACGCCGGTGACTCTGAGATTGGGCTACTGGGCACATCATCGGCGTTGTTTGCAGTATCATCTGGATTGGTGGGGTCCGACTCCTCGCCTGCAGATGAGGGATCATCAGCGTCCTGATCTCCAAAATTTGGTGGTGGTGATCCAAGATGCTTGGGTGGTGGGCTTGTAGGTGTCGGCACGGGTACAGCAGCACCTTTTTTGATTTCCGTTGACTCCGTTAACGATAAGTCGTCTCCTCCACCGGATATGGATGCTGGCGCAGAAAATCGGCGTACGGGATCTTTAGATGCGACAGCGGCACCGCTGCTCAAGTTTTGCACGGATGCGGTTGTGAGTTCGGCAACGTCCTTTTCAGCAAAGCTCGAGATACTCTTCCGTTTTCCGTTCTTTATTTTCGAGTTACCGCTTCCCATGCTAGGCGCGAGTGCGGCAGGGTAGCTGGAACGGAAAGTCGCCGGTTTTTAATAGCCCAGCTTCTAGCAGCTAAGGTAAGGTAAATTGCAGTTCAGGGTCGAGAAACGACTGACGTCAGAGGAAATTAGCTAAAAACGAATGCGTCATGGTACACCCTTCCGGGGGGTAGAATGCAAACCTTACTAAAGAACGCAACTGCTCGACTTTGACCACAGAGCTCACAGCCGCAAAAGAGACGGACCCGCAATTTGTCTCGCTCGTAGTCCCCAAAAAAACTCAACCTTGTCCAAATATGCACACAAACACACAAGTCGTTCCTTCCAATCTTTTCTACACTATCCAACAAAAGACAATAGATGCTAGCGTACAGACGCCTGTTCAACTTGCTGTCGTCAAAGACAAAATGGCGATGATTTCCACAAAGGAAATCCCAAGATAGTAAAAAGCCGTTCAGGAAGGAGAGCCCCCCTCCGATGCTCCAAAAGTCGCGTGAACTAAGTTTGTGTAACTTCATCAGTCACATGAACAATCAATTGCTGACTCATCGGACCCTCAACTATAAATAAGCCTTTTTGGATATCTGCGTTGATCTTTCGGTTTTTGTTGCAGCAGGATACATGCACAAGGTTGGGAAGGCGACTCTTGATATGGGTGGTTGGCGGGTATGGAGATGATAGTTTATTCCTAGTTCTTACTCTTGTAATTTCGTCCCTTTTCGGTCCTTCCCGCGCAACGACATCAAGGGGCGATTCAAACTTGTCAACCTTCAAGCCACGTTTATGTCGCGGGCGCCTTTTGGATGTTCAAAGCTCTTCCATGGGTATCCGTCTTTCTCAAACATATCGAACCCATTCCCATATCAAACATTGTTACTGACCAGCGACTGCGGCATTCTCGTGTCCTTTTCAGAAACTCTGCAATGCTTTTTGTTTGCACGTATCGTTCACCTCATCTCTGATCCACAAAGCAAATGAGAACTACAAGTCAACCTTTTAGCTATGCATCATTGTTACCATACTTGCCCAAAATCTCTTTAAGCTTGAGAATACAAAAGGATCTTTTTGAAAGTAATTTGCACACAGTCTCTTTCTCCATTCAAAGACACGGAAGGCCAAAGTATTCGTAGCTTCTTCCTCTATGTATTCATGCAAAACAGCCGCAAAGTCGGGCGAACCGTTTTCCATTCGTTGGCTTCTTTATTGTAAAAACTCCTACAAAACCAACCCTCCGTTGGGCACGTTCCAAAGAAGCAACCGCGTCACGTCGCTAAGCAATTTTAGAACACTTACGTCACAATGTCCGATGGGTTGTGGAACTTTGGGACAGTTGGACTTTTTGGCTTAAAAGAACGGTCGACAAGGTTCATCTGCGTTATCGCATGGACACTAACTTGGCGCAATGGGACATGCCCACAAGACTCAGAACGCTTTCGATGCTTACGACCCCGACAACTGGGTCAAGCGCAACGAACGTCTGGTCAAGCGTACAGGAATCCTACCTCTAAATGCAGAAACTCCAGTAGAAGTACTGTTGAATGAAGCCGTCACGCCTTCATCGCTTCACTACGTGAGGAATCATGGCGCTGTGCCAAAGCTGGACTGGGCAAAGCATGTCATTGAGCTAAAGGCTGGAGACAACACAATCAACATCTCGATGGATCAACTCGAGAAAGACTACGAGCCTTGCACTCTTCTTGTCACATTTGCGTGTGATGGAATTCGCAGAAAGGAACTCAATGAAATTCGACGTTCCAACGGATTTGACTGGGCTACGGGAGCTGTTTCCACTGCCAAATGGAAAGGGGCGCTCCTGAGAGATGTTCTCCAGAAAAACTTTTCCGACTTGCAAAAGTACAAGTTTGTACTCTTTGAAGCGTGCGATGATCTTAATAATGGATCGTACGGAACAAGTATTCCGATAGATCATGCACTCGATCCATCCGCAGACGTCCTTATTGCATATGAAATGAATGACGAACGCATTCCTCCTGATCACGGATATCCTGTTCGCACAGTTCTTCCTGGATGTGTTGGTGGTCGCATGGTAAAATGGTTGAAACAAATCATCTTGTCTGAAAAGGAGTCCCAAAACTGGCATCATTTTCACGACAACCGGGTGCTCCCGCCGACGATTACGAACAATGCCATGGCTAGCGGCATCTGGAAGAATCCCGATTATCTTCTGTATGAATTAAATGTCAATTCTGTCATTCTATTTCCTGCCCACGGTCAGAAACTTGATGTTAAGGACATTACATCCAATTTCACGGTGACAGGATATGCATATGACGGAGGAGGAAGGAAGATTAGCAGAGTGGAGGTAACTTTGGATGGAGGTGAATCTTGGAATGAATGCAAGATTGCCTATCCGGAAGACTATGAGCCTCGACACGGACGAAAGTGGTGGGTCATGTGCAAGTGGAGCATCGAGTTTCCGGCGTGGAAAGTTGTTTCGGCTAGAGACATGGCAGTTAGAGCTTGGAATGCCTCGCTGAATACCCAGCCAGAGCACCACACGTGGAATTTACTCGGAATGATGAACAATGCTTGGTACCGGGTGCAAGTTCGTAGAGCCCAGGCAGAATGCGTGGAATTTGTACATCCTGTTCGAACCTCACCCGGTGAAGGAGTCAAGGGATGGTTGGAAAAGGCACCGGTCGCATACCAGGAAAATGTTCCCAATCGCAACTACAGCTGGGAAGAAGTAGCAAAGCACAAGGCACGAGATGACTGTTGGATTGTTGTCAATGGCAAAGTCTACGACGTTACAGATTTTTTGAGTCAACATCCCGCCGGTCCAGGACCTATCATGGCGCATGCGGGAACAGACGCAACCGCAGTCTTCACCGACATCCACTCTGAAGATGCACACGTTCTGAAAGCCTCCTATGTGATTGGACACATTGGTCAAAAAGTCCTCAAAGCTCACATTTCTGAACGTGCCAAACACCCCAATCTGACACCCGACGGACACGCCATCGTCTTGAATCCCCACAGGTGGATACCAGTCACACTCGTCAAGAAAGAGTCGATCACTCACGATACTCGACGGTTCACGTTCGGGTTACCTTCCAAGGAGGACAGAATGTGGCTACCTTGGGGTAAGCACATCAATTTAGCCATCACACAAGAAACCCGCATGGTGGTGCGCCCCTATACGCCAGTCAAACCAATCCTCGAGGAAGAAGACGATGGGACATTTGACCTCGTTATCAAGATCTATTTTCCCAGCGAAGACCGACCAGGAGGCGAGCTAACCCAAATGCTAGAAGGTCTGAAAAACGGAGACGAAGTGAAAATTAAAGGACCTGAAGGCGAGATCTATTACACGGGCAAAGGCTCATTCGACGTTATGGGCCATTTTATCCACTGCAAAAAAGTCAATTTTATCGTCGGTGGAACAGGGTTGACACCAGCTTTGGCGGTCATCCGAGCAGCCCTCCTGGCCGAAAAAGGCCGACACCTTCAAATTAGCCTTGTTTACGCAAATAAAACCACGGACGACATACTGTGCGGAGACGAACTTGACCATTTTTTGAAAGAGTTTAAGGATAACTTCAAACTATGGCACGTCATTAGCCGCCTGGGCGACTCGGAAAAGAAAAATTGGCCTTATGGGTCAGGACACATTGATGGAAAAACTCTTCAAGACCATTGCTTCCCACCGGCAGACGACACGGCGTGCTTTGTTTGTGGACCACCTGCGATGGTTGCCCAAGCTGTTATGCCTAATTTAGCAGAACTTGGATTTGACGAGGATCATGTCTTTGAATTTTAGTCTAGGGCGGACCTCCGTAGGCAGCGTAAGACAATTGAAAAGAGATGCACAGAATTCCTCGTAGAGAGCACCCATTCTCTTGGCGTGCTTCGAGGATGCCATCTCGACAAAGAGGGCCAAATTACGATGTAAGACGTTGGTATATGTATACAAAAGTAGTCCAACCCATTAGGTACATTTCTACAATCCTACGATATCTACAGAAAAAACATGACTCTTTTTCCATTTAACGAATACCGCGCTCTCTCACACTGTCATTTCCAGACATACTAAACCATCTATTATAATCCATCCGTAGCAGAAGTTGGGATAGACAGTGTGCTTGTGGCGAGGTGGTTTGGACACTTGAGAACGTGCGGAAGAGGAAGGATGTGCACTTTTCAAAATCCTACATCGTGTAAACGGATAAAATGCTGAGCAACAATCCAGCGAAATATATCACATCACGCTTAGAGAAAAGAGACAGTAACCAACCTCACGGAGAGCTCTCACTTGAACCAGGACGCCGTCACTCCCAGATTCATTCCAGGATCCAGCGCTCAGAATCCTATCTACTAGTCCACAGAATTGTTCGCACAGGGTAAGAGCCTCGCGAACCGTTCCACCAATCAACCGGTTCATGACGGGGTCAAGAAAACAGCCTTGAAGGACGGCCTGTAGGTGTGCTGTATGCGCTTTTCGAATATCTTCGAAGTCAGGACGGGAATGCGAAGATGCGGCATTGATATCGGCGACCGTCTCGTCCTCATTTCGCTCTTTCTGCTTCACAACTTCCATCAGTATATGATAGTTCGATTCCAATATATCCATCTACCAACAGGTACTGCTTTAGAAGAAGAAGAAGAAGTAAACTATCACAATGCAACAAGAAGACATACCTGAATATACGACCATAAGCAATCCAAAAAGAACATCATGACCCCCCGCACTTGCCAGATTTCTCTTGGGACCTCTGCAGTATCCTCATCCAATACATTTCGTTTGCTATTACCACTTGATACGGCTCGAAATGACTGGCTGATCGACGAGCAAACACGTTGTAGCCGCATATGTGTTCCCTTGAGCAGTAGCAGGAAGGCCAGAATGGTGTTGTAGCTGCCAAAATCGTGGGTTAGAAAAAGAAAAGACCTGGTTATGAAATGAACTCTCAACGAACTCTGTAATATCACTCAATGTGAAGACGAGGTCTAAAGGCCACTTCACGATATAATCCAGAGTAAATGGCACCCCGAGGAGGTCCTCGGTGTAATTCCGTGACAACGTCGAGTCCTGGCCGCTTGTACTCTTTGGCATTCTGAACCGAAAATGTTCCATATAGAGCCCCATATCCTCTTCTGAAGCAGCTTTGCGCACCAGCTTTTTGAACATTGAATTAAGCTCTAAAGTTCCCACCCGGTTATTAAATATCAGTTAAAGACTACGACACAGCTACTAACCATGAGCGGTGACAAGGGATAACCGTGCCCCAGCCTTCATCTTCAATTGGGCACATTCCTCAATGAAGGTCATCCACAGGTCACCATTTCCCAACAAGTAGCAAGCTTTGAAAGCCTTAACGTGTAGATACTGGATAAGCAGCCCCACACAGCGAACAGCTTGTCTGGAAGCAAACCTTCAAGTGATTTATCAAATGTTCATCCATGACCACAACATCCCAAAGAATCGCTGCAACGTCTCTTTTGATTTTAGAGATAGTGTTTTCAAAAGCCAGAGATCGAAACTCTTGTGACTTTGAAAGCGCAGAAACTTCAGTCAGGTGTTCGGAGACCAGCGACTTCACTAGTGCGGCTGGTGCGACACCGCATTGACAGGTAAGCCAAGCCGTTCTGATACATGAGACATATCGCTTATCCACATACCTTCAGGACGCTTAGACTCTCCAATGATTACCACCGCCTTTCCAATGAATAATATTGTGTCGGCGACATCCGGAGGAACAAAGTCAGGTACAAGTGCGGCATCTAAAACGAATTGGGATTGCCTGGCAAGAAAGTGTCGATGAACACGACGGCGAATAACAATGAACCTATAGGTGACGTACCATCGAGTATGCTCCGCTTGCAAATGCAAATCAAAGTCGTCATCTACAGAGTTCTGATTCATGTCCATCCGTTGAGCTGCGAGCGAGAGGACAATATGCAACGTCACAATCCAACCTTGTGGCGACTATCGACGCCAGCATTTCTCACAAAGAATTCACCATGTGGATCATGCAGCTTGCCGTACAGCATCCATGTAATGAGCTGCTTGTAGAATACTGTCATACAAGATTGGAATAATCTACGTGTTGAGAGAAGATGAGTCCAAATAGATGCGCCCAGCAACAACGTCCAATACCTTAGAACTACTCCGCGTACTTCAGGAATACCAGTTTTGGTGCGAGCATTCAACAAGCTCAAGAGTGCCGCACCGTGATAGCCAAGATTTGCCTCAATGGTTTCCACAAGTTGTCTCAGATGTGATAGAATTACTTTGTACTAGATTATGTATTAGAAAATGTACAGACCATCGTTGTAAGAAATACAATACACAGTGAGCTCTTGTGTCCAGCGTCACGGTGGGAGCCCATTTTGGTGACTTGCATGCGCTTACCCTGCCAAATACATGCTCCAACCAGCTTATCGGTGTCCTACCTCCGTCCGTATCCAAGTCCAGGCTAGAAAGGACCTTGACCTCTGCCTCGACAACCAATTGTCGGTATTCGTCCAAAACATCGTCTACCGCTGCACAAAAAGCAAAGAAGTAAAATCCGGTCGGACTAACAGGTGCAGTCCCTTCAATCTGTTGCTGTGATGGAAGAGTTGCTGTCCACACTCTTTTTCGATTTTTGTCGACAAAGTCCCGGAGTACAGAATACAGAGCGCCTAGGTGCACCAGGCGATCTAAGGCCGTCCGTTCCGCCGGATGAAGGAAAGGAAAGTCTGTCGCTACCCGATACGTCTTTAGTGGCGCCGGTGGTGGAGGATCAGGAACAAATACGTCGCCTGGATGGCCAGATAGAGCGAGAAGCAGCTCGTGAAGCATGTCCAATCGAGATCAACTTGTAGAGCTCCAAGTGTTCGGAAGGTTGGACGCTTTTCGCGCTTCTTAATCAGGGGCCGATGACATAAGCACTAGCACCGACCGGCGAACAGACTTGTTTATCAACACCAAAACGCTCGCCGCACACAGCCCGACGTATAGGAACGTTGAGGTGCAGCTTAAATACCAAAAAACGTCGGCCTTTGCTTCGAAGGGTTGCAACGAAAACCTTGGGCAACAAACCCTGTCCCCAGCCGGAGCTTGACACATTGAGGACTTGTCGCGATGGTTGACGTTGTCCTCATCATCACTGTGGTGGTCTTCGCCATTCTAGTAATATTAGCCTCCATATACTTCTTGGCATACTTCCAGCATCCAGACGACAAATGGGTAGCATGGTTCCCAAAAATTGTGGTGGTACGTATCGGGACTGTCAGTTTCGTTTGTTGCGGCTCACCAACACTCAAAATTCCTTTTCATGTTATCTGCAGATAATAGGGCTATCACTGGCGTGTTACAATGTCTTCCTTCTTCCCTTGGACGTGGCAAATCAGAAAGGGCAACTCCAAGCGTCAGGAAACATACCAATGGCCAAAATCACGATTGCGTTTTACATATCAACAGTGATCATATGTCTTGTGGTTGTTCCTTTCACGGTGTTCTTTTATGAAGGGTCGGACGAAGATGATGGTGATCAGAGGTACATCGTCGTGAGAGGGCTTCAGTATTAGACTGTTAGCATGCATGTCGTGTGGCTCACTGCTTGAATCTCTTTTTGCAGATCATCCCCAAGTGCTTTTGCATACGCCATTAAATGGCTAGTTCCTATTCTCATTTTTATGGCCGGCCTTATTTTTGTTCTGTATTGGTTCCTTGGCTATGCGGACGTTCCCACAACCAAATTGACGAGTGTGCTTGTAGCCGGTGGAAATTTAGGCCTCAACTCATCGATCAATAGTTGCTTGAACACTTTGGCGCCAACGGGAAATATGACGCTTGTAAGACCTTTTGCTGTCTTTATCACTTTACCGATTATTAATCTTTTTCTTCATGAATTTCAGTGTCAATACCAAACAGGGACGAACCACGTCGTTGTGTCTCCTCTCGTCTATATCGTGGCAATTGTCACCTTTGTAGGCTGGATTCTTTTCTCCATTTTTGGAGGAGTAGGTCTCATTGCCTTGCCCGTGGACTGGGTCTCGCAATTCCTGCATCGTCCTAAACCGATCAAAGCAAATGAGTATCAGGAAAAAAAGAAGGAGATTGGGCAGAATGCACAGCTTCTGATGGAGGCCGGAAAAACGCTTAACGAGGATCTGAAATCTGCGACGAGATCGGGAGTGGCTGGGAAACGGTGGAGAAGAATTAAGACTCGTGAGACCGAGTTCAGAAAGGTAGGCGTGATGTTCTGTTCGAAATGAGCCGGGTTGACCAGAAAGTAATGGATGTATTACAGGATGTCCTCATTTTGGAGTATCACTATCGCCGCCTTGAGGATGCCTATAGAAATCAGGGAGGGAATTTCCTTCTCCAGCTCATTCAATTCATTGGCGGCATCATCGGGTACGTTGCAATCTCCTCTACTTGGTAGTTCCTTGAGACATGTAAATTCAAACTCCCTTTGTTCTGCTAGTGGATTTCTGTCGCTGTTCTGGCTTTTGCACATAATCCTCTACCTCATTCCTTGGGCACTGCATACGAATCCTTACAGCCCATTTCTTAACGATTTCTTGAACGCTGTCAACAAGGTTCCTTTTGTGGGAACCGTGTTTTACGCACTGTTCTCCTTCTATCTTTTGGCCTGCGTTCTGAAAGGTGCTGCGTCATTAGGAATGCGAATCTTTTTCATTCCTATTCATCCATTGAAGTAAGTACAGTGGGTGTGACTGGTAGATGAAAAGGAATTCTCTAAACTTTGCCTTCCGCAACAGAATCGGAGAAACCATGATGAATTCTCTTGTTTTCAACACTGGTGTGGTGCTGATATGCTCCATGTCGGTCGCCCAGTTTTGCACCCTCAGCTTCTCTCGCTTTGCAAAGTATACCGCCAATGAATGTGAGTTCGTCCGGATGTCTTTTGCAATCGATAATATCATTTGCAGTTTCTTTACACGTTCCAACATTGCAGCAATATTCGGTGTGCAGATGCAAAATCTCAGGGGCATTCAATACGGATACGACGCCTTCATTTTCATCTTGCTAGGTTTTGCAGCGTTGACCATAGGATATACCCTCTATCGACCTCACAAAAAGCGACGAGAGAATATGATGGACTTCAAGTATTGAGGAGGGGAGCAAGATCGGACATGAGTACACTAATGCAAAAATACGAGGTGCAGATAATGACTGGAGTAAGGGGTTAAGACCATAGTTCGTTCTTGTGTTTGGTGAATATAGATCTATGTACAATGACTCTAAACTCTGAGAAACAACAGCAGAGAATTCTAGCAATTTTCTGCCAGTTACATGGTATGATAATTGATGCAAAATTCCACCATCAAGACAATTAGCAGATAGTCTGAAATCATGATCGGAGCCTTCGGAGGTATCAGCTCCATGGAATCATCCGAGTGTTCTGTGATTACATAAATCGAACGAAACCAGTACCATGGATCGAGATTTGGGAGACACTTTTAAGCTTTTGACCAAGCACCTACCCACTGGTGCATCTTTGGCGGCGAGACTGCCCATCACTTTATCCCAGGGGGAACGCAGGGCACGGGCTTTACTACGACATTCCAACTAGTCCTTCTCCTATAATTCAACCCGGGTCCCCAAAGGAAGAGCAACCCTTCAGACGCCTCCCGCGTATAATCACCTTTTGTCAAACGAGTTGATGCACTCGTCAAGTAGCGTCAAAGTAACTGACGAAGCACAAAGATGCAACAATCTCGCACAAAATGAAAACGACCATCGGACGCCGGCAGTCGTTGAGCGAGGCTTGCGGAGGATTCAGTCATATGACTTTGGCGCTGTTGCTATGCGACACGGTGATGACACACCCTGCGATAGGATGCTCTAACGCTCTAAAGCTCATCTACGATTGCGCTCATCATAATGTCCTTGTTCAGACCCGCCTTCTCCCGTGCGTTGACTGCGTCACTTCGGCCTGCCTCATCATCCTTGATATCAAAAACCTGTGTACGCGCATTCTCTGCATCTGTTGCTCCTCGCGAGTTTGCTCGAGTTGCGGTAAGTGGTTGAAGTGCGCCGTAGTGTAGAAAGCTGCACTGTTGCGAGAGCACGGACTTAATGGTGGACACTGTACAATTTGCTGTAGTAAATTATTGTCGACACCTTGTATTAATAGATATGCCTTTTAAATGCCTAGAAACCCGCTCCCACATGGAAAGCCCAAGCTGTTATCAACAAGGAGTTTAAAGATATTAGCTTGGCTGACTACAAGGGAAAATGGTGCTTGCCATCTGATTTACTCTAGGCTTGAATTAACCTGTTAACTGATCTTCTCTAATGCCGGATATCATCGCAGGGTTGTCCTTTTCTTCTATCCTCTGGATTGTAAGTTCACGATACGCAGGTCATTCCTCACTAGCCCGACACTGATAGCATCTTTTTATAGTCACATTTGTGTAAGGGCATTCCACCAGCACCTCTGCAAACAGAAGATCATCGACTAACTGTGCCGTATAGCTGCCCGACGGAAATTATTGCGTTCAGCGAACGTGCCGAAGAATTTCGCCAGTTGAATGCTGAAGTGATTGGCGCCTCCGTGGACTCTGTACACTCTCACTTGGCCTGGATCAACACTCCCCGTCGTGATGGTGGATTGGGTGACATGAAGATCCCTCTGAGTAAGGTTTTGCACGAGATCACCCTCCGTGAAACTCATTTCTAAGCTGATAAATTGAATATGTCACATAGTCTCCGACATTACAAAGTCCATCTCTCGGGATTACGGTGTTCTTCTTGAGGAAAGTGGCTTTGCCCTTCGCGGCACCTTTATCATTGATCCCAACGGTGTCGTGCGGCAATTGAGCATCAACGATGCACCAAGTAAGCATTCCGCAACGTTTGATTAAGATCCAAGAACGGGATATCTCGGGATGCTAATGCTATTGTCGGTTGACAGTTGGTCGTAGTGTTGAGGAGACGCTCCGGCTCTTGGAGGGTCTCCAATTTGCTGATGAGCACGGACAAGTTTGCCCAGCTGGATGGAAGAAAGGAGGTAATTTTGGTACTTTCTATGCCATTTTAAATCTAGACGCTTAATGCTTAATTGTAATTCAGGCAAGACCATGAATCCCGATCCCGTCAAGAGCAAAGAATACTTCCGTGATGAGCATGCGACTGGAAATTGAATCCAGCCTGGTCAGTACCCGTGGTTCCAAGCTGCAATTAGCGTCTATCTGCGCCGTCATGTGGATGCGACGGGAAATTGGTTCATAAATTCAACAGCATTGCACAGTTTCAACTTGTAGTATTCAATAATACAGAACAGTTCTATTGGCAACGCTAAGCATCTGGTTGGTGAGATACGGTTTGGTTTTTCCGGATGATGAAGACGCTCCCCTAATCAGCGATGTGACATCGCCATTCACAATCACAAATACGGCCCACTTGCGTAGCCATTCGGTTGCTGCACGCACACAGTACCGTGCTCCTTCCAGTTACTCTCGAAGTCCAGTGAAGATGGTTACCCTGCCCATCGGATGTCACGATCATCATGACAAGTGCGTCGAAATGGCCCGTTGAGTAACTGATGAATCGTAGCAGAATAACTGGTGGCACGAGTATGATTGCTGAGGGGTACTTCCTCGTACGATCTCCTACCGGGCTTTTGATTCACCATTGATATTCTGGAGGTTTTCTCGTTCACATTTCCATCGAAAGCCTGCCCGCTATAACTTTTTCCTGGGATCACTTCTATTCATCATGCCGTGTCCGTTCTGACAACTTTGAGGTAAACCAAGCAACGCCCATTAAACACAAATCCAGGGTCCCAATCCACGCGCTGAGTCTTCCAATGTCTGCCCAATTTCGATCATTCAAGTCGGGGCAATGACTACCGCCATAATTCCAACAATAAGTGAACATATTCACATTAATTTCCGCCAAAACGCACACGAGCAAGCGATAGGATACTGGAGCACAGAACTTTCGCTTGCTAAGGTTGTTTGTCAGCAACAGCACAAAGTCTACCAACAAAGCCAGATTGTATAATGCTAATAGATGAAACACTCTTCCATATCCCACAGTCCAGTACAACGCATGGAAAAGGAATGGCGTCAAGGTGATAACGGACACCGTGTTGAATTCCCAGAGGAAGCCGGCAAAAATGAAAATGGCAATCAAATGATGTAACGCCATGTTGGTGAATGCTCGTATGATATCCGTTTGGATGAGCTCAAAGGTATAGAAGATAATGTACAAGACCAGGTGAAGGCGAAACTGAGAGACAAAGCGAAATGAGACCGGGGATTCGGCTGGAAAATGGCGACCTTTCGAGAAACAGTGGGCAAGGGCAATCGAAATTTGCAATAGACCAAACCCGTTCACCAGGGCATGGTAGCGCGTCGGAAGCATGTGGTCCATGGTAGAGTGGGATCTTGATTGTCAAATAAAAAAGTATGGATGCGTCACGAACGGATAAAGTGTTGATAGCGAAAGAGAGTCGAACGTTTTGTGGGTTCAAGGAGGGTTTGTCGGAATCCCGCATACGAGGACTGATCGTCGTTCTACTAAGTCGTCGTCGAATCGGTCATATCCCTGGTTTGCAATGATCCTTTGACGCAGGCAATGCCTCGACAGTGACGTGGGACCAAGTTCCCCACAATCTGGTAATCCCAACGACGGCGCGGGCATCCACGTCATGCAGTGGAATGCATTCTAACTGGGAGGCACAGCAAAAGACAGTTGTTCAAAGGTCCGTCGTCGCCAATGACTTTGACAGCGATCTCCGCTGACACTCGCAATGACATTTCTGCTTCGAACTATACGCCGCCTCCCTCGGGCATTGGCCCGTTCACATTTCCAACCCGCACGCCGTTATCTCACCAGCTCCCGTCTCCTCTCATCATCCAACACGTCACCAGATCCATCGCCACTTCAAACTTTTAACATCTTTGAAAGTCCCTCCCCGAGCACAAAGACCTTCAAATCAGTCGGAAACACATCCTTCACCGTCGGAGATGTCCGGTTACAGGGGCCGGTCGTACTTATCAACGATACCGTCTTTATGTGGGATGTACCGCAGTTTGGTGCTGGGAGTGAACAGGTTGAAATATCCGAGACGATCATTGATGGGGAGACATTGATTAGACGAGGTGCAGGTTCAGAGGGACAGGAGATCGTGGATGACCCTTCCTCACCCTTTCATGGATGGACCACCGATCACTTCAAGCTATTTGAAGTTACCCAACCAGTTCCTGGTACGTCGGAAGAGCGTGTTTTTTGTTAAAGGTTGCCCACATTTTAATTCGGCATACGCGGCGGCAGAATTATTGGTCATTGGCACAGGTGCCCAGACGTACATCTTGCCACCTTTTCTGCGCTCATACCTTCACAAATTGGGGTTGCAGCTAGAAGTGATGGCTTCGGTAAGGGACAATTCAATGCACTGCTTCACTCTGTTGATCATGTGTCGCTGATTGCGATGATTATCGGTAGCGCCAAGCTGCTTCGACATACAACATTCTCCTCCAGGAGGGCCGTCGTCCTGCAGCTGCATTTTTACCGGTGATTCCGACATCGTCTCGCACAGGAGAGATACTGGTCAAATTCAGTAAACCTGAATTTGAGAAACAAAGGGAAAGGGAGGCGCGGGAGCACCACCGCGCATGGGGACTACCAGGGAACCTCACAGGAAATACTAGTTGAACGATGTGATAATATGTCTTCCAGCTTAGCCATATCACTGGTTGTCCAATAAATAGAACAGTGGACTTCAAAACTGCTGTGAAACATAACGTATTACAACAGTATACAGGTCATCCCACTTCGGTCCCGCTATTGACACTGGCTCCTCAAAAGATTTACAAAAATACCTTACACCAGATCCTAAGACTAATTACTAGATACCGCCAGCTTATTCGCGTTGACGGGGTCTGTAAAGCCCAGGGTTGTCAGCAATGCAAAGTGGAGCCAGTATTGATAAGAGCAGCGTTTTTACCTAGGAGCGCAGCGAATGATGTCGTCGACCCGCAAGATGAGTTCCGCTGCTTCTGATGCAGATAGAAGTACTTGCTTCTTCAACTTAAATGACTCTGTAATACCGAGTTCACGAACATCTGCAACTATTCCTTGGGCCATATCTGAATGTGGTGGGAAAGGCGACAGCGCAATTAGAACCCTATCCCCAGCAATAATAGAAGCAATGCACATACCTAAACCGAACGTCGATTTGCCTTCATGGTGAGCTGCGCGCAATTGCGAGACAAGCTCGGCACTGTCATACCCTGCATTGTCCGCAAGGATCGTTGGCAGCTGACGTAGCGCCTTAGCAAATGATTCGCAGGCAATCGCCTTTTTGCCTGGTGTCTTTGCCGCAACTTCCTCAACAGCTTTTGCCATGAGCATCTCAGCACATCCACCTCCAAGGGTTGTACGAGGTTCCTTTACTGTCTGAGAAAGCACGCAAAGCGCGTCATGCAGAGATCGTTCTGCTTCATCCAGGAGTTGGCCAGTGGCACCACGCAGAACCACAGTACAAGCCTCGCCCGCAGCTACCCCCGAGAACTTGATCAGTCTGTCCTCCCCAATCATGATCTCCTCAATCAAATCGCAGTGTCCTAGCTTGACTAGCTCCGGGTGGTCAAAAGTCGATGCGATTTCCCCTCCTGTGACTAAAGCAAGACGTTCTACACCATCAAAGTCCGCGTGCTCGATCGCCATGACACCGGAATCAGCGAAGAGTTGCTCCGGCCAGTTGTAAATCAGCTGACGGTTGACAAAGCAATTGATGCCATGTGCCTTAATCTTCTCGACCTTCTCCTTCATCTTGTCACGCTCGGCCCGCTCCAACTCGGCCAACTTTCCAGTTGCATCCACCCTGACGCGTGCTCCAAAGATTTTGATTTTGTCGGTATCCATAGGAGTGTTTGCTACGAGAATCTTGGCGTTCTCGATCCTTTTCGGTTGGTTTACACCGATCTTCTTGTCAAGAATGAAACCTTCGTCAAGGTACGAGTCGATAAGTTTACCCCCGGCCTTTTTGATGATTTGGATGTTGTCAAGATTTGTGCTTCCCTAGAGGTTGAACAAGACATTAACGCTTTTGGAGGTATTTGCTGCAATGTCAAGTGCAGCTACCTTTAACCGCATCACCGCGTCGACCGCAAGAGTGGCAAAGTATTCTTTGTCTTGCGACAGCACCTTTGAACTTAGCGTTGTTTTTGCAATGTTCAGAAGATCTTGCCGGAAGGCTTCAGTATTCTTGCTATTGTCCACAGCAGACTCTTCCAGGGCCTTGTAGGCAGCGGCAGAGGCGATACGGTAGCCCTCAATGATAGTTTGAGGGTGGATGTGTTGATGAACAAGCTTCTCTCCTTCTCTGAGCAACTCTGCGGCCAGAACGCAAACAGATGTAGTTCCGTCACCAACTTCATCGTCTTGCACTTTTGAAATGTTGACCAGAACTTTTGCTGCGGCGTTGTCTAGCGCGATTGATTTCAAGATTGTTGCACCGTCGTTTGTGACTACAATGTTGTTGGTAGTCATGGATTGCAGCGTCTTGTCCATTCCTTTTGGACCTAATGTGCTTTTCACCAGATCCCCGACAGCAATGGCACCCACAAATGACGACTATAGCAGAGAATAAGATCTTAGCATCAACACCATGAGCGCAACCCATTGTCGATGAAATAGACTCTTGGGCTCAAAATGGACATCTACATACCAAACGCGCATTTTCTGCGCGCTCTTCGGAAGCATTCTCCTTGAAGATCTCGACGGGTGCCAAACTCTGATGGTGAAAGGATTATGGCGAGTGAGAATTAGGCGGACGCGCGTCGACGTGAAAATCAGAAACAGCATCCGTTCCTACCATATCGATGTTCTGTTACTAAAAGTGGTATAGGTCTAAACGATGGGAAATCTGTCGACGAGTTGTTGCTGCGGAGGAGGGGAAAACGAAGCGTCTTGTTGGGTTCACGGGGCACGTCGCAGCTGTCGGACACGCAAAATATAGTGGTTGCTATGTGTCTGCATGGTTACTGCACAGTCATGCAACTTTCGGACAGGGTTTCTTCCATCTTTTCCTGTCCTCCAGCCGTCGGCATCGTCCAAAACGAAAATGTCACGACCTGCACCACAACATCCGTACGCTGCCTTCAAGCGAAAAGCACCAGTACACACTCCTTCAATACCTCCGGCTTCATCAAAATCAGCAAAGGGAGGACCGCCGACCGCAGCGGACATTGTTAGCAGTTATGCTCGCATTCCTCCCAGGACAAAGCTGAAACTGAGTCTAGGTGAGGAGACCATGGTTCCTGTTTGAGTCTTTTGGATTTTATCTGACTGATGCTGGACAGGTCTCCTTGGGTTTGCTTCCTTGGGTGTATACATGACTTACAAATTTGAGGAGTGGTATCCCCTTGAAAAGAGAGCGCCCACCGTGGCGCCAGATGCAAAGTCCAGAGTGGATGTCTTGTGGGAAGAGGAAGAGAGGAAGCTCGAGAAATTGCAGAGTCAACGCAAGCCTTCTCAAAACTAAGGGCAGAGCTCAGCCGTTATTTCATTTGTACATATTTTCAATAGCCTGTAATCTATTATCCAATTGCATAGATTCTAAGATCAGACTCAGACCAGTCCTATACTTTTTTTGGTGAACCTGGTGTTGCAACTTCGTACAGAACGATGGCATCGTACATATTGGCGCCAAGCTGCTTTGCCACTTGAGGGTTCTTGAAGACTATCGACATGAAGAAAAGCATTATCATTTTCTTGGACAAGCAGAATTGAAATGACGAATATGAAACTTACCACCAATTTTTAGCGAATCCACTCGGAATCGAGCGTAGAAATTCGTGTGAATCGCCCTTCCCATTCCCTTATCAAAACAATTGTATGTTAGGATAACATGGCTAGTGATGCTAGGCAGTTCCAAATGTCTTGATACAGACCTCTACCACGACAAAATCAACATCCCTACATTCCGTTGTCAGCTCATCGCTGAGTCTCGTAAGATCCAAGCAGGGTGATGCACTACCGGTGCCAAGGGCGAGCAATCGCTGTTCCGCCCAAGCAGATCGGATAACCGGGTCGAATCCGGCGATAACTGGGAGAATTCCTCGCAGTTCGTGCACGGTGATATCGTTAACGGAAGGACTGGTATTGGCAGCTAAAACAACAGTTGTCCCCTTGCCCAGCAAATAGCGAGCAAAAGGTATAATGCCCAAAATGATGTCCGCTCCACTATTATCGACAAAAATCACGGCTTTGCGGTAAGGGGATCCCTCGACCAACCGCTGTTTCAGTTGAGCCAATTGGCTGAACTGTTGTGGATGCCCGACTGTCTCCTTGGCAGTATCAAAGTCGAGCTCTCCCTTCTTCAACATCTCTTGAACTGATGTCGATCCCCAGTCATACATGTTCCCCGCCAAGACATTATCAATCAGATTATCGAGCTTTTTCCCTTCATCCTCCATGGCGTCTAATCGCTTTAAAAGTTTAGGGAGACCTTCCAGGGCAGCTGCATTTTCTTGCTTCTTCACATTTTCAAAAATGTCCGTAAAGCCCATCTCGCGTAGACATTGTTCACGAAGATCCAGAAGGCTGCGTATTGTGAGGGCACCGTACATGTTTGGTTCTCTCCGCAGCGCCTGTAGGTGTTCCCTGTACATGGCTTCAAAACTTGAAGCACGTGTCCGAGTATCTGCAAAATTGCCTCGCCATTGTAAAGCCATATCGGCCAAGTCGCCAAGGTTTCTGTCCAACAAGTCTATCCAATATTGTTGCAGTTTTGGGTCTTTCAAATCGGTTGTATCGGGCTTGTATCTGGATACATCCGCCAGGAGAGGGAATACCGTAAGATGTGTCGGAAACTCATCTAGTGCACCAACTGCTCCCAATGAAGATCCAGAGATTTTATCGACTCGAGTAAAGTTTTCAGTGAACGATTGAATTCTACCGCGTTGAGGTACATGGCGTAAGAAAGCTCCCATAGCTCCCAGGTAGCCTTCATGTCGCAGAAACATTGCCATAATCTTTCCCTTTGACCAGAAGTTGATTGCGTAGCTAAGGCGACAGGTTATTGACACCTGGTCGAGAGAATGTCGAACAAAAAGGATGTCGCATATCCTCACCTGAGGGTGTTCATGGTTATCGGATGTCCTATGAGCGCCGTTGAAAGAGGTTCAGTGATTTATCCCAGAACGTGGGCGATGTACCATCATGTACCTCTGATGAAGAAGCCACTAAAGTATATCCTGGAACGTAACGAAGATTAGCACAGACCTGGATGGTGCCGTCATCATATCGGCGATACCTTTGAATACCATGCGCTTGTGCATTCAAATATGCAATCTGTCCAATATTGTTGCTGCAAAACGGTTTCTAATCCATTCCAGTTTCCAAACTGCAAAAACACCACACTATACCTCACGAGATACTGTACAAAATATCAGAATAATAAACATACAGGACATTCATGGCGTACAACGTACCAACAAAGACCTAGAAATATCCTCCTGCTTGAACTTTGATTTCCTCTCTTCCGGTGGAGTCTTGAACACCTTCCCAAATGACGATGCAATTGCGGATCCCTTCAATCCGATTTTGGGATAGTCGCTACGATACATCCAATAAGTCCGAAACGATCGAACTGTGGTTACATGCCCGTCCATTGCCGACTAAAACGTACCCACCATAGATATCGCCAACCTAGATCCCTCACGTTAATGTCAGCACGGAATGACGCCGATGTCACGCAGCCATACCAGCATATCCACATTCTTATTGTCACCGAGCTTTGATAATTCTGCGGCAAAGCATTACACCAATAGTGCAAGTCGCGTTACGTTCACATGCATACCTAACATCTCATCATAATCCTTGGCTTCGGTTAATAATGAGAGTAAACCCCACAGTGTCCCGCCTCCCAATGACGTGCCTAGAGCCACGACCCGTCAACCAGAAAAAACTTTGTGGTAGTAATAACGTTAGATGTATACCGCTTATACGCTCATATGTTTCATCGCTAGTGACTTTAAGTATGCTAACGCCGGAGCCGATATTGACAAGCTGGAGCCCTGCTGGTTACTAATAATGTCTAATAATAAATCAGTACACAGCTCACTCACTAGATAGGGGAAAAGTTCGGAAGGAGTAGACTCAAACTGCATGGACTCTGCTCGACGCTCATCATATGTGAACACCTCATACGGAATTTGCCGGACCAAGAAGTTCAACCCTATTCGCTCCACCATGAGTTGCACACGTTGAATCATTCAATTGGAGAACTCTAAGGACCTGTAATCAGACTAAAAGCAACCCAATATGACTCAATTCATTCCATCCAATCAAGAAGTCATCAAGAGAAGAGAACATACCATTCCATTTCGTCTTCACGTTGCATTGTTACACCCAGCTTCTCTTTGAATAATTCTAACAATCTTGTGAGCACGAGTTATCTTGTCAGAAGGGCTGGACTTTGGTTTTACCGTAATATTTATGTGCACCTCCGCCAGTAGCTAACATTTATGACTTTTAGGTTTCGAAGAACAAATCCGAAGATGCAAAAGCAAACCTTTTATGACACGCTTTTCCACCGGTATTTGCCCATGATATCCAGTATATAAAACTTTGTGAATAAAGTCGACGCAATCGTTGATATGTTGAGTCTCGAACTTGACAAAGTTCATGCGACCTCCGGGAGAATCTGGGGTTCGCGAGAAGTACACTACTTTGGCTAAACTGCCACCCTAAACAAAACAGATAAATGAACATAAAGCGAGAGGACGGACTCGTCAACAGGAAAGAAAAACCTTACAATATCCACAGCGATCTGCGCAACGTCCTCTAATTGGTGAGGGAACAGGATATCCCTAATCTCGCGAAGGTAAGACGGATGTCCAAAGGTCCAAGCAGAAAGAAAACCAAACCTCGTCTCCTGCTTTTCAACGTCATCTTCGCTAATGGCAGCGCCTCTAACATTCAAGTTATGGTTGTTAATCATGTTTGCCCACCTGTAAAGATGTTCAACTCATTGAAACTTGGGAAACGTCCTGCTGAATGAGTCATCACCGGTGACTCATTTCTGTCACGTGACAAGCTGTGGTTTCGCGTCTACAAGCGACAACGTCGTGTTGACTGGTCGCATCTTCATTCAACATCGCGACGGTTTTCGACCTTTTTCCACAGATATCCTGCACCAAAAAAGATCACCATGGTGGGTAATGTTCACTGCTGTGAGCAAAGAACTGATAGCTAACGGCTCCCCATTAGTCGATTATGGAGTATAACGGTTCGGCCATAATGGCCATGAAGGGCAAAAACTGTGTGGCGATCGCGGCAGACCGCCGATTCGGTGTGCAGTTGATGACGCTTTCGACAGACTTTCAAAAGATTTTTCCTGTAACGGAAAAAGTCTACCTTGGACTTCCTGGCCTAGCCACCGATGTGCAGACCTTGTACGTAAGGGTTGGAAAGTTTTGTTAGGGGCTGAGATGAACAGGCGTATATGGTACTTTTTTGGAGGACTAGATGGACTCTTGACAAGTACGGTGATGGACGTGGACTGTAGAGCTGAAATACGCGCTAGCCGAGTGCCCACATGACAGCACACATGTCGAACATGCAAGTTGACTAAACACTGACAAATTGTGTCGTCTCTCCTTCCTGTAGAGCTGAGCGCTTTAGATTCAAGGTTAATATGTACAAATTACGTGAAGAAAGAGATATCAGTCCAAAAACTTTTGCGCATATGGTCTCCTCCACACTGTATGAGCGAAGGTACGTACGTTGAATGTACCTCCTGTATAGGATATGCCAAATCTGATATGGGGTTGCTGCAGATTTGGTCCATTCTTCTGCGAACCCGTCATTGCTGGACTAGAAAAGGATGGGACACCCTTTATCTGCTCCATGGACCTCCTTGGTTGTATAAACCACGCGAAAGACTTTGTCGTGAGTGGAACGGCGTCGAATCAGATGTACGGAACAGCGGAGGGACTATGGGAGCCGGAATTGGTAAGAATTTGCGTGCATTGACAGCTACGTCTGTAAATATTGAACTTCTTCTCAATGTTAAATTTACAGGAGCCAGAGGACCTTTTCGAAACCATATCTCAGGCCATGCTGAGTGCTGTAGATCGTGACGCCTCGAGCGGATGGGGGGTTATCGTTCATGTTATCACACCAGAGAAGGTTATTACGCGAACCTTGAAGGCGCGCATGGATTAGATGCGGTCAAAGTGACAATACAAAACCGGTGCTACTTGTACGCATTTTGTGCAATTTTCGATTTCTAATATAGGTTATTGAGCTTGGAACACAGTCTGTGGTGAGGTGATATTAAAAAGGTACATAAGCAGTACTAACAAAGACAGCACGTATGTGTACATTGCAGTGAATGCGGGTCCAATTTTATCATTGCACTTAAGCGGTCACACCAGTGGCCTGGGTTCCCGCAGTTGGTAGTGCCGCCCCCGCTTGCGCACCACTGCCGCCTGTGGAGGAACTTGCGGTAACTCCAGGTCCTGACCCTGCCGGCGCAGCCCCAGTCTGATTCTTTGACTGCATCACATTGATCAAGATCTGAGCCTGTAGTTCCATTGCGGTTTGGTCCATCACGCCATATCCAGGCCCAAAAGCGCCATCTGGCATTGGTGTACTTGGTGAAGCGCTCGACGAAACGAGTTTTCGGAGCTTATAAACGTTGACGGCTCCATTATCATCACCTGTTAGTACAGCAGGCGACTTGGAAGCAAATATTATGGACGTCAGCCGTCGGTCGAGTACCGTGTGGAGAATTGCTGGGTCAAGCCTGCAGAGAAAATGCACTCAGGACTGATAAAATGAGGGAGCCGCGGAAATCAGCGTGCAACTTACACGGATAATTGCAAATCCCATATTTCCATTCTTCCATCTGTCGATACACATCCGAACACGGTGGAAGAAGCAGGAGACCATGCCACATCTGTTATTGTGTCCTGTGCAGAGGAGTAAGATAGGTTGATCAATATGCCATTTCACGACAAGCCTCCCTTATCCTTACTTTGCCGCTTTGAAACTTAAACACCGGCTCTTCCATGTCCTGGTTCCATAACCGGACGGTCCAATCGCACGAGCATGATAAAAACGCTCCAGAGAGAAATGGCGACCACCGAATTCGATTTACTGGACCTGTATGCCCAAAGTACGTTGCAAGATATTGCTCATTGTATGAGCAAGAGCACCGATGAATGTGCCCGTCGTCCGTTCCGACCATGTAACTACATTATGAAAGCTGACTCAATAAGAGGAATACAAGAAAGCGCATGACCAGCACGCACATGTTATTATCTTTCGGATTGAAATCAAAGCATAAACCACCCGACTGTCGGGCGATGAAAGAACCGGGTTTGTTTCCAGACCCAGCAGAGCCGGCAGCGGTACCTGCTGCGGCACCGGCCTTAATTTCTTGCTGCTTCGTTACTCTCTTCAAGCTCATCAAATCTGACATACAGGATTAACATGCATGTTTACCGTTAGCGCAGTCAGGTTCCACCATACCTGTATATTCTAAACCTTTCCTGATTAACCATTGAGTTACACGCCCATCAGTTGATACTGATACTAGCGTCTCGCCGCGTGCATGTTCGTCTCCACGCTCCCTTTCGACCCATCGAAGCTCCCAAATTGGATCGCGATGTTTTCCGGCGAGGTCGCTGGACAGAAAATCAGAGAAGTGTGGGTCCGTACTGCAAAAAGCAGATACGGACAGTACCTGTTGTCCATTACTGGCTCATCTTCTTTCCTTCGCACGTCGTATATTGCTATTCGTCCGTCAACATAACCGCATGCAAGGAGATTGGGAGTGGACCGTGAAAAGTCAATCGCCGTCACTGGAGATTTTGATCGATAGATCCTTTCAGGCCACTATTACAAAAGGTGAGGAAATCGCTTGCCGAATCGACCAGCAAGGGTAGTGTGCGAACCTCTGGATTTTTTACCGACCAGCACAATACCAGCCCTGCATGTGGATTTGGACCTGGTTTTTGCTCGCCGTAAGCAACCGCCAATATGTCCTTTTGAAGCATTTGCTCGTCAATCTAGGTGCAATTAATTGTCACCTGAATCACACCTACTTCATTTTCTTTGTTCCACACCAGAAATGATACCGCCCGGCCGCGGGTAAGTTCACATCGGTATGACCACAGAAAGTCCACGGTGGGAATGCTGTCAACGTCTCGTTTGTCGTCTCGGGCTACCAAATGTTGTGATTTAAGTTCTTATCAGAGTCACTCGAAAGAATGTTGTCAGTACACACCTTTGTCACCTAGTGTGTATGATTTCAAGAAGGGTCTTTTGTTAGAGGACTGATCCTGTCAAATCCAATGGAGAGAACGTCCACATTACGCCCTACGTACCCGCAGCTGGACCACCTGGACTCGCACCCGGCAAACCTTCCGGAGTCTGGTCAAGTGCTTCCTGTCGAGCGGCAATTTCCCTTTGCTTTGCTTCTTCCGCGTCCATGACATTTCGGTATTGAAGGAGCTTCTTCTCAAAGTTATTGGCCACTACTGCGCGTTCCAAAACCAATAGGGAATTTTGCAAGTTCTTTTGATTTAACTGAATTAGAAGGAAGTATCTGTTAGAGGTATACCGTCAGGCAATAAACGGTCGCTCCCTACGTACCCCAGCAAGGGTGACTTCAGGACCAGCTACAATGTCGCTCGCTACATCGACCATGTCCCCACCTCTATGCATTCCGGGTCCAATGCTCAAGCTATTACGCTTAGCGCCCGGTCCAACGCTCGCATACAGATCTGACATGGTTTCCCCTTCGGGTAGGAATACTGACCGTGACATCGCCCCTGCTGCATCAGACATAACCATAGAGCTACTGGCAAGCTTATTGCCTTGCAGCATAGAAGAATCGCCCACCGATCCCTGCAGTCCGATGGATGCAGGAGCCGATTGTTCACCAAGGTTGGACAAGGCCTCATTATCACCGTCCTTGCTTTTGTATTGGATGGACAGCAAATGAATTTTACAGTTATCGATGCAATTGGGTGGATTTGAATGTCCCTACCTGATACCTTCACTGGTCTTTTCTGTACCCTCCAAGTGATAAGCGTCGTAGATGCTCCATTGGGTTACCATACACTCGACGTTGACTCCCTTTGGTCCAGGTGCTTGAATTTCCTTTGTTTTCAGCGGATCATTGAAAGTCTGCATCCCGCGATCGACAAAGTTTTCATTGGCCGCTCGACTTTCAAGAACCTTTGGAGAAGTTGCATAAGACGCCAAATTGGTGCATCTCTTTGGCTTTTGTTAAACAAACCTCTTTGTATTTGGCGTTCGCTGCTCTCACGGCTGTGGCTTCGTCTCCTGACTCATTGGACACCGTAACTGCAGTTATATCCAAGAGTGGGATGGTTTCTGTTTCGGTGAGGTTGATGTGCACAAGTTTGTTTAGCTCCGCTTCCCCAAGAGTCCGGGAAGTCGCGGCAGCTGCGACGGACACCCGGTCTTCTTTGAGTACTGTCAATAGATGTGGTTCAGACCTGATACTCGAGGAATATGCAGGAGCTCAAACGGACGCTTTACATTCTTCTCTGTCTTCCGCAGATTCTGCGCTTCCCACTGAGCTTGCCTCATCCTCATCACCGCTCTCAGCCCCAGACATCCGGCTGGAACTCAAAAAGCTCATTCCCATCATTGCAGATCGCCCAAACACCGACTGATTCCATGATCCCACAGTCATAGATTCTAGGTTGTTTAACACATCGGCAACCGTTTCCTATTTCCATGAAGTGGTCGAGCGCTGAGCACCTCCGCATTGTGAACCAATTGGATCAGAAAGATCTTACCCGTGCAACGCTCGCCATACTACTAAGTTCTGTTGCGCTCGCACCTCCATGACCTTTTCGAACATGCCCGACTTGTTGCGGGGCTAGTAAGCTCAGCGGAGTAACATCATTCCCCTCCTCATCCAAGACCTGCACTGCCTTTTCTTGGACGGGTTTCCCATTTCGATCCAGCGTACTTTGTGATGCCCGAATTCGCTGCTGTGACCCCCGACCATATACTCCAGAAGAAATTGAAGATAAAGCATTTCGTGACCGTACTGATGGAGAGGCGGGTTCAAGTCGTGCGTGTGAAGCCGCTGAGGCATTGAGTACAGCGGTGGAGCGTCTCCCAGCTGGCTTCTGCAACCGGGCTTTAGACGCTGCAAGGTTTCCAGTTTTGGGTGGTTCCATCTAATTGCTTTCAGAACTTTGTACTATTCGGCTGGAAATATTTGCATTGGCAGCATCAACAAATAGGTTGGGATGGACTCTTAGCGTCGGAGTTTTGGGGGTGCTGCGCAAAGGACGCGTCCGTCAGCGTGTCGCTTGTCGCTGCTCTGCGTTTTTCAACCAGTTTCACGCAAAAGGATGACCTCTGAGCCCAAGGACTATGATAACAGCTGGACGTATCGAGTCCCTCAAATACACAAAGAGTTGGGGGAGCCTGTGATAACAATTCGACATCTCTCAAAGAGTGGGTACAAATGCCATATGACTCGAACCCATTGCTGACTCTGTTCCTTCCTGTAGCATACAATATCCCTGGCACAGATGAATCTGTTAAAGCTCTTCATGACATCCACCTCGCACCGGATTCAGAGTTCTATCCTATTCGCAGAGGTGAATTTGTGATTCTACGAGGACCAAGTGGTGGTGGGAAAACGACTCTACTCAACATCTTGGGCACGATTGATACGGCAACCAGTGGTACTGTGGGTAAGTGAAGACAGCCAAGTCCTGCCTGTTTTGCATCATCAATTAATGTGTCTGGATACGGTAGAGCTTCTCGGGGAGGAAATATCAGAAATATCGTCCGATGCATACTTATCCGGCCTTCGCCTGCGGCGTATTGGTTTTGTGTTTCAGACATTCAACCTGTTGGGAACCATGTCTGCATTCGAGAACGTGGAGCTACCCATGACAATTCAAGGGAAGCTAGGGCATCGCCAACGGCAAGAACGTGCGCTGATGTTGCTAGAAAGTAAGTGCCGAACACTCATTTGCTCTTTGGATTGGTCATTGAGGTTCCACCAGCTGTCGGTTTACAAGATCGAATAGCACATCTCCCTTCCGAGCTTTCTGGTGGTGAACAGCAGCGAGTGTACGTTTTACCAAGAAAGTGCCAAGTATGTAAATATTTACATAAAATTCGTACAGTACAATAGCAAGAGCGCTGTCAAATGATCCAGACATCCTGCTTCTCGATGAACCCACCGGGGATCTCGACACCGCCAACACCATAGATATTATGAATCTACTTCTCAGAATCAATCGGGAAAAGAAGACAACATGCGTCATGGTACGAAGGTTCGGTATGTTGTTCAAGAGACTGCCAACATAATATTGATTTGGCTCTGTCGTTGTTCACCTCCCATCACTGTAGGTAACGCACAATCCGGATGTCGAGTGTTACGCAGATCGTCTTCTCTATTTGGAGGATGGGCGGTTTGTAAAGCAAGCAGTGAACAAGGTTTGATTGAAATATCTGCGATTCATAGCATGAGAGCGCTGACGCATTTGCCTCCTTCTTTAGGTACAAACGCCATTGATTCTGGAAGAATATCAAGGTACAGTAGCATGATGAAGCTATCAGCTCGCAGGTTGCCCGATCTCGTAGGCTCACGACGTTACATCCGTAGAATACCTACGAAAAAAGGACGCGTGACATCCTTTTCACCAAATTTACAATCTTCATCGATAGCTCACATTCGAATTCTAGTATTCTATCTCTTGTTGAAAATGTACAGTACCGTGGGATACCTCCGGAACAACAGTCCCGGAAGCCAATATATATTATTATTCTTTCGCATCTTCGTTGCTATTCCATAACCTTATTATCATACACCACACGCCCCTGCGAGCAAAAACGTGAGTCACACAGGATAAGATCAGCTGCAGAGGCACGCTACTAGCTGAAACTCACCTCAGCGTCTCTGACTTTCACCCGCCCATCGGACCATCGCATTTCCTCCGTACCATCCGGGTTTGAAATTTTCACCAAACCATCTCCATAGTATTTTGTCCTAACTCCATTTAGGTACACCTCCTGCGAGAAACACAATGTATAAGAGGCCTATGGCTATCAAGGCATGTGGTCATCCTGCAATGTACCTTTATTCCGTTTGGATATTCCCACGTTTTCTTTCCATTCTCTTCAACACGTTGTATTCTCCCATCAGGAAAGAGGCTCTCCTCCTGTTCATCAAATCATGCGACCGGTTCCATATTAGCTCTTCGATATATGCCCAGCTGCCTGTTGGCCATACTTACCTCGCCGTTGGTGAAGATGTATTTCACCGTTTTATCCGCGAAGACGATTTCGTTGGTCCCGTCAGGGTAATGCTTTTCCACCTGCCCATTAGAGAACTCGTACACCTGCAAGCCATCTTTATATGTCGTATGTAAGGTCCGTTGCTCGGTATACCAGTATACGATGCGACCGTCCGCGAACACCTGGTTAAGAAAATGACCGGAAACCGGACGTTGGTGAGCTATCAATTTCAAGCTGCCGAAGGGCTCATCTCAGGTGTGGGAATGGCCATTTCTTACCGTTTTTGAATCGCCGTTTGTGAAATGTATTACTATCAACTCGTCATCAGGATGTACCTCCTTTAATGTACCATTGGAGTATCGGACGAGCTTTATTCCGTTCGCATATATACGCTCGAGTTTCCCATCGGACGTTGTCCGTTGCTTTATAAAGGTACACAACAGAATCAAAGAATGTTACATGCCGATTGTCATCCGGAAGGGTCTCATTACCTCAACACACCCTGAGAAGCTCAACCTTTTCTCAAGCGCGTCCAGCTCTGCCACGGCAGCCTTTGACTTAGCACTGTTCGAAATGGATCTTCGAGAGACCCGCTTTTTGGTGACTGCAGAGATGCTCTGCGTAGTAGAACTGGGCGAAGGAGCAGAACTTCCGATTCGTTCCTCCTCACGGCTTGTCCATCCATTTGTGGGGGTTGATTCCGCACCCTTCACATGCTTAATGATAACAGGCTGGTGCTTTGCATAAACGGGCGGTCTGTGAACGGTTTCCTGCAAAGATCAAACTTAAGATAATGACTATCCCACATGAACAATGGTGGCACCTTACAAGACAGGTTTGATTTCGCTCAACATATGCTGCACGTTCCTGTTCAAGAACCTTCACCTCCTCCTGCAGTTCCATATTTCTTCGAGTTAGATCTTCAACGCGTCGCTTCAAGCGGTCCTGAGCAAGAGTCATCCTGGACTCTTTCTCCTTAAAGCTAGCCTGCAGGGTCTCAATCTGCTTTCGAAGCAATTCGACATCTTGTCTCTCTCTAAGCGCATTTGTATGCATCAATATGTGACACTGTCGATTGATGGGCTAACAACCGAATCCACCTTTTAGTCGGCAAAATCTCAGCTGCCTTTCGCTGCTTTTCCCAAATTTTACGTTCTCTTTTAAGGTCTCGCAACGCGTCTTCTCGCATTTGATTGATCTTTTCGATTTCTTCCTGCTTGAACTTCTCGAAAGACTTCTGTTTACGTACCGAATACAACTAATGGCATGAGTACCGCCATTCATTTGAAGGCAAAAGGACACCAGAAAAACCGACCTTCTCGCCGTCCAGGATCTTCATAGCTTGCTCGTTCTCGCGCGATCCTCGTCGAGTGAGATCGTCTGCTTTTTTGAACTTTTCAAGTTCCTGCTGCAAGTTCTGTACAACGGAAGCTCAGAATGGTGACTTCACATAAAAGATCTACGCTTCTTCACTGAACCTGGAGCTTCTGTTTCAATTCGTCTTCTATCGTCGACGTGGACTTTTTTGGTAGTCCGTCACTTGCTTCCTCCCCAAGTTTCCCTGGATCCTCTATTGCTATGAATTAGTCTGCTCTACAGCAGGTCTATCGCATACTGGCACTTATACTCGGCTGGCAGTTGCTCACCTGCAGGCTTGTTCAATTTTGGCCTCAGCCCCGGAAACAGGCTGTATAAAAGCCTTGAGGGACCAATCCCGGCGCTGGAGCTGTCTCCTTCACTAGCTTGTGCTTCTATATCTGAAGCATCTGCGATTGGTATGTCCACCCCATTTCCCGGATGCGCGCTATCCGGAACATTATCTAGACGGCCTACATATTATTCGAACTTGCGTCAGTGCAAGGAAAGAAGGTCCATAACTACATCAACCGACCTGGCTGCTCCCCTTCCGAGAAGACTTTAGAGAGGAACCTCTTTGAGCTCGCCATAGGGCTGGTTACTTCTCTCCAGTTCTTCGGTTCATCTTCTTCCGTAATCTATTGCGTCGACGAATCAGCACTAACAGTCTCCAGGAAATACAGAGATACATTGCATACCAATGGTTTATCTTGCGAAGAGTTATTACGTCCTCGAAATCTACATCCATGCTGGACAATGAGAATGGAACGACGCGGATATTGTACATTTTAGAGGAGACAGTACCTGTGCATTGGATGTAACCCAGGGTCGGCAGTAAGATTGCCATTGGTTGAAGTCATCCTTGGGCGATTTGTTGTGGAAAGATTTTCGGCTGATGCTTTCGGGGAACAGTGACCACGGCCGTTCACCCGCCTTCCGACACTATCTGCTTCCTTTTTTGCACTATTATCCATCTCATTCGCGGGCCCTGTGGAAGCTCCTTCTTCCTCCTCATCGGATGTTGATCCCCCAAGAATCAGTCGTTCCAGTTCTTCGAACTCATCTCGCTGATCAGCAGCCGACCGTTGAATTTGATGCCATCTTTTTCTATTCGCCAGGCGGGCTGGAGTAAGAACTTGCGTTTCTAGTATTACATCGACATCGTCATTCTCTATTGCTTTTTCGACCGCTGGATTTGCATTCTCGGTGAGTTCCTCTCGGCATGTGGGCGACGATCTCGGTGTCGAGATAGTTTTTAATGGAGAGCGATGCTGAGCGCGCTGTAGAAAGCAACAGCTTAGCAATTGTTAACCTGCACATAACGTAGATTCTTCTTTACATTAGAGCATGGGTTCGTGTCGTCTATTTTAAGCTGTCGATCCAGAAGTTCTTCAAAGGTTAATCCCGCAGGGCATATAGGTTTCTCTATATCAGCCTAGATCGAACCCCAAAAAAGTGTTAAGCGCTACACAAAGTAGGAAAATATGCGCCGCCCGCCTTACAGCGGAATACCCATTTCCTGCCTACCAGCATCTTTCCTTGCAAGTGAAATGAAATGCAGAGATCATTGCCTAGGTCGCGCGAAAATGGTAAGCGCGTCCACCAAAGGATGGTCCGAAAGTTGACTCGAACCGGCTTGCTTCGGACATGACCAAGCGGAACTTGGGGTTTGCGACAAACGTATTTGGACCATCTCGTCAAGACAAGATGCTTACAGCCAACGTGGAGCCAATTCGGGAAGAGCTATTGGCTGCCTTTGGTCCGCAAATCTCATCGCGTCCTGAAGTTCTAGACCGGCTCGTCACATATGCAAAGATCTTTGATGTGGAGGCCGAGGATTTACATGCCAAGTGGGAGGCATACACTCTCACTCCCGCAGCGCAGAAGTCTGACGATGACCTGACGCTGCCGACGCTTGCTCACCTGGACGAACTACAAAGTGTGTTGTTGCGAAAGCAAGAGGCCGAAAAACATCAGGCCCTCTTAGGAACATCTGATTCGCTGCTAAACGTGAAGGAGGTCAATCCGTTTGTGGAAGGCACAATGTTCACGAGTGACTCGTTACAGAGCCTCTTGGACGATAAAGGCGCAGATATTCTTGGAAGCTTTCGAACGCCAGGCAAAGCTAGGCGAAAGATTGTGCCTAAGGATGCAACAGCGTTGAGTGGGAGTGGGGCCGGGCCACATCCAGCCAAGAAATATCCTTCTCAGCCAGTAGGGGCTACCATGCCAAAGACACCAGCATCAAGCGGACGCTTTGATAAGACGCTCAACGTTGGAAATTCTCCTGCCTCAGCGCGTTTCTATGGAGCATCTCCTAGCACCCCTAGTGGCAGAGATAGTATACCATTGTCCCCACGGGGACCATCTCCGAACGCCATAAAGTTTGCGGATAGGCTCAACAAAGCAAAGAAGGAAGAAACTTTAAATGATCATGTACCGATGGTTGCGTCGTCACCCGAAGATCCAGTGAGATGCGAAATTTCATTAGTTCCAGGCCAGCAAACCAGCGGTTATCGATATATGTACGAGAAGTTGATGGAAAAGGGCGACTACTTGGATGAGCGTATTGATCAATTTGCAGAGCTTATTGTAGAAGCGATTCGTGAAACTCTACCAGAGGAAACCCGAAACGACTTCCAACTGCAGCATCCTGGTGTGCCAAACCAGGATCCGATTATAACCGTTGGCCGAGTCTGTTGCGATTCGTTAGTGGAAAATGCGAAATTGAATGAGCAGTCTATTCTGCTAGAATCATCGCGTGCCATGGGGGCTGGGTGCCGGGTAAAGCTAAACTTGAACGAGATCCCGGGTTTCACGATGTTTCCTGGCCAAATTATTGGTGCGGAGGGAATGAATTCAAGTGGAAGACTACTCAACGTGTCCAAACTATACCAGCCACCACATCCTCCTAAAGCAACCTCAACACCGTCACAAATCGTTAATTTCTACTCAGAGGAGGGCACCGTTTCTAAGCGCCCTGTTAACGTCTTCATCGCGAATGGTCCATATACCCTGGACGACAGTCTGAATTATGAGCCATTTGAAGAGTTTGTGACTCAAATTTCGAAAGAAGCTCCTGATGTCGTCATACTACAAGGACCTTTTGTCGATGCGTCGCATCCTATGATTGCGCAAGGCGATCTTGACGTTGACATTGATGAGTTATTTCGAGTGCAGATTTCCTCCCGACTTGAACGTATAATACAGGCAAGGAAGCATCGTTCGACCAAAGTAGTTTTGATCCCTTCCACGCGAGATGCCTGTTCAGAATGGGTATCCTTCCCTCAACCGTCTCTTGCAGCAGGATTGACTGACCAGGAGTCACGCGAACGTCGTAGAGTGTTGGGCATTCCAGGCGAAGTGATGCTCTTCCCTAATCCAGTGCAATTTACGATCAACGAAACAGTGTTTGCTTGCTGTAGCACAGACATCCTCTGGCAGATGTGCGCTGAGGAGGTTGCCCGGGTACCGAAACAGCAGCAAGGGTCGAACGATGCGAATGGGATCTCCAACCACAAGATAACACGCCTGTTCCAACACATGCTGAGCCAAGGAAGCTTCTATCCACTATTCCCGCCAGCTCTGGACGATGCTTGTTTGGACCTCTCGCGATCAAAAGCGTTGGAACTGCAAGCAACTCCAGACGTCTTAATTGCTGGAAGCAGATTACAGTATACCGCACGGAAAGTGAACGGTTGCGTATGCATAAATCCAGGATTGCTTGTGAAGGGGCGAGGAGGTGGTACATTTGCCAAGATGTGTATCTGGCCTTTAGATTTGGATGGAATTAAGACGTTGGTTAAAGAGAAGACTACCGACTCCATGGATGTCGACGGGGAGGATGAAGAAGACATAGCTATCGCCCACGCTGTTGAAGAAAGATGTAGAGTAGAAATTCAAAGAATTTGATAGTGTGTTTCATATGTGCCAACCGAGAGAACAATTAAACTGCGGCTGCCAGACTTCCTGATGTTCCTCGATCAAACATTCTTAAATGTTGCTTATACTCTTTCGTTTCTCGCGGCAGCATACCAGAACCTTGTCGCCAGCGGAGATCAATGACATGCGCTCCTCCTCTCGACTAGTGACGTGTGGAGAGGCTTCGCAATATGGTTACTAGACGGGGTGTAAAGGAACTCCCGCCGCAGTATTGAAGAATTCAAATGTATAAATTGTTCTTTTTTGATATTCATTGGTACTAAACACATATATTTTATGAAAAAAATCAGCTATATCGAACTCTTTGGCATATTTTGGAGAATTACAATCCATCAACGCTCAACGCCGGGATCTACCACTTGTATCCCAATTTGCCACCGTCAATGTCCCTGGTCCATTGTGGAGGAGCCTGGTATAAGGCACCCCCAGCTTCGAGCTGACTCTTCGATTTAGGGTCATAGTAGGGACGTTCTCCGAGTACGACGACACGTTGTGCGTGGCGGGTGTTTGGGTAATAGTCCCAAAGAGCCAGATGCTGCGTGGCACGATTGTCCCAGATAGCTACAGAGTTTTTCTCCCAGCGGAAACGGACTTTGATATCTGTTAGCGGGAAGACGTCTGACTTGGTGAGGTGTTCAGTAAGTGGACAAGGAAAGTTTAGACAGTACCATCACTAGTTGCGATATGGTTGGTGAGGAAATGCAACAATGCATCTGTTATGAACAGACATTAGACTGAAAGCTTCCAGGACATCAACGTGTACCCAATCTTACCTGACTCGGCCTTTGTGTATCCCTTGATATGCTTCGTGAATCCAGAGTTCACAAACAGAATTTTCCAACCTGTGGTGGGATGAGTGCGAACTAGCAAATTTAAAATGTCAGAGGGGGATCGGGAAAGGTAGAAGACTGGTGAAAATAATCGATATCTTACCAACGGGGTGCTCATTTGATTGGACAACGTCCTCCCGACGAAGGTAGACACTCCCAGTTGGATCGCTCTTGGCAGCGAGAAATTGCTACAATAATGGAGGTTAGACGATATTGAAGTGTGGAATATGGTGCTACACAAGGACGAACCTCTGCATTGTGTAGAGCCGTGAGATGCTCAATGGTATCCCGGAAGGAAGGTGACAGTTTGTCGTAAGCGGCATATGTGGAAACCCAAATAGTGTCACCGCCAACGGGAGGAACTTCCAAGAGCTTGAGAATCGCATAGGCGGAGGGAACTTCTTCGAAAGAAATATCCGTGTGCCATCCATCGCCGGCGTGGATCTTTGAACTGCAGGTGTTAAACCTTTAGACTCGATATACATTGTCGCCATAATAATAAAAGAGTGAACCACAACATACGCTTCATTAGTCTGGAAAATTTGGGCATCCTCCTTCGCTTCGTCTTTTCGACCGATAGGGTGGACATGAAGCGGCCCTGTATAGAGTTCCAAATGAGACGAGTTAAAGTTTGTTCTCTGCTGGATGAGTCAATTTTGGGTTGAGAGCACGCACCCCAGCTTTTCCCCAACTCCTGCTGCTGGTCGAGGTCGATGTCCTGGTCACGGAAAAAGACAACCCCGCGCTCGCTAACAAGGAGGGCCAGGTCTTCTTTCTGCTGCTCTGTGAGCTGGGACAATTGGATACCGTGGAGCTCAGTACCCAACACAGGGGAAAGGTCAACTCTCTTTGTCACGGCATCCAGCAGAGATTTCTTTTGAGGATCAGCTTTCTTTCCGGCGAGAGCATTCAAAACCTGTAACAAATGAAATTAAGCGCTGCTCTCCAGGAAATTCACCGAATGCTTGGTCTGCTCACTTTGCATGCAGGTTTGAATCGAGCTTCGGCCTTGGGGTTAACGTGAGCGTGGCTTTGGCCATTGGTGGCTTGAACTGGACCTTCGACTGTCATGTTGGGAATGCTTGTAAATACGGCTCGAGAAGATGGAGACTGAAGAAAGGGGGCTGGAGTCGCCCGTTTTTTATAATTGTTCCCGTCGTGCGGCCCAGTATCTGATCAAGTAGAATGTTCTTGATGAACCTGTATTGATAATCAGCAAGGACTTGCCTGATTATCTGGCACATGTTGCAGAAAAGGGGAAAATCAGCCTTCCACCACCTGGCGCCATATTTCCCCGATATGTTGCTTTCCTCCTCATGTGCCCCCCCCCCCCCCCCCTCTCCCATGCGCAAGTGGTGGCCACCCTGCCAAATATCCTCGGCAACAGAATATGTCGCCATACGCTTCTTTAATGTCTTTAAGCATTTGTCAGGATGCTTCCCCGTCTTTATCCTGCGCGAACGCCGTGTGCAACTCTAGTAGCGAAACGCGAGCCTAAGCGTGTGGCGCAGTTGATGGCTCATCGCGCAATCGACTGTTGGGACGTTGAAAATTGTGCCATCTCATCTTGTTCCCCCTCTTTTCCAACCAACGATACGACTTACCAGCGTCTTTTTTCTTGTGCATGGATGGGAGGAGACATCCATCCGTGTTTGACACGAACGCACAATCTCATATATCCGTGGATGGCCCATGGACAGGTCTGGGTCGTTCGTTTTGGGGAGAGGCGAGAATTACGACAATTTGACAATTTCCTTTGGGTAAGATTAGATCTCGAGAAGATTAGAAGCTTTGTGATTTGTCATATAGATAATTCAAATATTTGGTGGTACCGTTGGTATACGATGGCGGGATGAACCCCTCGGGACGGTTGAACCTGCAGCGACAGATCCATCCGCCAAAACAAAAATTACCCCTTTTGATTGCGCAATAATGGTCAACTGCCTAGAATCCTGCCTCCAGAAGCGCCATTAGTATTATCAACGGAAAACCAAATGATACTTGGACATCTTGGAAGCGCCTCTGTAAACAGGAACTTGGACACTCTCTTCAGAGGGATTGCACAATTTTAGGTTGATCTTGGCGATAAAAACCATCTCTCCTGGACGGGAGAGTTTCTGGAGTATGTAAAGGCAGCAATGTTTGCCATTTCCCAGCATCAGCCTCGCTTTAAGTCTTCACTTCCTGGCCATTTACACCATGTCCGACCCCGACAAGACATTAACGCGCCGGGTAGACCTTGCGTTCGACTATACACTCATCGATGATGAGGCCCTTGCCAATCATTACCAGCCGCGCGCAGACTATGAAGGTATCTTGGCCATGCTGTACTGCATAACTTACGCATGTACTAATGTGGATTTATAAATCAAGGTCGCCATCGCTGGGATCCTAAAGCGTCATGGACTGCCGAGGAAGAGAAGAAGTACGTTGCCTTTCAGTAATGAACTATTTTCAGCTTTGCATTAATTTCCAAATCTGTTTTTTATTCAGACTTGTTCGAAAGATTGACTTGCGCATTATGCTATTCGTCTGTCTGATGTTCTTTGCTCTACAACTCGACCGCGGCAATATTTCGCAAGCGCTATCGGACAATATGCTCAAGGATCTCCACTTGACAACAAACGATTTCAACTACGGTCAAACTATCTTTTTCCTCTCATTTCTTTCCGCTGAGCTTCCGTCCCAACTTGTTTCAAAAAAGCTCGGACCTGACAATTGGATTCCCATTCAAATGGTTTTGTGGTCCGCCGTGGCAATCAGCCAAGCGTGGCTGACTGGCCGTACAACGTTTTTTATCACTCGGGCATTGCTGGGAATCTTGGAAGGCGGCTTCATCCCGGATGTTGTTCTGTATCTCACGTACTTCTACAAGAGCAACGTAAGCAAAGATGATGGCTTGCGCACAGTTCAACTGGGTTCTAACATATTCCTCTCATGAATCTTCAGGAATTGCCTATTCGTCTCAGCTGGTTCTGGACTGCGTACACATTAACCAATGTCGTGTCGGCATTCATGGCTTTCGGAATCCTTCATCTTCGTGGTGTGAATGGCTGGGAAGGATGGCGGTGGCTCTTCTCGCTCGAAGGAGCACTAACCGTTATCCTCGGAATTGTTGCTTTCTTTTACCTTCCGCCATCTCCGACTCAAACCGCCAGCAAGTTCCGAGGTAAAGATGGATGGTTCAGCGAACGCGAGGAAGTCATTATGGTCACCAGAATTCTGCGGGACGACCCATCCAAAGGCGACATGCATAACCGTCAACCTCTTACTCCCCGCAAATTATTTAAGGCCCTCACCGACTGGGATATGCTCCCTATTTATATCATTGGCCTGACTTGGTTGATTCCTTCGGCTCCTCCGACTCAGTATCTGACTCTTACACTACGATCCCTGGGCTTTGACACGTTTCAAACAAGTCTTCTTACCATTCCGTCGTCCATCCTGTTCATTGGCCAGGTGAGCATTGATTTGCAAGAAATATCGTCCGATGGTATATATGCTGATCCCTTAATCATTACCAGCTTCTATTCTGGACATGGATCAGCGAGCGGTACAACGAGAAATCTTTGCTGGGAGTGATAGGCCAAGTTTGGCTCATTGTTCTGTTAGTATCGTTAACGCTACTTCCGGACGAGGCAAACCCTTGGGTTCGTTTCACGATCCTTTCCCTTATTATCGGGTTCCCGTACGTCCATGCCATTTTTGTCGCCTGGACATCACGTAATGCCGGGTCCGTTCGAACACGTACTGTGGCTTCTGCACTGTATAACATGACAGTCCAAGCTTCAAACATCATCGCCTCAAACATCTACCGTGATGACGACAAGCCGCATTATAGGCGAGGAAACAAGATACTTATCGGCATTGCCGTTATGAACATTTTCATTTTCCTCGCCACAAAGGTGTACTACATCCAGCGGAATAGGTACAGGGAACGAAAGTGGAGTGCGATGTCGAAGGAGGACAAGAAGCATTATCTACAGACAACGACAGACGAAGGAAATAAGAGATTAGACTTTAGGTTTGCTCATTAAAGAGCGTCAGATGGGTGGGTGGGCGGAGATGTAATTGTTACTGAATATATATACATAGGATTGCTGTATGGGAATACAATCACATTGTCAAATCTCCAGTCCTTTTATAAATAAGCGCCCAGGATCGCTATCTACCGGCTGGACCATGTCACACGTTCTTGACGGGCACGTCCCGCATCAAGCATTCCGCCTATAGCGGAGCACAGGAACATATCACAATAAGGAAGCAGAACAGCTTGGATGATAGCAGTGCGACTCAACTGACTGGCAGTCATAAACCTCCCGGTGGAGTGCGGACGTCTGGATCACTGGGTATATTTCAGTATGCTGTCTTTTATCCTTTTGTATCTTGTCTTGTCCAGTTGAACTCCGTCGGTCGCTGCCCTTCGCCACGCTTTGTCAGCAAAGGCACGTGCCTATTGCCGACTGCGCTTCAATCGCTTGCCACGCCGCACACAACTAACTTTTCCATTGTCTTCCAACATCTTCGTCCATTCAGGCTGCTGAGATTTCCGACACACACCAATCTATTAACGGCCTCCTGTAGAGATGTCTGCACCAGGTTTCTCATTTTTCTCAACCTCCCCCGCGTCCTCTATGCGGTGGGACAATCTCAAAATGAACCTTTCACCAAGCATCCAGCATCATGTCCGCAACGTCTATACGAATCTGGCGGTCATGCTCGCTATATCCTCTCTAGGTGCTTATCTGAATATGTCTGGGATTATCAGAGGGGGAACTTGGAGCTTGGTTGGGTGTATGGGCACACTGAGTAAGTGAAAGTCGGATGGTACAAGCTGTTGTGAACGTCTTTAACTATGCCTGGTGTTCAGTTGCATTTTCCTTAACGCCGCCTAATCCAAGTAACGAGAATTGGAGAAAGTATCTCTTATACGGGTTCGCCTTGTCCAAAGTAAGCATGCGAGGAACCGTGCTGTAATCAGGATGTCGTTGCTGACTTGGTGTTTCAGGGTCTATCGCTTGGTCCTCTACTTTCGTTCTCCCTATACGTTAACCCTGGGACTGTCTTCACTGCTCTTCTGGGCACTTGTCTGATCTTTGCCTGCTTCAGTTTAAGTGTGCTGACCGCTCCAAGTCGAAATGTTTTGTACACCCGCGGCCTGCTTTCCACTGCGGCAATGCTACTGGCGGGGCTTGGTCTTTTGAATATCTTTGTGGGCTCAAAAGCGATTTTTAATGTAGAGCTATATCTTGGCCTGATGGTATTTGCTGGTTATGTAGTGTATGATACGCAGCTGATGATTGCAAAGGTAAGGTTCTTCATGCAACGGTTAGTGAACTAGACGATAAAAGCTCACAGCATGATAAAGGCCGAATTAGGGTCCAGAGATTATCTTCGCCATTCGATGGAACTATATGTGGATTTAGTAGCAATATTTGTTAGAGTTCTATTAATTCTCAACAAAAGAGCAGAAGAGAAGGACAAACGTAAGCGGAACGAGAAGCGGAGGTGAAGGGCGGGTCTCGACATTGACGTAGTGAATGGAAACAAACGTAGTGGCTAGCGTTCCATGTTTAGATGATTTATTGGATTTTAATTTTAACAAGCTTAACTTCCAGGTCATTGTGCTCCAGCTTGGAGCAATATCTCTTTCCACACTTAATAGATTCCCAACAATTTGTCGCGAGACTGTACAGTCGCTGTCGAATTTCACCCTTAGTCAGAAACCTTGGACAATGGCACGTACGAACAAAATACGGTAAACAATCGCCAAGGGGAAACATGACTGCAGAAATTCCAATTCATTCCTTCTTCAGAGCTCCCCCGCCAGCATCCGGAGTCTCCCCCTGATCTTCAATGAATGCCACCACAACATACGCAAATACAACCAGGTTTGCGACGATCACTGCAGCCATCGCGCTGTAGTTCGAGTTACCTGACAGATAATGTTGGTCAGCGCGACCTCCTACGAACGATGCTTGCCTAGATATGCGAGGCACGTACCATTGAAAATAGTCCTGAGAGTATAAAAGTAGGTAGCAATTGGGAGGGAAAATAGGAGGAAAGAGAAGATCAGGAGCTTAGCGATCACAGCTCTGGTGAAGTAAGGTTGAGTTGGGGTTACGAGCCAAACAATGCGCAACAAAAACTCACGGTGGAATTACCGCGCGCGACGGTGTCGGAGGAGCCTTCTTCACGGTTGAAGGCGCTTCGGAAGGGACCTTTTCCTCCGTACTCTTCACTGGTCGTTGTCGAACTTCTGACATTTTTGGGGGGACCGCGATCTTTCAGAGATGGGTGGAAGATGACGACGAGACCCCTAGAACCAAAGCCCAACGCACTGGAACCGGATCCACTCGACATACGGCCTCGCCAGGAGGCACATCGAGTGTACCGTTTTCCGTAGCCAGCGGCTTCCCCCATCTTTCGCAACCTGCTGCGACTACTTTTACTATCACGTTTTCAACAATGGCAGACCACAATGAATCGTCAGAGGACCTTGCCCCTACCCAGACGGCAGGATACAAACCGCCAGAAAAGAAAACTGTCGCGGAGCTCGCGCAACTAGATGCACAAGATGGTGAGTCGCAATTGGAAACGCCAAAAGTAACTTGGTTCATAAAAGGAGCAGACGAAACTATGGTGGCACGTATATGTATGGAAGTCATTCCCGGACCATACTTGTGCTGCTTTAGTGCTGCGCCAATTTGGTGTGCGTGGACATTTGGAGGGATGGCTGGACTTGTGCGAAGGGTTTGCCACATTTGGTTCTGTCGACACTCACCACGGCGTTCTTTTTCACCCCACAGAATCTTTGCGAAAGTGGAAAGAGAGTCTAGGTCTGAAAACTGGTATGTTTATGGTGACTAAGCGCGTCGCCCTACCCAGTCATATACTCAAAAGTATTCTTCGAGCAGAAGCGGCGGGTCCCGTCGATGATCCCCGCAAAGTCGTAGTTCTCTCCTTGGGGATGGAAAGTCCAGGGCGGCCCGATGTCAGCGTAGACCTCTCAACGGCTGGTTGGTTACATGGCGTTCCAGAAGGATTTCATCTTAAATTGGGCTTATCTAACGCGTCGTAATGATCTAATCTTGTCTACTAGACGCGATCGCAAAGTTGAAAGACCAGCAGATGACCATAAAGGAAGGTGTCGAGTACCGACTCAAGGTCAAGTTCAAGGTGCAACACGATGTCGTGTCCGGTTTGAAATATTTGCATGTTGTTAAGCGCAAGGGAATCAGAGGTCAGACTCCTATGTATGGAAATCGAGCCTTAAAGCTGAAAACTGACTTTGTGAGTGGAAAATAGTGGATAAAATGGAGGAGATGCTGGGATCCTACGGCCCCGCTGCTGAACCATATGAAAAGAAGGTACGAATGGCATCTCGTCAGGTATTAGTAAGTTGACATTTGGGAAGCTAAAGGTCCATCTTACCTGGCTAGTTCTTGACGGAAGAGGCTCCAAGTGGCATGCTTGCCCGTGGGCACTACGAAGTAAAGGTGCAGAACCGTGAACGCCAATCAATTCCGTGAGCATTCACTGACCACATCTACACTCATTAGAGCAAGTTTGTGGATGACGATGGCACATCTCATCTTGAATGGTCATGGGTAAGACTTCGATATAGAGTATGTAGCTTGGATTTCAGACTAATGGGTCTTCACTTCAGTCTTTTGACATTAAGAAAGAATGGGATTAAGAATTTGTCCAATGCATCCCTACGTGCGATCGATAGTGCTCAGTTAGCCATGTACACCAGAAATGTATCCTATCGTTTATAAAATGACTGGCATCACACCATGACGATGGCTTCGCAGGAGAATGACTCTGCATTTCTGACATCCTGCTGAATGGCGCTATCCAAGAGGTCGGCGCCAGTCCCTTCAATAGGAGATGCCGGACGCGACAGGAGTTATGGCTTGGTATGAGTTTGCCTTTATTTTACAATTTCCTCGAGCTCATGCCAAACCCAACCATTGCGGCACCTCCCCAATTTCATTCGCCTCATCCAGTTCGTCATGTCCCTAATGATCCAATATCAGTTCAGTCCGTAACACATTGGAAGCACTAATAACAACGCTCAATCGGATGGCATACATACCCCTTTATATTCCCCATCTACAAATATCTGTGGCAGTGTGTTTTTTCCACTTTTTCTATACATGTAATCTTTCGCATCCCTTTTAAACGATGAATGCAGAGATCAGCCCGGACAACCCTCCTGGATCGGGTACTGGCCAGCACTATCCCATCATGATGCATGTAGCGTACTTACTCATCCGCTGCAACGTCCACCATTTCGTACTCAACTTTCCGTGCCGCGAGAATGTCCTGAACCCGAGTTTGCTGTTTCTTCACCTATGAACAACGATATCTGCGTTATACATTGTCGATTGACAAAAGGAATGCACAAACACAAACCTGCAGAGCCCCCGACACGGAGGAGTAATATATCGTGACTCTTGGAGCCATCTTGTTTCGCGGATGTCGCAGCGATGTTTGTTGAGGAAAGTTGCTGCCGCGTCTGCTTAGGTGACCCATCCCTCCTTGTTGCCATAGCGTAGACCTGCCACCCAGACTGCCTTCTTTCAGTTCACTTCCATTTGGATTGCGTTTCACTGGCAAAAAGGTTCGTTTTCTTGGACATAGACTAAACTCGTTGAGGGTGGGAGGGGCGAAGGGTGACATGGGCAAGAGCTCCTTGGGAGGGTGAAAACGCAAAGCAAACGCGGGGAACACCTCACAAAATGCATATATCTGAATACATTTGTAAAGATTTTAAGAAATTCATCCTCTACCCTTCTCTGTTCACATTCAGTTTGATCGTATTTGCCGTGCAGTCCTCCATTGGAGCCACTGCCACTCCCTAGTTCGTGGCCGTGGGGTGGCCGTCGAGGATCGTGTGGATGTGTCCGTACAAAATTTGTGAACTCTCGGTTTTTCTTTACTGTGAATCACGATGACTATCCCTTCTTCCTCCGATACGGCCTTTCCTGTATGTGCATTTGGGCAGGCGGGCAAGAGGTCCGTGAAACTATGCGGTGTCTTTGAGCAACCACTGGATCGCCAATGTCCATGTGTGCAGACTGCAGGAGATCTTTACTTGCGGTTTTCAGAGAAACAATCTGTTTGCAAACCTTCCGGTTGACAGCCCGCGGAACGTCTTGGTGACTGGTCCCAGTGGGTCTGGTGAGTTGCTGAGATGTAAAAGGTGTTGTAACTCATAGTCTGGAGGTCATAACCGCATCGTTCGATAAGGCAAAAGGTCCTTGACTTTGGAGCTATGTCGTCAGTTTGGAGTCACAGTTGAGTATGGCAGGGAAATTAAGCCATGCTTTCAGCTATTGAGAATCCGCCCTCTAGCCCGTTGTCATCAGCAGCGCACGATTATCATTAGAGTATCCTGGCCAGATGTCCAAAGGGATAGAAACGTTATGTAATTCGGCGACTGGAGATCTGCCAACTGCTAGTATGTACTCCAGAGGCGTTGCTGAACGCCGAGGGACCAATGAAAATTGCTGAGTTTGCCAACTTATGATAGTTATATTCCAGAGCATCCACGATCTTTTTCCTTCACGGAACACAGATGAAGAGGCGTACCATGCCTTCACCATCTCGATGCGAGGCCGTCAGTCACACCGCAAAGAGCGGACACTCATCATTGCCACGACTGCAGATCTTGATAGTGTCAATGAATCAGTGAAGAATTCCTTTGAGGTGCGCTGCGGAAAGCAAAGCACATCATGTTTATGCTTTTCTGAGGCTGGTACCTATAGGAGCACTTGTCCTTGGAACTTCCAACACCGACGCAGCGAGGAGAGCTGCTCAAATGGCTTCTTAGCTCTCCATATAATGACCCATCTTTCAGTGTTCGCCAGGTAGCAGACAGTTGCCACGCCTATACGCTGGCAGATCTAGCCACCCTCTGTCGACGAGCCGTAGAAACTGCCAGGAAACGAACAGATTCGTCCAACTTGTCGAATGAACCTACACCTGTCACGTTACGCGATTCAGATTTCCAACAGAATTTGTCTTCGATCAAGCTAGCAGAGAATAGAAAACGGTATGATGTCTCACGAATGGAGGCTGTCAGATGGACGGATGTTGGCGGTCATAGTACCGTTAAGGTAGTGTGAGTTTGACTGTTGTCATATATGGAATAAAGAATTGCCTAACGCGACGATTCCAACAGCGGCTACTCCAAGAAAGTGTGGTGTGGTTTTACCAAAACACTGCGGCGTTTGCCAGACTGGGAATACAACCTTCGAAAGGCGTCTTGCTGTATGTTTCCATGCAGTAATTGTACGGTCATTGTACGGATGCCCCTCTCTGACGATTTCGTAACAGATACGGACCACCAGGGACTGGGAAAACCCTTCTAGCTAAAGCGGTTGCGTTCGAATCCGGAGCGAACTTCCTTCCCATATCCATTTCCGAAATAATCAAGGGTGAAGTAGGTTGATGTAGCTATGGCACCGACCTTAACTTCCAGAGCTAATACATACTTTCTAGGTTGGGGAATCCGAAAAGGCAATAGCAAGAACATTTGAAACAGCTCGGCGATGCAGTCCTTGTATCATTTTCATGGATGAGCTCGAAGCATTGTTTTCACGCCACGATCAAATGGGCCAGGTCGGAAAGAAATTATTTTCACAGCTTGTTGTGGAGGTAGATGCTCTGGACTGGCAAAGTTCCCGTATTGTGCTCCTTGGCGCCACCAATCACCCAAATTCTCTGGACCCCGCCCTCCTTCGGCCAGGTATGTTGAGTATACATAGAGGTCATTGACACACGTTGTTCCTGAGATCTCACGTTACCGACTGTCAAGGCCGGATCGATCGTCTCATAGCTGTCCGTCCCCCATCGGCTTCTGAACGTGTCGACATTCTGCAGACACTGGCTTCGAAGATCCCTTTCGAAAAAGACTTGGATTGGTCCGGGATTGCGGCGCGCACCCGAGGAAAGACGGGTGCTGACCTCAAGGAGTTAGTTCGACGAGCTGGATTAGCTGCTCTAAATCGGACGACATTGGACGGGCAGGTGGGTTTTTGACTCTGCAGTGGCGCTCTTTATAAGACCTAACTCCTTGAAGCCTACCGTCCAAATGTGTGATTTCGAGGATGCTCTTCGTACTCCTCAATTTAGACAGCCCAGTTGATCCTCTGAGTGCCTAAATGAAACCACCAGCAACATCCCTAGTAGGTCCTTCTAGACTGACAGGCAATTCTACCACCGGGCCGCTCCTCCACACATTACCGACTAGATCAACCAACTTGCAAGTGATTCGGACAACGTATTCTCGTGTTTCTGGATTCCTACACTCCGTAAAAGACACCGCGCAGAGTTGGGCGAAGTACCCTTTCGCAAGGTTTGCCCGAAGAACATTTTGGGGGCAGTGGTGTTGCTAGAGGACTAGTATAAACGAGTATGTAGCGCCTGTGTGCAAATCCAATATGAATACCTTCGGGTAGGTTTCAAAGGCGTCTGGCAGCCTTTCCTTTGTGCCAACCATCGGGACTACCTCAGTGACATATTCGAGGGCGACGATCTCTCTTCCGTGTCCTTAAAGCGTGGTCCAGAAAGTTAATACATCCATCACATCCTTGCCGCAGTCCATGCTATAGTGGCAAGCCCACCTCTGAGCTTCCAGTTCGCGGGAGTTTTTACTGTCCCTTCCAGCTTTAAGATCAAGTCTTCGTAAGTCTTGACGCGACGAACTCCGTTTCTCCAATTGGGAGTTACTGTCACCTGCAATGGAAGCATTTGAATTTGAGTTGAGCATACTCTGTTGCTCGCATTCTGTTGTGTCAGCTGCTGTACCTGGACTGTGACGCTTGGTCGTGTGACAAAAAAGTAACTCGGGATTAATAGCGTCTCACGCAAGACTTGGGAGATTCTTCGTCCTACGTCCTATGTTGAGATATATGTTAGCATTTGTAGTGGGACCTCCTTCTAAACCATCCGGTGAAATAAACCTTGACTTGCATGTGGCTCTCATCCTCTATTCCACGTAGTACATCAGCTAAATGCGGTGGCAACCGGCTTCCAGTTCTTGTGCTTGACACCGGCTGGGCATACATCATCAGGTAGAGCCGCGAGGGTGATATTTCGGGTGCTCCTGCCTCGAAGAGCCCAGTCCTTGCAACAAACTGTCCTGTCAGCTCTGTCATGAATACACAGAATACCGCCCATGTGAAACAAAGTTAAGGAAACAACAATTCTTAACGTCATAAAGGGTAGCAATGCAATGCAAGTAAAAAGGATATGAATCAAGAACATCCAGGCTTGCATCGTCGATATCCACAAAACTTTCTGCCAGGCAGCTGTATCCTCTAGAGCAAGTATCGAACGTTTCTTTGAAGGTTGACCACTTCATCGACTGCGTTACACGATCATCGCTGTGATTTTCTAACGTTGCCAGGACTCCCTGTGTTGCTTCAAGGGTGGTCGCATGCAGTATCAGAAGATCATACTGAAATGCGCGGGACCCCTGGCTTGCCGCGAGTGACTGTGGACAGTTAGGGCGTGGGTAGCAAACGAATCGTCTGCGATGAAACACACCTTGATGGCCGTTGATGAGCTTCGAAGACTGTCAACGAGCTTGTGAAAAACTTCGATATTAGTTGCACTTTCTAAAAGTGCATTGATATATATGCCCGCCTGGGCAACATGTTCCAAACTGCGTATCCAAAAACCAACTGACTCGGATGTAACCTGATCAGATACAAATCAGATACAATAAGTTGATTCGTTAGTCAAACGAAAGTTGAACTCTCCATACCTGAAGAACGAGTTCCTTAAATATATCGTGGGCAAGACCATAATGTCCAGCACACACGGCTTCTCGCCCAATACCATAAAGATGCCAGTACCCTTGGACACCTTCCTTCGACCGGATAAGAAGAGGGGTAATGGTTGAAGCAAAATCAGGCTGTCGGGAAGGCGGAATCTGCCCACACCGTAGCGCAACCCGCAGCGCCGCAGCCTAGCAAGCATATATACTCTTAGTTGACAGACACAAGGAACGGTTGGGGATAATCAGCGGCTTACAACGGTGCGAGCAGGTAACACTGAAAGGTAGACAATGGCCATCGAAATTAAAGTGTTAACCGAGTGATGATCGGAATCGGTTTGCTGGCTCAGCATTCGTAAAATCAAGTTGAAGAGTTTTGTTAAAACTGGGCGATATCATATCAATATACTGGCCACTATCGACAAAGCATTGCAGATACCTAGCGGATTCTTCTGTGATGCCGAGAGCATGGCATTCCATACCTCAGGACCGTCACGTAATCTCGACAGTTGCACCAGCGTCTCCGCGGTATATCTGAACTATTAAAGTTTAGAGATGTCAGCGCAACGCTTGAGTGACAGCTCCAGCCGAGATAGTACTTCTGACGCGGAGACATTCGTCGACATGGAAGCTAGTTTGTTGAGAAGCTGACGGACAGTCGCATGATCGACATCTGTAAACAGACGCCCAAGAGGTGAGAAAAAGAAGCGATTGCCGATTTAATGATTGTATGAACTCAGACCTGAGATGAAACCAATTTCAATTCCATTCACTGAGAGATGAGTTTGCGCGAATGTGTACATCTTGCATAATGTCCTAGCCGCATAGACAGAGCTCGCATCTCCCTGTGACATGATAGACTCAATGTCCGACAGGGACACCTGCTGGGATATCGTGTTCCCGCCTCCGGGACTGTGGAACAAGCGGAGGAGAAGGTCAAAGTGACCGCAGAGCACACTGAGCACTTGAAAGCCCTTCTGGCGGACGACGCTGCATCTCGCTGAACATGCAAACTTCATGATATACTGCAACCACAGTAAGTTAATTCCGGTTCCTCAGCTGTACAGTTGTCCTCCATTACCAAGAAGTTCTCCTGTGTGAAGTGATGCCCTTGTGCCTTTCCGAGTGTCCTTAAGCAGTCCAAAGCACTCCATTGCAATGGTATTCGGCGGTCCTGCTCCAGGTACCCAATCAGCAGTTCCACCTTCGTACAGTTAGTTCATCGTGAAAATACGGTTCGGATCCTAATATACAATGCCTACCTGAGCATCAATCTGAAATATACAGCGCTTGGCAAGAACTGTCAGCGTGCGAGCAATGGTTATGATGTAGTCTTCATCGTTGGAGCCGCGGAGGTATCGTAAACAGGATTGTCGTGCCTAACCGTGTGATGGTGAGTAACGAAGCAGCATTCTCGTTCATGCGCTTCGGTATTTACCAAATTTGCCAATTGCTGATCATGGTGCATGTGCCTGAAAATCCTGAAAACCTTTGCAGTTGTTGCAGTATTCTGAATTGGGTCTAGTTCTGCACGTCAGTATTTGGCGTTTCCTTGGTCCACGAGAACGTCATCGCACCTAGCACCATAAGCTCCAGTTTATCCATGATGTTGGCAGCAAAGGTCCTGGACTTTGAAGCAATCCTATCGGTCGCGAAAATAGCCGCCTCCAATTCTAAAGGATCATTGGAGTCCAAGAGAAGTCGAACACTATTTGGCGATAATTAACCTCAACTCTGCGCGACACATCATTTTAAGAATGCTAACCGATGATGAACTTCAATCCGTTCTTGAACAATAGCAGACATATATGCGAGCAGCCTGGAAATAAAAAGGAAAGCAAATGTGGGAATGGGCGAGCTACAGCGCATTCTGGGATATATATCATACCTGAGAGTGAGCGCACGAGCAATGGGGTCATTGCTCGTCAAAACAACAAATATCCTTCGCAGCATGTCATCTACGCTAGTGATCTTCGTCAAGGCATATTGGCTATGTTTGAAGACCTTGAAAATTGACTGTCGCACGATATTATTGCTGCGATTTTCAAGATATAAACAATTTCTTCCAGGAATCTGTACCAAATTATTCTAAAGGTGACCGACCTTGTGCGCCAGTACTCGGCCAATTTGAGAAAACCTGGTGGGTTTTAATAAGGCCTTGGAACAAGGTCCCAGCGGGGCATGCATTTAGGATTACAGAAGCATACCAGAAGTGACCAGGTCAGGGGATGGGTATTTGACAAAAAAATGGGTATATTGTAAAATGGACTGCAATTTGTGCTCTAGCTTGGGGGACCTGTAGGCTTTATCCAATGCAACAAGCTCCTGCAGGCCGGGATCTACCAGCGACAACCCTTCCGACATTGTCAATGAGTACCGGCTTTGGTAGACCCGCTAAAGCCAATTCCCAAAGACTTCAATAGTGCCTTCTTGAACGGTTTTCCAGCACCGTATCCTGGCCTAAACGTTCGTAAAATCCCGTCGATTGGAATTGGGAAACTCTCAAGCGCAACACGATCTGGCCAATGCGCGCGGCTAACCATCCGATGATTCATCATCACTATGGTAACAACGATGAGTGAATCGCTGAGACCAGTGGAATTTTGTCCCAACCTGCATGAGGAGGGTGGCCGACATCAGGCACCATTTGCCGCGCAGATTACTCCTACGGCCCGTCGGTACTCGTACCAACTTTTTTGTTCTCGGAGCTATCTCTACCCCCCACAATTGGACTGTCCGTCACTTCTCAAATTACAACTGTCAAATGACCGTAGACGGCGTTATTAACAAGGAGGCCGAGCTTTCGCAGCTGGAGGCTCTTGAGGCAGCCTGCCGCTCTCGCATAAAGGAACACAAGAAGAATGGAGACAAGGTCGCTGAAAAGTCGCAATTGGAAGAGCTGAAAGAGGTTATGCGAAGAAAGAAGGAGCTCCTTGGCCCCAAGAAGAAAGGCGAAAACGCAGAAGGGACAGAGGAGAAGGCTAAGGATGATGTGAAGTCTTTTACTCTGAAGACTCCGAAGGTATGCTGGCGAAATCACCATGCATGCGTAACTCGATCCGTTAAACGTTCATGTCGCTGTGCAGGGAACAAAAGATTACGATGAGAAGGATATGGCAATCCGGGAACAAATCTTCTCTACAATTACCAGCATCTTTAAGCGGCACGGCGCAATTACGATCGACACGCCAGTGTTTGAGCTGAAGGAAATTCTAGCTGGGAAGTACGGGGAGGACAGCAAGCTCATCTACGACCTGGAAGATCAAGGCGGAGAAAAGTGTTCTTTGCGATATGATCTCACTGTGCCCTTTGCGCGATACCTTGCTGAAAATAAAATATCCAACCTGAAGCGCTACCACATTGCAAAGGTTTACCGACGAGATCAACCGGCAATGAATCGTGGTCGAATGCGAGAATTCTATCAATGCGATTTCGATATTGCAGGAGTGTACGATCCCATGGTACCGGATGCGGAAGCACTACGTGTTATGGCAGAAATTCTCAAGGGATTGGATGTTGGTGAGTTCACTATCAAAGTGAATCACCGCAAGATTTTGGATGGAATGTTCGAAGTATGTGGTGTACCAAGCGATAAGATCCGTACAATATCATCCGCTGTTGACAAGTTGGACAAAATGCTTTGGGCGGATGTCAAAAAAGAAATGGTGGATGAGAAGGGTCTTGCGGAAGAAGTCGCGGACCGGATTGGTGAATATGTGAAACTTAAAGGTACGTTCACCGTGGCTTTGCAGAGATGGCGAATGACTAAGTCACGAACTTGATATCAGGCTCCAAGGAACTATGCGAGAAGCTAGCAGCGGACACAGGATTATCAGGAAATGCCAACGCCACAGCCGGAATCGCGGACATGCGACTGTTGTTGAATTACCTGGAAGTTTTCAACGTCCTCCCGCACATTTCCTTCGATCTCAGCCTTGCACGAGGACTAGACTATTACACTGGTGTCATTTACGAGGCTGTGATCAATGACTCACCTAGTGTACAAAGTAAGTAATTCTATTTTCAAGTACACTGCCTCTTGCACGCGGTCTCTTATTGCTGCTCAACCTCATACGTCAGACGGAGAACAAGTCGGCGTTGGCTCGGTTGCCGCAGGTGGCCGATATGATGATCTCGTTGGGATGTTCTCCGGAAACAAGAAGATTCCATGCGTAGGTGTTAGCATCGGTGTGGAGCGGGTGTTTGCACTTTTGTCGAGCCGCCGAGACCGTGCCAGCATCAAATCCAACGCTACGGAGGTGTACGTCATCGGACTTGGAGAAGGGTTTTTGGAGGAACGAATGCGCATCTGCAGTGAGCTTTGGGACGCAGGTGTAAAAGCTGAGTATATGTTCAAGAAGAAGCCACGAAGTCTGCAGGTTCAGTTTGATGTCTGCGACAAGGAGCAGATACCTCTTGCTATTATCGTTGGTGGAAAGGAGATTGAGGCTGGAGTGGTCAAAATCAGGAAGATGGTAAAGGAAGAAGCGTCAAGTGGGGATAAAGAGGTCACTGTCCCAAGAACAGGTCTTGTTGAGGCAGTGGAGCAGAAGCTTCAGGAGCTAAGATAGGACCAGACGAAATAGTTTTTGTTTATAGATTAATCATTGCGTCAACGTGTACATTTCATACACTCTCATGGACCAGATTAACGTCATAGACCTTATGGAGGATATAAGTCATGGCCAGTCATAGTCCCATGTTGGAACTGCATGTTGAGATATTGTTGACTGCGATCTACTTATTCTATTGCAATCTACAAGTAATACACAATGTCCATTCTATAATACGAAGTATAATATTTACACGATCTATTCTGTACATGTCACCGAAACGGAAGAATCTCATGACAACTTTGCAGTTATGTAATTCAAGGTTCCGACTTGCTCGATCACGAATTGTGCTTTGGACGATAGCCGTTTACATTGTCGAAGCACCTTGTTCGTATCTACACCAGGTGGGATTTTCCAGCGCATAGTGCGAAAGCCTTTTTGCTGCTGGAGAGACTGGACGTCCTTTTCGACCGTAGCAATAAATATCTTGTAGGGGTCGGCTTCCTTTGGGACTTCCTCTACTTGTTCTGTGGACTCGTCGTTGAGAGTGTCTTCTGACGAAATTCGACGCAGAAAATCCACAGCGGACGCATCGACAGCGGGCTCACCGCGTTTGAAGAGGGCAAAGATACCTTTCACACCAGTTTTCCTGGCTGCGGTACTTGTTGCAACTGTGGTGGGCATAGCGAAAAATTAGTGTAATACTGGGTTGTACTCTTTTCCACAGGCGGCGATGGGGGAGCCGCTTCTACTTTTATGTCTTCTCCATCCTTCCCCACTCCATCCAATTGCAATCCAAGGACGGGATAGCAGCTCTTGGGAGGAGAGTCGCCGCCGGCAGGGACCTAAAAATAGCTCATCTCAGTGGTTTAATTGATGTTGGGTGAGGGTGAATCCTGATTACGTAAGCACCGGTGATGTTTAGCCCGGCGACTTTTCGACCGACGACCTTTCTCGTCGTTTTCCGCATGGCATCGATGCTCGTTTTGTACTTGTCATTTCCTGCTTCCATACATTGATAGATCACAGTTACCGACATAACCGTATGGTTAGACATTATCCAGCCAATTCGGAAACCTTATTTAAAGTCTTTAAGTCTTGATCATCTCATGAGTGCCTCGCCCAACGGCAAGGTCCTGCTGCAACATACAAGCTTTAAAGGATGTAGCTTTCATTCAAATACTACCATCTACCCCCCCCCCCCCGCTTCGTATAGCAGCTTGAGCAAGGATCAAGGCAGACTCACGAGGTAGATCTGGGTCTCCATAGCAACAAGGCTTCCAATGTCAATGCAGGTACTGTCCAAGCGCAGGTTTTCCGAGGCATACCCTTCCACCGACCCAGGCTTCATCAGACACGATGATAAACATCCGACCTGCAACAGTACGTGCTAGGATATCATATATAGCAATCGATATTTGGGCTCTAACTCCTAAAGTGTCTCGTAGGTGGACGATCTGCTGTCCATGCAGAATTGCAACCTAATGAACCTTCCCGAGAACTACCAAATGAAGTACTACATATATCACGCCTTATCATGGCCTCAGCTCTCCTTTGTTGCGGAGGATCAAAAGGGCCGTGTTGTGGGCTATGTTCTAGCTAAAATGTGAGTTGAGATAAGTACCGTATGTGCCATTTCCATGTGGTCTCATGCAAATGCCTACAGGGAGGAGGAAGTGGGCGATGTGCCACATGGACATATTACAAGTTTATCTGTAATGAGGAACTGGCGACGATTAGGCATTGCCGAGAAGCTGATGAGCCAAGCACGTACGTTCTTACTTTTTCGCGGTGATCGCATGTCGTCCGTTGATGTGTTTGTACAGAGAAAGCAATGCTGGAAGCATTCCATGCACATTACGTCTCGCTGCATGTAAGAAAGAGCAATCGTGCGGCCCTCCAGCTATATCGCGATACCTTAAAGTTCAGGTATAGTAGAACTGTCATTACGTGATTGGAGATTGTTAGACAACAACGCACACGAAACTGACTCACGCTTGTAGTGTGCACGAGATCGAAAAGTCTTATTATGCAGATGGAGAGGTAAGTTTGGCTGCTCGTCTCGCGAAAGGTATTGTTATGCTGATGATACGGATTACAGGATGCGTATGCCATGCGAAAACAGTTGAAGGAAGATGCAGAGGGAGCGCAGCATGGTCGTGGATCAAAATCAAAGCCCTTGAATGGGAGGGAGGGTGGCCATTCGCATTGAACAGAGATTTTATAAGCAATCTTTCTGCTTTCGTGTTTATCGGTGTACTCCCGTGCGGAGAGCTACCGGTATAGCGACCAGTATCAATACGGGCTGATCTACTGTCAGGATGCGCAATCGGAAAATGTGATATTTACTACAGCAAAAAGCGGAATCAACGAACGAAAACGTGTACCCCCCTCTACACCAACCATACGACTACGATACAGCAAACCCTTGGTGACATCTCATCTACACGTCCTCATCCATGCCTTCTAAATAATGATATATGATGGAAACAGTCCTATGATGAATCTTGTACTACGCCAACCTGAGCAGGTCTTAGAATACGGCTTCCCAACTTGTAGCCAGTCTTGGCCACGTCAAAGACAGTACCCGGCTCCTTTCCCGGAATAGGTGCCTGGAACAAGGCCTCATGCAAATTCGGGTCGAATGTTTCACCCAAGGGTTCAAATGGTTCAATACCGAAGCGTTTGAATGTGGCCATCAGATTCGACCGGGTCATGGCGACACCTGTGTAAAGATCCTTCAGGTGCTGATTGTTGCCATTTTCACCATGCTCTGTTTCCGGGACTGCCTTCAACGCCATCTCCAATACATCTGCAGTACTCAATAGCTCCTTAGCGAACTTGTTTATGGCAAACTCCTTTGTTTCCGCAACTTCCTTTCGTGCCCGTTGACGCACATTCTCCGCATCCGCGAGAGCGCGACGGTACATGTCCTATACAAAGGGTGTCCGGTCAATACAGAAGGTAGTTTTGCTGCTACTATGAAATAAGCATACCTGCAGTGCGGCGATCTGCTTGTCTTTTTCCGCTAGGACGGCAGCGGTATCAACCTCAGGTGCCTGTTCCTCCTGAGCTGGTTGTTCCCCCTGTTTAGCACTAGCTTGTTCCCCATTCGTTGTCTTTTGATCTTCGGTTGAGTACTGGCGACGGTTTGATAGCAGTATGGACCTTGTTCTGCCAACAGGGATACGAGCAGATACGGGAAGAGATGCGGAAAGGACTCGCACAGGGCGGAGTGCACGTAATGGTCGCAGTGAGTTCATCATATGTTTGAGATGCGTTTTGCAGTTTGGATGAGACCAGAGATCAGTGGAGGGAGGAAACCGTCGCGAAGGAAGACGCTTTGCTAACGAGTCAAATGATTTCGGTCGGCGAATTTTGGTGGTTGATCGGGATTATTCACATTTAAATGCATTCGTCTCACATTTGAATCCCTTGTTGCTACGGTAACAGCCAGGACGAGCTTGTCGCTTCAATGCAAGCGATCTCTTGAATATTGCTGGAGCCAAAGGACGTGCCATCTGTCCCATTCGTTGTAGTGCAGCTGCCAGGAAGGAACGCTTGTCGAGACAGTACCAGTATTTTGGAAGCTCGCTATTGTGCTTGGGCAGGAATGTCGTATTCAAACGGACGAGGCTATGGTGGTGGTACGTGATTATGTGCAATTCCCACACGGGGTAGCAAAGACTTCTCTTGAGCACAGGCAGAAGACTTTACCATTTTCACTCAGATCGGCATTATCGGCAACGGGGCCCAAATCGGCGACGGTATGAGGATAATACTCCCTCTAAATCACCTGAAGAGCTCAAAAGAGAACAGATCGTGTCGTATTTATTCCGACTAGGAGACTCGGTGCGTTTGATGGGCAGTAGAAGGGAAAAGGGGGCCCGGAGGGTGTCATTGGAAGCAAATCATGCACATGTGGCTTTATACTGACGCCCGGTTATGATACATCGCTACCAGGATCAAAAACAGCAGGCGGATCTGTGCGCGACACAACTGCTACGAGACTTTGGAACACATCCTCAAATTGTGCGGAGTGTATTCAAGGAATGGTAAAGCACAACCTATCTTTCTTATCTTTTTAGACTGCCTGTTAGCTAAGACCTAGCAGCATAACCCATGTCCCTCAGAAAGTATCCTTGTACGGCACCTTAAGCGGGTTGCTGAATGCACGGAATTTTGACGCTGGTGCGGCCATCATTGAAATCACCTGTGAGGCTTTGCAAGAGGCCCTCAACAACAGCGACTTCCGCTCCACCAAGATTCTCTTGCGTTACATCGCAGAACTCGTGAACGCAAACGTTATCCAATCGACGCAACTTATCGGCCTGTACGATCTATTTTTGAACGTGCTGAATGAGCCAAATGTGCGACCGGAAAGGGCTGATGCGTTTGTCTATTCTGTGCTTGCGAGCATTCCATGGGCCGCACGTCAGCTTAGCGACACGGAAGCAACTGAACTTGAACGCATTCTGGGGTCCATTGAGAAGCACATGAATCAGCGGCAAGCAAATCTTGCAACTAGTGGGATTGAACAGGCGATGGAAGCGCTGAAGGTGTACCGCGACGTACCCGAAGGTGAACCGTATCTCGTGACGGATCGGCTGGAGAGTCTGTGGCGCCAGATCATTCAGCTCAAGCAGGCCGACGAATGGGACCTGAAAATCATCTTGAGACCTACAGATTTTACCGATCTACTCAGCACGCAACTACAACATGAGCTGAGGCCCATATCCATTCCATCTGGAGATGTGAAGTTTTCCTATCAACCTGTTTTTCGTATTTTCGATGACTCTGTTCAAGGTGTTGAAGTAAGCCACGGTTGCGGCAATCTAGTTCGTCTCAATCAATCACTCACCAGAATTGTCTCAGAATATCATTGTCCGATTACCCTCCGTGCTGAGCATTTCACGGTTCATTTTGGACGACTTGATTTATGATATCATCCGAATCTTCTCCCACAATCACCGGGAAGTGTGCCGAATGCTCACAGATCTGGAGACTTTTTTGAACGGGTACTATCTCAGGGATGGAGGGTTCAACGTTATGGCCAGCGTGATAGAAACCGTGTTCGGTGAACTGCTCCGGCTCCCACGGAGTGGTGAGCGATCAGTGTACTATGCTACTCTGCTGATAGATCTTATCAAAGAGGACTTGCAGACGATTCCCAAGGTCCTAGGACGGGCCATACGAACATTGTTTTCAAGGTTGGACGGATCGCAAGGTTTGGGTGGGGGAATGGACGTGGAAGCTATTCGGAGATTCAGTGAGTGGTTTGGCATCCACCTGAGCAACTTCGGATTTATGTGGAAGTGGCAGGACTGGTCTGTATTTGTCATTGCTCGAGAAGTTACTTCCTTACATGCACACCATCCTAACTGAGCTCGCTGCTGTACAGGGAGCCCGTCCTGTCTGTTGAACAAGACTCTGCCTGCTTTGTGTTCATTCGGGAAACTCTGGAACGATGTATCCGTTTATCGTATTGGGAGCGCGTCCAGGGCAGCCTTCCAGAAGCATTTGCGGAGAGTGAAATTATCTTCCCTCAGGAACCGCCTCATCCGAACTTTAAATTTGAGTCAGAGGAGACCACTGGAGGTATAACAGGATGATCACTTGATGGCTGATAACGGCAGAGATGCTTACCCAAGACTATCCAGATGCACAGCTTTATGAGTTAACCTCCCAACTGCGATCATCGTTAGCAACGAAGAGCGGGGCAGAAGAAATCTCAGATCTATTGCAAAGGATTCGTGATCATGCCACCAGCAACGCTCCCAACGCTATGGAAGGAGTTGTTGGAGCGTCTGGCGGAACTGGGACACCTGAGGATCTAGCTCGAGAAGCGCTTGTCCAATGCGTTATGCAACAAGGCAGCAAAAGTTTCAGTCACGTGTTGAATGTGGTTGAACGGTAAGCGCTGTCATCGTCAAACGATTAGGTCATGATGATTGACCCGTTTTACATCTTTAGGTACCTAACAGTACTACGCGATTACAATGGCACTGAAGAGGCACGAAGCCACACCGTTCGGATAATAGTTGACTTCTGGAAGGATAATACGCAATTCTTGGAGATCATCCTGGACAAGCTCATGAACTACCGCGTTGTCACACCTAAAAGCATCCTGTCCTGGGCTTTGGATCCAAGTGTGTTGGATTCACACTACACGAGGTATGCAGCTAAACCAGCAGGGCATGCAAATGACGCAGTACTTGAACTATGTTCTGACTATAAAAAGGTTCCATCTTTGGTCAATTGTACGCACAACCTTGGCCAAGGTGAATTTCAAGATAGCGCAAATAACCGCGAAACTTGAAGCAGCACGGAGGCAATCATCCGTAGACAACGACCTCATGTTGCAAGGTACGTTGGATTGGATTGATTATAGATAAGGTCGGGGCTAATTCATAAACTGCCGTGCCTATAGATGGCGATGACAGTGTCATCCAATCTTTGGAGGAAAACCGACAAGGTGCTTTGCGAGAACAAAAAGAAGTCTTCCTGCATGTATTCCAGGTACATTACTATCCTGAATATCCCTTGGAAAATTGAATGATCACCTCACCCAATGGCTTCCCATGATCAGAGATTCGTAGATGCGATAAGAAATAAATGTCGCTCACTGGAGTCCCAGGGGATTGACCCAACGAGAACGGCCTGGTACCGTTGGGTTATGGGCAACATGCGGGAAGTCGCTCGTGGGGTACGTGTCAGTCGAGTCTCCTATTTGTCTTTGCCGTATCGCTGATCCTCGACTTGAAATGATAGTTCCCAACGGAGGTGAAAGCATACCAGGTTACACTGGATATGATCATTTTTACCGACGACGTCGACCCACGCATATTGAAAGTATGGCAAGAGATCAAAAGTGTTTATTCACTACATACAGATACGCTAGCGTAATCGCCATGCGAGTCAAATGATTTGTAGACGTAGTAGTGGAATATTAATTGCTTTGTCTCCAAGACCTTGAAATCGCTTTCACTCTTTGCTGGCATTTGAAGGAGGAGTGCAGTGTTCCCTCGACAATGTATGCAATCTTCCACAATCTAACCCTGGAGCCGTTTCGGTCGTCCTTGACTGCTAGCTGCGAACGGCGCGGCTATTCAGGCCGGTATTGCTCTAGCGTAAACCGACGGTGCTTTCGCCAAGTGTCAGTTACGAGCTTTCGTAATCTTCAGAAGAATCCTACAAATCCTGGTGCTGGCTCATCGCTCTTTTTCCTCTTCTGGAGGAACGAGTCCGTTGTAGATACGATAATAGACCACCGTGGAATCTGTCGACATGATCGCAAGGACGAGGCTAAGATAAAAAGTCAGTTCCTTCTCCCCAGTATGCGAAAATGCCGATATACACCTTTCCAAGTCTGAGGACGACTCTAAAGAAATCTCTGACAATTGCGAGAAGAGTATCGAAACGCTACGAGGGAGTGTTACTTTCATGCTATAATTGTCCTCGACAACAGACTCTAAACCCTTACCTGGACACCGACCATGATTCCGCTTCCGTCATTGGTACCATAATTTCTGCTTCTTCCTATACTATAATATTGTAGCTACGATGCTATCGTTCTCCAGTCAAGCCCTCTCCAGTACCTCCAATTCTCTCCGAGCAAGTAGTACAATCTTCTCGAGAGACTTAACAAATCTGGCGTGGACGTTTGCCCATTCCTTTGCTAAGACAAGGTTGAGAATTCAAAGATTACAAGCAGGGATCGACGAAGGTTAGTTGCTCACCTAGCACTAGATCCAGATAAACCTGAAAAGACAGCCATCGGACCTTTTGTGGGGCATCGGGGCATTCCCGTGCAAATTGCTCATACTGAGTGAGATAAAGTATGTCAGCTTGTGATGTGCCTTGTATCTTTCAACTAACGATGCGTACCAATGGATGCCTTTCCATACGTTTCTTCTTCTATGCGATCAGATGCAGCGAACATTTAGGAAGCTGACGAGGACGTGAGGTCATCAGCACAACTGTGCCGCCACTGCCTAGCAACAACGACCAGGCCATGACCGCGCTTCTTGAGATTGGCAATCCTTCAGTTCGTTCCATGTAAAAAGCATGTCTTCTCCCAGCCATTTTGCAGTCTTGGGGGGAGGTGTATCGGGGCTTTCGACGGCGTGGTATCTCTCGAAACTTGCACCAAAAACAGCGAGAATAACAGTTGTTGAAAAGAATGCTCGAGTTGGAGGATGGGTGCACACCAACATGCAAGATGGCCAACTCTATGAGCTCGGACCTCGCACGATCAGACCTGTCGGTGTTGCGGGAAGGGCGGTGTTAGATATGGTGGGTACACTCCTGCTGCAGAAGATGCTCTTATTGGTGTTGATTACATGTTTGGTTTCTGAAGGTCTATCGTCTCAACCTTGTAGAGGAAGTGCTTACAACGCCAAAGAATTCGCCAGCCGCAATAAACCGTTACATATACCAAAATTCTCGGCTGCACCATTTACCTACCTCACCCCTTGACCTTTTGATGCCTTGGAAGGCAAAATCCCCACTACTCAAGGGCCTTTTGTTCAGTGTCCTTCGGGAGCCGTTCGTCAAGCCAACAAACGCGTCAGACGAGAGCATACACGGCTTTGTAGAGCGACGTTTTGGACGAGCATTGGCAGATAATCTTGTTTCTGCTGTGATACATGGAATATATGCTGGCGACTCTACGCAGCTGAGTGTCAGAAGTGCAATGCCGTTCCTCTGGGAGTGTGAGAAGAAGCACGGGAGTGTGGGACGAGGAGTCTTAGCACCTCCCGCTGTAGCACCGATTGGGGACGAGCGCGCACCATTGAGTGTGGAGAGTAACGACGCGAAGAAATTCATTTCGGACATCCAGCGCAATAGTAGCATTTTCTCGTTTAAGAATGGGATGCAGACGCTCACGGACGCGCTAAAAAGGGATCTGGACAAGGAGGAGAATGTGTCATTTATACGAGGCAACATTGAGAGCCTCTCTTTCAAAGAGGGCGTGGAGGTGCGCAATTGCTTTACCGTTCTATAACGGTAATATCTGATCTAACGACTTGCATCTTTTTTTTTTTTCTTTTTGTAAGATTGCTCATACTGCCTCATCACAGCCTTTGAAAGCCGACCATGTGATTAGCGCCATACCAGCGGTTGATCTTTCTCGCATCCTACCGCCCTCCAGTCATGCACTATCTTCCCTGCTTTCGTCTATCAAGTCGGTCGACGTTGCTGTCGTAAACATATCATTTGGGGGTCATTTTTCAAAGATCCTTCCGGTGAATGGCTTTGGATATCTCGTGCCGGCAACCGAGGATACGCCAATTTTGGGCACGGTGTTTGATTCTTGCGCCATGCCCAAACAGGATTCGGGCGATCAGACCCGTGTGACCGTCATGATGGGCGGACACAAATTTCACAAGTACTTTGGTGATCCAGATGTTGTGAGCAAGGAGAAACTCTTGGAGACGGCCATGACCGCTGTAAGGACACATTTGGGTGTCAATGCTGAACCGATTGCGTCGAGCGTAGTCATTCACAAGCAGTGTATTCCTCAATACGTTGTGGGACACCGTGACCGCCTTCACGCGATTCATGAGGAGGTCAAGTCTCAACATATCCAACTCTCCCTGGTCGGCGCAAGTTATCTGGGAGTTGCAGTGAATGATTGTGTGAAAGGGGCGCGTGATCTTGTGTCAAATCTGCTGGTCGAAACACAAGCGAAACAGCGCAGGATTACAGGATTGGAGAGAATAGAAACCTAATTACGTATTAATAATTCTTAGATCAAGCCATAGATAGTGTAAATAGTACCGTTGCGTATTAGCAGCATTCAGAGGCGTAAAAACATTAGGTATCTAGGAACGCTACATATGCCATGCTAACGACTCCACGTCCGCCTACGACCGGTACGCAACTAAAGCCATAAATATCGAATTGATGTCCTAAGGTGGCGGAGGCGCTCCCCTTAGATCTTTTGGAAGATAGCGGAAAGACTTGCCCAGACTGCTGTAGGAGATTGGGCCGCGTCGACGCCGTACCAAATGCCCTTGCGTTTGTAATAATCGGCAACAGGCTGCGTCTGCTGGTGGTAGCTTTCCAAACGCTTCACAAGGGTGGCGGCGTTGTCGTCCGATCGCTGGATCAAAGGCTCACCGGTAATATCATCCTTACCCGGAACCTTTGGTGGGTTAAACTTCAGGTGGTAACTTCTCCCACTATAATCAAAAAATTCGCATTTTAGTTCACTGTTTGCGTTTGTTTTCTGCTTCTCCCGGTATCCAATTCCCCATGTAAGTTTCCAAGTAATTACCTAGCAGGGTGAATCAAACGTCCAGTAATCCTAGAGACAAGAAGACTGTCATCGATTTGAAGCTCGACAGCAGCTTGGAGAGGCTTGCTTCTGGCCTCAAGCATCTCGTCCAGCTTCTCAGCCTGCACAACTGTACGAGGGAACCCATCCAAAATGAAACCCTTTTTGCATTCTGGGTTGGTGTCGAGATTCTCACGGATCAAGTTGACCATGATTTCATCGCTGACAAGGCCACCAGCGTCCATGACCTTCTTTGCTTCCTTGCCAATCTGCAATGCAAAAGCGGTTAGTTAGACACATGGTCTCGCGCAGCACATTTATCTGTGCTTCCACTATTATTACTGAACAAACCTGAGTTCCTGCTCTTACAGCGGCACGAAGCATATCGCCTGTTGGTAGGGAATACACGTTACATTCTGGCACTAGTTGCTTTTGGTAACAAGGATGAGGTACCAGTGGCGAGGTGACAAATGCAGAATTCCTCCTTGATACGTGGAGCTTGAGTGCCTATTTTCCCAGAATATCAAGTACTACATTAGCTTGATAGTTCGCCATCACCACCGTCACCGCTTAGGGCACCCTACCTTTGCCCGCGCCGGGGGGACCCATGATGACCATGCGCAGGTCCTTCTTTTCCGGCGCTACAGACGATTGAGAAGCACCCATGATTGCGTATTAGCAATTAGAAAGTAGGGGGTATCGACGGCAGATGGTAGAGGTCAAAAACTTCCAAGTTGCCGTTTTGCGGGCCTCCTCGGAAGTCGCTCTCCGGCTCAACACCGCCATTTCGGTTGCCATGACAATTTGTCACATCTTACGAAAGCACCAGCGATCTTCCATTGCTGTCGAGATCGTTTTTTCGCTCCCAAATTCTCAAAACACAACTTGCCCAACATGGCTATGGTAGAGCCCACCGTCGATACGCATGGCTTTCCGTTCACGGAGGGGGCCATCAAATTCGAAGTGGTAAAAGAGAACCTGCATTTTGAAAAGCTCGTTCTTGTAGGCAGAAGGACTCACTCATGCCTTAGATCTCTACAGACGAATCGGACCCATCTTGTGCAACATTCTGCGTACATGACGAAGACCATACACTAGGAAACTCACTTCGTTACATGATCATGAAAAAGTGGGATACCTCAGAGTTTGAACATTTGACATGATAAGTATACTTACTGGCAATTCTAGCCCTGCCGTGCAATTTTGCGGTTACTCCATTCCTCACCCTTCCGAATTCAAGATCCACATTCGTATACAAACTGATGGTACGCCCATCCTCTTTGAAATTCAACGTTATGAACCTGATTGCTTGTACAAAGCTCAACATGAGATACTCTTCATAGGCACGATGACAGCAGCTAAAGCTTTAGATAAAGGTCTAGACGATTTGATGGCTCTCTGTCAACATGTTCTGGAAACATTCAACGCCAAAGTTGCTGCAAGAGATGAATATGAGATTCGGGAGGGCGCCGAGTTTGAATAGATCAATGAAGTTTCATGGTCAGATAGATCATAGAGTGGGATTGTCAAACGATTGTTTAGGTGAAGGTTATGTAGACATCTTGCACGGTGGCCGGTGGTCGTGTTGCGGAGGTATCACTTGTATATAGTTAATTAACATAATATCAAGCAGGGTTATGCTAGTACTCGTATTTGCTAATGCGACTACTGATGACATCTCCATTTGAACGCACCGAGAAGAATGCTGTAGATCAATCCAAGTGGCGATCGCCTAGCTCCCAACAGATAGCGTCCCGCCTCACTCAGACAATGTGCGAGACGTAAAGCTATTGAGTCCCCCTGAGCCTCAGTCACCTACTAGTTGATGGAGTGCCCTAATCTTTTGCCCTTTTGTGAATGTCCTGTGGTCTGATGAATTGGTAAGGGTGACGACATATGCAAGGTAGCACAGAATACCTGAATAAACAATGTTTTTAAATACCAGCTACCGCATAGTCACCAGGAAGGTTTTCCGTTCGCGCGTGACGAAGCCACTAGTCAAGGTGTAGTATCTGACATCGCGGAGATGTCCGATAGTGGTCATTCGTATCCTCGTCATCACTGAGTAGGCTGAAGACGATATTTTCGGTTTTCTCAAGAGTGAGATGAGGTTGTCGTTGTGTAGCGCGGCGTATTCGCTACGATCGTCGTCGAGAGCCAAAATAGCTCCCTGTTTGCCTTGAGGTATTGGATATTGATGCAAGGCGCGTGGACCTCTTCGGGGTGACAGTTATGTACGAATGATCTTCATATGATGTTAGGTCCGCGCTCTGTAATGGTGGTGGGGTAGGAGAATCCACTACAACACTCGCATCTTTCGAGTGTCGAGTTCTTTTCAGAGTTGAGGTGTTCTTCAGATCGCTTTCCCAGTACGCTTTTGGGTTCGCAGATTTCGCGGCCCGTTCGATCCGCTCCCATGCTTCTCTCGCTTGTTTGCGCATATCTTGAAGATCGGCAAAGTCATCCTCGTCAGGTGATTCCGGAGTTGCGACCTCTTTGAAAGTCCGCTTTCGGACAGGTGTGCGGACAGATGTACGCTTGTTTTCACGTAGCCCGGTTTCAGAATCCGAGCCATATGCTTCGAGTTCATTGTCGGCGTCGACTGCCACGTCCTGTGCCTTGTACAATCTCGAACCTCCACGCGACGGGTCCGCTACAAGCCGTTCATACTTTTGAAATTCGCAAAGAATATGCTCAACGTCCAAAGGTCGCAAAACTAATGGATCGTTTGTGTGCAGAACGTCTCCTTTGTCAAGTGTCTCGTAGGCATTGCGTAGCAATTTGTTGACCCTGACCGTCAAGCGATTGATACTATACCCGGTGAGCTCACGGTAGCCTAGGATCTCCAACCCTTTTTTGGCACCAGGACCAGGTACAGGCGCGGTCGGCGCTGGTATGAGTCCGCACATGAACATGTCACAGGACTCTTGATATGCATGAAAATCGCCCACAAGCTCGAAGCGAAGCATATTCCCGTACACCTCCTGAAAACTCGGCTCACGGGGATTATCTGGGGGACCAAAAAGGGATTTTCCCACGTCGGCGGATAAGTGCCAGTTCACTTTCATTGCGTCGACAACAACCTTGTACGGTGCACAGAAGGTGAATGCCCGTGTTCTCCAAGATTTGCCGGTTCGCTGTTTTGCACGTTCCCATTCCGCAAACTTCTGTAGTGCATCATCTAAATTGCTGATATATCCCAGCTCTCTATTGTAGGGAGGATTGGACAGCCATCTGTGAGTGATCACGTTCCAGAGAAAGTGAGGTTTTCTAGGATCTCTTCTGTGAAGGATCTCCCGGATGACCCTGGACCCTCGGTCGTCCTCGCGTCTACTGAACCAGTCAGTATTGCGAATGGGGCAACGGCAACTTTCAAACTACAGGTGGATTGCGGACCTGTGGTGGCAAAAGTGAAACTCTGCCAATACACTGTCATTTGTCCATTTGGAAGGCGGCTCTCCCCGAGCGCGTCGGAGCGCTACACGCTCTCGCTCGAGTAGGTAGTGAAGGAAGAGATCCCAGGACTGCTTCTTGGCGAAGGAAGCAGAGGAGGTGCCGCACCAGTGCATTGGAGAAATCTATCGAAACGGCAGTCGACCACAGTTAATGAATAGTCACCACACTCTATGCAATTTTAATGCATTAATTCAATTAAATGCACGTAAGTGGTTGGAATTGTGGTTCCAGTGTGCCATAAATGGTTGACTATTCACTAACTGTGGTTGAGTGGTAGGCTCATGTGCAGAGACATGTCATGGACGAGAGAACAAATGCTCTATTTTAAATGCTCTTGAATTCTAGATTTTCAAAAGTCGTCTCAAATCCCGTCGGTCCTGGAGCCGCACACATAATGCCCATCTCTACTGGTCCACTTCCCCAGTCATATGTCTTGCGCACAAGCTCCCAGCCATCTCCATCCGTCCAGGTCTCGACAGTAACTGTTCCCTCCGTGCGCTGCAAGCGGATACAAAGCGGCGCTCTAGGCTCTCGTTGGTGTCCAGGGTACGCACTAACAGACCAGTCAGACCAACCTCCGTGCTTATTCACGACAACGGACACGCGTGGTGCTCCATTATAATGCTCTACGCCAGCTTTTATCCATTCCTCTGAACTATGATAAAAAATCAGACCAGCTTGCTGATACTCGCTTGTGTACTCTGCTTCAAAACGGACGGAAGCAGTAAAGTTTCCAGTAATTGGAGCTGTGTAGCAGTGCGCTGTGTCGTGTACTTTCCCTGGCCGACGATATAAATCTGTGTTTGCAGCCGCTTCCACCACTATGACGTTCGCAGCGTGATCGACAGTATACTTTGGCGGCTCATTGAGCCATCGCAAAGGTGCAAGTGGGAGCTTTTGCGGCATCTCTTTGTGTGGCGATTAACCTCCAGTGACGAGAATCATGCCAGTAGTTGTAGTGACTTTTCCACGGTGTCGCGTTATCCTATGCCATGATGCAAAGTCCAATCGGCTCCTTTTGCACGGCCATGGGTCGTATCTTCTACTTGGCGTATTCCGGCCTTCATGCCTTCATTGCGCTGTTGATTCTTGTTTAATCCTTTGGCCGTTAAACTTTTGTTTCTCAAAAGTTGGAACTTTTGGCCTGGGGTTGTTGTCATAGTAACAAGCGGTGTGACCGTCCTCAAGACTCGCTGATCTGCGCTGGACTTTCTGAAAGTCATCCGACGCTTGACTCGGACCTTGTTGGGGGGAAGGAAAACGTTACGTTCAGCAGCTGCTTCTACTCAAGTTGGACTGCACTTTAGATAATGATGCTAACGAGTTGATGAAAAACTACTCCCGCTTCACAATCTGTTGTTCACGACAATGAATTCCGAAGACACTAGCTTTCTTGATATCTTAGCAGCCGTCGCCGATCACGAACAACCTCTTGCGGTGAACACCGCGTCTGCGGAAATGGACAAGGATTCCGACACTGTACCTACTCCCGCGGACGCTGAACCAACCGATGAGGATCTGCTCTCGCTATTTCCAGCCCATCCGCCAGAACTGCCTGTGGAAGAGCAGATCGCCGCTGAAGAAGAAGAAGACGACGAATTGGCCGCAATTTTTGCCGATCCACCACATATGACGTCCACAGCACCTAAAATAGATGTTTCCGCTCCAATACCTTCCCATAGTCCTATATCTCCCGCCATAATACCATCCGCAACTCTCTCTTCAGCAACGGCCCAGGCGCCGACGTCGATGATTGCGTCCTCTTCGATACCTTCTCAAACAACGATTCAATCTCCAGCGCATCATATACAACCTAGGGGAAGCCTTCCCGGTACGCCAATGACTTCACGATCGTCTACTCAAGCACCAACTGCGTATACTTCACCCATGTCCACTCTTGCTCCGGGGATGCCGGCGCCGTCGATAGCGAGCCCCGTCACTCTGCCAAAAACACCTGCATACCGACCATCCCCCCTCTCTGGAGCACGACCCTCACCCGCCCCCTCAACCCCCACCACTGCCCCCGTGTCACTTGGTCCTCAGCAGCTCCTACAAAATCTTTTGAAGCAGGTACCTGCTGAGAGACATCCCGAATTTCTCGAGCTGTATAGACAACTACAGGTAAGCAGTAGCGACATCCTCTCCAACTACATCAAGGCGTGAACAGCGATGGGCATCGATTTCTGCATATGTTTTCTAACTTTTATGTATCGCGGTCTTGCAGAGTAAAATGCTCAACAATGACCAATTTCTTGATCGAGCAAAAGGCATGCTGAACGTTGCTGCAGCAAGGCAGCCCAGCAGCCCCAGCCCATATACCAAAGGACCATTATCGGTAGGATAAGATGATTGGAGGGATGCAAGTTCATCACACTGATCTTATGTTAAATACTTGTCTGATTTAGGCACAGACATTTGGGGCACCAGGTGGTGTAGGCCCAGTTCTGGATGAGATGAGGAAACGGCAGGCGGAGGCAGCTCAATACGCGTCCCCACTCGGGTATGGACTAGCTAACGAATCTCTTGTATCCACATATAACGTACTGAATTGAACTTGAAAATAGCGCGAAACGGATGAGGCCTGACAATTTTTCAACACCAGGGCGCGTGTCAATGCAATTGAATATGGCTTCACCATTATCCAATGCTGCTGGAGTTCCAGTCGGACTCTCTCCTGCTATGCAATGTGAGTTTCCTAGAAACGTCTGCGACGAGGCCTTGTTATTTTGCGTTGTTTTGGTGAGTTTAGCGAATAGATGGGCTGATATGTTCCTCAGATCGTCCAGCAGCTTTTGGAACTCCTCGTCAGCCGGGTCCGGCGATGTCCGTTAGATCTGCAGATGAAATTGACCCAACTAAACTGGATGTTCAGAGTATGATGGACGCGACGAGTTACACCGGTGTCAATATCCGGGTACGTTGCAGTCGACCATTTGTCGCAGCGTTTCGAAGTTGAATTGCGCTAATACGGGACATCGCTTTTTTTAGGAGGAAGAGGACAATATCATGAGTACGGTCATGATGCCTTCAGCTGGCCAGTACCAAGTTCCTGGATTAAGTCGAGTGAGGGATCAGTCTTTCCTCAACATACCCGCGCTGCGCAAGAAAGTGGAAGCAATAGGTGAGTGATTCACGCTATTCAGATCCTTTTGCCTTCCAAGAAACGCTAAGTCCTCCGCAATAGCAAAGGATTGCAATGTTTCGCACGTGGAAGCGGATCTTCTCTCTTACATCGCACTAGCAACTCAGGAACGAATGCGAGATCTAATGGAACGGATGGTGGTTGCAGCAAAGCACCGTACAGGCTTGATGCACGAATACTTTTTGAAACAGGAGAGAGAACGGATTGCCAAAGGCCAGGAAGGATTGGAGTTGCAAGTGGTGAAGCGAGATGATGTTCGCAGAAAGCTGGCAGTGATAGAACGAAGGGAACGTGAGCAGGAGAAAAAGTTGAAGGCGTTGAGGGCCGCGACCGAGGAAGGCAACGTTAATCCAGAAGTGGATGGTGCGGATAGCGCCCCGGCGGGAGGGAAAGTCGGCACTGTGGGGACCGCTGGTGCATCCAAAGACAAAGAAGAGGGAGTGAAAAAGAAGAAAAAAAGTGTCAAGGAAAAGGATATGCCTGAAGAAATCAAGATGAAGCTGGCCAATCAAGCTGTAATGGCTGCGATAGGTGGTACACCGTTGAAGAGCTGGATGATTGCGGGTACAGGCGGAGGGAATGCAAGTAATGGTGCAGGGGGAACGTCACTGAAGGTAGCCTCGTCTTCGAAGAAGCGAAAGTATGACGGGGATGGCACGAATCGATCTGGAGGATTGGTTGGTACAATCTCGTCGTCTACCCGGCTTCCTGGTACCGCAGGCGGTAGGCGCGGAACGGCGGCGGAGCAGGCGATGCGACGAGTGACCTTGCGAGATGCGCTGTTCTGTCTGGAGGCAGATCATGCCATGACAAAAAGCCCGCTTGTGTATAAATGGTGGGCAAATGTAACTTGACTGGCAGAACAAAATGTGCATAAATACCCTTGGAAGCATCAGAGCTGCTACCGTCGCCTTTCACATGTACGGCATTTTGCCTTTTCAACAGCAAGTGCCCACATTCAACCCAAATGGAAATGGTGCAAACGATGCTATCCTTATTTTAAAATGAAGACTACACACACGATCCTCAATACTCCCCAGCACCAGCTCCAGCGTGCATGCTGCGATGACTCGACATCTGCTGTCGTCGTTGTGCCTCCAACTTGGGACAATTGGTGATACGGTGCCCCAATCCACCACAAAACGTACAATCCACATCCACTAAAAAAATAGAACAGCATTTTAATTCATCATGATTGGCAAGTCATTGCTCTTAGGCGGAACATGCAAGTAACTTACGCCCTTCCACAATATCTCCGCCCGGCTTTCGAAACTTTTCGTTCGGATCCTCCAAGGCTTCTAGAACGGGTGGTACACGTTGCTTTGCTTCTTTGAGGAGGTATTTGAGGTCGAGAAGGATTTGCTCTGATGAATTGCGGTTTATGAAAGTTGTTGCTACACCAGTTTTGCCCGATCGACCTGTACGTCCGATTCGATGCACTGAGCAATTTCAAGCAGATTTTTTTTAGAAAACCAAGAAATGAGGCATCCGTTTGTAAAGCTAAAAGGCGCATACCATAATCCTCAATCTCTTTTGGCATATCATAATTGATCACATGCTGAATCTGTGCAAAATCAAGCCCTTTGCTGGCTACATCAGTGGCGACTAGAACGTCCGCCTTGCTCTCTTTAAATGCTTTGATGGCGTATTCTCGCTCGGCCTGATCTTTTCCTCCATGAATTGCAACACAGTCGACACCTTTCAACAGGAGATACTCGTGAATGTCGTCCACGTCGTTTTTGTTTTCAGCAAAAATTAAAACCTGCAGAAGGTACGAATAAGTTAGAAGACGACAGTACCAGCTCGTTCAGTCAGAAACCTACTGGAGGCGGTGTCTTTTGCAGGCATTCTAATAGGTAGACAATCTTTGCTTCTTGCTTGACATATTCCACCTCCTGAATCACATCCAAGTTCGCTGCACCGGCACGACCTACGTTCACAACAACAGGTTGTACCAGCGCCGATTTGGCAAAGTTCTGGATCTTCTTTGGCATCGTGGCTGAGAAGAGAAGGGTTTGACGCTGTCCTTTAAAGTAAGACATGATGTTGCGGACATCGTCTTCGAAACCCAGATCAATCATCCTGTCGGCTTCATCCATGCAAAGGTACCTGCAACCAAGACGTGTTCATTATATGAGGTTATCGCACGGTGCCAAGGATGAATCCTCCAGTCTTACCGGCATCCCGCAAGGTTGATCTTTCCCTTCTCCAACATGTCCTGCAATCGTCCAGGTGTCGCAACAAGTATATGTGGCCCTTTTCGAAGAGCGTCTGCTTGTTCCGCCATCGATATCCCGCCCATACATAGCAGTACCCTCAGTGACGGGAAGTTGCCGTGACGTTCCAAAGCCTGGCACATTCCCATGGCCACGTCGTAAGTTTGCCGTGCAAGTTCACGCTACATTGATTTACTGGCTTAGTCACGTTGCCTACATGGCTACAATGTAAAATTAAAAGTTTGCATTTACCGAAGGACAAAGAATCATTCCAACGGGCCCTTCTCCAGGTACGAATGGCAGCTTCACTTCCGCTTCCAACGCCAGCATCACAAGCGGGAGCGTAAAGACGAGCGTCTTTCCCGATCCAGTAAACGCTATTCCAATCATGTCCCTTCCACTCAACACCGTAGGAAGCCCTTGAACTTGGATAGGCGTTGGCTTCGTGATACCCTTTTCTTTCAAATGTCGAACTATGGCGTCTGGTAATCGCATCTCTTTGAAGGATTTGATGGGTGGGGGAATGTCGTTTCCTTCTACAAGAATGTGCCACTTTTGTCGAATTTCGTCAAGTTGTGCACTTGACATCTCTCTAATGTGTCGTGGCGGTCGCCACGATGTTTTCAACGGTTCAGTGTAATGGACATCTTTTGCCAATTCCTGTGCTGAAAATAGCGCTTTCTTTTGGGTTTGCGCTTGTAGAATTTGTTTCTCTAGCTCCAGTTCCTTTTCCACTTCTGACTTTGGTTTTTCTTTTTTCTTCAGCTCAGCAGCCTGATCTATCAGCGCTACATTCGACTGAGGTCCAGCTCTTGGTGCGTCTTGGTCGGAATCTGGTTCTGAATCTTCTCGTTCTACAGGTTTTCGGAGCACAGTGGCAAGTTTTCGATACTTTTCGGCTCGTCTTTCGCGGACAGGCACATAGGGAACGTAGTCGTCATCGGTAAATTGAATTTGGTTGTCATCGTCCTAGGTAAACAGGAATTAGTTCCTCTTTGCGCATACTATTCACAATGCCAATCGCTGCAGCTTACTCTCTTCCTTTTAGGGGACGACATAGCGCATGTGTTACTGATGCAAAGGCCCAAATCTAAAAGTCGATCTCTGAGCATGCAACAATTATCTTGCGATGAACTGCTGGCATTGTCAATGCTTAGTAACTAATTGAACACCACGTGATATTGCCGGGCTTTGCGCAGATCTCGTCGTCGTTTTTTCTCTCCATTTCCATTCATCTGTGTAGAACAATCGTCGCTGCCGTGAGCTGAAATGTCGGGATATTATCACCAAGAGATGGACCCGTCCGCCTACTACGGAACTGGTGGCGCGCAATACCAAGCAGACTCTTACATGGCATCGCCTTACGTTGCATCAGCAGCTCCAACGACATATACTGGTTCAGCAACCTATTCCGCCCCCGAATATTATTCTGCTCCCTATTACGCCAATCCCGTACCTCCGGTTTCAAGCAATGCGGCTGCATATCCTGTAGGCTACCCAACGAACTCATCGACTGGGGGTGTACCCTATCCAACAGGCTACACGATCGAATCCGAAACCGGCGCTGTCCCATATCCGGCTGGATACACACCGAGTGCTGCAACGGCAAATATTGTGCGTGTCAACACAGATGAAAACAAGAAAGCTGCTGCCCTGGCAGCGCTACCGGTCATGGCACCGCATCCCGGAAAGCATGTGGACAAGAGCGCGGAGAAGGGCAAAAAGAAGAAGACGGTGTTGCGGGCCGCAGGTGGAGAAGCGTGGGAAGATGAAACTCTTCTGGAATGGGACCAGAGTGTGTAGCATGTGCCGCTCGTTGACTGTTTTGTAAACGGATACTCACCTCCTTGGTTATATTGTAGACGATTTCCGCATCTTTTGTGGTGACCTCGGCAACGAAGTAACCGATGATCTCCTCTTCAAAGCCTTTTCAAAATACCCCTCTGTACTCAAAGCCCGAGTTGTTCGCGATAAACGAACGAACAAAAGCAAAGGGTATGGGTTTGTCAGTTTCAAAGATGCTGGTGATTTTGTAAAAGCAATGAAGGAAATGAATGGTGGGTTTAAAATTTATTACATCTTTCCGTTGGTATTTGTGAAACTGACATATGGATCAATGGCCAATAGGAAAATACGTTGGAAACCGGCCTATCAAGTTGCGAAAGTCGACATGGAAGGAGCGAACTGTAGATATCAAGACTCTCAAAAAGATGCAGCAAACATCAATTTTCAAACCTGTCATCAAGAAATAATTTCACCTGATCGTGCAAAAAGTTAAGATATTAGATACTGTTCTGTAATTGATTTAGATTTTGGGGTGCTGGTTGTGCGGTCGATAGTCTCGTTACCGCTTTGGAAACCTGCCTAGCTTGACTGTGTACATATAATGTGATGCTTTTTATGATTATTTTTTCGTTATTCAATTTCACTGTACATGTATGCGCTCGATTATCAGTTGTACCCAGTAGGACGCTGGTGAAATGGGGCGTCATCCATCAAGAGACCGAAAACGAGTATACTGGTGATGAACAGAGCATCATCATTAAGGACCTGTCCTTTGATATCTGCTTCTGCCTAATGCTACATAGTTCATACATACTAACTAGAACAACATACACTGCGGTCCATTTTGAATCCCATACAGTCTTTCTGTTTCTCCCATCTTCCTACTTCATCGCAGAGTGGGCACTGGCTCCGCAAATTGCGCAGAGATATGCGGACATATAAAGGCTGGGCTTGGTCCCGCAGCAGATGATGCGGGTAGGTTGCTTGGCGGTTGCGGCTGCCGTTGCTGTGTGCAAGATCAATATGCAAGCGGTTGTTGTGGACCTGGAGGCTCTCCAGGAGCCGGATTCACCGCCGGTTGTGCAGGTGCGGGCACAGTGCGATGAGGAGTCAAGGCAATCGACAACAAGGCCCACAAAACACCTAATTGTCGCTAGAATGTTAGGCAAGTCCCTCGCAGATATGAAAAAAACAAGGGCTTACAGAGTAATATTAGTGTTGCAAGCACCCCAGAGCCATACCAAAGGAGAGTCGACTACGAAGTTGGAACTCCAGTTATCAACCGGCAACAAGGATTGGGAACTTGAAGGTCCATAGCTCACCTTGTGCTTCCTGAACCAAGTATCACTTTCCACCCGCCTTGCTCTTCTCTTGAACAATGAGCTGGCCGTTTCCAGTTTAGCTACAAAGCATACATATATAAGTATGTTGCATCTCCAGTCAGAAACGACCGAACCCGCTCGAGACACTTGCCTGATCTCTTCTGTATATCTTCCAACCTTTCACCTCGCTCAATCAATTTCCCTACCACCTCATGAGCTCTGTCCGTTGCTGCATTCACTTCAACAATAACTTGCGATGCAGATGTTGATCCCCTGTAGTCGCCCGCGATTGCTCCGTAATTTCTGGCAGTAGATGATGTAGTCAATCCGTCTTGCCGTTTGGCTCGTAGCGCCGACGGAATGTCCGCGTTTGGGTCAGGAGTGAGGGTCGACGATGAGGAGGCTAGGAAGGAGCGTGGAGGTAGAGCTGGTTTGATGCTGTTCTGATATTCTTGATCTTGGCGCAGTTGTCTGGCTTTCGTTGCTGCTGTTGGGAGGACAACTGTGCGCTTGGCCGATGCCGTCTCTGCTGATTCCAAGTCTGCGAGGAGAGGTGACTGGGGTTTTTAAAGATTGAGCCAACTCTGTGGAAAAAGAGTTTGTTGCATGAACGCTCACCCTCTCGTTTTGGTCATCGCTTTCGTCTCGTCCTGCTGCAACCTTATCTACTAGTGTTCTGATGCCGTCTTTGGCTGCGGCGGCCATCTTGAGAATGCGCGGTGTGCGTCCTTTTCTATCCATTACGGTAGAGATGCAAATTTCTGGATATTCGTGCTGTATGTTTATGTTCTTGGCAGCTAAACCGACAAAGCTGGAATATCGATGATGGCATTTTCCATCATGCTCATGATTAGGTTAGCAGAGTCGGGGGAAAAAATAGTAACATTCGAGAATATCCAGACGTCTGGACGAACAACCGTCAAAAGATTGATAAAAAAAAAGATGAACTTAAACACCGGAAGCATCGCACAGCAGTAGATTTCAACTCCGCTGACACGTAAGCGATGGGTTTACATGCGCTCGTTCTTGGCCTTTGCAAAATCCAGGCTTTTCAATTATGTACGGATTAAAGAACAGATTCTTCGAACGTCAAAGTCAATTTTATGTTTCCAGCTGTCCCAGGCTCCCAGCTATAGACCGTCGATAAATAAAACATACCAACAAACCCTTTTCGGAAATGACCAATCTAACAGCCCCTCCGTTTCCTGCACAGCGACAGTCCGTAGTTTCTCCATGAAAAAGCTTCTCGTTGCCGCCCCGCCGTTGGGTCCTGCAGGACGCCAACGTAAGACCGCACCGCCGTGAACCAAACGCCGCGTTCCTCGTTCTGTATATTAAACGCTGGAGTTCGACATTTGAGCTTGCCGTGTTGTTGTTTCGCTCCCTTTCCTTCTTGACTCTGGGCTAGTGATGCTTAAAGTTAACTTGTACGTATGAAAGTTTTTTACTTTCGCGGAGGCATCAGCAATATGGCAATCGTTGAGCTTTGTGGCCTTCTTGTGGCGACAGGACTCACTTTTGTGATCTCTGACTACCTTTTCAACCACAAGAACGCGACAGTTCCTTTGCGTCAGGACACATCCCTATCTTGGGACACCTTGAAAATGTACGGAAATATGTAGAGGCAGGCAAGGCCCATCAGTTCTTCATCGATCTAAACAAGAAATATGGTCCGATCGTGCGTTTCCGATTTCTCTCTGAACTCGATCGTAATTTCGGATCCCATTGCGGCCAAAGAAGTACTTTCCGACTCCACCAGCTTTCCTAGAGGAAACAAGGGACATGTAGTCGCGGACGGCATGGTTTACAATGGACTTTTTATTATGCCCACGTATGAGGTGTGGAAAATGCACCAAAAAGCTGTTGCAGCCGGGATTTGGCCTGACGCATTTGCGACATGCTGTAACAGCAGCGTCCGTAATGGGAGACGAACTGTTGCAATTATGGGATACAGTTTATGATAATGGGCAAAAGGCAAGGGGAGAGTCCGAGAGCCATCATCAATGCTCCTTTGTACATGTCCTGGGAAACGCTGGACGTGCTCGGTCAAGCTTCCTCGTACAAGTTTGAGCACGTTCGATCATTAAAGTCGAATGATGCTGACGCCAAAGCGTTATTCAGAGAGTACGAAGTTATCAACCATGGGTTGACCCGGCGACCTCTCCTGCCGCGTATTCTGTGGAATCTGGCCAAAGTGGGTCCCAATGACATCAAATCTGGTGTTAATGCCATTGTAGATGCTAGAAAAAAGAGATCCGACGCATTTCACGCTAGTGACACCGATGCGGATTTTCTTAATCGTCTACTGTCTTCGGGGAAATTCAGCGATCAGGACATTCTGGGCGAGCTCGTTGCTTTTTTTCATTGCTGAATTTGAAACGGTAGCTATTGCAAAAAGATTGTCAGAATATATGCGGCAACGCTAAAACTGTCCACATTCTCTGGCACACATCCAATACGCTGACAAAGGCCGTGATGTGCCTGGCACAGCACCCGGATGCAATGAAGATGCTACAGGAGGAGGTCGATTCTGTCCTCGGTAGCTCCTTGGATGTGCATTCTGACGATATGTCTCGTCTCATTGTGGTGGACGCTATTGTCAAGGAAACGCTCCGCCTTTACCTTACCATCCCCGTCCTTTGGCGCTCTTGTGTCAAGGAGAGCCCCCTTGTTTCTCACAAGGCTGCCCCAGAAACAATCGTCTATATCAACATCAATTCCGACCATCACGACCCAAAGGTTTACCCAGATCCTCAGTCTTTCCAGCCCAGCCGCTGGCTCAAGGCAGATCCTGCTCCGCCAGGTTCTTTACACCCTTTGGGCTGGGCGTACACAACTGGATCGAACAAAAGATGGCCTTGATCGAAACCAAGGCGCTGTTAGCCAAGATGCAAGCTAGATATACGTGGAAGATTGTTCCTGGGCAAGCATTGCGCATTGTGCATTCCGTTACAGTAGCAAGCGATCTGTAATACATAATCAATATCGTAAGCACTGCGCCGCCCAGCCCCTGACATAGCCTTGGCATCGCGTGGCACAGCAACCCTTTGAATGCCACCCAATGGAGCACGTGCGCTACGTAAGTGGCGCATGTGGTGTCCGCCAAGCCCCTTCGCGTCATCAGCGCGCGGGGGCGGGGTGTCCAATTTCAAACCCGGTTTGGGGTCTATGAAAAGGAACGGGAAGGCGAGAACGGGGATTTTGGAAACGGAAGGAATTAGAGATTTCGTTTCGAGGATATTATTCTATTCGTTGCATCTACAGTCTTGAAGAAAGCATCTTGAGAAACCGGCATTTTGAATGGCAAAGACTTCTCAAGGACAGGATGGAGCGAGACGTCAACCTTCGCTCTTTCTGAACACGTCCCTTAGTTTGAGAAACGATCACGATTCCTACGAGCACGACAATGAACACGAAGCGTCCTATATTTGCGAGAACAGCCCGTTGTTACTCGATTACGGGTACAGAAGAGGGTCGGAAGACAACTGCGATTCAGCAAGTCTTCACTCTCGACCTCCGTCGTACGCGACCCTCGGCTCTCCAACAGATGTGGAGGAGAGCGATGTAGAGATTGAAAGTGAATTTTCGAATGACGTGAAAAAGAGTACATCCAGGTCGTGCTGGTCGCACCTACCTCCAAGAGACACTCTCACGGTGCTGTTGTCATTGTTTATTACGGAGGCGAGTCGCGGTCTGGTGTTGCCTACCATGTACGTTGTCGAGAATATAGTTAATGCCAAGGCTACAGTGGAAACTCATCATGCCTTCCACATTGCAGGTATACTTATGTTACGTTAATGGGAGGAAATCTTTCTACATTGGGTACCATGATTTCGCTATTTTCGGTCGGGCGTCTTATATGCTCGGTTCCATTTGGAACATGGGCGGATAAACGACGCTCCTCTCGGGAAGTATTTATCTTCGCCGCTGTTTTGGCTGCGGCTTCAAATACTTTATACGCATTCTCTTGGGCTTTACCCCGTCCTATATATTGGTTGTATTTCTCGAGGTTGGCATGTGGATTCGCCACTGGCACGGTCGCTGTCTGCAGGTCATATTTAGCGAGTGCGGTGCCTCCAGCTGAACGAACAAAAGCGATTGCGTGGAGCGGCATGGTGAGTCTCGTGCTGTCAAGTGTCCTCAGAAGGAACTTCTGCTGAAATAGAATCGTATTTCCCTAGGCACAATATGCCGGATTTTCCTTGACTCCTGGCATTGCAACACTCATCATGTATTTGGGAGGCGCTTACACAGAGTCCGATACGGCGGACGCATCGTCTGTCGAGAGCGACAACGACAAAACAGGGACGCCGACCTTGTTTGCGTGCATTCTCCCAACTGGAGCTTTAGTTCTCGTGAACATTCTCCTCATCCCAGTCCTTCTCTCGGCGATGCCGAAGCGGGATCCTGTTGCACCGGTGCCTCCGACTCTCCCACAACCAAACGGCACCGCCGCTGTATCCTCTCATGCAGAAGCGAAGCTCTTAAAGTGGGGCTTTGTCCTGTTCTTCACCCTGAATCTTGTCCTACGTGGTGTCATTGGTGTCACGGAAACGATTGCTCCGGAATTGTATCAGCATCATCGCGTGGACGATGAGGCTGCCCTCGAACATTCCGGTCAATTCTTTTTTATGCTGGGAATAATTGGGCTTGTTGTCTTTTTCCTCGTTGATCCCATTCAGCGCCGACTGATCGCCGGACCTCATCTTTTGAATCTGGGAATTGCGGCGGTTATTGCTGGAACGCTCCTCAATGTGGACCCGGAACCGGAGCGTACCAAAGCCAATTGGTTGTCATTTGTGGGTGGAATGACTTTGATATGGTCCATCGGGTCTCCTGTTTGTCAAACCTTGACTGTTTCCATGTACTCTAAAATGCTGGGTAAGAGGCCGCAAGGGTCCCTCATTGGGTGGATCACCACAGCGGGAAGTATCGGGCGAATCTTGTTCCCCTTTTTGATTGGCCTAAAAGACTGTGCTGCATTTTGGGTCAATTGGATGGACGTAGTCTTGTGTTTTGGCTGTGCGGTGGGTGTCCTTGTATTTGAAAGGTGTGTGGGCAAAACGCGAAGGATGCTCGAAGGGAATGAAGAGGTGGGGCCTGATGATGAAACACCGCATCATTCGGACGACGAGTTGGATGGTGAGACGGACAGTGAAGAAGTGCCGATTGACTGCGGAGGGAATGAACGGCTGTCTGGAGGACCGGCGGAGGTCACAAACGCACAGAAAAGATGAGATTCCCTGTTGTATGGATTTGGGTGATTGGCATGTTTGTAAATAGCCTTGTGTAAATATATATCACTTTGAGAACAAAACATTTCGTCCAAATGCTTTGAAGCGTAACAATGTATTAAAATGAACACTATTGTTTGATGCCTACGCACGACTCGTTCTGTTCCATTCCACTGCATCATCAAATCGTACACCTGTGCCCCCAAAAATGTCCAGTGCGCTGAAAGAAGGGTCCTGGTCAGCCAACCGGACACTTGCCATTTTGCCATAACGAATCCCACCTTCCATAGGTCAAATCTACTTTTCCGTTCGACAGCCTTTGCACCAGCGCCAAATCGTTGATATCTACAGGACCGTTTCCTTCATCAAAAATCTGACACTTTCCAATCACGAATTTACAGCGACACTCACCCTTCCCTCCCCCCGCGTAGGTACAAGGTATGGTACACCATTCGCCCAGACCTATAACGTAAGACTACCTTGTTCACAACGCTTTGACGCAAAGCCAAGTTGAAAGACGGTACTTACGTCGAACAAGTTCCTCATCAATGCCTTGACATAGCCCCTCTACGTCTGCAGCGTGAACCAGGAACTCGCTGAGAGTGGATGAGTAAGGAGCTGGATTCATCGGTCGAGAAAAGCCTATCATGGTTACCTGCAGTATTCGGTTATCATGTCCAACGTTTCTGATGCCCATCCCAATGAGTATCAATATTACACGCTCAACACTTCAGGTAATTGCTCACCTTTATTGACTTCTGTATCCGTGGGTGTTTGCCATTTGTCCATGGCTACTATCCACTTGTCGCCTCGTCTCTTGCAGCTTTAACATGATCTTTAGCGATTACAAAAGGATTACGTTCCTTGCAAAAATCCAAAACTTACCTCAGATCTACTACTAAAGACTTTTTACCGATTTTCTCGGCAAGTGCACGGAGACGGTCTATGCTGAACTTTGCATTCGGGAATAGCCAACTTGTTACAATCACCTGTAAGCAAAATGAAAAAGCATATATCAATCAATCATTCTGTGTTCTAGGAAAAAATAGCGCCATTCTCCATTCAAAAATCAAACGCAAATATATCAAGAATCCTCACCCCAAAACGCATACTTTATCTGCACCCGCATCCAGCCATTCCTGGGCGTTATCAATATTGATACCTCCACCAATTTGCAAGCCTTTGGGCCACGCTGTGAGAGCGGACTTTGCTGCCTCGTCATTCTTTGGCCCCAGTTTAATCACATGTGCGCCGTTGAGACCGTTTTGGCGGTAGAGAGCTGCATAATATGACGGTGGATGGCTAAGATATGCAAGCAGGTCAACGAGGAGCACCATGCGACATGACATTTGCCTTACACACTTTACCTCGCGACAAAGTTCGTCTTGAGAACGGAGGGTGCAGAATCGCTCAAAGATGCCCCTACAATCTGTTTCACTTGACCTTCATGGAGGTCAATGCAAGGGCGAAAAACCGTCATGCTCGCCAACGTTTTTCCAACAGCGGAGAGAGTGAAAGCCGATCGAAATGAAGCGTCAATTCCAGATCTTTTGTTGTCATGGCAACTGCGGGTCAATTCGAAGCGCCATCACCTTTCGCTGTACGTTTGTGTGGCGAGATCCTTCAAGCATTTCCATCCCTGCTGGAGAAGCAGCACCCGAGGGTTTTAACGAGACTGCGACGAGAGTGTATTGTAATTTCCTTGATTTTCGTGTACCCACGCTTGGTTCTTTTTGTTTTGAAGGGCATTTCAAAAGCGTTTGTCTTTAGGAGGTACGAGTTGAACTCATTGTGAACTGTGGTCTACTGTTTGTCCTCACGCAACCTCGTTTTAGTCACTCTCCGCCCGTACCCTTTAACGACTCCCGAGTCCCACGTTATGACCACCCCAGAGACAGCACAACCACAACCTCCCCTCCTTCAATCCCGCCGTCACCGTCCCGCTGCAACAGCACCTTGTCCCTCATGTGGTGTCACTCTTGAATTTTCCCTACCGTCATCAACTTCCCCTCGCCCTTCTCCCACTAGCTCTCCGACCTCTGACGGGTATGCATGGGACCATTATCGTGTGCAGTGTTTCTCGTGTTTGGAAGTGGGTAGAATCCCGCTACGTGACGCTAAAAGGAAGGATGAGCCACGGCTTAATGGAGTAGGAGGATCAAATAGGGAGCAGAAAGAGGAGAAGCCGAAGGAGAAGGAAAGGGAAAGGGCTCAAGAACAGCAGCGACGAAAGGTGCCAGCCAAATTTGGGGGGAAGAAAGGCTCAGGTATGTTATAACGAACGGTTTGGGAACTGCAGCGATGGCGTATTCATTTCTATGCCTGTTAGATGAACATCCCATCGAAATGGAATACTATGACTTATTGGGTGTGCAAGCGAGTGCGACGGCGGGGGAAATCAAAAAAGCGTATTACATGAAGGCGATGAAATGCCATCCGGACAAAAATCCGGACGATCCTGATGCTGAGGAGAAGTTCAAATTGATCTCTGAAGCATACCAAGGTGAGTGAATGCCATTGGTGTGGAGCTCTGTAGAGACTGCGGTGTTAATAGTTTATCCTTTTCAGTTCTTTCCGATCCCCAACGCCGTTCATTCTACAACCAGCATGGCAAATCCGCTTCCGGTAGTGATACTCCATTTGTAGATCCTGAGGAATTCTTCAAGCAGCAGTTTGGTGGTGACAAATTTGTGGACATTATCGGGGAGATCTCTATTGCAAAAGACTTTGCGGAAGCCATGTCTGGCCTTGGCGATGGAGGAGGTGACGGGAAAAACAATAAGGACCTGACCGTCGAAGAGAGGGTCGAGATCCGAAATAGACGAGTCGACAAGCTGGTTACCAGCTTGAAGAACAAATTGGCGCTCTACGTCGATGCGTTTCCAATTGAAGTGTCCGCTGATGCAGGGGCCGCAGATGCAACCGGAGCCACAGCACCCCCGTCGCCAGACCGTGAGCGCTTATCTGCGGAAGCGATGGAGGCTTTCCGCACCATGACAGCGTTGGAAGCTGAAACACTAAAAACCGAATCATATGGTGTGGAGCTCTTACATGCTGTTGGATACACATACCAGCTAAAGGCATCACAATGGCTGGCGAAGATTGATGCGGAAGAGGGACCTGTCTTCAAGCGGGCATGGGGATTCGGGAGTCGGATGGCTGGCATAATGAGAGAAAAGGCGCATATCATCGGGGAAACTGTCGGAACATTCAAAACGGCTTTGGATCTGCAATCGAGCTTTGCCAAGCTTCAAGAAATGGAGAAGAAAAAGGATGAAAAGAAGAATGGAACAGGCGCGGAGGGACAAGGCGCTACTGCCGACAAGCCACCCAATCCTTCATCTGATGCAACAAAAGACGATGTGGAGATGACTGCCGAGGAGCGAGAATTGCGCACCAAGTTGGAATACGAGGCGGCTAGCAAAGGATTAGAGGCTCTATGGCGCGGTAGTAAATTGGAGGTGGAGGCTGTGCTGAGGGAGGTCTGTGATAAGGTTTTGGGAGAGGAGACGGAGACGACAAAGGAAGTGAGACGCAGAAGGGCCGAAGCGCTAAGGGCATTGGGACAGGTATATGAGTCCGTTAAGGCGGATCAACCTGGGGCGAGCGGAGCTACTGGGGCGTCATCGGAGGCATCACGATGAAGTATTTGATAATATCGGGGCTTATATCGACGGGTCTTGCAACACACATTGTATCTATGAGTAGTAGTCTTATATACAGAATAAGTATAATGCTCTGCAGCCAATGGTCCTCTCGTATTTCTGGATATGTAAGAGCGAAAGGAAGTTCATTTCTTCATCAAGAGGTAGAGGTTCATGCCAACATCGAAATCCTGCATTTGTCGCTGATCTCCGGTGATGCACAAAAGTAGCCCACCAAAAGACGCATACACGGACCTGGTAGAAAGAAGCACAAGTCAACAAGTCGCTGCCATTCATGTTGTTGAGCAAGAGTCAGGATGGACAGCAGAACACTCACACTTTGCCAGATCCCGAATCATCGAATTTGTACACCTTCCCGTACATCACATAATCGTAATCGTCCGCCAGCGTTCGTTCTCCACTCCGATCTCTCCATGCCTCCTTGTTTTGTGCATCCCCAGCCAAGCCATCCAATGACAGCGTTGTTGCCAGCAAAAAGGCAAACTTGTCTCCGACCTCGAGGGGGTAGATTTCCGTATTTACGTCAAGGAGCACTTCAACGTCCAGTGTTTGGCCCTCAGCTCTAATTCGAGAGACTATCCGGCTGTTCAATACTTCTTCCTATCCAGAGCATACCACCATTCCATAATGCAACCCTACCTCTGTCAAATTTTTTCCCAAAGGGGTCCATGTCTTTCACCTCAAAGGTGGACTGAAACAGTTGGTTCTGCACCCAGCGTGGTGTTAGTAATTAGAAAAGGCATTTCATGTCACGGTACAGGCACTCCACCTTCATGTTATGCACTGGTCGTCCAAAGTTAGGAAGAAGCGTCCCGCTACGGTGGTTGGAGGGGCGGACTGGCAATCTTGCAAATAGAGATCAACAAACACACTCGGTCAGAAACCTGAGATCTACACGAAGTCTTGTTGCCATGGCAATACAACACACCTGCTAAACTGAAGCGACCACTGGGGACATATTGCCAGGAAGCCATCATTTCCGAAATTCACCACGCTTGGCCGGGAGATAATAATTGGCAGCAATTGAACCTTCATGTGTTCGCCGCAGAAAACTCTGCAACACTGGTTTGGAGAAGAAGCCAGCCCACTGCGGCAGAACCTGCTCGTACCCAAAGTCCCAGATGTCGCATGAAGCAGTGAGGACATGGGAATTTAATCGAATGGCTTTAGTGCTGTCTGCGTTGATTAATTGACCAACCGCTTTCAAAGTGACAGTCATTTGCACTTGTCGTCGTCGTCGTCGTCGTTTGCCTCAAAGTGCCTCGTAGCTAAGCTCTATGGCTGAGCCACTCATTGTATCCAATGACAACGAGCAGGAAGGGGCCTAGTTGATCTGTCCGTCCTACAGGAATTAACGTCCAGAAACCTTGTGTGTTGGAGTGTTTTCGTCGCCATGACCTATCGTGACGAAGCAGGCTTCGTTGTGGAAGACGTCCTAATCCCTCCTCCGTATGTGTACTATCAGGTAATACTTTGTGCGTGAGTTGCGTTTCCGCGAGATGTCGGCTGTGATCACAAACAGTCTGGGCGTTTTCTAGTGCCATTGTCATCAACAAGCCCGTATACCCAGCAATACCCAAACTACCCCCACCGGCCATGATGATGAGACCACTGAACCTCCTCGCACTGCAGACATTCTGTCACTATTTCCCATATCCCGAACATACTACTGCGATCACTGTCACCAACTACGATGTCCTCTGTGTATATCGGAGGAAATTGCCTGTTACTATTGCCCGAACTGCTTGTTCGAGGTTCCAACCGCTTCTGTAAAGGCTGAAAAGAATCGGTAAGAAACTCTCCCGCCGCATTTGGTGTACATGACGAGCCTGGACCGACTGGATTCTTACACTTGACTTTGAACACAGATGTGGCCGTAATTGCTTCGAATGCCCTGAATGTCAAAATACATTGACCGTGGTATCATTGGTAGATCCTGCTGCCACTGGAACAGCGGAAACTGCCGCAGGAGGAACCGCACCCGCTACTGGAAATACACATTACTTGTCATGCGGTGCTTGTCGATGGGATTCACTGGAGATTGGACTCCAGTTTGAGCGACCCACGGGCCTTGCAAGTAGGGAGCTTGATTAATCAAACGAATTCTGTCACTCGGCTGAGCGCTGACGTCTAGATTGTATGATTGTATGATCAGCACAGTTGCAACCTGTTGAAGAAGGGCGAGCCGATGTTCGCGAATTTGAAAACCTACGACTGCACTTTGAAAAACTTTTGAAAGTGAAAGACAACGCAAACAATCAGTTCGGGCTTCTTCGAGGTCGAGGCGCGGGTGGAGCGGGCCTGAATCTTCCTTCGTCGCTACTGGCTTCGATTCCGGGATTGGCCTCACTGGCGTCTTTCGGGAACCGATCGGCTGCATCCAGCACGACCAGCCGCGATGCACGACCCGAAAATTACGTTCCTTTAACTGAGCCGCCGTTGAGCGATGACACCGAACGAGTGCAATTGGTACGAGAGGGTGCAAAGAATGGTGGGTACATTTGTGCTACCATATTGCAAACGCTCCATACTGAGCTTCAACACAGTTACCACATTACGACAGAGAATGAATCAACCAAACGACAACCCGATGCAGAAAAGGTGGGGCGACGTAGAAATGTTGGGGAAATTCTTGCAGCTAACTAACCCAAAGTAACGGAGCATAGCGCTCTTTATCCGCAGCGAATACAGCTGCGCACAAAGCGATCTAAACGCTGTCGCAAATGTGAGCATATTTTGGTGAAGCCTGAACAGAAAGCTCAAAGCACCCGATTCAAAATTAAACTCATGGCATCGTAAGCAGTCGCTACACGGTCAACCGTTTCTTATTGGTCATGCTTATCATTCGTGTGTGCACAGACACTTTATTCCGACCATCAGCATTGTAAATTCTCCCTTATCCGATTTAAAATGGGATACTCCCACCCGCATTATTATGAAGTTTTCAAATCCGTTGGAAAGAAGAATCGCGATTTCACTGGCTACCACGCAAAGCGCAAGCACGAGCAGCAGACAGGCCGGTGATTCATTTCAAGCGGAAAGCAATTGTGAGGTAAGGGTACGCGATTGATTCTTGATAGTTTTAGGACTAACAGAAATTCGGGGATGGTGTAGGTAACCGTCGTGGCCCCAAATTTTACAGTTGATCCTGCGAAGGAGATTTGGGAGTATGATGAAGAGGGGACGGAGCAACCCGAAAAGGACAGTCGTGGGGCAGCATCCGCTGTTGGCATTCATGAAAGGGACAAGAACATCACAAGTATTCTTGTTCACGTCACACCGAGGAGAACTCGTGGTGTTGCCTCAAGCAGAAGCAGTAATCAGGAGGTCATCAGGGTACGATCAATATGCGAACGTCCTTGATATGTTCGTCTACTGACATTTGCTATCAGTTCCCACTATTGGTAACGGTTAAGCAGGCAGATGAGGTGCCTGTAGAGTCGCAAGTCACGTCAGCCAACCCGGAGGAATCATCTGGTACGGGACATAACAAATTCGAGCCGTTATCTTTCTGGGTTATGGTTGGCTTGGGAAGGCTAGCGAGGTCCAATGGCTGATGTCTTGAATAAGTAAAACCATATGCAGCACTGCGGCGTACGTTATCACTTCCCGTTGGTAGTCCAGTTATCACACTACTTTTTTATTCAGCTAACTAGTTTCATAAGATCTATGATGCGCGCTCTCTACCGCTAGCGCCTATGCTACCGAGAACTAATCGTCTAGAAGTCCTTCACGATCGAAATTGCTTAGATACTCATTTGCATACTATTTACGTCGTAGATCTCCCCGGGAAACCTAATCGAGAAAACGTATTCACCAATTGTTGACCAGGAGGCACAGGTCGTTCTGGTTTTCTCTGAGCGTTGTCCTGACGAAGAACTCTCAGGATCGGTGTCACATCCTTCCCTGCTGCACGCCATTCCTTCATTAACTGCATCGCATAGTTCTCGAACGCTTCATCTTCCGTTTCTTGTTCTCTTCGCGCGGCAAGCTCGTCTTCAAGTAGTTCTGAACGCTCTTGTTTGCGACGCCGCTCGTTCATTTCCTATGCGGAAAGATATGCCCAGATAAGGGTACTTGTGGACATGAGTGTAATTCACCTATCAGATCCGCTTACCATTTGTTCTTTGTGTGCTTTCTTAAGAATGTCTAAATTCTTGTGTGCCGTTGCCTTTTCAGCTTTTCCCCCCTCTATGAACTCCGTCGCCTCCCTCTCAAATTTCTGCCTTATAGCTAGTCCCTCTTCTAATTCACGACGACGGCGTTCCTGCATTTCTTTGAGCTGGGAATGGAAAGGGAACGATGTCAGAAACAGCAAGATTCTGGCGAGGATGTTGCGGATTACTCACATGTTCTATCTGATAGCTTGCTTCTTGCTCAAGCGCCTTCTTATGCCTAGCCTGTTCCTCCGCCATCCTCTTTTCCCACAACCCATCGTGAGCGTGAATGTTCTTTTCAAGGAACTCTTCTCTCCGACGCTGGTATTCTAGGCTCTGTTCGGCCGCTATGCGTGAAGCAGCTTCGGATTTGTTTTGCCTTTCTCTGTTGAAAAGGGAACATCATCAGATCATAGTGAATCGCACGATTTCTATGTGAAGACCGGATTAAGCCCAACTTACTGAATGATCCTCTTTTCTGCTTCTTTGCGTTGTACTGCAAACAAACGCTTCATCTCCGCAAATTTCTCAGCCTCCTCTTTGAGCAGCTTTTCGTCTTCAAGAATTTTGCGCTTTTCGGCCTTTGTTCAACGACACATGCAAACGTTAGATCCTCGAGTGCATCGAATGACATTAAGCTGTTGCAACTCACTTCGTGCTGCTCTTTTGCTGCGTCCAAAGCTTTCCTTTGTTCCTCTTCCAGTTTGAGTTGGCGTTGCCGATCTGTCAATCGAAGTTCCCGCTCCTGAGCCGCTGCTCTTCGACTTTCCGCCGCCCACTTCTCATCATCTCTCTGAAGGGATGACAACATTTTAGAAAAAGACCGCACGTGAATAGCCCGACGAACAACGTCTCTTACCGTCTCATCTGTGCCAGGGACGTTTGAACTTGCCCTAGACCTACTCTTCCCGTGTCTTTTGGCAGCAACCTGCTGTAGTTGGTCTTCGGCTGTCTGATAGGCGGCTATCCGTGCACGGACCATTGCTTCTTGTTCCTTGCGTAGAGCCTCTTCTTCTGCGTGTCGGAGCCGAGCTTCCTCGGCATGCTTGGCTTTTTCGAGTGTTTTGCGACGCTGCTCGTTCTCAATCAACTGCCTATTCCGTTCCTGAAGTCCAGAGGGTTACCAGATTGTTCGTGCTCTACGTAGAGGTATGTGCCTACCTCAAGGACATTGGATAGCAGAAGGGAAGAATGTAATTGCTTAATTCTGGGCTGTTCGGTACGTTGCATCCACCGAGCTCGATCGATCGCTTCCTGACGTTTAGCGTCTTTAAGTTTTGCCCATTCCTGGTCCACCTTCTGTCTCTCTTCCTATTGCTTGCAAACTCAGCCGGCAGCACCAAAACACAGCATCACCCAGCAGAAGAGTTTCGAACCTCAAGTTTTGCCATGCGCTCTTCTTTGGCAGCAAGTCTTTGTCGGCGCTGCCCCAGAACAGTGTTTCCCCAATTCTGCACTCGATCGAGTGATTTTCGATGGAGTTCTACTTTCTAGAGGCACACCGGAAAAGGTTTTGAGTTTGCGTAGGGTCAGGGCTACATCCACAGACAAATCACCCACCTCCTTTTCCATCATGTTGCGGAGATTCTCTTCAGCCTGTGTTTCCAATGCAAGCCTTTTTGCCCTGTCCAATTCATCCGAAGCGACTAGATGTCCCGGACTAGTATTGCCATATGAAGATTTATGGTCATGGGTAGCATTATATGGGACAAAGTCAACCGCTGATGGAACGACATGATTGAATATAAGCTTATTGGCAAGAAGACAAGTGTTTAAAACGGAAAACGGCGCCGTACGTACCGTTTAGAACCGGGGCAACGCTTGGATTTCCACGGCGTGAGCCAACTGCAACACCGGGCATGTCTGACTACTTTAGAGGTGTAAATGGCCTCAAATCAATGACAGTATTGGACGATACAAATTCCCAACTGAGTGTCGCTTCTAAAATCGTTGTTGAAAAAGTGAACTTTGGAAAATGCAATCACAGGTTTCAAAGAAGATTGGGACTGAGTGCGTATAGGGAGGTCCCCAAGCATAAGCATACTTTTTGGATTGGTAAACGTTAAATTCCCCCGTAAATCTATTTGCGGTCTCGCCGATGGGGGATATCCCTTCATGATCGGCCCTAATGCAGACTATTTTAAATGGACGGTGGCTAGATGCAAGCACAGCGATGAGGTCATGCAAAAATGTGATTCAGAGACTTGATATTCTCCGAAAACGCTGGTATCGAGTTGGGTAGAAATCCAGTCCAGCAAAAGGAACATTTGGAACAAAGCTCCGTTTTATATCACCTCAAGCGAACAAGAAGAACTTTTATCCCTAATCATGAGCACAGCGGCTGTCTACATCCCAGACCAACAACCTCCGTCTGTAACGGCCTGGAAAGCAGGAAATGCCACGGCGATTACCGTGAACAACTCGGGTCGGGAGCCTGCAGTCCAAACATGGAGGGACGGTCAGCCCGTCGAGACTACTTTCAACCCGGAGCGAATTCAACCGCAATATCAAGCCCAAGATGAACTTGACCGTCTCAGAAACTATTCTACCCGGCTTAACTTGACAAACTCTGGTGGCTTTAATCCAGACCAATCTAACAAACCACCCAATGTGGCCGCTACGTCTGTTGCTACAAATGAGTCTGCGCAAAACTCTGTGAACCCCAAGAGCACCACATCCCAGCAGGGGTTGGGCTCATCTGAAGAGAAAGGCCATGAACCTCGTGAGGGTGCAACCTACACTGAAGTCAAAGGTGACCCTCAGACTCACACGGTCACACTGAGCACCACTACTTACCGGCCTGCCGGCGGCCATCTCATCGAAGCTGTCGACACTTACACTTATCGTCGTCCGGAAACAACCAACGGAGAGTATGGCAATTTCCCTCGTCGGACGCACTTCGAGCATGAAGTTGATGAGCGGGGGAGTGAAGTCTTTGCTAATGGAGGCAAAATTGTGAAGAATGGAGACAGGGTCGTCCCGCTGGGAGGACCTGGCTCAGCCGAAGAGCGACCTGGGTTGGCGAGGCATGGCAATGCCCTTTGATGACAGATTGTCATCACTGGCGATTAAAATGTAAAGAGAACGACGGGCTGTAAACGGATGAAATGCTTGTAGGCAGCACATATCTTCAACATGCTTTTTGTGCATTAATATCTCCCAAATCATGTAATCTAAAGAGTTTCCAGTTTTTCACTTTCATTCTTGACTGCAACTTTCCAGATAACGCATGTCCTTCGTGGACTACGACAGTCTCTTCATGTAATAAATGAATGTGTGTTTGCTTGTACTTACAACTAATGCTATTCTAAACCTAATACAACAACCCACCTACTCTAATATAGATATCCCATACTGAGCATCAGACAATTTTGGTGGAGGTTCCACATTACGTGGAGCTGGTGGTGGCAGCCCTTCCATGACCCGTCTCTTGAAGTCTTCAGCTGTCTCGGGAGCCTGCATGCGATGTCCAGGTCTTACAATCTGAATAATGATAAGCCTGCAAATGTGTTCACTCACCTGTGTTGGTGCAATGAAGATCTCTGGAATTCCGAGCTGTATCTTTGCCACCAGTGCCTTAAAAGCAGCCTGGACAGATCGCGCGCGCTCAACATGGTTATGAACCATTAGAATGCGGACCATCGCAAGAACGTCAACTGATACATAAACATTGGTCAAATTTCTAATGGTAAGCTAGCAATGACCAGTGAATACGCACCTCTCATATCATTTGAACGATTGATTAGCTTTCTCAAGCAATTCATTAGATACTCATCCTCGAATGCTTTGTCACGGCCTGTAGCTCGTTTCCGCTCGGCCTTTCGCCGAGCCTTAGCCGTACGACTGATGCAGCAGGCAGCTTAGCTTATTATACGGACCGCTGTGGAAGAAGAACATTTAGGAACTTACGCCGTTCGCACTGTCGATCGTGAAGCCAAACTCGTCAAGGCGCTGGCGCCCGTGATGCGGGTTGTAGCCATAGACGTTGTGTCGGAAAACATGTCAATATTATCGAGGCTTGGGTCGTGAGTTCCGGCCTCCGCTGCAGCCAAGTTCCGAGCTTTCTCCTCCCTCCATCGATGTAATCTCTCACGTCTCGTGTCGAATTCGGTGGACATGTCCTTGATGTCCTCCAGCATTTGCGCACAAGCTACAAAGCCATGTGAGCGCTTGTTGCCTGATTGAGAAAAGATATTTAGACAGAAAGCGCAAATACCTTCCAAAGCCTTCGGCTTTATAGCTGTGTCTATTAGCTCAGCATGCCCATACATACAGGCCTACAGGAGCACAGTTCGTGAGCTAGCTACGGGTCAACTAGCAGCTAAAGCAAACTTACTGTCCGGGATGCTTCACTCCACAGGGACCCTTTTACGAGAACGTTTACGGCCTCAAGAGGCTTCTTCGCGTAATCCAATAGGATCCGCGCAGCATCTCGATATTGAAGGCGTCTGATCATTTCCTCTATAATGAAGTTCAGGTTAGGACTACATCTAATGAAAATACAAGCATTGCACCCGAACAGACCAGACATGTCACAAGCCATTCCAGTTATTTCGGCCTCTGGAAGTCCAAGATTCGTGGCAATCGCAAAAGTTTGCTGCCACATTAGTGCTTTCTGATACGCCTGCATCGCTGTAACTTTGGCTCCAGCGATTTCGTACAACAGCCCAGCTTCCTCATAGTCGGAACGTTCCTCCAAGTGATCTGCATATAATCGTAACACCTCCTGGTACCGGGCCTTTTGATCAGAGAAGACGTCCATTGCCACCTTGTAAAGTCCATGCTGCTTGATGTAAGCAAGACAATTATTGTAATACTCATCACCGGCAAGGCTAAGATGGCGCAACGCCGTCTCCCGTTTTCCTAGATGATCATCGATACGGTACCGCTGATAGTTTGTTTCAAGTTTTTGTAGCTCCGAAAGGAACGGAAGATACTCTCGTGGATCTTTTTGTGAATGCTGAGCAACCATGAGCACGAGTGGAAAATCATACATCCCCAGAGCCACATCGTAAAGCTTGTCAACATCCGCAAGAAATATGACGTATTTCAGAGCAGCATCCGCCGCCTCGGGTGACTCTTTGGTCTTTACCAAGAGAATGCGCCTCATCGCCGCTTCCAAATCAGGCGGCGTTTTCTTGACATCAGTTGTCAGTATGGACTGTGTGTACCGCTGCGAATCAACTTCCTCCAGGGCCCGTCGAATAGTCTCACATATGGAATTGACTTTGCCCTCAACCTTGTCCGTCGTCCCGACCTTGGAGATGGCTCCGTAATACATTGTCACTGTTACATCCTCGTCCCTCAAAGTCGAGATAAACAGATTGAGGTATTCTGGATCATCGATCTGCCGCACAAATAATTGAATGTTGCCTTCGAATTGCGCGCGATTATGATCAACCAAAAGGTTCAAGTCGATACGATGCTTCCGGCAGTGAAGGAAGGCTGCTCGGTAATCTTTCTTATCTATTAACCGCCGAACGGTGGCAAGAACCAAAGCTCTAGGATAAACTGTCTCAAGATTGCCTCGCGGCATCTTATATTTTCGAAGTCCGGTCAGTTGAACGAAGCTCGTATCCGAGCAGCTAACGAACATTACCTGTAAGACTAGCGATATGTCTCCTGGTACCGCCGTGACTATTCTTGAACCGCGTTCAACCCGCCGAACGTGCTCGTCAAATGGCGAGGAGGTTGTCTCCGGCAAAGTGAAATCTGACACTGAGTGTGAGATCAGCAGGTTTTGTTACGAGTGGATACTTTCACTTACCATCGAAAGCCACATTTAAAGAAATGAACCTCGCAGTGTGCGTGAAGGTCGTCAATATCAAAAAGTCATCATGGACGAAAAATGATGTACAATCGGGTGAAAGTAGTCGGTCATTTGCATACAGCTTATTGCGATCACTCAAACCTATCAGGATTCTCTGCTAACAGACTCAGGTGAGCCATAGAATCAGGCCCAGATTGTTCTGAGTTTGACATTACCTGTGATTGGCCATCTGATCCACGGAGTTCCGCGGTAGATATCCACGGACACATGGTTGGAACGCCGGGCACAAAATGCAAAAATGGCTGCTCCGCAGCACAATCCACTGAATCGAAGGATGTCATGAATAACGATCGTGCACGCGACGATATTACAAATCACTAACCATATGCTACCCGTCCATCAGCAGCTTCAACTACTGCTATTCCACTGTCCACGTTGCAGTGCAGCCGAACGAATGAGCGGACACCGTTTGTTGCTCGCGCGTCCCTTCTTTCGCAAACTTGCATGGTCGCTTCGTCCAGCGTGAATATCACAACATAATCTTCTCCAACCCTATCATCGTACGCCAAGGCCAAAAGAGTTTTGGCGTCAATCCAAGCAATTTGACGAAAGGTGATCGCAGAATTTTCCTGTGGAAGACTTGACCAAAAAGTTAAGACCAACTCGTTGCTTTGCTGGAAGCAAACGATGCTTAAAGCATTACCTGATATATCCTAAACGCTCAGGTACCTTGACCGGTTTAACAACAGAGCCTCCCTTAAAGAGGTGAACCGTTTTATCGCACAGCAACACTGCGAGGTCATCGCCTGCATTCCCTGGTCCGAAGGTGACATATGCGGCAGGTGCAGGCAATTGTACCTTAACAGCAGACATCGGTGGTGGTACATTCAAATGCTTGAACGGCGTAAGAAGAACGGAGCATCCATCAATGACAGCCACCGTAGCAGGATTTTCTGCTACCCGAGATGTGCTGACAAACTGGTCAGCGCAAAAGTCGGATCGTTGGTATGAGCCGGACCTAGTTGTCAAATGCAATCGAAGAGCCACTTCCGGATCCCATTGCATACCGGAAAATGAGTCATTCTCTGATACCGGTCGCAATTCCTGCTTCAAGTACCAGTAATAGTTATTTGCAGTCCACAATTGAATGACTGATTCGGGCTTCGCAGAAGGAGAACCACTTTGCAGCCAAACACCAAGGACTGTTGAATCCGCATTCCACGCCACCTCTACAACCGTAGCGGTATCATCGCGAAGGGCAAACTCCCCATGTCGAAGTCCGTTCTTTTCAAAAAAGATGATATCATGCCGGTGGGGAAGCCTCTGACTTGCGGCGATCAAGTTCCCCGAGGGTCTCCAGTTCAAGGCATGCTCCAATTGCGATACGCTTTCGCTCGTATATTGCAAAGTACATTCCCTGTCATACATACGTATGACTCTCTTATTGCCGTTTGGTGCCACCGCTGAGCATGCAAAGTAAGCTCCGTCGCCCCTCCATGAAATCCGTGGTCGGAAGTCATCGTCATCCGAAATCAGGTTACTGCCAGTCAGCGCATCGTCCTTACGCAAGGCAGCCTGTTTCCCCTCTGATCCATGAAATTGGGTTTCCTTTTTGCCCCATCCAACGCTTACGTGCTCCTCCTTGCCAGTCCCCTCCACATGAATCGGAATTTCTGTGATAACCTCAAAATCTTTCGTCATCTCCAATATGGTTCCTGCTCCCGTAACTATCACTACAAGCTCATGATCTGGACTCCATTCCATGCATAAAATTCCTGAATCCACAGTTCCCACCACTTCTGGTGGTCTGTCCTCTCCATCCTCTGATGGTATCAACACTAGGTCGCCCCCGTTGAGCGCGACGCACAATGCCTGAAGCTCCGGAACATATTGAAAGCCAACAACTTCCACAGCGGCAGTTGTTCCGAGTGGTTGGTTTGGGAATGTAGCGATTTCAGTTACTTCTTGTGAGACAGAAACTTTGTATACCCAGCTCTGACGTTCCGTTCCTACAGAAGAGTACACGTCCAGAGTTTCAGGATCGACCGCAATATGTGAACGTCCAGTACTGTCCAGCACGTCTTCTGGGTAGAGCACCGCACGGGCCTCGCTGAGAAGACACAGGCTCCGCATGGTTCTTTGGGCCGATCGTCGTCGTCGTCGATCTCCACAAGAAACCAAACAGCATGCTTGAAGCAATAAACCCATATATGGGCATACTGCGCCGCAATATGCGTGTGGCTTGGAACATTACTGGGGAAAGCTGAATTCTTTTTGATGATTTGCAGGCCAAGCCTTTTGTTGGAGCCCGCGTGTTTCTGCCTACGAACGTACAATGGCCAAACCAAAGCAACAGCGAAATAAGCAGCGATCAAAGAAGCATGTGCAGGCACCTGCCGCTTCCACCGACAGCGACTCTCTGGACGTGGACATTGCGGCTTTCATTGAGGAGCAGCAACTGGAGATCGACCCTGACGTTGCGGAGCTTTTGACCGAGGATACAGCCGTATCTAAGAAAAAGGGTGGAAAGAAAAAGGGAAAGAAGAGTGCGGCAGCTGCAGAGGAGGACAGCAAGATCACTGCAGAAGTGGATACGGCCCAAAATGTAGAAGGAGACAGCATGGGTGATGTGGACATGGACGAGGAAGACGAGGCTGAACTCGCTGCGTACCTCGATATGATGAAAGGAAAAAAGGAAGACAAGGACGAAGAAGAGGACGAGCTGGTAGAAAAAGTTTATTCTAATGATACGGTTAGTAATGCGGATGTCGGTTGGGTTACATGCACTGGATGTTGGCAAACGACGAAGATTTGGACGACAAATATGCAAATTCGGGGCTTGTTGGCGGACGTGTATTGGCGCTTCATTGCATTATTTGAACATGGCTCTAATCAATACTTATAATTCAAACAGGTGGCACTACTTTCACGCCTGGACGACATACGACTTGACCAACCTGGTTTCAAAGTGCCATGGATCGAAACGCAGTCAATAACCTCACCCGCCCCGCTTGACCTGGATCCCTCTGACGTTCATGATGATCTGAAACGAGAGCTTGCATTTTACAAGCAAGCCCTTTATGCAGCCACTGAAGGTCGCAAGCGGATACTAGCTGCTGGTGTCCCATTTTCTCGACCAGATGATTTTTTCGCGGAGATGGTCAAGACTGACGAGCATATGGCGAAGGTGCGACAACGATTGTTGGACGAGGCGGCGTCGATTCAGGCGGCAGAGCAGGCACGAAAACAGAGAGACTTGAAGAAGGTATGAAATCATTTAGATGCACGTCATAACAAAGCTGTTACTCATGTCCTTCATCTCTATCAGTTTGGCAAAAAGGTGCAGCAAGAGAAACTTGCAGAGAGGGAGCGAACCAAAAAGGCAGAGTTAGAGAAAGTCAAGGTGGCGCGCAGGAAACATGCTTCGGCCGAAGGGGGGCGGGATGACGGAGACGACGAATTCGATGTTGAGGTGGACAGTGGATCGCGTGGTGGTAAGGGCGGACGAGGGGGCAAGACCGCGGCAGGTGGAAAGCGGAAACGGAAGGACGAAAAGTTTGGATTTGGTGGACCAAAGCGTCACAAAAAGAGCAACACTGCAGATAGTACATCTGACATGAGTGGATTTAGCTTAAAGAAGATGAAGGGTAAACCAGGAGTAAGCAAAAACAGACCTGGCAAGGCGCGACGACAAGCGTCAAGAGGGCGAAAGTAGTCGTCGCTTGTTTTCAATATATTATACTTTGCCAATTGCATGTACTGTGGTGTTGTTGCAGATCACTGACGTAAGCGCGTCGTTGTCATCCTCCCCAGTAGGTGATCTTTCATGCCCAACCAATGGCGGATTCTGCTGCAGAAAACATGCCCTTCCTGCATGACACCGACATTGAAGCTGACCTCAACGAGGGCAACTTGTCCAATAACCCATCGCGTCTTGACCGCTTTCGCCGGCGCCTCAGAAAGCTATTAGAATCCCACTGGGCGCACATTCTCGTATTCGCGCTCGTTCTGATAGATCTCACCTGTGTATTAACAGAAATCATTGTTACCTTCCTCGAGACACCCGAATGCGACGAACAGGGTAAACCACATGTGGGTGGAGGAGAGCCAGTTTGGTTGGAAACCCTCACAGCCATCAGCCTGACCATCCTTTGGGTGTTTGTGGCCGAGCATCTCCTCCGACTGTTTGCTTTTGGGATTTGTTACTATATTAGAAAACCTTTGCATTTATTTGACTTTCTCGTTGTTGTGGGATCACTTGTTGCCGAAATGGTTTTGAAGGGGAAGGCACGAGAGGTGGCTGGGCTCCTTATTGTCCTCAGGTGCTGGCGCCTTGTGAGGATCATAGATGGGGTTGCCGAGGCGGTGAGCTCGAAGAAGGACGAACAAATTGCGGATCTGAGGGAAGAGGTGAAACGCCTAAAGAATGAGGCCGCTCAGCTACGGCAGCGTCTCGGAAGGCTCAATGGGGACGGGTCTCAGAACACACTAGATGGGCACGCAGACACAAGCGGGGAGTAGCGTCAACCTCAAACATTCCGTATGTAGTGTATTTGTTGCATGTACATAAATATGCTGACTATAAAGGTATCTTCTCAAACATAAATGTCACGTATTTACAAATGTATCGCCGGGACAAAGGAAGTTGGTGGCATCCTGACTTCCATTCAGGCGGGGTTGTCCAGTACTCCGGTACCGAATCTCTTTGCAAAGATGGCATATTGGACGAGCATTTCTGTTGAGAGCGTAGGTTTCACAACGTCCAAGGCGGCCATAAAATGCTCCCGGGTCTATCACATGTTAGTGAAATCACGGTGCCGAAAACAGCAATAAAGAGTACCCACCACAAAATCTGCCTCTCTCATCCCTCGCAACGCTTCCATAGCCGCTTCACGGCAGACTGCCTTCAAATCGGCGCCAGTATATCTCTCGGTTAGACTGCCAGATAGATAGTCAAGGTCCACGTCCGTAGCAAGGGCCATCGAACGTGTGTAGATTTGCAGGATTTCGCGCCTCGCTTGACGGTCTGGAGGTAGGACCTACCGGAGAAACCGATGAGCGATCAAAATGATTTTGACTACAAGGTCTCGAACCACTTACGTAAAGAACTCGATCAAATCGACCTGGCCGCATCAGCGCTGCGTCAATCATGTCAGGACGATTGGTGGCCCCCTGCCATCGTGCCGAAGGATGTCACGAGCGAATATCAACTAAATCACAGAACCGTCACATACCACAATGAGTACATCTTTAGCAGACTCAACACCATCCATTTCATTTAGCAATGTGGAAAGCACACGCGCTTGGACTGTGTCCCCTTTGTCTTCGCCGCCTCCTAGTCCCCTCTTGCCGACAATCGCATCCACTTCATCGAAGAAGATGATAGAGGGTGCACCGGATCGAGCCCTTTGGAAGGTTGTACGTACTATCATAGCGTAGTTGCTGTTAGAAACATTGGAAGGCATGATTCAACGACATTTACGCACTTGCTTGCTCCGAGTCGCCAACAAATGGTGAGTACAATGCAGCCCCATTAAGCGAAAGAAAGGTGGCGCCAGATGTTGCAGCGATGACCTCACCACACGAAGCGATGTCAGCCAGTTAGAAAGACAAGGCACGTAGCTAAGATAATGGCAGATACCTTGACCAATGTCGTTTTACTGCATCCTGGAGGACCATAAAGCAGAACACCTCGTGGAGGCTTCAAGCCCAACCTCTTGTACGTCTTCCGATAAAGCAAAGGCCATTCAACCGCTTGCCGTAAGCGAAGTTTAACACTGTCGAGTCCCCCAACATCATCCCATTTCACTCGTTCCACAGACACACCGGCACCTCTCTGTGTCGAAGGGCCACCAATGGACGCGAGAGCTTTCTGGAAGGACGCGAATGGCACAACGTTGAAGCTTGGGTCGTTTGTTGACCGACGCACTGCATCTAACGCTGCCTCCCTGCATAGAGCGCTGAGATCAGCGCCGACATAGCCGTTGGTTGCAGTTGCGAGACGCGAGAGGTCAACGTCATCCGAAAGGGGCATATTACTGGTCAGGGAAGTCAAAATCGCCAGTCGTGCCTGTTCCGTTGGGACGTCAATGGCAACCTCCCGATCAAACCTGCGCACATTACGCAATTGAGCCACTATCCGATGTGCATCGAACACAGCGTTAGAGCTACCTGCCAGGGCGTCGCAACGCTGGATCAATGGCGTTTGGCCGGTTCGTAGCTCCAATCACCACGAGTCGGCCTCTGGACACCATTCCGTCCATCAACGTCAATAGCTGTGCAACTACACGATTCTCATGCGATCGAGCAGAGTCACGGCGTGGTGAGAGTGCGTCCTACAGAACACAATATTATTATGTGCCTCTGCGAATATGTGCCTCTCTAATTGTGCATTACCAGCTCGTCAATGAACAATATGCTTGACGTTCGTCCGTCTTCAGATTTGCTCTGTGCTTCCATGAATTTGGCTCTCAGTCGCTCTTCACTTTCACCCAGATAAGAACCGAATATTTCAGGTCCATGGATAGTGACCTGAGAGACAACGTGGGTTGGACGGGCTCACTGATCGCATTTGCTACCAATAGCTTACCAAGTTTGCTTGGCAAACCCGAGCGATCGTTGTTACCAATAACGTTTTTCCAACGCCGGGAGGACCATGCAACAGCACCCCTACCAGCGCAACTTAAGGTTGTGATGAAGTGGAACGGTCGGCGACGACAGACTAGCCAAACCTTTCGGCGGATCGACACCAAGTTTTTCGATCATATCGGGATATAAAAGGCGATAAGTGACAATTTCATGAAGTCCCCTATATGCTTTTTCAAGACCCGGCAGATTCGGCAAGGGCTTCTGATGCGTCTCAGGAGAAAGTGAAAGTGACTGCATAGAGTCGGTAATGGCGGCTGTTGCATCCTCGTCTCCAAGGTGCACACCACCGTAGATTTCAGCTGGTTTTCCACTGACGAAGCGGAGGTGAGTTGCTTCTGTCACCAACACCAGTGTCTGAGGGGGCTCAACCCTAACAATCTTTGATTCGCTCCGTTTTAGATTTCCACAACCATTACACTTAGGCTTGAGTAACAATATCCATATACAAACCTCTACTCGCAAGCATCTCCCAGCCCCCTCGCCGCCCACGATGCAACCTTCTGAAACAACCAGACCGAGCAGCATTCCTCGTACTGCCTAATAATGGCCAACAAGTCAGAATGTGTTCGTACCAGGTGGAAACTGCTCTAATTGCACCTGTCTCTTTGTGGCATCCGATGCGGAATCATATTTAAAGCCTAGTTCATCCACTTCTAAGCTGCCAGTTTGCACTGACACCTTGAAAGATATCGCCGTTCCAGGAGACAATGGATCAGGAATTTGTTGAATAAGACCTGACATGAGCACATTGGTATCAAACCCAGCACAAATACGGAAAACGAATCACAATTTTGAGTACATGTATCCTCGGGTAGACCAGAAAGAAGCTCGCGTTCGGCAGCTGTGCTCGGTCTTCTCACTGATCTATCGGCTTGAGCGACTAGCCCCTTTGCTAGGCACTGGGTAGCAAATCGCCATGCCCGGCAATAAAGAACCTGAATTAAAGAAACTGGCTATTAGATACAACGTCCCACCGGAACCGACTTATATGGACCAGTACGGCTCCCTAACCTCTGCTTCAGTTACTATCTGAACCCAACCATTGACCAGAATGTTACCGTCCAGACAACTTTCTGGGAGACGACATCGTGCAGTGGAGCGATCGTCGGCAGAACAAGGATAGAGCTTGAGGGCTCCCCTGGAAAGCATCATATCGGTGCATTCATTGTCATGCCTCTGCATCGCTTGGAGCAAGAGATCATCGTCCAGGTTGAGCGGAACCAAGAACGAATAAGCAGACCACGTGATATCCTTGTTGCTATACCAACAACCAAGTTGGTGAATCTTTGATGAAGTTTGGAGCAAAAACTTGTACGAGATCGTAAACATGAGCCCAGTACGTTCAACGCTCTATGGCTGGTGAGATATTTATTTCTTGAGCTGCATGGAATAATATGCTTCATATGAGATTGGAAAGGATTTCAACTCTAGTGCCGGGTCGTTTGGTTTCATTCAGGTTCGCATTTACCGTGCTCGGCATATCGACTTTCCTCTTGGTTCGAAAGGATCTGAACGACCGGCGAAAGGCGGAATACAAGAGAGCAATTATGGAAGGCACACTAGCAGGTATTTTTTGCAGGTTAATCGTTCTTTGAAGTTTAGTTCACAAATGTGACCGTAACGCCCTGGTTTTTGTGTAGGTTCAAGCGATCGTGTGGATAATGGCCGTTGATAGATGGTTAATGATCGATCGATCGGCCAAGTATCACATCTACTTGGGTCCCTTTGCATTCCGTCGGATGGAGATCTGACCGTATCTAACGCGAATATTAGGCATGGTTCTGATGGGGGTCCTCCACGAGTCCGTCACTGTGAGCCTTCATGGCAGCTGACGATAAGAGTCCACAACCCGGCAGGAGTAGACAAATGATATGTCTACGCAATCCGCAACAGTCAGATAACTGCCCGCATTTACGGCTCTGCCCGCCCGTATGTTGCAAACGTCACCGCGAGAGTCTTGCTCAGTAAAATTCGGCTGATCGAGTTAATAACACGTACATTCGACATCATGTCATCGGTCCTCTATAACTAAGCTACACTATCTCCTTATTCACATCTCTGCTAATTGTTTTGCGTCGTCATCTGTATATCCTAAAAGATAGAGCACATTTCGCAAACTAGTCTGGTTGATCCGTGCGCGCGCCTGCCAGGTTGCAAAATTGAGAAGCTTGCGGCAGCAAAATGTCATACTCTGCGGTCCTACCTCCTTTTGCACTCTTGGCTTGGCATTGAAAGCAATACCCAGCCCCGCCGCTGCTAACATCCACAGATCATTTGCACCGTCCCCTACTGCAATAACCTTCATTCGGCCGCAACACATCATGTCAGCGTGACGCCACGACTGCACACTAGTATTTGAACCAACGAACCTGTTCAGGTGTAACGGACTCAGCCTGGGCAATGACCTCCAATAGTTCTGCTTTTCGCATGCCATCAACAATCGGTCCGACGGTTTCACCAGTTAGCGTTTGCCCATCCGGTGACACTTTCAGCTGAAGGTATGGATATTTAACACGATCAGCAGCAGAATTATCACAGATGCTTGAGCAGCCAAACCTACCTGATTTGCAAACGCGTAGTCAAGTCCTAGTTGGTTCTTTACGTGCAGTGCCAAAGGCATGAAGCCTCCAGATATAACGGCCAGTTTAAACCCAAGCCGCTTGAGTGCTCTGCACAGGAAATGGGCTCCCTCTGTGAAAGTTAGCTGAGTCTTTACGTGCTCTAAAACGCTCGCAGGTGTGCCCTTCAACAAGCCAACACGACGACGGAGTGATTCTTTGAAATCGATTTCACCGTTCATAGCAGACTCGGTAATTTTCTATGTTATTCCAGAAGAGCAAATGAGTCTTACGTCATTATGTATGAATCTCACTCGAATTCACTCACCGCAACCTCTGCTACCACCCCCGCATGCTTTGCAATCTCATCAATGACCTCCTGTTGAATAAGTGTAGAGTCCATGTCAAAAATGACAAGTCGCTTGTGCTTTCGGTATACATCGTTTGGTTGCAACGCTACATCAGTCCCATGTTCGCTGCTCATCTGGAACAGGGTTGCACGGAAGAGGTCAAAATCGACCTCTGCCGGCACACTGAGTCTATATTCGACAGAGCACAACTTTGCCCCGGAAGCTGAAAGACGAGTCATTTTCTCTACAGATATCTTCTCATCCAATAACAATCGGGTCCAGGCGTGTAAAAAGCGTGACGTGAGGCCATTTTGGTTGAGCACCGTTGCAGTGTATTTGAGGCGGTTTTCGTAAGGGGCATCCTCAAGGGAGCTCCCGACAGGGTCGCCTTTCGTTGCATCCTGCACGTCGAAAAAGAGAGTAGCATCCCATTTTCGCGCAGATTCCGCAAGGTCACGAAAGATATCAACGTTCTCCGAAGCTAAGCGAATGAGGCAACCAAACGTCACGTTGTGGTACAATCGAGAAAGCACAAAGTCATCAATTTCGCATTTGTAGCGAGCCAGGTTTTCAAGTACTGCCCCTATGATATCTGTTCCGTGGGGTCCAGTCATGGTGACAAGCACTTTCTGCTGGGGTAACAAGGAAGCCGGTGGGAACCAGCTTCGACTTTGCGTTTGCGATCCAATTGATGAGGGGAGAGAAAGGCCCTTGTCTGTGACGATCGGGCTTAGGGGCGGGTTAGGGGTGTGAATTAGGGGCGATGATGTGCCGCTGACTTCGTCAATCAAGCGCTTCTTCAACAAGGACAGCTCTTCCGATCGGTAAAAAGGCTTTGTCGAAAGTCGCAGTATATAGTGTTCACTCAATCGAAACCCTGAATGCCGATCATTTTTCTTCAAGATTTTCGTTATACCTTTGGGAGTTTATCGGATTATAAAAACTTCAATCACATTCGTTCAATTGCTCACTAGGACTCACCAGTGTAGTTTAAGAAAACATACTTTTCCAATTTCACCAAATCTTGAAGCATTTGATTTGCCGAAGATTTCCCTTCATCGTGTCCAGTCCCGTTTACAACGCCTCGAGACTCAAAGCGCTTTGCAAGGTCATCACACTCCGCTTCGTAGAGCGCAGCGAACCGATCAATTTCCTTGTCCAGTAGTTGAAAAAACTCTGCAACAGCCGCTTGAAGTTTGGACGATCGCGAGAGAAATACGTCTGCAAAGGGTTTGTCCTCAAGAGAAGAAGGCAGAGACGATGTCAAGCCGTATGGCTTTACATGTTGCTTGACGTGGTTCTTCAAGAGGACATAGTCTATGCAACTGTCTGCCCATTTTGGTGGCAGTGTCTTTCGCCGTTCTGTAAGGTACCTACAGGCAAAACGATCCTTAGTATCTCTTGTGCTTCGAGTACCAGCTGCAGCACTTGTATCCAAAACACATTCAGCTTACTTTCCAAACTTCATTACGAATGGTCAACGGGGACAAGATGGGACCGCAAACGATGCCCAATGGCCAGCAGGACGGAAACGTGGGGTCTGCAAGATCTTCCTAAGGCGCGTGCGTGGCTTGTCATCCAAAGATCTTTGGTTCGAACCACATCACTTAAAGTCCAACGGCCGACAAGGCCGACCGCCGACCGCCGCAGAGATCAACCCTTCGTACGTCGCCGTCGTCGGCGATTTTGGGGGTGCCGCGAATTCAGCGTAATAAGGATGACCCCCATCGTTTGCTTCCGCTGCTCAACTTTCTTACCACGGTATGGCATTTCCTAGTCTACGCGGATTAGTCAGCTCCCCGATCGGATAAGGACACGTGACCAGCTGGGTCTTCCGTCCTCCTCACCACTGCCATTTTCCTTCCTCATCTTTGCTCAGAGCCTTAGAGCTATCGCACTTGTCCCATTACTTTACTGCCTACTCGATAAGAACATGACAACGAAAAAGATTTACGACTACCTCGTGCTTGGCGCCGGTAGTGGGGGAATAGCGTCCGCACGGCGGGCAGCAAGCTACGGTGCCAAAGTTGCAATCGTGGAGAACAGTAAGTGTACGGGTGTTCTAGAGCTGCTGACAGTAGACGCCATTTGTCCTTTTCGATAAAGAGCTGCCAGCTGGTTTGTTACTGAAATTGCATTTCGCAACGTCTGCAGGTCGCTTTGGGGGAACGTGCGTCAACGTCGGTGCGTAGAAAGCTGCACGGCTGCGGCTGGCATCCTATACCGCTTTGCTCACTCTGTCGACCCTTGACAGGATGTGTACCGAAAAAGATCATGTGGACTGCAGGTACGTTGTGTTCCCAGGATTGATGATGCGGTATTTGACCGTCAATATAACCAAACGTCTGATACATGTTTCGATCAGCGTCCTTTGCGGAGGCTCTTCGCGAAGCGAAAGGTTACGGATTTGACCTAGACGTTCGCGGATTTTCATGGGAAGCCGTGAAACAAAAGCGCGATGCGTACATTAAGCGTTTGAATGGGATTTATGAGAATAACCTGGCGAAGGATGGAATTGAAAAAATTCGAGGAACAGCAAAGTTTGTGGATAAAAAGACAGTGGAAGTCAATGGAGAGCTCTACTCCGGAAAGCATATCCTGATTGCAACAGGCAGCTACGCGTGGATTCCACCGGTAAGTGTCCCTTTGAGACAAATCGACGAAAGAACCCGTGCTTAAAGGTACTTGTAGGCCCCAGGAGCGCGCGAATACGGTATTTTCAATATCAACTTGTCTTGATTGTTCTCCATCTGATAAGTCATCGTGCTGTTTAGGTATTACAAGTGACGGTTTCTTTGAATTGGAGCATATGCCGAAAAAGGTCTGATAAAAGTCTGCATGTTCGTGATCTGCATGCTCTATGACACTAATAGCTTTTCAGGTTGCCGTGGTGGGTGCAGGATATATTGGCATTGAGCTGGCAGGCGTCTTCCACTATCTAGGGGCGGATGTGTCGTTGTTTATCCGTCATGATGAGTTTCTCCGTTCGTTTGATGACGTCATCCGGTCCACAGTAATGGAAGAATACGAAAAATCTGGCCTAAAGATTATCAAATGCTCTACCATCCGCAAGGTGGAGAACAAGGGAGATAATCTCAAAAAGAACCTGACCTTCAGTGTTGAGAACAAGGATACGAATTCGTTCGGCGATTTTGACGGCTTTGAAGAGGTGTTGTTTGCTATTGGGCGTAAAGCTAGCACCGATTCTTTGAATTTGGGTGTTACCGGGGTTACGACCAACGGTGAAGGTTATATCATTTCTGATGAATGGCAAAATACTGAGCAGGAGGGTGTATACGCACTTGGAGACGTTTGCGGTGTCGCCATGTTGACCCCAGGTCGGTGTCGTTAGCTGCGTCACTTTCCTGCAAAGCAGTCCCTGACCGAAGCAACACGCTTTTGATAGTTGCCATTGCCGCTGGGCGGCGGTTGTCAGATCGCCTTTTTGGCGGTAAAAAGGACTCCAAGTTGGATTATGACAACATCCCGTCAGTCATTTTCTCACATCCGCCTTGTGGCAGCGTCGGACTATCTGAGGCCGAGGCAGCCACCAAGTACGGCAAAGACAACTTAAAGATATACGTATCCAAGGTCAGTCTAGTTGATAGTTCGACAGGAGACATGACAATACTGACCCAATTATCTGCAGTTTACAAATATGCACTTTGCCCTCACTGGTACGTGATTTCATGCAGAACGGCTGTGGCTGCTACAGTGTGGACAAGTCCTCTGATTGACGCTCACTATGTATGCAGAGCATAAGGAGACGACGTTATATAAGCTTGTCTGCGTCGGTCCTGAGGAGAAAGTTGTTGGCTTGCATATTGTCGGCAAAGCGTCAGACGAGATCTTGCAAGGATTTGCTGTTGCTATTAAAATGGGTATGCGAACATCTCTTAAAAATGATTATGCAAGCTAGGCGACGATTTAATTCTTATTTCTTTAGGCGCAACGAAAGCTGATTTTGATAACACTGTCGCCATCCATCCGACGGCTGCGGAGGAGATCGTCACCATGCGATGAACGGCCTTCCACCCTTCCAAATTTTCAGCATATAAATCACAATGGTTCGCAATGCATAAAAATGGGACAGTTTGTATAGCAGTAGGATTATTTACATATCGCGAATGTGCAAATATTCTCAAGGAGATTGCATGCTTTTCAGTCTGATGGTATCTTCCATCTTCTGCACGATATTTTGCAGTTTAGTCAATTTTTGGGCTGTACCAGCCAACAGTTTATACCTGAGGAAGACAAAGATTATGACCCACAGTCCCGCTTTTATAAGCATTTTAACCTTTAAAACTTACTCCTGTCGCAAAGCGGTTTCGATCCGGCGCATTTGGGTCTGGCCGAGAGCCAGCTGGTCCAATTCCGCATCCTTGTCTGGATCTTCCACGGGGTTGCGGTCCTGCAGCAAAGAATGGACCTGTTCCTGAACCTGAACCAGCATGAAATCAGAGATCAAGAAAGAATGGAATATCGGTGAGGCCGCGAGATGTACACCCAAAGTCCAACCATCGCGGGTCCTTACATTTTCTGCCCAAGGTTTCAGTCTTTTCTGGAGAGCGTTACGAATGTGATGGAGCTCTTTGATCCATTGCTTCTCAGCGTCAGTAAGAGGCTGAGAGTTTTCGATCAATATCTGAAGTATGATGCCAAGAGATTTTCGCTGAACGTATTCCTTGACCCGCAAAGTGTGCATTTTCTTTGGCAGTTGCTTCAGGCGTTCTTTGTTTTGTTTTATTTTCTCATCCAAGAGCATCAGAGCGCCCGCTTGTTGCTTCAACTCCGATTGCTGCCGTTCCAAGCTGTGGACAAGCAAGTGGTTAAGCTCAAAATCGGCTGTGATAGTACTTTGAAATGGCTTGCAGTATCCCATACCGAGTTCTCAGAGCAATGATCGCCTCATGAAGGTCCAAGATGTCACATCTCCTGGCTTTCAAATGTTCAAAAAATGCCCACAATGTCGGAGGATGTGTGCACTTCGCCAGAACCTGCTTAGCGGAGGCGCCGGTAGGCAACCGTAGGGGTGGTGGTGCCTTACGAACTACTTCGGGTATATCGAATATTGGAGGCTCCATGGATGGGGTGTACATTTCATTCGCGGTGACTTCGGAGATCTTCCAGGGAATATTTACATGCATGGGAAGAATGTCTCCGTATAAGTGGGGGTGAGATGTTAATAGTAGGTAACAGTATCCAAGGGATGCTTCTGTGATGACCGCGAACCCTACAACCGACGGTACATCCCTGCAACGAAAGAATATTAGAGTGACGGCTACATAGCGTTGGGGAAAAGCTCTTTACTGACGTGCTTATAAATGTCCTGGTACTAAAGAGTAGACTAACGTCGCTTTCAATATGTTGCTCCATTGCTGACTTCAACTCGGTCGCCAACTGTGCCTCGTCTGCTTGTGCCTCCGATAGACCACGTAACGGTGAAACCCAAGGTTCTACGCTCACACGATGGACTCCGAAAGAATGGTAGCAATAGAAGATGGCATCGTGTCGTGGATCTGCTGCTAAACTGCTTGGTATTCGTACGGGAGCTGTCTGCTGCGACCCAGAGCTTTCTCGCCAGGAGATATCAATGTCTTCATGAATTCTCAGTACGGGTAACGGCGCTTCCCCTGGTAACGCCTATGAAAAGTTGCACAACATAAGCTACTGCAACATAAGGGGGTTGGGAAAGTAGCCCACCTCTGCATTGATATTCCAGAGAGGTACCGGACCCTCCAAGTCTATGCATGTCCGCAGCATTCCCGACTCAAATGATATGATCAATACATTGATCGGATTCGTCGCCAAACATAAGATATCAGTTGCGTCCTGATAATCTATTGTAGCATCTGGGGATGGCTGAATTAAATATGGTCCGCGGGCTCGGCACTTAACCTTTGCTGTCATCCGTGGCAAAGTCAGTCCTACAGGCTCCCCAGGTAGTGTCTCCTTTATGCTCCGTTGATTGATTTCGTTTAGTAGTTCATCTAGCCATTGCTCCCGCCAATAGTATTGCCGCTCTGTATAGGGGCCATAACATTCATGCTCTTCATGTTCCTCTTGCTCCAGAGCACTAGCAGCCTTCAGGTCTTGCAATTTCTGCGGTATGAAGATACTGCAATACCATCGTTATTATATTAGCTTGAATATGTAAAACCAATCATATCAGAGAGTTTACCTGCGCTGTGGTACCACCGGGCATAAACTATATACATCTCCACTTCGCGTAACACCGTACATTGTCATTGAACCCCAATTCCCGTCGTCCCGCCCCACGCAAAACGAGACAAATTCACGTTCCCACAAATCAGCGCCGAACATGCCGGAGCGATTTGGGGCTTTCCAGGTATCGATGGGTTCACTACCGAGGAAATGTAGAGTTTGTTCCGGCTCGTTAGCATTGGCAGTCACGTCATATATTCTTTGATGAAGTCCATTAGAAGATCCCTTAAAAATATGTGAACACCCTTTTGAGAACTACACACCTCAGAGCTCCATCATCAGACAAAACCATCAGGTGCGTGTGAGATTCGCTCAGTGGATGCCAATGAATCTTGACTATGGGTTGAGGGGTCATGGGCCCTATCCGCCATGAGCTTGATAGCCCAGCACGAGGTATGAGTAATAGTGTTCAGAGCAAAAGTTATATTGGCTGCCAACCAGATTGTTGCTTACTTGGTTCGTATGCGTTCTCTCGTGTTGCCATCTGTCCAGGCAATCCGAGGTAGAGAGAGGACAACGATCTCATACTCTCCAACAACAGCTAAAAGTCTTCCAGTGCCATTCATCTGGATCTGACGGACGCGGAAACTCAGAGTTGGCGAGACCAGTTCCTGCATCGGATAGATGTTGATCACAATTCTCAACAAAAATTACTAGCGAATGGGAAAATACCTTAAAGTCAGCCGTCTCCAAAGCCTTGTCCACATCGTCTCCAGTCTCATCTAGCGAACCCTTCCATTTTCGAAGATTGAGCAGCCGAATTCGCGGTGGAGAAGAATTAAGGCAAGTGACAGCTAAACCGTCGCGTACTGCGATCAAAGACTGTCGAGAATCAGGGGTAGCAAAGCTGTCACCCATATCATCCATAAAGTCCGGGCCGGATACATCCAGAGTATGGTTACTTGGAGCTTCTAGAGCTATGCTGGAGATGTCGGGGAGGGTGACATCAGGAGTTGTTTGTGAATCGTCCAAGAGTGTGGAAGAGGATGTGTCGAGTACTGGATGATTGGATAGAGTCTGGAGCCAATAGCCCGGCGAAGGTAGCACAGTGTTTGCCATCCCTTTACTTGCAGTTTGGCGAGTCGTTCACACGCAAATGCTGATCTCCCAAACCCAAACGACGACGACGACGAACGAACGAGCTCTGTCCAAATTAGGAAAAATGAAATGACATTCGATGATGATCACTCAATCACAATTTCTCATTTTCCGCGACTTCTTTGTTTTTTATAGCCGAAAATACAAACAGCAAATTACGGGCGAGGGACGGCGTCAACGGGGCAACGACACGCCTTTATTTGTCGAAACCGTCAAGGAAGCGGGTATATGGAGGAGGCCGAGTCGACCGTCGAGGGGCACGGAAAACGAAATGCGTCCCCTGATATGGAGATCGCCCCAAAACGGAGAAGACTCTCCGCCCCAGAGGTCGACGGGGACGACGAGGCATCGCGCAAAATGACGATGCGGTATCATATTCAGCGGATGGCAAGACTTCAGGCTCAAATGTACCTTCAAGGGCAACGCGAAGGGGATGAGCGCAATCGACGACGTCAAGAGCTCATTGCGAAAATGGTGGAGGTTGCCAGGGAAGTGCGACGAGAGTCCGGACAAGAGCATAGCTCTGACGAACATACATATGAATTGGACGGGACGCCGCGAGCAAAAAACGAACTACCCCCATATTCGCTGGACGGGTCGCCAGATCTAGATCGCGACGGAAAGCCCTTTCAATGCGACATACCGGGCTGTGAAAGAAAGTTTAAAAAGCTGAACGGTTTGATATCGCATCATCATGCGGCCCACGCTTCTGGTGGTATCAATGATCCCAAACCTTTCAAATGCAATATCCCTGGTTGCAGCAAGGCATACCGAAATTCGAATGGACTAGGTTCGTTGTTCGGTCATTACTGTGTCCTACATGGTCTCAGTAGCTGACTATGGTGGGCACGAAACTAGCATATCATTTAGAGAATGGTCACGGTGGCGGAGGTGTCATTAGTAGGCCAGCGACGGTGCAGCCAAAAGTCACGATTGAAAGAAGCTGGTATTGTCCGTACAAGGGCTGCGACAAGACGTATAAGAATCTAAAGGGGCTTGGTAGAGATCTATGCTTTGAACTTGCTAAAATGAGAACTGGCTTATTTATAGGTCTTCACTATAGTTTACCATCTCCAGAAGGGAAAAGCTTCGGGACACAACGTGGACTTGGAGGGTCGTGGCGTGGTCGGCGTTTTCGTGTGTGCAGGTAGGTCAAACGCAGTAGAGAGCAGGGACAGTACACATTACTGGTCTAACGCAACTCTACTGTTTTCTAGTACCGGCATGCGGTAAAACATTTAAAAGTCCGCAAGCGCTGGTTGGCCACGTTGAAACAGCGCACGCGGATATGGATCCCATTGTAAGCCCTTCCATGCTCGATGATATATCAACCACCAAGATTGTCGATTGCCAATCATGTATGCGGCAATTTCGAAATGTAAAAAGGTTTGTTGATGACAATGGGGCGTTCGCGATGTGATCTCTGCTAATATTTTAACTAGTCTTGCGCATCACGTTGCCACCGCCCATCAACGCGAGACGTCTCCACGAGCTCTTCTTGCCACATGTTTATCAAACCCTCCCCAAATACCGACTCTAGATAGCCCGTTACATAGCGAAGGCGACGGGTCAGATGCGGATTGCCGTCCAATCGCCTTGGGACTGTGACTCTCTTGTCTGCAGGATATGCCCGCTTGGGCCAATCCTTTCATGTCACCTCTCACGTATACCCTTCCAGAGGGTCACAGCCATTGCTGCCGCTATATAATATTAGATTGTGTGGTGGCGTTATTTTTTGAGATAGTTAATAACATGTAGATACATTATACATTTTATACGATTGCATTGCCAGCAATACTATCCTTTTAACGACGAGATTCCGACTGACTTATGTCAGCAACATTGGATGAAGCCATAAATGGATAAATGAAACTTTGGACTAAAATGGAAATTATATCACGTGGGGGTTTTGCGAGCCGAAGGACGTTTGGCAGCTGCGAATTCGTTCGGATTTTCCTTCCTTTCACCCACACGCAATCTCTTCGTGCATATAGGAAGATGGTACGTCCCGTTGTCGATGATAGCGAGATCCATCCATCATGAGAGAAAGCGCCGTCGATTTCGGGATGGTGGAAACGACGGATGCATGGATGGATGGATCGATCGATGGATGGATGATTGTAACAAATGAGCTCATGTACAATTTGCCATTCCTTCACATGTAGGCTCGGGGTCCCAAGAAGCACATGAAGCGGGTATGTAATCCTGTCGAGTTAGTTGAGCAGTCTCCATGACTGGGTTGTTAACCTAATTTCGTCAACAGCTCGCCGCCCCCAAGCACTGGATGCTTGACAAGTTGACCGGTACCTGGGTATGTTGACAAACGAGTCGGAAGTTGGAAAATGGGAGGGACTCGAGAGATAGAGAGTAGATGGCTGCGGGAAGGAATATGATGGAGATCAAAGGGCGAGCAACGAGTAGGCGGCAATTGTGAAAGAGGCTGAAGTTGATTCAGATCCGCATTCGAATTTGGCATTGCGATCACGATGAACATCGTTCTCAAACTGATTACGGTTGTTCCACAACACAGGCTCCCAAGCCCTCTGCCGGTCCTCACAAGCAGCGGGAGTGCTTGCCCTTGCTCGTTTTCATGCGTAACCGCTTGAAGTACGCTTTGAACAACAAGGAGACCAAGATGATCCTTATGCAGCGTCTGGTTAAGGTTGACGGTAAGGTCCGCACCGACTCCACCTACCCCGCCGGTTTCATGGGTATGTAAATGGAAAATCTTTTGATTCTTGCATACGTGTCAAATCTCATAAATGTGGGTGTAGATGTCATCACCATCGACCAAACCAACGAGAACTTCCGCTTGGTCTACGACACCAAGGGCCGTTTTGCCATCCACCGTATTACCGCCGAAGAGGCCAAGGTACGCTTCATTTCGTGAACCTTTGTGGAAGCTGCGGGATTAACATGGAAACATCCGGGAAAATAGTACAAGCTCTGCAAGGTTAAGCGCATGCAGATCGGTGCGAAGGGTATTCCCTTCATCGTGACCCACGACGGTCGTACCATCCGTTACCCTGACCCCATCATCAAGGTGCACGACACCGTTAAGCTTGACATTGAGTCTGGCAAGATCACCGACACCATCAAGTTCGACACTGGTAACGTTGTCTTCGTTACTGGTGGTCGTAACACTGGTCGTGTTGGTGTCATCACCCACCGTGAGAGGCACCACGGCGGTTTCGACATTGTTCACATCAAGGATGCCCTCGACCGCCAATTCGCCACCCGTTTGAGCAACGTTTTCGTCATTGGTGAAGGCAACAGGCCTTACATCTCTCTTCCCAAGGGCAAGGGTGTCAAGGTGGGTGATTGGAATTACATGATGCATCATATATATAACATTTGTCCTAACTCGACGTACTTTTACTTTAGCTCACCATTACTGAGGAGCGTGACAGGCGACGGGAAGCTGCTCGTGCTGCTGCCGCTCACTAAATGGGTTCAGTGTGGCCATTGTAGAATTTGGGTGATGTGTGGGTTGATAGGTCGTAAATATACTTTGAAATTTCCATCTCTCTTTGCGCTTTTTGGGTTTCAAGATATGCGTGTGACTTTGTATCGAGCAGATATTTTGACATTTGTATTTTATTGCATTGTCCATCGCTACTGTTTATTATATCATGTCACAATGGCAGGCTCCCTTTCCTAGATCCATATGCGTCAACTTGGATACTTAACAGATGGAATGTCAAAAGCCTCTTTGGTTCACATTGTCGTATCAACAACAAGATATCGGCTGCCAAAATGCGTTGCCCCGAGGCCACAGACGCCGCGAATACGGCGGAAGCTTCCATCCGCTTTACTAGACTCCTCAACCAGTTTGAAACGGAAGTTTGAATGCCCCAATTCGCTGTGCTTCTAGAAGCCGACCCTGATTATGTCAGCGGAGACAAAACGCGCTCCTGAATGGGTTGTCCCGTCTGCCACTCGAAGCCGTCTACTCCAAATTTAGACCAGAGGCAGAACCTTTTTAAAAAGGCCAAGTGCAAAAGTTCGTCGCTTACCTTCCGCTTGTTGTCCTTTTCTGTTTTGCTTTTTTTTTGCTCGCGTACGTTGACAAGATGGTCCAATTCGAGGGAGATGTCCAAGCTGCTTACGAGGATGTGCGAAACGACAAGACGCCCACCAACTGGTATGTTGAGACGCTTGGTGCTTTTTGATTAGAGATTTCGGTTTAGTCTGTTGTGGTTGGGATGCGTGCTTGTTCCTGGGCATGGGCTGGCAATTCACGGTGTCATGCACCGCGCAGCTGGGAACAACTCTTTTGTAGAGAAGATTGCTAGATTGTCAGAGCCGAGAGTAACACCAACTCACAACTATATCGTACTTTAGGCTCTTGTTGAACTACCTCGACGACAAGTCAGATGTCCTCAAGCTTGCTGCAACCGGTACGGGTGGCTTGCAGGAATTCGTGTCCCAGCTCAAGGAGGACCAAGCGGCTTTTGGATACCTTCGTATTCTTGTTGGCAACGACGAGCTGGTATGTCTCTTTATACATTTTTGCAGCTCTACATATGCATGTATCTAAATCACAAATGTTCGAAGTCGCAACGTGCCAAGTTTGTGTTGGTCAGCTGGTGTGGACAGCAAGTCAAGGTTATGCGAAAGGCCAAGCTTTCCGTGCATATCTCGGACGTGAAGCAGGTGATCAAGACGTTTGCGATTGAGGTTGCAGCCTCTAGCAAGGAGGTAAGGACGACGATGGCCGTTGATGCAGTTTATTCGAGTCTTGGTTAAAAAAGAGTTTTCATCCTTGCAGGATCTTCGTGACAACCAGGTTACACTCTTGCTCCGAAAGGCAATGGGAGCAAACTACGACCGACAAACTTCCCAATATTAAGCCAGTTAGATTTAGCGCACCAGCTCCATGTCGGTAGTCGAAGTGTGTACTGGGGGATATCCCGACATTGGGTGATGCAAACGTTTGAAATAATTTAATGACTTTTTGATACGATAAATGACTTGCGCTTTACTCGACATTGGTCCCCAAAAGATTGGCGGGAAACTCATCGTTCTGATTATGCATCATCCCACCATGTTATAATCCATCCTTTCTCGACGATATGCAGTGAAAAACTTCATGCTATGGACTTTGTTCAGTTGGCGTGCGACAGACGGACGGCTTGCAGCAGGATTGATTCTCATCCCGTCTTTCAAATAAAGACAAAGAGTGTCCACTCTCCTTGCCTTTCTCCACAGAGTAAAATCCAGAAAGGGTAGTTCGAGCATGAGGCATATAATCCCAACGTCCACCTACAACGTTTCTATTCTGGTGATTCAAACGTACGGCCCACGACACATTGCCATCCTCTTCCAAAATATCTTGTGTTGCATTTTCACCTCTTCTACTCTTATCGCCCAGCACATCATCCTATGCTCTTCCACTACACCAAGCAAGAAAAATAACACTCATAAATCACAAGTTGGGATTCAAGAAGAGGCAAACAGATGCGACCAACTTACACAATGATATTGTTAATGGGAATATGGATCAACTTGACAAAGAATCCAATGAATCCCATGATCAGGAACCCAACCGAAACAGCTTGCGTCACTTTGATGAATTCTGCCAACAAGCCAGTCCCAACAGTTGAGCCGCCAGTCCCCGGTTCGTCAAAGCACAAACCAAGTATCTTACCTCTCTTGTCAGGCTTTGTACACCTGTTTACGAGCTGGACGCCCTCCTTGAAGAACTGTCTCGGTCCATCAATGAGTTCTGTGATATTGTCCGACATTTTGATGGATGATGTGCGTGGGGCAAATTGGAACGAGATCTAAAATGGCTGGGCGGTTCACTTGGGACCTCCAATCTCTAACGGCGCCAAACGCGCGGTTCGGTCACGTGCCCATTGTGGCAAATGCAGCTGCTGCGCCCTTCATCGTGCTATAAATGGTTAAATGGTATTTGGCCCGCCGAGTATAAAAGGGGACGACCTTCCAAATCCCCCCGTCGCCCTTCAGGAGGAGGCAATATGTAGGCTGCATGTGCTTCGTTGTGTATTGCATCGTTCATCATATCAAAGCCAACGTGGCTCAAGCAGACTACCACGGCGGCCTTTGGCCGTCCTGCGTATCGAATCTTGATGGAGGCCTCGCTAACCATCGTATACACATGATGTATGCGTTGCATAATGTTGAATCCATGTTGTAGGAGTGCGTGGGGGTAGGAGAGTACTCCTAGTCGTGGTTTGGGTCCCCTCCTTGACTTTAGTGACTTGGCGGGTATTGCGCCAGGTTGCGCCTTACCCCATAACCAAGTGGCCAGTTAAGCGCCTCTGGCGCCGCAGTAGGAACTGTGCGTTCCTGCTGCTGGGAGGGATAATAGCTCAGTCTGCTTTGCCTTTGTTGTACATGCCTATGGCACAATTCTAATTCATGCCCAATTATTCACGTAACTCTGGAAGTTGAGCGTCTGGAGAGGATGATCCATCGCACTAAAACCTTTCATCATCGGCCAAGGCAGGCGAAGACGCGTGGTCCAGTAACGTTTCTGCTGGACTTACGGAGTCGCTTGCTCCTCCCGGACTCTGCTTATAATGTCGCGGCCATCAATGCTCTGGTAATGTACGTCGGAGTACAAGCCATAACGCAAACTCAGAGTAAGCAGTCGCAAAGCTCCCATAACACACAGCGCTCCCATGGACATATTTCAGCAATTAGCGGTGGATCTCGACACTGAAGGGAAGGCAAGGTGTTGCAACCCGTATGACAGTCAAGGAGGATATTCCGACATTGTACTCTATTCCTTTTCCAGTACGTTGACCCACTCGAGAACGCTCTTTTGGTTGAATATGGATCATGACTGACGTGCAAATGTTTGGAATATCAAACGACATACATGCAGTTCGTGCTGGATTTGCACACTCACCGCTCTTTCCAGAGTGCGGTCCTTTAGCTGACTTTTGCTTTTCTTCCAGCTTTCCTTTCCATATGTTCACGCCGGAATCCATATTTTCCGGTATGAAATGCTGTATACTGAGCTCCTCGATTGGATCGCTACATCTGATTTCATCAAAATGAACATGTCCCCCTCACGGCATAGCCTTATTACTTGTTTCTAGCATGTACAACCCAGATCGACTTTTTGAATGTGCAAACCATACCAGGAATATTGCAGTGCGTGCGTTAACACTAGTTGAATGATTGCAACCGCAATACGCCAGTTCAAACCCGCTGCTACGCTTGAAGGGTAAGTCGATACTGAGCTGTATTCTACTGTTTCCGGTCCTTCCCTTTAATTTGGAGGGGGCTTTCCTGACCCCGCCGTCTCCTGTTCATGTGGGAGGATACTGACTGTATCTGACCTTTTGATTCTTTCACATGTCACATTGCGCTAGTGTGATCATTGTGGAGAGCATACAAGACGTCAAAACCACCTGCACCATCAAGCCCTTCATGTTGTATGCTCGGGTACTGCTACTTGATGCGCATTGGCTTGCCATCGATGCCTACAATAATCACATGGGGCATGTGGCAAACGAAGAGCGACATCGAGAAAAAAAAAGATCAAAAAGCAAATGTCACTTGGTCAACTGTGCTCGTGAATTTTGATATTCTCCCGTAAATAATTGTCATATTATCGAGCAGTGTTATTCTCTTGCGAGCCTCTGTGATGGAAAAGTCAAACAAACCACAAAACCAAAGCTGATTCTTACCATCGTCGTTTGATGCAAAAGTATGGCCTTCCCCCCAGCGAGGGCTTTGAGCAACCACGCGCTTGCATCCCCGATCGGGACCTTACGAAATCACAAGCCACATCTTACCCAACGCGTCGCTTTTGACAGTTGACACTGGGCGCAAAAAGAAACTTGCGCGGAAAAACAGAAAAAAGGCCACGGACAATATGACAAAACGAGTATGACAACGGCAACTCAGCGGCTTCAATGAAGAAGATGGAGAGATTGGCAGCAAACAAGGAGTGGAAATCGATTTAGTAGAACGTCAGATACCGTAGAATCGGAAAGAAGAGAAACCGCGGAAGAAAATAAATTCCCTTGTGGAGGGAGCTCTCGTCTATAAAAAGGGGACCTGGCTCATGTAAATCATCAGTAGACTTGGCGGGCTCCCAACATGGAAAATACGATTGGCGCTTTCGACTGACCACTGGGATCACGACAACTTTAAAGACTTGTCTTTAGCTTCATTCCCTTCACATCTTCACTCTACTCGACAGCGACTTGCCGAGCGACCTGCGACCCTGCGGCTTTGCGATACTTTCGACGTTGGCGTTACGTTGTTCAAAATTCCAATCAAGCTTGAGCGATACTACTTGAAAATTCAGCGAAACACTTGAACTCTCCGTAGGACTCTGCAAGCATGCCTAAACACCAACCGTACGAACCTGGAACGCAAAAACCGGAAACCGCCATCCGTGAAAAGACATGGGAATATGACGCTTGGCGAGTTTTGACAGGCCAATCAAGTTAAAACCAGACGTCTGCCCTTTGCATGAACGCTTCACCAAACGGCGGCCAAGGGAGAGCTCTCGCATCCTCTCAATTTCTTCTATTCGGACGTTCGGCTATCACTCTTCGTTAGTTGCCACAAAGTTCTTACCCCGGCTAGCTCCCAACCATTCAACACTCAAAGCCCGCAATTTCCTTCCGCAGCTTGGCCTTCGGGGACCGAGACGCATTGCGAGACTGAAGTCGAGCCCTGAAAACAAGCTAACCCAGTCAAAGTTGAAGTGACTTATATTGAAGATAGACACCAACGGATAAGCTTCGAAGATGTGGGGTCTCCGGTCTCGACAGAATCGCATTATGCAAACAGAACGACGCGCCTGTATCTTAGCGCGAAGAATGGTCGATCCTCTTCAAACCCCTTGTCGGAAGAACGCAATTTATGGGATTGTCGTAACATGTGGAGAGTGTCTACATTCCCGCCCATACACCTCGGCCCCGGCCCCTTCGTTGCCCTCTTCGTATCCGGTCTCCAGGAACTTTGTTTGCCAGCGAACGAGGAACATTTGTCAGCGTGATCATGACATTTCCATTGCCCGGTGCTGTTGGGTCGATCCAAAAGAGTCGCACCACTCCTGTAGTGGCGACCGTAACTTCTTGGCCTTCTAAAGTCGGGTAGTACACTTCACGCTTCCAGATTCCTAACCCTCCAAAGCGGAAGCCAGCGTAGCGCGGGTAGTGCGCATAATAGACATCCCGTAGATCGTCCATGTACATCATGGACAATTCGTATAGACGTTGTCCAAAGTCTTCGCGGAGCTTGCGGTGATCGCTCCGCTTCATCTTCCACAAGTTCGCCAACATGTGCAACCTGTCTAGGTTGCCCCCGCGATACCCAACACGTACCCGCCATGTTAATTCTTCACAATCATCGCCATAGCATTTCTTCATGATCCTCTGCAAATGTTTCAATTTCTTCGGTAGTCATTCCGGCGCTTTCGCCACCCCTCCTCGTATCCTCCCAACGATGCAACCATACGGACTTTTTCGACTGCACCAGCATAGCACGATCATACGGTCTTCAAGAATTCGAGCCGAAATATTTTTGAACATCAAACCCACCTATGTAGGCTCGAGCAACCGGACGACGGGAGCTTTCGACCTCAAGCGACTAGCGGAAGACTTATACGAACACTTTGAGGAATGTACCAAATGCGATATTCTACCCAGCTTGGGGGCGGAGAGGAGGAATCATCATTTTCCCACCATGCTTGCTTCTTCAGAGTATTTTTCTTATCGCTCACGCGTGGACTACGCTGTTAATTGGCAGTTTCCACCGCGGACAGCCGGATGCTTTCATGTGCATCACCCGCGAATCGACGCAGCAAAAGTCCATAAACCACAACGCCGCCATCTGGGGTCGCGACGAAAATATGGAGTGGATTCTCGTGGCTGCCCACTTCCCCGATGCGCTTGATGACAACCAAATGCTGCAGAACACCCACCAAGACTCCGACAATGAATGAACACGAGGCGAACGCATAGTCAAGTTTCACGTGACAATCTTGCCATATAACCATTTCTGGATTAATTATGCGATAATCAACTCTGCACGCGAATGTGACAATTACGTTCATACTCGATATGCACCTCTCGTGGGGTAATCACCATTTTTCGCTGCAAGCTAAAGGCTCGGTTTCTTAGGAGCTATTTCATAAATGGCGTTCTCTACATTTTGCGTATGTTGTTGAAGGAAATCATTAACAGTCGAACCCTTTCAACGTTCGCGGAGCACGCCGTCTGGCAGGACGTGGCCCGGCTGGATAGCCAAAAAGTCCGGCAGTTGCGCGAAAGAGGGATGCTGGGCCCTCTTATTCTCGCTGCGATACGTGGTCGGCACAAGGGACGTCCGTTTCCTACCGCCAGACGTGGTCATCGCTCCTCGTCTCCCCACCAGCCGCGGTCCATGCAAGGACAATCTAACACTCGTCAACTGCCGGCATCTTCCTCGCAGCCACCCTCCGACCTCTCACATCTTCCGGACTTCGCCGAAGTAACTCAGCTCAGCGCCGGCCGTCTTCCTCGCAACCAACGGGCTTCACCGAAAGGACCTGGGGTGGCACCAACTGACTCTGACCAAGTTGACGCACCTCTATTTATTTGGAGAAGGGATCATAATGCACTGTACCGTGCTTGGGTGGAAGGGTCCCGAATCTTAACTCAGGGGGCAGGAGCGACTTGGAAACCCTGTATTATGAGCACTACCCCCAATATACTGGTGACATTTACCAGGCCAGAGGGCTCGCCGGGTTAGAAGGATACGAGGAGGGAAGTGAAGAAGTAGTGACGGCGGAAGAGATTGAGGCATTGGGACCATTGGAAGAAGAAGAGGAAGAGCAGCTTGAGGCGGGACAAGAAGCGGTGGAGCGACAAATCATCCCCGGACTTTGCGTATTCTGTGATCTGGCGACAAGTATTTGCAGCGTGATTGCCGATCTGTATGAAGATTTGCTGGAGGAATAATAATCACTTGCTTATGGTTAGAGTCATATGTATTTTGTCGATTTCTGCATGTTAATTGTATCTGGGTATTAATATGAATTATCATTGTGCATATGGGCATGTACAACAAAGGCAAAACAGACTGAGCTATTATCCTTCCCAGCAGCAGGAACGGAAAGTTCCTACTGCGACGCCAGACCAAAAGGCCCTTTACTGACCACTTGGTCGGGGGTAAAGGTAACGATATGACACAATACCCGTCAAGTGACTGCAGTCAAGGAGGGGACCCGAACCACGACTAGGAGTACTCTCCTACCCCCACGCACTCCTACAACATGGGTTCAACACTAGGCACCGCAGACAGCGTCAGGTACATACGATGGCAGTGAGGTCACCCATGAAGATTCGATACGCAGGACGGCAAGGCCGCCGTGAAAATCTGCTTGAGCGTCAGGTTGGCTTTGATCTGAACAACGAAAGCAATACACAATGAAGCATGAGAGAGCGACATCTGTATTGCACCATCGTGACGCGCGGGGGGATTTGGAAGACCTCCGCTTTTTATAGTGGCCGGCCAAAGACGCACGAAATTCCATTTGACCATTTCGGGATTAATTCAAAATCACATGCACCTCACCCCATTTAACCATTTTGGGATTATTTATGCGATATGTAATAATCTTTCGACGAATGGGCGACTACATACGACATTTCACACCGGAAAATATGGAAAGGAATAATGGAAGAGAAGGAGCACGTCAGTAGAAGGACCGTTCTCAACCACCAACCCCCGACCTCACACATTCGAATAGTGTATTTTGACCATTATTCGTCATATGCTGGTGCACGTTAGGAGGCCTGTATACATCAAGTTTTACAGAAAAGAATTGAGTTGGGGAGCGAGGGGAGTAGGGAGATGCTGCGGGAACAGCCGCACGCAGTGAGCATCATTTGTCCTCAGGTTAAGTTTAAATCATCAGGAACTGGTTTCTACACACTGGAGAATAACTTTACGTACCTTTTAAATACAGTAAATGGCGACGCTGCATTTTACCCATCAGATATTGTTTTCTCTACATGTACCCTGCAAAATACCTGGAAATATTCGCTCTTCTTGCCTACGCTTGTCAGCTATTTCCGATCGACGGATCAGAGTGTCCAACAATGGCCACGCTCTGGGCACGTCAAAAGCACACGCGATGAGCGCTGTGCTGCATTGTTCCTATGCCCGGTGGACACGATTGGGTATCCCGCCACCGCTGCCCAGAAAGGAATTTCAAAGCAATCTCACAACATCAATGCTTGCATTTCGCTGAAAGTATCAACAGAGTGACCATTTCCAAGTAGGAAAGAGCTTTAGAGGGCGGATGAGGGTTCTTTTTGTCTTCAACTGCTGGCGTAAATATGCACAACGCACGCTGCCACCGTGAGGAGAAGGAGAGGAGAGAAAGGAAGAAGGAACAAGGGATATAGAGAATGATTAGCAATGGTTTGTCCGTAGTACTTCCATTGTGCTGTTGTGCCCAACGCACACTAGGAACGCGGAGGCGCGGGGTGTGTTTTTGAGCAGTTACTCACTGCATGTTTTCGCTACCTGTTTGCGTGTATGATCTGATTCCTCAGAAACAGTATTGTGTTGTCCAGCACAACGTTATGCCGAGAGCTCATTTGCCATGTGGTGGAAAGAAGCCATGAAGGATCCCTTGCCGCATGCCATACTCTTGGAGCACTTTATAAAACTTCCCGATGATAGGCAATTGTTGAACAGTTTCCCAAGAAGATCATGAAGAAACGGAGACATGGTATTTTTAGGATTTCCATCACAATTGAAGGCAAGAATGCGCTATTGCCACTATGATTACGCAAGACTAGGTCAGCGTGACGATCAAGCCCGCATCGTCTAGGAGTTGAGGGATATGCAGCCCCCCAGAAAAGCCAAAAAGGTCCGCAATATGATCAAACATGTGTGCAGCGGCAGCTGAGCAGTAGTCACAAAGAGATGGAAGCTATCGGCAGCGGCTTTGGAAGGATGGTACGCAGCAGACTTGGCTGCCATCAATCAGTGCCATGAAAGGAAGGCTACGACCTCAATGCTGGCGTGAATATCGATATCTTCAAGATCTCCTCATCGAGGAGTGATGTTTACACTTTGTAGTATGTCCCTACCCTGCATTTGTTGGTGTGATTGAGAACTCATTGGGAATGTACATAGTGCATTGGGTACGTGGATCATTGAGCAATAAAATGAATGTTTGTGCCATAGGCATGTACAACTGCACGCCAAGCAGACTGAGTTATTATCCCTCCCAGCAGCGTTCCTACTGCGACGCCAAAGGCGCTTAACTGACCACTTGCGCAACTACGGAAAGCACAATCCAGAGGGTGCAAACCGGCCAAGTGACCAGACAAGGAGGGGACCCGAACCACGACTAGGAGTACTCTCCTACCCCATACGCACTCCTACAACATGAATTCAACACTAGGCAACGCATACAAGCAGATGGTATACGATGGCAGTGAGGGCATCCATGAAGATTCGATACGCAGGACGGCAAGGCCGCCGCGGTAGTCTGCTTGAGCGCCAGGTTGGCTTTGATCTGAAGAATGAAAGCAATACACAACGAAGCGAGAGAGCAACATATGCATTGCACCATCCTGAGATGACAGCTCTAGGCCAAAAAGAAGAAGCAAGTTAGTGACCGTCGCTGCGACAAAGGAACCAATGCCACAGACCTTGCATTGGTTTACAAAAAGGCATACTTGGTGTTGGGCGGCGAGGAAAGCAGGAGAGAGGAGCGCAAGTTGAAATGGCATTGTTGGGAGGAAACCTGAGGGGGGGGAATTGGAAGGTCGCCCCCTTTTTATAGACCCAAAATCTCCATAAACCCATTTCAGGACTAATTGAAACGCGTAATTCACCATTTAACCTTTTTAGGATTGCGGTCACCTGACAAACTCACTATTTAACCTTTTTAGTTCTCATTACAGTCACCTGACAAGTTCACCATTTCACCATTTCGGGATTAATTACGCACTGTAAGCATTTTGGTCTTGCTGGTGGCGACTGGCGCCGACTCCGTCAACGATGATCCATCGCGCTAGCTTCCATTTCAGCTATCGGTTACCCGTAGCACGCTCAGCGCAGGTGCTGCAGGTTTGTCGGTAAGATTCGCTGCTGCGTGCTTGGTTGTTATGTTCAGTCTTTATTTAATTTACTTTTTAGCTACACAAAGGCGACTCAGGATCGCTTTGTCAGCGTAAATGTTCGGCCTGGTGGTTATGCGTTGGTTTCAATTCGCCGCGAGCCCGTCAACAGCATGAACTTGACCATGTGGGAGCAGCTCCTGGAGACTCTTACGACCCTCGAAAAGGATCAAGTTCGCGGAGTTATTTTCCATTCTGGGCTCTCTCGGCCGGTCTTTACGGCTGGTAACGACTTAAAAGAGCTTTATGCGCCAGCTTCCAGCCAGGAACGGTATCATAAATTCTGGAGTGTATCAAATACGTTTCTTGCGCGTTTGTCAAACTCCCCTTTGGTAACCATCGCCGCTATCAAGGGTGCCTGTCCCGCTGGTGGAACGTGTTTATCGATTGCGTGCGATTACCGCGTTATCACCGCCGACGGCATTATGGGCCTCAATGAAGTTGCTCTTGGGATAGCAGTGCCAGCCAAATGGATAAAGCTCATGGCTAACGTTATTGGACAAGCTAAAACAGACAAGTTGACTCAATTTGCCAAAATGGTCAAGGCACCTGAAGCATTGACCATTGGCCTTGTTGATGAGGTTGTTCAAGATGAAAAGGAACTGTTAATACAGGCTGAAAAGGTCATGGAAAACTTGTTAAAGCTACCTGATCCGGGGCGGCAGATTACCAAAGACATCTTGAGAGGACCTCTCGCCAGAGAATGGGCCGACGAAAAGTGGCTCAAGGATGAGGCTGAAACAGCCTGGAAGATGCTCTCACTTCCATCTACAGTGAAGGCCCTGGATGGGGTCTTTGCAAGGTTGTCCAAATCGAAAGTGTAAATTAAATTGATATGCGTTAGATAGATGAAATGCGCAGTGTTCAGACCCCGGATATCACGCCCGGAACACCGGGCTCGGATCACTATAATACTGTATTTAAGTGGTTGAGCCGATCTGGACCCCTGTGTCATGTTTCATTGTACATGTCCGGGAAGGATGCATCGTCAAATGGTTCAGAGTCCTCGTATAGTTCGTCTTCCCCATCGATTGAGGATTCGTGAAGCAACGTTAGAGATTGGTGGTTTGGGAAGACTAGAAAATCCTAGCAGACACTTTCGTATTAAGACGCAGTCAAGGTGAAGACCGCATATGCATAGCATCGAGGGTACCTGAATGACCTTGCGGAGTTGTTCCACAATAAATCGCTCAATCCGACCGACATTCTTCAGCACTGATGTGAATCAAACATCTGTAAGCACAGGCCATCACGAGTTATTCCCCAAAAGGCTCACCTTGCTTATGCCGATCACCAACCTCCGAGTCTATCGATACATCATGCAGGATGCTAAAAAAGAAAGATCAGCGAATCCCGCCTACATGAACGTCTTCAGGACCGTATGCATGAAACATACGCCGAGCCTGTATCGGGTTCCTTGAAGCAAAAATTGACCCGATCTCCAAGATAGGCGATGACTGCTGTTGCTGCCAGATAGTCAGTGCAAACTGCATCTCGAATCGCCAAAGTACAAACTTACCGGTGAAATGGAATCCAGTTAATGTCAATGTCAAGGGCAGGACCATAAATGCGGGAGTTGGTTGGTTGACAATGAGCTCGGTCCTGATAGCGAGCCGCATGTTTCCTTTATACACCACTTCGAGATCAACCTGCGCATCCGACTCTCGTCGCATGCTCTCTGCATATTGTAATGCAATCTCATGGTCCGTTGATGGAAGCGGTCGTGGTGGTTCGTTTGGCGGTGTAAATTCTGATAGGGACGAATAGTCGGAGCGGCTGACCGACGGGGACAGTGGGGAAGAAGAGACAAAAGACGAGAGATTGGAAGGATAGCTTGGACGATTGGCGTGTACAGTCTGTTGATTGTGTGGAGAGCCATGTCGAACCGGGTGATATCCAGAGCCAGTTCCACTTCCAAGACCAAGTCCCAGACCGAGTCCCACGCTACCGCTCCATCCGCTACCATAAGCAAACGCAGGGCCGTGGGCAGTCCCAAATACACGAGTGTGTGATGGAACTGAAGGGGTAGATGCTTGGCTACTCATTCTATCTGGCGGTAAATATCGTTCCTGACCGCCAGCGTTCAATCCGTTTGCAGATGAAAAAGCTCGATCGGGGGATATAAAGACATTTTCGTCATATGCTAATCCCGATGGCTGATTTCTTCTTCTAAGTTCCAGGTCCCTCCTCTCTCGTAATGCATAAGAGTATTCGGTGTGATATGCATCCGACATACTAGTAGCACTGGCCTCCTGCGCGGCCGCATAATCATAGCCGCCTCCATGAATCCCAGGTCCTGTTCTCCCCAATAGAGCCACACCAATATCCTCCTCACCAAGTGGCGGTGTTAACGGCCTCCAAAGCTCAGGATTGTCGGGAAGGTAAAACTCAGGAGAGGGATCGCTAATGTCTTTGATGGCAATATCCGGAGGCACATCACCAAAGTCTAGTTCTGTCACTTGAAGCGGCCCAAGGAAAGGTGGCCGTTCTATTTCACGAAAGCGTGCGTTGAGAAACTCTCGAAGACTATCAGCTTCAGCGCCGTCGCTGAGAAGATCCCAGTTAATGAGGAACGACATTCCACACACCCAGTGAGTTCCGTGCTATCGACCGGATCCGTACGAAACGCAACACATCTGTCGGCCCCTTGCGTTACAACCTGACAAGTCTGATCCCCGCCATCGAAAGTCGCAATGAACTCGTCGTTGTCGCCCAACACACTTTATGATTGACTCATCGATCATGCTTAGTCAGAATCGCATAAGCCAAGTTCCGAAGGCTACCCTCTCCAGCTATGGGTTTTGGGTTTGCCACGATTGGAGCTCCTGCTGATGGTAAGTGTAAGTTGCAGAGAAGGAGATACTGATTGATTTAGGTACAATCGAGAGCGCATCAGAGATCATCTCAGGAATTTTGTTTGAAAGTTAGAGTTTGATCGCGAAGCAGTGGGCCACGAATTCGCTGAATTAACTTGACAATTGGTTTGAAGCAAAACGTACCTGCAGCTACTTCTTTCATTTCGTTGGAATGGATATTTGATGTGCATTGTATGAAAAAGGTGAAAGCTTTGTCTCTTACCAAAGTGCCTGTTTCCTCAGCTAGCACACGTTAATGTCACTGAAACTCTACGGATTTCACTTTACCTATGGATTGCCATCGGTGAGATTGGATCAACACATTTTGCAGTTGCATTTAGGGTTTAGATGCAAATCAAATGGGTAGATCGTGCAGGGCCCACCGACATTTGCTCAGAACCAAAAGCACATTTATTTTGTCTATCTACGATACTACATCTATTGGGCAGTTCATACACAAATCAAGTGCTGCACCATACTAATTATAAACTATTTACGTAAAGAAAGCTTTGTAATAGTCCGAATTTCTCGGGATTTTCAGTCGCATGTTCTCAATCTGGCGCCAAATTTCAGGCCTATCGGTACGCCAACCTCGCCACAAGGAGCGTCGGTTCTCCGACAAGCAGGCAAGTTTACAAAATCGTCACCCTCGCATCGCGGAGATCCCGCGAATGTATCAATATGAATCTGATCGCGAGGTATTTGGATGCTGTTCTCATCATCAGCTTTGAACAGTACCAGAAAGTCCGAAATAGTGCCATCGGACTTTGTCCAGTAGGGCCAAAGGCGCTTACTGGTTTGATCTGAACAAGAACAACAATGAGTGACACGTCCCATGTGTCACAGCATTCTACCACTTACCGTTTGAGCTTCTCCACCATTTCAGTACACTTCCCAGTCGAGTACCGCTTTGCTGTTGAACAAAGAGTTCCTCCGGTGTTGCCATAACACGCTCCGGAGGAAGAAGTATTTCTACTCTGTCGAGCGTAGTGTTGACAGGTTGGAGTCTCTGCGCTCTACAATTGAAAGCATTACGGCACAATGTCTTAGGTCAATCAAGTCATGGACGCGGATGACTCACATTGATATTTCGATCTTCTTCAAAGCAGCTTGAAAGTCATCCCAATTCAGGTTTACGTGTAACTCATCCAAATCCCACGAGCCCGCAAGAAGTGCAGGTATGGGTTTGGTCGTACAGTCAATATCGTGGCCGTCAAGGGGCGTTTGTAGGCTAGCATAATGCAAGCAGAGCTTCCCATACAGCTTTTTGAAAAGGTCGACAGACGAGAGAGGGAAAAGTGCATCCTTTTCCCTGCTGAAAGCGCGACCGTTAACGGTTGCCGCAATGAAGGATTTCTTTCCGTAGGAAAAGAGGCACCCGACCATGGTTGACGACCCTGATTTCTGATCAGTGCCATCAGGTGCTACGATACACTTCAGTGCTCGCAATCCCTTGTCGGTACTGCGCCAATAGATTTGAATGCTATTTCCAAGGAAGCCAGTGTGCGTATAGGTCTCAGCACCCGCCACACTAGAATTCCGCAGTACACTCAGTACCGTGTCAGGCTGGCTTGCAAGGCCGTGCAGACCTTGCAGCATGATGATGTCGTATGTAGACAGGGACTCTGGATATGACGAGTCCAGGAATCCCTCTGAACGCCAGCTATCTAAAGTATCGATGCTGTATGTGACGAGGCGCAACGGTTGTTCACGAGTATCTAAAAAGGAACGATTCAACGTGGGCCAGCCAATCTACGCTTGTAGTAACAAAATAATACCTGCATCCACTTCGTATGCAACTGGCACATGCGCCCCAATCGTTCCTGCGCACGTTTTGTGGCGGGCAGGTAGCCTGTCGTCTGCCAAAGCGTCGCCGCTCTCTTTACGGTACCATGTGGCGTAGCTCCCAATTTCTGCACACTTAGGGAAATCAGACAGATTTCCTGTCGGTAAAGCCAAGCACATCCTGTCGGGAGTCACGGCCTCGATCAGGGGTTGGTTGAAAAGCAGCGAATCGGGATATGTGCTGGGATCTGGCAATGACGGGATCCAGAGCATTTGATTCGTGGTAGTTAGTAACGGAGGCGCTGGAAAATAATTCCTTTGATACAGCGAACAAAGTGAAAATTAACTTTTCGTTACCCGTATACCAAGGCAGTTGCTGTTCCCACCTCCAAAGTCCAGTTTTATGCAAAGCAACGTCGATGTGCTGGTTTCCAATTTGACCACCCAAAAGACCAGAGACAACAATGGGAAATCCGTAGGTCATACGGAAATATTCCATGAGGTACAGGAGGTGGGTAGCGTCGTCCTCGTTCATCTTTGGGATATGAACATTTACGACAAAGAACTAGCAGCACGTTGTCAATTTGCATCTCTACAAGCGTGAATACAGCAGGATATCAGTAATTATCAGCTTACTTTTCGTTGGCTCTCTTTCACGGTAACAAGCGCCACATTGGGTAGACGCCATCCGTTAATGACGGCTTCTTTCGCCCACTTTAGGTGTAGCAGCTCATTGCCATGGCACGCGCTAATGTTGACATTGTCAGTTCGATACAAGAACCGCTGAGCGCTCAGACCTGGTTCGTTGTCACTTGCACAAATAGTGGAGAGAGCAAGATGCTGACGAATTAGAGCGGGAACTTTAGCGATAGTTAAATTCAGGTTCTGTGCAGATTGCAAGGACACCACAATAGATGTGGACGCGAGATACAATAGGGAATCAAGATGGTAAGGCGCGGTAATAGGACGAGAAGCCAGATCGTACGACAACACTAGCAATTGAAAAAACTTTAGCAAATGATCATTACGACGCACAATAAGTGAGTAAATACCATGATATCGGATCGGAACATTCAGTTTCGGTAGAGTGAAGCCATTAAGCCCCTCCAGCGCTCTCCATTGCTCCTGATGGGGAGGACCTGATGACCATCCGGAATTGAAGACCAAAGGAGGGTCCGAGCAGATGATTGAGGATTTAAATTGGAACTCTGAATATGCTGGGTCTAGAGGGAATTAATAAGCGCTCAGCTCCGAATTATGGAGTAATCTCGTAACTACCGCACATACCTCTACCTGCGAAGGTAATATCAAAGTCGTATAGACCATATAGTTCCCGATCCGTGATATTCAGTTTCACTATGAATTGCTTCCCATTATCATGTAAAATGGCAGAAGCAGGCAAGCCTGTGGGCATCGACCCTGATCTTTGCAACAGAGGTGTCGATAATGTGACCTTTGCTTCAAATGTTTTCGACAGATGTGAACGTATCATTGAGGGCATTCGCGCTGGATCAGCATCGACAGTGAATGTTAAAACGCTCCCCTGATCGCATTGTTCAAAGACCACTGCTCGAGTACTGTCTGCCAATTTGACATTCCGCCCCACACGCAACAACAAGTTCTCGGTCTTGATTGAGCTGTTATTGACCGTCTCCAGAAAAGGTCCAAGGCCACCGAGTAACGTATCTTTGCATGCATCCAGCTTCATTTTATCAAACGCTTTGTACAAGCGAGCATACGAGATGTCATCAAATGCGGAACACACTTGGCACACGTTCGCCACCCTCTTCAAGAGGTCATCGCTGATATCTGGTAAACGCTCTGCAGTTGGATTAACGCTAGCCAACTTTAGCGCTATGCTCATCAATGAGAATATGTCTGAGATTGCCGGTCCCTCCGCCGACAGTGATGGGATGTGTATAGGAGACCGTAGTCTCTGAACAGACTTCCAGGCCGTACATGGCAGCTCAAGAAACGCGTCAGCAAACTTTTCTGGCTGCGACACCTCAGGAGTTGAAGGCAAATTGACGTTAGCGGATAGAAGTTCATGGACCGTAGGCCATGTAGGGTCGGTGAGTGAATCAGGCGTCTCGGCTACAGTGGTATGTCAGCCGAAAAGAATAACGTCCGTAAATGCGCACCACTAAACGTACTGTTAAGGAGGCTTTTGTACAGCAGATTGAAAGAAGATGGGTCCATAGAATCCAGATGTCCTTCGCATCCTAGTCCACCCTCCACCAAACGCATCTTCAGACGATCCTTAAGTGGTAGCTCTGAAAACATCGCATCATCGGAAAAGCAGGTTCTGTGGCCGTCCCCAATCAGGAGAGCCGCGTGGCTATCATGCCATATATGCCCAGTATCTATCTCGGTAAAATTCGGCGATGGGCCAAAAAAGCGGACAGACATTGCTAATGATACTGCGGTGCATGAGGTAAGGGGCGTAGGTGAAAAGACTGCTATGCGGGTTGGCTTATCGTCCTTGTTTCACGTCTTCAGCGCTTGCTCATTGTTCAACAAACAGACGTCGAACGATACCTGTCTTTTGCTTCGCCACGACTCAACCAGTCGTAGCGTGCTTTCTTTACATACACGATCGCAGCTTTTCAGGCCTTTCCCTTCTTGGTATATGATAAGTCTACTTAGAAGTCTGCCATTTGACTCATCGGTCGTGCAGTCTCCGTCGTCACTGTCGGCGGCCAAGAGCAATTTCCGGTTCGCAGAGCGGGTCCCCTTGCATTCAGGGTACTCAAGTCCAATTGAAACAGCTCCACGCGCCAGCTTGACAAGTTCTGTCGCCACGTCTGAGTCGTCTCCTTCAACCGCCTTGGCTGCTTTCGAAATGTCACTGTGAACAGACTGATATAAGCCACCAGACTCTACAAGTTTGGCACGAAACTCCTGGAGAGTCTGGTTCCAAGACGGTGCCTGCTGCAACGAATCCGCCCACTTTCGGAACTCGTTCAAGGACGTCCATGAGGTTGCAAAATGAGGAATTTCATCGAGATCCACAACCACGACTGACTCGACCGTAAGTAGCTGTAACAGCCATGAAAACCATAATAGTGCCGCAAGCGCGGGGTGCCGCTGATAGAGCATCTGCGACTGTCTTTGGGCACAGCTTAAGCCATAAGAGGTCGTTTTGTTGAAAGCGTTCAGATCTGGCGAGGCCAAGCGAACTATCGGGTATCAGCCCAGCAAACACAGCATTTGAACCGCAATTGGATTTCACAACCACATTGTATGGCTGGAATGCAATGGCACAGTCATTCACAACTTGGTGTGTTCTTGAACTCGTCCCTGTAGATCTGCAGGTGCAAAGATTCCTGACATTGCAGCAGCAGCTCGACTTGTTTTCCAGAGGAGTAAGTCGCCTGAGATGGACTTTGGTAACAGTCGTCCCACTGGAGAACAAAATGTCAAGGTGTCTTATCAGTATCATCGTACGTTACTTGAGCGTCCGTTTGTGATTTTCAACCCCTATTTTACAACATGATCGCTCACACTCAACTTATCGGGATATTTGCAGCTGACATTGGGCACTACCACTATGGGGAAAAGCATTACATGAAGGTGAGCAGCGCATTTGCTACTTGTCTATTTGGACCCTATTAACGCGAATATAACACCCTCTCTTATGGAAAGCCTGCCCGAGTCAAGATGACACACAGCTTGGTCACCGCTTATGGGCTGCAAAAGAAAATGGAAGTTTCGGTACGTTGCTGTGGCGCCTGGAAATATGTGAGCCGTGGTGCTAATTTCGCCCACCCGAAGACGCCGACTCCTGCCACTTTCAAGGAGATGAGCAAGTTTCACTCTGACGACTATTTAGATTTCCTTCGACGAGGTGGGTGCACTTGTTACGACGCCTCGGTACGAAGGCAGCTTTGGACGATAACGATCGAAGAATCTAATGAGTTTTGCACGGTTGATATCTAGTTACACCCGAGGATACAGACGAGATCATGAAGTATCAGGCGCGATTTAATGTGGGCGATTTCTGTCCAGATTGTCCGGTATTTGAAGGCCTTTACGAGTTTTGCTCCCTGTCTGCTGGCGGTTCCATCGGTGAGAATGGCGGTTATATGTTAGGGTCTGCCGATCAACAACACTAACGTTTTTGGAAGCCGGAGCAAAGAAATTGAACAACGGACAAGCAGATATAGCTATCAACTGGGGCGGCGGGTTGCATCACGCAAAACGTGGCGAGGCCTCTGGCTTTTGTTATGTAAACGACATTGTCCTTGCAATTCTCGAACTACTCAAGTATGCATCCGCCTTATTTCTGGAACGATGTGTCTGTGCTAAATTGCTCATTGTCATCAGGTACCATCAACGGGTTCTCTACATAGATACCGACGTACATCATGGCGACGGTGTGGAGGAGGCTTTCTACACCAACGATCGGGTGATGACGGTTTCGATTCACAAATTTGGAGAATTCTTCCCTGGTACCGGTGCTTTAAATGTTAGTCAAAGGATTTGGAGCAGTAGCGTGAGCTTTACCTTAACTGACCGTCACTTGCAGGATGTCGGCATCGGCAAAGGCAGGAATTATTCTGTGAACGTACCGTTGAATGACGGTAAGTCGAACAATATTGATTCCTTTACCTACCGGCGGACTGACGAAGGTATTTCCAAATCATAGGGATTGATGATCAGTCGTACGAACATCTATTTCGTTCGGTGAGTGGTTTTTGTTGCCGTGTGGATTGCCCTGTACGCGACTTGACTTGCGCTTCCCGTAGGTGATATCACATGTCATGGAATGGTATAGGCCGGGTGCTGTGGTACTGCAGCTTGGCGCAGATTCGCTAGTAGGTGACCGATTAGGTGCTTTCAATCTGTCAATGCGAGGTAACGATCCCATTATCTGAATTAAACAAACGCAGTTATCTGACAATTTTTTCTCACAGGTCATGCACAGTCTGTTGAATTCTTAAAGACTTTCAATGTCCCACTTATTTTGGTGGGAGGTGGAGGCTATACGGTTCGAAATGTTGCACGCGCATGGTGCTACGAAACCAGTCTAGCGGTCGGCGTGGAGGTACCCGAAGGTACGCGTGCGAATTGAACCCTGCAATCACCAGAAATGCACGCTGACCACATTTTTGCGTTTAGATTTACCGTACCACGAATATTACGAGTATTATTGCCCCGAATATCGATTAGACATCCCAGCTAGTAACATGGAGAATTTGAACACACGGGATTATCTCGAAAAGATAAAGTACGTTTAGATGCGAGTTGTCAAATTTAGAGATGGACTAAACCAACTGGGAATTGCCAGGATTGCAACAATTGAAAACTTGCGACATGTAGCGCATGCTCCGAGCGTGCAAATGCATCGTAAGAAGCCATCATGCGTAGGTTACCAATACGGTTCGAGGCTGATATGTGTTTCCAGATGTTCCGTACGATGACTGGTCATCAGACGATGATGAGGAAGAAAATAACAAGGACGAGCGGATAACACGTGAGTGGGTTGATGAGTCTGGTACTCTACAACGGGTAATTTAATTTCGATTCCCGCAGAGACGATGTCAGATAAGTATCGAATCCCCGACAATGCCTTGTCCGACTCCGAAGACGAAGGTGTAGGTGGACGAAGAGATCGACAATCATACCGAAACGCAAAGCATAAGGAGTTACGCGAACGTATTGGTGGATCTCCGCGTGGCTCGCCGGCCCCTCGACGCACGCTGCGTGATCGGACGGCGAAAAGAGAATCTGAAGAGATGACTTCGATTATACAGTCTCCCAAAGCCACGGATATGTCCGCAAACGAACCAAAAGGGACCACGATTATGGATATTGTGGCTAAGGAAGAGCTGGAACAAACCCCACAATTGGCGGAGGATGACGATGCTAATATGGCGGATGCGGAGCCAGACGCAGATGAAGACGTCATGGATCTTGACGAGGACGCGACCCCACCTGTACGTCGTACATCTCACACCTTGACAGGTGCATCCTTGCACAGCCCAACACCAAGTAGTCCAAACAAATTGCGTGCCGTTCAAGAACCGGTGAAGGAGGTTAGTGAGGGGAAAAGCAGCGACGAAGTGTCACATGTTGCAACAGAAGGGAACGTGAATGGCAATGGCCAGCAAGCATTTGCCACACAACAAGCATTTGCCAATGGTGCAAGCAGTACAGGTCCCAGATTTATGGAAATGAACCCGACCAACAACCGAGAGACAAAGGAAGGGTGAGGGACACGGGGTTGTTTTATCTTACGATGGGCGACGAGCTTCGTGTATATACGGGGGTGATAGTTTTTTGGGGCTTTCAACTTTGGTTGCTGTCCACATTTGCGTAATGCGTTTGTATTTTTAAGAATGCTATTAATGTTTCAGTTTTAATTCTTCTGGGGTTGTCGAGCAAATGAGCTATCCCGACGCGTAAAGCATACGCCGTGACGCCCACGAACTGTATCACATGTCACTTATTCTTCCTTTTCCGTCTCTTGCGGCTCGTGAAGATCCTCAATGGATCCCACCATACCAGTATCAGCACTATCTTGCGACTCTAATGGCGGCGTGGGCCCCCGTTCAGCAACTTGCTGTGTCTCACTTTCCTCTGACGATTGCAGGTTCGATCGTCGCCGCAACTCTTGACCGTACGCTGATTTCGCGAACAGAAGCTCGTCTGGAACAGACGCACGATGCCGCTTAAGCAGACTTGCTGTGGGTGAATCCATGTCTTGGGATCGTCTGCTGTCCCCGAACCCGAGATGCTCATAGCTCTTTGGTGCGTTGAGATGGTCGCACTTCATGCATCGAAAGCCTAGAGGACACAGATCCATCAGCCAATTGCAAATAGGTTTGTCAGATGATTACCTCCACTTACGAGCAGTTGCGTATGCGTCCGGCGGAACCAAACCATTGTGTGTGAAGCATTCTTCACATATCAATGCATATTTACTTGCTGGTCCTTCACTCTCACCGATCATAATGTCAATCACCTTGTCAAACCATCCCTTTGGTGAAGGAGTGTGTGCACCTAATCCAGATTTTAGCAAACTACCTTTTCGACGTACAACACCGAAGCGTACCGCGTGCAGGAATCATCATATTGATGTCAGGTGTGGGGGATAGCGGCGAAGGCCTGTCGACGGGGAATGGGGTTACTGTTTTTCAAATATGTTACAACGGGAGAGCAGAACATAGTCAGTATCTATTCATATGATCATCAAAGAGACTGTTATATCAACCTGGAGTGTTCATCGATGCGACCATCTGGGGAGTACTCGACGGCTCAAGACGTTGGGACAGAGTGGAAGGTTTTGTTAAAACTTGCGCGGCATTAGGAGTTTGCATGGGTGTGCCCTATACCGGAAGGTTGGGACACAGATACTGAATCATAAAAACCAATCGACCTCACCGGTTGCGGCTTGTTTCGCATCCTTTCCTTAGTGGGTGTGTCATAACGCTCAATAAGGCCCTTGGTTTTGTAATAGGCGGTTTTCTTCTTCAGATCTTCGATCTGGTCGTCATGAGAACTATCAGCGACGATGAACAATGACTTGGACAATGTCCAATGTGCATACCTTTTCCTTCTGCTTTGCTTTCAGATTTTCAAGGTATTCCACTGGAAGAGTGAGATTAGTATCAGTGATGATGGCTGTTTGAGGGGGAATGTACACTCACGTTCATGCTTTTCTTTAGTGCTGTACCAATACCGGATCAACCGGTGAACTATATATATACTAAAGTGTGACATTAGCTTAGCGAGAATGCAAAAACAGCAATATACTAAGCGCGGATTTCTTTACCATGGGGCACCTAGTACAACGAAACCCGTCTTCCACAGCCATATATCCCACGGATCTCCTCGCGGTTTGAGATAAGTGAAGTACGCGACTAGAACGAATACATAGACTGGGATAGAGTAATACAGCCACGCAAACTTGAGTTTTCTTTCTCGCATATGTAATTCAGATAGCCGTATTTCTGCATGGCGGATCCTCTCGTCCAGCACCGCCAAGGCCTTCTCCCAATCGCTGTCATCCTGAATGGACATGTTCAGATACATAGAAGGCTATTCTGGGGGCATCATCGTGTCCTATCGCACCTTCCGCTTTAACCAGGACAGTAGCCCGACCATATCTTCCTTCTTTTTTTCAATCAAAGGTTCATAGACGAAGCCGATATCCTTTCTGATACGGACGAGTTGGTTAAAAGACTTTCACATATGATCCATCATACGGGCAAATTTGAGAGCAATGGGCAGGATCTTGTTCAAGCCTCGATATATCAAACGCCAGGCGTCACCAAATTAGGTTTCATACGTCGTTGATCCCAGATCAGACTCTGCACGGTGAGTGCAACAAGACCTCTATCTAACGCCGGTCAATTTGCTCTTCCCGCTTCAAGGAGCCATTTCCAATTCGCCAGAGTGCAGAGAAATGACTTCACAGGAGCCATCGGAAGCGTAGGCCAATGCCTTGAGTGCCGTCGGATGAAACCTCTTCACCAGTAATTTCCACCCTATTTGACCAAGAATCCTTCCAGCTTCCAACCATCTACCGGCTCTATCACCTACCGGTTTCCCAAGTAAAAGTGGATGAAATCTGGCAAAATGCTGGCGGGGCGACCGGGACGCTGTCAGTGACGCTATTGAATCAAACCGGCAAAGTGCATTGGCATCATAATACATTTGAAATGCAAACCACATTACAGCAGGTTTCAAATTACAATGGGGAAGATAAACAAAAACGACAATTGCAACAAATACTACAAGTTTTCCTGCTGTCATTCCCAGCGTGAACGCCTACGCCGACTGTCATCTTCATCCCCTCCGTGGTCGTGGCGGTCATCTTGCCTTTCCCCATCATCTTCTCGCCTGGTGTCTCGCCCATCTGTATCCGGAGAGTACTGCCGTTTTCTCGGCACCATCCCGCCCGGCGGCCCATTCCATCCAGGTGGCGGCCCCCACGCTGGCCTTGCCCCAGGACCACCATGATACATACCCGGTCCGCGACCCCAGTGTGGTGGCGGTCCGCCTCCAGGACGCATACCATGTGGTCCTGCTGGAGGCATTCCATATCCGGGTCCATAGTTTGGAGGAGGGTGTTGATAGGGCCAGTCGTACGATCGACGGGGATGTTGTCCAGATTCTCCACCACCATCGCTAGGACCGTTCGCCTCGCGATCTTCTGAAGTATGCTTCGCCTCGTTTGTGGAATTGACTTCTTCGGTATCGTCTCCGCCGCCCAATACAACGATATGCTCTTCGCCTCGATCTTGAGTTTGCCGGTTACGCCACCGTTCATCATCACGCTCGTCATACTGGCGATCTGTGACAACCATGATCTCTGTCCCTCGTCCTGATGGGGACATCTGTGGGTATTGATGGTGCGGTGGTCGGGGCATTCCCATGGCCATATTGGGAAAGGGCGGCTGGAGACCAGCTGGCACACCGTCCCGGTTACCCATCCAAGGTGTTTGCTGCATTTGCTGCATACCCGGTTGCACAAATGGGCGTGCCATGTGAGGAGTGCTTTGGTTAAAGCCTCCTCGGTCTCGCTGTTGCTGAGCCGCCACGAATCCAGGCGCAAACGGGATCTGACCGCTCGCATACTTTCCCTTGCACACATCCCCCTTTTGAGGCCAGCCAAAATCGGGTTCTTCTACCACCATTCCACCCTCGATAGGTCCTCCACCACGTGTGGATTGTGAGATTGTCCGCTTCTCGGTGTCTGTCATGCGCGCCAAAGGGAACAATGTTTCTCCGGTGGTATAGTCAAAAAATTCTTTGGGACCATATCCACATCCCCAACCCATCTGCAGCATTTCCGTTCTTTTAGCAAATCATGAAAAATAATATTAGAAAAATTGATAATCACCTTAAGCATTGTACCATTATACTGGTACTTATGAAACCGATCTTTGACCAGGTCCGCCTCGGCGCGGGTCAGAAGTTTAACAAATGCATTGAATTTAGGATAGTTTACCTGCCAAAATCATCGTGAGTTTTATGTGTCCCTCAGAGGTCCAGATCGGTAACCTACTGTTACAGTATCGACACGCGCTATAGTTTCGAAGAGGTCTCGAACATTTTCCTTTGTAATATTGGGGGTGATGCCCCCTACATATACGGTTCGTGTCAGAACTGAAAATAAAGGTTAGCGGGTTAGCACTATTCCTCGGTCCGCGCTGCGTGCTTCAAATCATTTTACTTTTCATAAACTCCTTTGGTAGTGAAGGATCTACAAATCCTGGCAAACAGTCTCCCGGCCGAGCTGGTACTGCACCTTGTGCAGCCGCCTGCGTCCAAGGTGAAACTGGCTGTGCTCCTTCTCGATCGCTACCCACTACTGGAATTGGTCGACCGATAGGGGCCAACGACTTGCCATCGTTCTGCATTCGCCCTTCTAACGAAGGATGCTGTGCATATTGATGCAGCATGGATTGCTGAGACTGTGGGGGGCCTCCTCCAGCCCGGTTCGGAAAGTTGGAGCTTTCAGAGCCCATTGATCCGAGATTTGTTTGGCCTTGCCCCATTGGATTCTGGTGCTGTGCAGCGTGCGTGGATTGGCTTCCCCATGGCGTTGAAGATACCGCATCTCTGATCGACCCACTTGGGAAACTTGCAGGTTGGTGTGTGGCGGTGACGTTGGATTGTGCACTAATTTAGTGAGAAGGTTGTCGATTCGATGCAAGCGGGCAGATGCCAGGAGGAAATAATGGTATATGGGGAAAAGAGAAGAGAGATATTGATGATTAGAAAAAGGACACGATTCCAAGACGTTCGCAAAAGATATACTAGCGATGTAATAGAACAGTTTATTAAGCCAAACACAATTACAACGCAGAATATAGTTACGGTCATGCCTGTTCATATAGGTATCCGCTTTCTACATAGACTGCAGGTACCATGTCTCACGGAAGACCATTATATCATTGCGGCAACGTATAAACCGATGACCGCATACAGCCTCGCTTTCAACAGCACGCGCAAGTGTATCAAAAAACAGACACAAAACACTACTTACGTTCCAACTCCAGAACTCGTCACTTTCTTGACGTCCTCTTCATCACCATAATCGAAGTCATTCGGATTGGCTGATTGGCCAATCGATGTTGAAGCCGCACTTACGTGTTGTTTTGTAATACTATTATCAGCAATGTCTCCTGACGATGAATTTAGGCTTGGGGTCGCCTGTAACGAAGCAGTCAATGAGCCCACTACTGGATTGTTGGATACCATGGGAAGTCCCGCTAAAAGCAGCTGGGCAATAGCTGCTTGTTGGCTTTGTACAGAAGGCTGCTGTGGAAGGGCGGCCTGGTTTTGAAGCAAAGGCAATAACGAAGCAACGTCCAGATTACCACCTAAGCCGGGGACCGCTGACTGCCCCAAAGCACCAAGTGCGCCCAACAAAGATGTAGCATCTAACCCTGCTGAAGGTAGTCCAGCCGGCTGCTGTGGGGCCGACGTTGCTTCTGGCCCTCCTATCGACCCATTGTTCAAGCGTGGATCTGTGCCGATGATACCAGTTCCATTATTTGAATTATTGGATACTCGAGGATCGCCCAATCCAGCGGATGCGATGACCGTAGGACCTTACCAGCGAACAAGTTATACAATTAAAAATCTGAGTGTTTCCGACATAATTCCCTATCACCGTACGACCGATAAACACTACATTCAGCCAATACTCTACCTGGTGCCTCCGCATGTCCTTCCGTGAAATACTGCTTTTCCAAAGCAGTGACTTGTTCCACATTGAAAAGTCCAGATCTTTTCCACAGTCCTACAGTTCGTTTGACACGATCCTGCCAGGTTTATAAGATGAGATAATGCCACAAGAGCACTGGCATGCATTCACATACCTTGTCTTTTGGTGGGGCCTGAAGGAGATGAGGAATAAAGGTATCCAGCTTCTCCTCAAATCGCGCTATATAGACTTTTCCATCCTCGGGATGCTTTGCGGCAGCACGTGCAATGGAGTCGATGGTGTAAAGACCAGCCAGTTTTAGCTCTGGCGGACATTTCTGAATGAATTTTTCGATGCTATAAACAATGTTCTTGTAGTTCTGCGCAAAGGGCAAAGGATATGTTAGGGGCGCTCCCGACAAGTACATAGGAAACAACCATCTTATGCAAGCAACGGCGCCTGTTTCACAAGGCTAGAGTCAAAGCATGCGACGGATCATCTCCATCCCTTTCCAGCAAAACTTTATGAGCGGAATCGCAGCTTTTTCCAGCACTTGGGACAAACATTTTGCCCGCTTCCAGTACCGTCATGTATCCAGCCATCTCACCTTTGCGTGCTTGATGGCAAGTTTTGTCAAAGAACTGATCTTTGACGCCGAAACGGGTAACTTTGTCTCGTATAGCGAGTGAAGCTCCTTGTCAAACTCAAGGGTATCCCGGAGGGACATGGCGATGAGCGCTCAAACGTTGGTGGATCCAAAGTCTCGATGAGCAACGCTAAAAAGATTTCGATGGGATCGCCTTCCCGTTTCTCAAAGCCCCCCTTTGAGTCTTTTAGAAACCTTGTTGCTAAGCATTATCACGTGAAATGACTCATCAAGCAGCGAGCGCTTCACGAGCACCTTTTTGAGTTTGGGCCATCTTCAGCCTGGCGTGCTTCATCACACGCCAGTTCCTCCGCGAGATTCATTTTGGCAGAGGAAAAAAGTACTTTCGTTATGCTGTCAGGACGACGGCCAAGTCTGCAGGTCTCTACTTCTGGTACTGGCGCTATCGAAGCTCTCCTTTCTTCGCAAGGTAAACAAACGATCTGCACGGGTGTCATTTGGTTGGGAGAGTTTACGGTGGTGGAAGTTCTTTGGTACTCATTTTTCATTGGCCTCTATTAGACTACAAAGAGTTCTCTAGCCATGGGTTTGACGCAACTCAGTATGCCAATCGCGTCATTCAGGCACCTGCAGATAGCCCATTTCACGGAATGGATATTGCCACGGCGTTGGCAAAGCTGAATTTTGGCATTGAGCATCTGAACAAGCATATCCATGATCAGGTAAGATTGAGAATGGGTGGAATGTAGTATCTAGCAGCGCATTTTGTTTATCAGCCTGTGAAAATGAATCCTCTTCTGTCCATTCCAGGTTGCAAGTCACTATGAAGATCTATTGCAACAGGTCACGGGCTTATCGCACATTGAGGAGGTTTTGTCAACTGTCAAGAGCGGACTGGGCTCTCTAAATGCATCTTTTGAAAGGTACTCCGGCAAGTATGCGAAAAACACGGTTGGACAAGCGGCTCACTGTCGGCCTTGAGGCCACATTACTTAGAGTACGCGAGAAGATAGTAGATCCATATCAGCAGATGAGAGATAAGAGTGTGCAATTGGACCGGATACAACGAACAGCCGAGGTGCTGCGTCGCATAATACGCTTTATGTACTTGCTACGCCGGCTCGAATTGTTAATGCCTGGAGGGGAGCGGGAACTACCAAAGGCGGCTCTTACCGTTAGTGAAATGGGTAAGCTCATTACAATGCCGACGCTAGTTCACAAGAGACTAGTATCTGACGATATTCTGCGCTAGATGCCATTATAGCCGATGAGGACCTTCACGGTATTGCCATTATCGAGTCAGAAAGTGATCTTGTAACTCAGGCGAAGGAGCGAATTACCACCGAAGGGGAACAGTTACTACTGCGCGGGTTGTCTGCACAGGTGCGTGGATGGTCGTCTAACGTGTGTTGACATTGTCGTACTGATTTTATTGGTAGACCGCAGATATAGCAACAGGTCTTCAAGTTTTCTTTAACTTGGGACAGCTCGCATCGAAGACTCGACAGCTTGTAGAGCAAATGTTACAGAGCATTACTAAGGACATTCAAGCGGCGCTGGACGTCGTCAAGTTGAACAAAGAAATTAAAGGTACATCCGGTAATCCGAATAAGCGGACAAACTTTAGACATGGCCTAATTATGCTATCTGTAGAGGCGTCCCTGGCCGGTGACTCTGCACGCCGTCCTGGCGACACCCCTTTTTTGAGTTCATCCGCATCCGCAAGCAATGGGCTATGGAGCAGACTGGAACGTCTGATGGACAGCATCTTCGAAAATGCTAATAAAGTAAAACATTCCTTGCAGAAACGTGCCTCCGCTATGGATCTGTTCTGATTAACATATGTGCCAGATATACCAACTTGAGAAAGTGCTTGGACGGAAGCGTGACCCTGTAACGCATGTCCTTTTCTTGGACGAGGTCAACAAAGTACGACTGCTGGATATCGGACTTCATATTTTTGAGTCATGTTACACTGACACCGCTATTATTAGGGAATCAACGGAGACTTGCTCGATTATTTCTGGAAGGGGCTATCAGCCTCTTTAGAACGCGAAATTCGTCTTGCCACAAAAGGTGCGCGAGCGAGAAGGAATCATACTCATTTCAAATACATCAAGCGCTTACTGTGGTGGATCTTCAGCGTCACAATTTCTTCTCCACGCCTTTCAAACCGGTTACCCCCGGCTCTTGCGGCTAGTGCATAACGTCTTCACACGGCTTTCTGTTGTCAGCGGGATTGATTACAGTGACGAGACGCAAAGGTATAGGAGATCACTAAACATGTCCGCGATGCCTCTAGCTTATTCACTTCCTCTTCCTTGTTGTTTGCAAGGCCAGACAGTCTTTTAATTCTTCGAACTTTATCTCCATTCGAAGGGGCATACCTATCCCGGTCTCTTTCACGACTTCTTGAACCTGTCAATACAGCATTTCCTGAAAGGCCTGGGCCTGGCGTGAGACCGGTTCCTAGTCGAGATGACGTGGACAAAATCATAAGAGCGTTGAGCAGGTCCGTTCGTTGGGTAAAATTGATACCAAGTACAGACCAGTAATCATTCCATTTGTCAAGAATAGTGAGATGGAGGTAGCGAAATTCGATGCACACCTGGTAAAGGCTGTATCAAAGAATGGCAATAAAGCTATAAGAATGTATGCTGTCAAGTGCGAGCAGTTGGTAGGTTGACCACGCATTGCAGATTTTCCATCTCTTTCATTTTCTTTTTAAATAATGTCTTTGCTAGTATGGTGCAGAAGCACATGTACAGTTCAGTGGAACCGGTCCGGCCTCACAGTCCCAAGCTCTTGTCATTGAGATTATCAACTCGTTGTGGTGGATGCAGCAGAGCCTCTTGCGTCTTCTGGAAGAGTTTGAAAAGGGAGCCAGTGACGATCCTTTGAGCGACGCCGCCCAGGTGAAGTCCCTTGTCGTTGCGCCAAACGGGCAAGGTTGTTGACTCATTATTGCATCTCACCAGGGCTTATCCAAAACGCTGCAGAATATCGTGGAACGAAGTTTCAATCAGATTACTCGAGATATGGAAAATGTGCTCATGAAGATACATAGGGAAGATTTTGCGAGGTTGGTGGCATCAAATTACCTTACATCTTACTAGGCCTAACAATTGCGGTGCATGTAGTCGACACGCGTCGCCTTCACGGGGACCTGTGGAATCATCCACAAGTCAGTACGTGGTAGAGTTTGCCACTAGAATTCGATGGCTTCATCGAGAGCTCCTGTCAAAATTGCAGTGTGGCAAGGATTCACGCGAGTGGTATGCAAGTGCCATACAGAAACAGTATTATTAATCGCAATACCCACTAATATGACATGTAAAAAAAGGATTCGGGCACTTGGACAGCGTGTCGTCGACTTTTTCCTCCGCCATGCTAGCTTAATACGACCCAGTAATGAAGTCATTGGACGATTATTGGCTGGAGACATGACCCAATTAGAGTTTGTTCTGAGCCAGTGGTTCGGAGCAATGGGAATGAAGCTGGAGCGAGATCTAGGTGATAGCTACAGGGCTCTGCGGACGTTCAGGTTTGTTTTGGGCCTTGTGGTTGTGAACATACTATTTCTTAACGCATGCGGATATCAGACATTTGCCTTTTCTGGATCTCGATCAAGTACGGGATTTGTCTCGAAGCCAAACACTGCCACCTCTTATTTTGCTCCAGCACCTACTTGCCCGCTCACATCCATCCATACCCTCTCCCATGCTCCTGTACGGCTGGAGTGCAACACAATACAGTGAATGGCTAGATCTTCATTCTACCCAAGAAGCCATGCAACTACTAGATCGATGCTTGGATAGTTATGCAGACGAAATGAAGCGCAGGGGAGACAGATCATTATGCCCTGAGTTCAATGCTGCAAAAGAGATAGTGAAGCAGAACACAAAGAAATAGACATTGGGCGGGTGTGTTGTATTTTTACATGCCAATGACCACCTTTCTCAAAAATCTCCATACGAAGTTTAGTAGAATGCTACCACCGTTGGATGGCGCTATGCCTTGGACTCTGGAGGCAATGTCCAAGTTGTCCCTATTCCGAGGTGTTTCAACCAGTGTGTTCGCATCATTCCCAGGATGATGCATCTCCGGTGGTTTTACAGCTGACGGTTGGGGGAGCGTAAAATATGTAGCAATTTCATCGTCTCCCATGCCACTTGAATGATCCGACTCAATCTCGCTGAGGTACAGTTTAAGTGGTTTCCCTGGCTGCACCAGCCCGCAATTGTCCTTGATACGGTTCTTTGGATGTTTTTTGGGACGAGGGCTGCCATTCTCTACGTCCGTACGCATCATTTCATCAACTTGATCATAAATCCGGTCGTGCGCTGATGTCAATTCCGAAGGTTTAGGATGGACATCATGAGACTTTACCGTACTCGGCAATAAAAGCTCTTTAAATGGGTTGACTGGAGGTACCAATTTTTCGTAAGTGCGGCACCGCTTTCCGCCACCGGCACTTTGGCCAGCTCTTGTGGGAGTGAGCTTCCCGGCCATCTCCCCTAATACCGTTGCATAGTTCACTCGTATCTCCTCTAGTTGCGCTTTCAACTGTTCGACGAGAACTTCCTGCTGGTTGCAAATGTCTCGACAGATCACACCATCTTCAGCTTTTTCTTCTAGCTGAGCTACTTTCGCCTGCAATTGACGCAATTCCTTCGAGGCGGCTTGAAGCCGCCCCTCGACTTTCTGTCTTGCAGTTGCCTCCCTCGCCTTCTCCTCCTCCGCCTCCTGAACCCGCAATAATAAGGAATCTAGTATTTCTCGTTCTTCCATCTCCACCGAAAACTTCTCCTTTTTATCCTCTAGCCATTGAAGTCTTAGCCGTTTCTTCTCAGCTCTTAAAGAATCCACTTCCTCGCACAGCAAAAATAGTTCATTTCTGATGTCTTCCATTTGAGCAGCATGAGCATTACTCTCCTTTTCCCGATTTTGTTTGGCAATTTTAACCTGGCTGAGAAGGGAAGTAACTTGAGCCTGAAGCTCCGCATTGCTTCGTTCTAAAGATTCGATGTATTCTGATACATCAATGCTAATGCTACTGCTTGGGCTCGTGAGGCGTGGAGTAGATACTTTTGAGGCAGAAAAACATCTCCTGTTTGTTCTCGGTAACGGTGATGGCGATCTGCGTGATATGGGTGTATTGACCGACTTGCTTGACTGGCGAGAAGGTGACCAAAAGTCCGGGTATCCAACTGTTTTTCGTCGCTCCGGTGATTCAAGTCGGCTATGTGCTGTCGCCTCCTCGGCTGCACTTGCGCAATCAGCAAACTTTGGCTTGCGTGGGGTATAATAGACTTTGTTGAATGCTTTGGCTGGCGACGAGAAAACGGGTGGATGCGGCACGGCGGAGGCCGCAGAACACTGACTACATAATCTGCTCACAACGGCTTCATAGCTTTCCTTTAGCTCAGTATTGGCTTGTAAAAGGTGCTGGCCAACTTGAGCAGCAATTGTTAAATCTGCAGCGTGCAGAAAAACTGATCAAGATGGACGTTAGTTGACAGCAAACAAATCTTGTCTTATCCTACCGCGTTCTTTCTCTTCCAACAACGCTAGACACGCCTGTAGTTGGCTACGGGCATCTTCTTCGGTCGCCCAAGCGCACTCAGCGCTTTGCGATTCCAAACATGTTGCGCGTGGGCAGGAAGACATACCGCGCGCTGCATGGTCAATTCAATTGGAAGCGAGATCATTGAACTCAACTGTAATCTATCACGTGCATTTGTTTATATTGATACGTAATGACTTAGGTTTTATTTAACAGCAACGATTTTAGTTGCTCTTTAGGGCCCTTCAACTGCGAGACTTGCGCGTCCCTGTAAACATTGAAATGTGTGTTGTAAGATCATGTCTGTGCACCGACGAGGGAAATTAATGTGTACCCACCAATCCGTTGTGAGCAATATTTCCTCTGCTTCCTCCAAACGCACCTCATGATCACCTCCACCATCATTCTCAACTACAGTATCGCTCACCGCTGTTATCGCGACATACAAATCTTCAGCAGCAGCGCGGCGGACCTATCAAAGTTCAAGGTAAGAAGAGCTCACGGAGCAACGGCTGCATTCGTCAATCACCTTTGGATATGGATGATTTAGATACAGAAGTAATTGATTTAAGGCACGCTCTCGGACCCCCGAGATAGTTTCCTGCCCATCATCACCAAGTGACAGAAATCCGCAAAACCTGGTGGTGAGAAACAATTGGAAGTCACTGAACATATCATTAAAAGTGTAAATGAAGGCGCACTCACACTTTGATCCCACTAAGCAGCTTTTTCACATCCTTGCTCTTGAAAACTTCTTTTTTTACAAGATCGTACAGATCTTGATAGAACTGTACATTATAATATCTGGCCATTGCACCACTTCCAAAAAGGAGATCAATCACGTCTAGCAGAGGTTTCGACACCCTGTCACGACGCTGATATTGCCGGAACACTTCCAGCAGCGCCGCAAACAGATCGCCCAGATTCATACGGTTGTCATCGTCCACACTCATCCCATCCGGAATTGTGTTGACAAAGTCGATAAAATTCGTGCTCGAGGATCGCACCTAGTTATTACGAAAGGTGAGCCACGCCGAAAGAGCTGAGATTCGCATTCACAGTCTGGTTACACACCAAACTTTCCGATAGACCACCGATGGCCACTACGAGGCCGACCAATGTGCTCACTCTAAATTGTGGTATGCACAAGACTTGCATCATGGTCGGGTAAACGTCAGCGGCTGTATTCCAATGGATTTGGTTATTTCTGCATGGAGGCACATGTTGATACGCAATCTACGCGCGACATAACCAATGTGTCAAGCATACTTTGGTAGAATCTTTTTCAGCTCCGTGTGTCCTTCAAATGTGAACCCAGGAACGTCCCACAGGAGAAATAGCAGTGTCTTGCCGGCTGCCTCTCGCATTCTATCGATTTTTTCCACACTCTGCTGGCACAGATTACATATTATGCGCAAAGCGATATCTTGCGTCATGTATGTGGTGCCGTCGGAGGGGAGGGATGCTGTAGATGCCACCGACAACGGAACAATGCGCTCGAAGCCTTGAATGCTCGCCTGACGGACCCATGAACCAACATCTCCCCGCGAATCTGAGCTGTAATCCAGTAATCCAGCAAGGAAAGTCTCTACAACTTTCAGGTATACCGGACGAGGCATAGCTAGCGAAGGAGGCATTAGCAACAGAATGCCGCATTGTATCTCATGAACGCCATAGGATACCGGTTTGTAAGCTTGATCCGTATGTTGCACAAATGCTAGTCAAGGATTGGATTGCATTGCGCCGTGCCTCTGCATCATCAAACGTTTTGTCCTCCTAAATGGTATCACTAATGAGTCTACATTCGAGGAATGGACGGAAACCTTTCACTGACCTTGACAATGGCGGTAGCAATAAGCGCATCAACAATTCTTTCAAGATTTGCGGATAGAATTTCACCAGAGAGTGTGCCTAACGCCAATGCATATCCACGTATTACGTTTCGGTTGGATGTTGTTTGCATTCTCTCTATTAGGTCCATGAGCGTTGCAGGGTCGAGAGTATTCCATCTGTTCAAAGTTCCCAAGGCCGTCGCAGCAGCAGCCTGGACGCTCTCATCCCTTTGTTCGAGGGACGTGGTTACCATCTGCAGCCATGAATTTGGCAGAGTCAGGGCGTCCATTTTCCCACTCATGTTTCCCATCCGGGAGATGTCGACATGGACAGGCCAGTCAGCCTCGGCGAGACAAGTGATCATTCGACAGCACGCCAGACGCGTCAAATCACCGCCAAACCCATCAAGATACGGTTGAGGATATAATGGTATGAGCGCGGATATCGGCTGCATATCATCCGTTAGTGCATCATTAGAATGGATCTCTTTCAGGTACTAACCACAATGAGATTCTCCAGTTCCCTTTCCCACCACTGCTCAGCCTTAGGATCTTCTTGTCGCCGACATCTGGACCACGCAAGGCAAATTTGTCCCACGGCCAGTAAGGCACCATGTCTAATCGCCAGTTCATCTGAAGTGACTCGAAGAATCTATCAGAAGCATCAGTAGCCCCTCATGATGCTGACGAAGGATATGACACGCACCAGCTTTGGAAGAACCCGACCAAGAATGTACGGCAAGTCCATTACAGCTAGCTTCGCTAAGGACTCTGCGGCTAATTCTCGTATACTTTTGTCCCAATGGGACAGGCTCACATGTGCCATATGGTCGCAGATATGACTGTAATATTCAGGGTACCTTTCCGATCGGGGTCGTAATGTTAGAGAAAATCTTGCGCTTACCATTGTATGTTCTTTTACCTTGCTATGTCAACAGCTACATCCAAGAAAGCATTTGTGCGATTTCCAACGGAAAAGTAATCAGCTGCAGTAACGATCTCGATCCCATGCGGAAACAATCCCTGTCACAACACATTTTCAATGCGATTTCGAGGAACAAAAATAGAAAGAGTCTTTCCTACCTGACGCCCAACATTCTCCTGAAACGCAGCCGATGCAGCGCGTCTAATGTTGACTTCACGATCACATACGCTGACCACCACTAGAGCTTTTGCTAGGTCTCCGACAAACGGTTGCATAATTTCAGGGGCATATGCTCTTGCAAACGACCAGCAAACGTAGCATGCCGCATCACGGACATGTGCCCCGATTGAATAATTACCGCGGCGTTGATCGAACTTGAGGGCCTGCAAATTGCGACATACACTGAGGAAATGAGCCTTCTGCATCCCTTCATAAGCGTCAATAGAGAGGTGTGCACATTTACCAGAAATATCCACGGCATCACTTCTTGAAGCTTCTCCGGAAGGAGCAGACCCCTCCTCGCCAGCTCCGCCAATGCCAAGCATGCACCGTGCCAAGTATGATCTGATACTTGTGACACGTCATAGCCTTCACCATCGGCTTTCGACAATACGTTCTCCTCCAACAGTAAAATGACGGAGGTAACGATATCTTGCCCTAGATCTTGCGGTAATCGATTGGTTATCCGCCCAATGCCTTTCGCGGACGACCATCGCACGATCGTGTCTTTGTCCCTGAGACCGTTCAGTAGAAGCTCTACCACGAGTTCGAGAGACTCTGGTACATCATCAAGGTCCACATCGTTATCTACCAATTCGGTCGCGGATTCTGTCAGAAGCCCGGTACCCAGAGCGGATAAGTTGTGCTGCAAAGATCGATGACCTCGCTGATATCGCCACTTTGCCGTACGAGGTCTCATACAACACAGTCCAGCACGTTGTCCTAGTTTGACCAAAAGCTTACGCAAAAGCGCATTGTTCTTTACATATGGCTCATTGATCAATTGGCAACAGAGTAGCACGTCATCAAGAGCGGGAACGAGGAGCTCCCGTCGACCGTTCTTGAATATTGTACACAGAGATATTAACACTCCACGAAGTCTGAACACGTCGGTTGTTCCTCGTATTTCCTTGGCGGCCCATTTGACATAGTCCATGAGATGCTCGCTGCTGGTGTCTTGTCGCGTCAGCAACCTCATGAGCAATATTGCTCCTCCTTCATGCTCTTTTCCTACCGCATACAAGTATGACCTTGACAATGTCTTTATTCGTTCAACAAGTGATTGCCCAGATGACGCCCCGCTGTCCACATTACGTAGATCAAAGGGAATCATGCTCAACAGCGACAGCCATAATAGGAGAACATAGCGGGCCTCCCACAAGAGTGGATCCTGTAGGGTACCATCCATTGTTTCTAAAAACGCAAGAACAGGTTCCAAGTCGGCAACCTCGTGCGTGAAAAACTTGACTATCGTCTTGTATCCACGGACTTTGGTAAGTACATATAGATATCTAAAGAATGGATAGAGGCAACGGGCTACTTTGACAAGCATGATGCCCTCTTTATCACGTTCATGTCTTTCGTGCCAAACTGTTATCGTATCGCGTAGTTTGAAGACTACGGGCTGAACCAGGCGTTGCAGGTGAGGGTCAAGGAGGTGGGGCTGCTCTTGATATTTTTCCAGTATTTTATTGATCTTTTCAACAATCTGCAACTGCTCTGGGTCAAAGTCATTGTCACTTTGAGGGCTGACGTCCTGCAATAGGGCCGCATGCAACTCGTCCAGGGTTTTGAGTAGATCGCCAAGAGCCGCGTCAACAATGTCAGCTTCTGAAAAGAAAGATACAAAACAATCCGCCTCTTGTGGGCCTTCTGCTTCGGGACTCGCCAAAGGGTCGTTGCTTGATGGTGGGTTGGCCAACAGCATGCTGCAATCTTGTGCAAATCGAGCGCTGGAAAACCAGCGGTTATGAGCGCGGATAGGCCATGGCCCAGTCTCATTTAACCCGATTTGGATGTAATGTTCAGAATTCAACTCCATCTTGAGCTCATCTTCAGTTTTTATCTTGGAGGATATCGAGCAGATTCATATGGCTTGACTTGGAATATCCAACAGTAAAAATGACATTTGTCACTACAGAAAGCACTGAAGTAAAGAGTTGGGACAAGAGCTGGCTGAAAGTTGTTTGTGTACTAGATAGATATTCCTTGCGTACCACCGCAAACAAAGATCGAATTGCTTCCTGGGCAATAGCACCAGATATCCCTTTTTAAGAGATCCCTTTTAAGAGACTATTTTCATACAAGAGGGTCGTCGATCAAACTAGCCACGACGAGCGCACACAACGAAAGAACGCTTGTTTTATCACGCCAGTACTTGTAGATCATGTGTGGTCAAGCATTTACATGCACTTTCCTTCCACCTGTCGTTGCTGTAAAGTTGAATGGCTTTCCCGTTGGGTCTTTCCATGCGAGAAGGAGGAGAAGAAGGCCTCCATTTCCTTTTCATTGCGTACTCAAAAGGAGAATTGGAGATGGTTTCATGAGTGAGTTTTGCGTTTCCATGGATGCCCAACCTTGGTCGTTGTGAGTCAGTTGCGTGAACTCGAGTCCGCTGCGAACGAACAACCATGCTCGCTACACCACTTTCAAGTTTCTTCCTTGCCGTAAGTCGTTACACTATTTGCGTTCGGCGAGCGTTGCGACGAGACATGTTCGTTTTGGATAGGCTCGATAACAAGCTTCTTTCTCTCAGCTCCTCAGCATCCAAACACGTTTTGTGCAAGCCGCAGAACAAAACAGTAATGAGCACATACGTAAGAAGCTCGAGATCGTTTCTGACTGCTGCCACTTGTCTGATGGGAATGTTTTCATAAGGGTGGACACGAGGGGAAATGGTACCCGTCGAGTGTCCTGTTTTAACAGAGAATGGTACAACGACTTCAATGTGGGGACCAGCCCCGACATGCATAGAGGTGACAGACTGCTCCGCTTGAACAGAAAATGTAACAAGTCAAACTAATCTTGCACTAATATTTAGTCTGCCGAAGAGTTTGCTATCCCATTCGCCGTCGATGCGAATTATCAATGCTCTTGGGTCTTGGATGGTCCATTTTACCAGTTTTTGCGGAACGCAATTGAAGGAAAAGGTAACAGTCCTCTCGTAGCTAAAGTGCTTCAGGTTATTATGTTGTGAGCCACTTTGTTCACATGAACTTTGTATATCTGGTACAGCTCCGTTTATGTGTCGGGTGCCATTAAGCAAAGACAAGACGTACTACATGCCGTTGACAATATCACTGTGGGGAGCTCTGGAGCCGGCCCATCTTCATGTCATGAATCACATCAACTTTGTTTTCCATGTAGTTGATGGTTTCTTTTTGGGAGGGTCCGCCTATGCATGTATGTGACACCTTTCTTTTGCATATCGATTGTGGTTGAATGCTTATATCTATGCAGTGCGGGATCATTACGTGATGGGAGCAGAAGGCGGAGCGTTGACCACTCATGGTCCTCTAAGATGGTTTGTTGGACACACATTCGACCTTCATCCGGATGGTGCGCAACAGCCTGCGGAGCAGGCACAACAGCAGGCTGTTGTGAAACCTGCAAACTCAATCCCTCGAGCGTCCGACGTAATAAAGAGCGTTGAACGGGATCTGGTACTGATATGGGCGGCTATTACCGCTCCTTTGGTGGCAGGTATCTTGGTGATCCTTTACCTCAGATATGGGAAGCAGGCCATTCAGGTCAAAAAGCAAAAGTAGCTGGACAATTAACAGACGAGTAAGGATCTGTACAAGATTTATTGCTTCAGAAAATAGATAATCTATTGTTATATTATTGTATGATACATATCGAGATGCATTGGTTATTTCACGAAGCGGAGATAACCTATGGAAAAGAAATCGGCAGTAAGCATAAAGTTCTAACACAAGCGCGCTGGCGCCCGTGTGTTGGACGCACCCATGTGGGGCTTTTTATTTCTTTAAAGTGAGCAACATACTGAAGAATAAGGCTCCGGCCGCGCAAAAAAGAGCTGAAAATCAACAAATGTCAATGTACGTTTGGTGCGTACGATACGAATCACTGTCACTTACGGAAAAGCGTTTTGAAAAGCTCCCATTGAATCGTTTCCATTTGAGTTCTTAATGTAGACACTTCGGTATCAATGCGAGAATCGGCTTCTTTGATCTTCAATTCTTGAGCAGACTGTTCATCACGGATCCGCCCCTTCTCTAGACTAAGCTCCAGGCGTACGTTTGACTGAACTCGTCGCAAATCCTCTATCATCCGCGTTCGGAACTTTTCCACTTCCGCGTTGAGACGACCGATGTCAGATCGGAGAAGGGCAAAGTCATTCTTCTCAAGCATCTGAATTTCATTTCGTACATGTGCGAAATCCACTTTGTTTATATACATAGCCTTAAAGTACAATTTGACAACCTTCAGGCGCGAGATTATACAAAGATACAGACAGATGCTTCGTACCTTTTCGAAATCCGACTTGGTAACAGAGGTCCGGCTAATATTATTTATGCTAACCATACGAGCGAGTCAGATACAGGGTGTTCTCACAGAGTGGCACCTCAGGGAATCGCTATGACACCCACCTCTCCCCCACAACCTCGGACAAGCTTGCCATTATGGCCTCCGCGCTTTCCCGACTGAACCCATCGGCTTCCAATCTCTGCACAAGTTTATATGTATCGAATTGATGAAGTCCAGAATACGCTCGCCGCCCCAATTCGCCTGTTCCCCACGTTGGCGATACACCCGCGCCCCATGGTTTTGCAGAAGACCACAGAGAGTATAGTCGCATAGTAGATGCAAAACCGATAGAGCTGCTGCCACAGCAATAGGTATCTCGCAAATTTGGAAAGCTTCCTTGCAACCCTTTTCTCAATCGTGTTAGTGATGTAGCGGACTGTGCAGATGGGGAAGCTCACTCACAATGTGTCGCTCGTGTTCGCTTAGCCAGAGCCGCACATGTCGATAATGTTGCAGCGGCAGCCATATCCGTGGACTGTAAGGCGTTTACAGCCTAAAGGAGCCTGCAATGATTGGTTACTACAGCTTGACTACAACTTGGAATAGTGTTCAATGGATGAAGTGATTTCGACCGGCGTTGGCTACAGTTGACAACCGCCGCGGCTCCGATCGCGATTCTTTTGGATTGAATGCATTCCAAGTCAAGATGGAACTAACGTTTATAGTTGATTTGCGATATTTTCGACTTCGACAGTCCTGTTCAGGACATCCTGAACTTCCTCTAAACTTAATCTGTATACACCAATCCCTTCCAATGCAGATCGTACAGACTTTGGGTCATTTTCAAGTAGCACGTCAAGCAAACCCAACAAAGTTAAGCTCTTGCCATCGCTCTTCCCAGCGGGGTTGACAGGCAGATTTAGCAATTTGAGAGCCTCACTGGTTCTTCATGCAACAAAAAATGTCAGATAACACCCATCAACAGTTCCTGTCACAGGTTAAACTCTCACCTTCGAAAAAGCACTTCTGGTTTTCGATGCCAAGGTCTGAAGACCCCATTCCACAATCCCTGAACAATATCCACCTGTAGTTGACGGGCTCCCAACCGATTGAATCGGCTACGCAGTATTATTCGGGTAAACAGATGCTCATCGATGTGGGACGCCAATTCGCGCAATATCAGTTGACCAATAGTGGAAGGTAGGTTTTCGAATATGGTCGGGAGGAAATGTGATAGAACCTGAAGGGAAGCACAAAACTCTGCAGATATTTCTTCGATATGATCATCATCGTTAAGACTGGAAGGACCCAAGGCCCAGTTGCGTCTGAACGAGAAAACGCAGTCAGAATCAACAAAACCATGATGCATCAGGATGCCAGGTTACCGTCTATCGTATTGCCACATAGATTCCCCGAACTCTTGAATAATGTCTTGAACTACAATGTCTTCAATGCGCTTTACGCGGGATTCATAAGCTGATATCACTTCGTCAAACAAAGTGGCCTGCTCGTCCCCAGTCTCTTCAGTGCGCTTCCGCAGTTGCTCCCAAAATTCAACGAAAAACTATTTGATATTGGCGGCATTAATATATAAATACTGCATGTTCTATCCCAAACACTTACGGGTTGGTCTGTCCACTCACGTAACACCGTCGCAACATAGTGCAGGGACGAAGCATATCGACAGATAATTTGCATTCGCCCTGTCTTACTGGGCAACATCGCACCAGGCGTGTTAATAGGATGAAAAACGTTGACCTGACGTTTAATCGCGGTTCGAATCTCTTGCAAATAATCTTCAAGGAGTGGTAGTTGGATTTCGTTGAAGAAGGCCAATCGATGAAGAAACTCTGGTAGAAGTTTGTATCGATCTGCAAGATATCCATGTTACACCAGTCTTGCCGCTTCTGTAATTTCACAACGCTCTACCTGTCACTGCTTCTAAAATACTGATAAATGTCTCCGCAGACTGTGTGGGTTTGATCTCGTCGAGATCCGAGACATTTGGATCAGCCCACTCCCACGCCTCATCAGCATCAATGGCGTCCTGAAATCGCCCCTTTGCAGCTGGACGCAAAAGTTAGGTTCATAGACGCTCCTCGGTGCTCAAAATCGGCGCGAGCATACCTGCCAGCTCCATCGAAAGCCACTCTTGAAACCACTGAGGCTGTTCCGTGAACACGCTCACACACCCCTTCCACCCTGTTCCAGAATCGCCATACAAATGAATCTCTCGCAATGCATTATCGAACGCCAAGGTTTCTTTTATCGTATGAGAGAGCAGTAACGGCTCACGTAGCAGCTTTGGCGCGTCAACACGGAGCTTGTGAGTAACGGCAGCCACCATGCCTTCAATGAAAAGGTTCTGTATTGATACAATCGTTCATTCAAAGGCGAGGGGCTCATTAAATCACACTCCGAACGGCTACCTTGGCATCGTGACTCTTGAACCCATACTCTTCTAATAATTCTTGCACAGGTCCGCAGAGAAACGCGGAATGATCCCTTATGGACGTCAGGACCCGTGTGAAGGCCCATTCTGGCTAAAAAGATAAAAAAAAAGACATTAAGGCGCTTGAACAGTAGCTGGAGAATCGTAGACTCCTGAGACTTACCTTATCAAGACGATTTGTAGGTCGGCTACCTTCAAAGTGATACTTGAAATGCAGAACAGGTGCTTGAAGCATGACTTCAATGGGCGGTAGAAAGTAGACATCGTTGTCACCAGCAGTATGACTGTCCACCAAACATATAGGGATCAGCACCAAGCACCCAGTAAACGGATGATCAACTCACTTACGGCGAACGGAGCAGTATAAGCTCCCCAAAAGCTTCCCGAAATGCAGCCAGACCTTCGTTACCGCCTAGAGGAATCTTGACAGCGTTGGGCCAGCCCAATGTATCGAGGGCTTGCTCTAGCTTTCTATTGTCCACATAGATTAACCCATGTACCAAAAGATCAAACAAGTTGGATACCAACCTTGCCAGCTTCATCCTCAAGCGGGAGTGCAATCCATCAGTCACTTGTCTGATGTAATCAGTGAGGTTTGTGGTCATGTCGATTTTGAAGGTCATGCCGGCGACCTGACTTGAAGAGACTGCTGGCCCTCCATTATCTTTGTCGCGCAGGTCAGCCCACAAGGACCATAGCTCCTGGTACGCTGCCAGTGACTCTTTCATATTTCTGTCCATTTCCTGCTCAATGCGAGTGCTAAAATCGGTGAGATCAGTCGATTTTGGACGTGTCCATATGCGACTACATCACGGGGTTTACCTCAAATCCTCGACCTTTATGAGAAGATCTATGTACTGTTTCGCCATTTTCAATCTCTGCAGTTTGGTTTGCACCGATATCAGGTAGGAAATGACAGTGTCATTCTTTGGCACCCGATCAAGTGTTTCAACAAGACGCAGTCGCCTCTCTCGCAATTTTTCCAATTCATCCTGCGTCTGCTTTGCTTGTGATATAATAGTTCTGATTTTGCGCGGGGCTGCTTCGGAATTTTGCAATGCCTTGAACGTATCGCAATCAGCATTCGCCGAGGGCTTTGCCGGGATAGTCCCTTGGAACTCACCTGTTCCTCAAGTAAAATTCGCTCCTCCTGCTTGTCCTTTAGATGTTGCGCTACATTTGATAATGATGCCAAAGTGGAATACTGCGTGTTGAGCAGGAGGATGACCTGCTCTTCCGGCAGCATCTGAGGCACACGTTTCGCCTGGAGGGCACAGGCTCCTAATTCGCCTTCGATCCAAACATGTCAGGTCAAGACCAGTCCTGACCTGTGTTCACCTTCCAGTACCTCAATATCAGCTCGTACAATTCTGAACCCTAGTCCAATGCCTTTTGCAATGGTTCCCGTCCCGCTCGGTCAAAATGCAGAGATCTTCCTCCGACGATCGCCTTGCCGTCATCGGTTGGGTGCATTTAGCCGAATCCATTTACTTGGGAATTCATTAAATCCGGATGGAGTCGCAAGTTTTTCGTTTGACGGCTGCATTAGCAACTGGCCAATGTGCCGACAGATTCTCGCGCCCCAGTTGGGAAAGCAGAGGGACATTCCTGCATCCGTAACATCACCTCCTTTCCGGGCCTTTGACACTACAACACCTCAGGCAAGCCCACCTGACAGTCGTCATGCTTCGTTTTGCGTCGAGGTCCGCGTCGGCAGTGCGAGGAAAGGCGGGCAGTGCATTCTCCGCACGAGGTTCGTGTCCATTTGCCGACCTGAAGGGATGATGGGATGGCGATGACACCATCTACGACACCAATGGGCTTATTCTCGTTTATTGCTGCTTCTTTTTTATTAGGTTCTCGTCAGTTCAGCCGGACACCGACTGCTCTTGCTGAGGTTGAGCTTTTCATTGATGGCAAGGCGGTGAAAATCGAGCAGGGGGCGGCCCTCATTCAAGCATGTGAAAAGGCTGGTGTGGATATTCCACGCTTCTGCTATCATGAGCGTCTTTCGGTAGCGGGTAACTGTCGAATGTGTCTCGTTGAGCTCGAAAAGTCTCCCAAGCCCGTTGCCTCCTGCGCTATGCCGGTTATGCCTGGCATGAAGGTGAAGACGGACACTCCTCTTGTGAAGAAGGCTCGCGAAGGTGTTATGGAGTTTCTCCTCGCGAATCATCCGCTGGACTGTCCTATTTGCGATCAGGGTGGTGAATGTGATCTGCAGGATCAATCTGTACGATACGGATCTGACCGCAGTCGCTTTGGGGAATTTGCGGTGGGTAAGCGCGCTGTAGAGGACAAGAACCTCGGCCCTCTCGTCAAAACATGCATGACTCGATGCATTCACTGCACCCGTTGTGTTCGATTTGCCAACGAAGTGGCCGGCGCCGTTGAGATGGGTACATCAGGACGAGGAAATGATATGCAAATCGGCACATATATTGAAAAGACGATCAATTCTGAGATGTCAGGCAACATTATTGACCTTTGCCCCGTTGGTGCGCTGACCTCGAAGCCTTATGAATTCACTTCCCGCCCGTGGGAATTGCGCAAGACAGAGTCGATTGATGTCCTCGATGCTGTCGGTAGCAACATTCGCGTGGATTCTAGAGGCTTGGAAGTCATGAGAGTTCTGCCTCGTTTGAACGACGATGTGAACGAGGAATGGATTTCAGACAAAACAAGGTTTGCCTACGATGGTCTCAAGCGCCAGCGTCTCACTACTCCTATGATCCGCAAAGGCGATGACTTTGTTCCAGCAACATGGCCTGAAGCTCTTACCAAAATTGCAGACGCTATGGGAGCCGTGAAGGGAGACGAGATGGTGGCGATTGCGGGTCAACTTGCCGATGCGGAAAGTCTGGTTGCCTTGAAGGACTTGTTCAACCGCAAGGGGTCAGAGAACCTGCGTTTGGATGGACGCAACTCGGACAAACTCGCATACGGTGTTGCGGATATCCGTAGCAACTACGTTATGAACAGCACTATTAACGGGGTGGAGGAAGCTGATGCTCTTCTATTGATTGGCACAAACCCACGCCATGAGGCGCCCATCGTCAATACGCGTATTCGAAAAGCGTACCTCAACAACAACCTGGAAGTGGGTGTTGTTGGCGCTGCACCCGACCTCAACTATGAGTATGCACATGTGGGCTCTGACCCCGCCAGTTTGGAGAGTTTGATCAACGGAAAGCATTCCTTCTTTGAAAAGCTCAAGAGCGCTAAGCGTCCCTTGGTAATTGTTGGTAGTGGTGTGTTGGAGCGTGCTGACAGTGCGGCCATCCTGGGATCTGTGGCGACTTTGGTTGGCAAGCTCCAAAAGACTGCTGAGCCAGGGCACCAGATTTACAATGTTTTGCACAGGGTATGTCTTGTTTATTGGATTGCTGTTGATGTGGCGTGTGTGGTTAATAGCATCACTCGCTCACTATAGGCCGCCAGCTGGACCGCCGCTCTTGATATTGGTTTTACTCCCGCGGCTCAGACGGCGTCTGTCAAGCCTCGTTTCTTCTACCTCCTGAATGCTGATGATGTCCTCCCTACCGATATTTCCAAAGACGCATTTGTTGTGTACCAGGGCCACCACGGTGATAATGGGGCGTACTATGCCGACGTTATTCTCCCTGGTGCTGCCTACACTGAAAAGGCAGTGACATTTGTCAACACGGAAGGACGTACCCAAACGACTCGTGCCGCCGTTGCCCCCATTGCAGGCGCCCGAGAGGATTGGAAGATTCTGCGTGCTCTTTCTGAATTGGCTGGAACAACCCTGCCTTACGATGATGTGCACGAGCTCAGACACCGCATGCAGCAAATCTCTCCCAGTTTGGTCAACTACGACCATGTGGAAAAGGGCACCTTTGTAGAATTGGGATTGTCACAGCTTGCCAAGAACAAGAAAGCTGCGAGTGGGGAGGCATTCGAATTGCCAATCAAGGACTTTTACATGACAGACCCCATTTCTCGAGCGTCTGTCACCATGGCCAAGTGCTCTCAGGTATGTTATTGGCCAGCAAATATACTGTTTGGATGTAATATTTAAATGATTCTTTACAGGTGTTTACCTATGGGAAGGAGGAGGCAAGTGCCTACAACAAGGCAAAACAAGAAGCTGCATGAAAAAGAAAAGTTGTTTAATTAGAGATCATGGGCAGCTGGACATGGAGTCATGCCAATTGCTCAAAGTGTGTGGCGGGGGGGGGAGGGAATTGTAGTTTCTCATTTGATATACCTTGTTCTTTTGCTCCAAAAAATGTTTTCCTCCTACGTCTTTCGTCCTCGTATCGCAATGGCGACTACATGATTACGCAATTCCTGAGTAAGCATGTGTCAGATGTGCGATCCTTGCCCCTGGTAGTGCCCTGAAGAACAAACCCTTTATTAGGGACACCACCACACAGCGGTTTGGATTTAATATATTTGTAATGTCTTCCATTGTGTGTTCGTTGTGGTTGCATTCATTCAACGCACTATTTCATAGCAATAGCTACGGCGGTATGGCCATGCCATCAAACCTGGTTTAACGTATGCGCTGCTGCTGTGTTTCTGCATGCGTTATCTGTCCCATCATATATTCGATACTAGTTGTACCAGTCCAACGGCATTGGCCCACACCAAAGAACTTGGGGAATCAGGCGGATGCCTGAACCGTAGAAAGGCCAAAAAAGAACGGGACCGCAGGGACTATAGTTCTTCAAGTAGGAGTATAAAGGAGAAGCCATGGATTCACTCGCACTTTATTACAGCACGGAAACGACCTAAAACCTGCTAAATTGCACCCATAAATTCATTACATGTACACGATGAAGTTCTTTTTCCTTGTCCTCGCTCTCGTCTTCTTGGTTATTACTCAATGTATGAAAGTTACCATTGATTACTTTGCGAGTAACTCTCATACTAACTTTATGCTGCAGTGACAACTGTAAGTGCCGACTGCGTCATCAGTTCTTGTCAAGCTAATCCCCAGTGCGACGCAGGCAAGAAGGAGGTCGCATGCCGAAATTCAATAGGGAGATCAGTATTTGGATGCACTGCGGTTTCATCGAGAGTGATGTGCTGCAACCAAGGCGAGTGCAGTAAGATCAAAATCGAAGCGTAAAATGGGAGGACCGCATCATTGTTGATTGCAGAAACAAAGAATTATCAAATGTAAATTGTATTAGAAAATAGCGAGTACGATAGCAGACTTTAAAATGTACAAAATGCATGCATGTAGAAAGTTGAAATAAATGATGACTGTGCCCCATTGTGCCACTATAATTGGACCAATCAGAATCAATGGTTCCACTCGCGTGACCCTCGCCATCGATTTCCACACAAAGGGCTTGTTTTGGAGGAGTTTTGTTTGTGGCTTCCTCCTTTGGTGGCAGGAAGATAAAAAGGGGCTGCTGGAAATCCATCTTCCAAAAGCATTTTCGGCATTGAATCATCACAGCATGCACCACAACACTCACACGTCCCACGCACACATTGAACACACTGACGCTCACACGGTCTCGACACCTGCACTTCCCATTCCCATTCCTGCACGGCGACACTCGGTCGCTTCGGTAGCTTCGTCAGCGTCTTCCCTCGACGACCGATCCGGTAGTACATTCCCTTCTCGGCGCGGGTCTCTGTTGGAACACTTTCGTCGCTCCTTCTCCTTGTCTAGCAACACTGGTCAGCTTGGAACTGGATCTGGCAACACTGGGGCGCCAGCAAACAAGTATCCTGCCGAGTTTGGAGTCTGGGCTGCCATGCATTGATGCCATTGTCATGAGGCTTGTGTGGTGAACGCCGGTCGTTCTGTCGTTTTGTATTGTGGATTCCCTGCCATTTTTCTCAACTTGTATATAGTGTTTTGTATGTTGTTGTTGTTGTTGTTGTTGTTGTTGTTGTTGTTGGACTGGTTATTAGTGTGATCAAGCAATTGGTTTGGCATTTGGGCACTATTATTTGTTCAAAAATTAGGAAACCCTACAAAAAAATGTATGAAAAAAACATTTATTCCAAAGATTCACTTGTGCATTTCTAATAGCGATCCCAATGTCAATCGTTTACGGACAAAGACGATCCATTCCGCTTGTGCTCGGGTATGGAGAATTCGTACCTTTGCTCATCCTGCAATTCATACTACACTGACTGTTCTCACAACTGTGCTTATATGCGGGATTGTTTCCATCTTGCATGGTATGCATCTTCACGAATCTTTAAAGAAGATGTGCCCAGATTGATGATCTTGGGCATGTGGGAGTGCACATGTGCAGCTGTTGTTAGCCATTTCGGTTTAGATTGCCGAATGCCTCTCGTGGCATAATCCCGCTTGGGACAAGGGTGATGGTTTGGGTGCGCCGACCATGTATTAATTTGCAAGTACGTGGATGAACGTTTGGTGTCATCACGCTGATTTCCGGACAGACAAGTGTAGGGTTCCTTGCACGCACAGCTGTTCCCGGATTTGACACCCCGACGTCCATTCGGAAGCACAGCTCCACCGTCGGTAATATCATTGCTGATCTTGACTCGATATTTACCGTTTACATCCTCCTCCCAGATATCGTCCTTTTTTTTATCTAAGCTACCAATCGATTCCTAAAGGACTGGTAGCAATGTTACCTCTGCATAGGAAAGCCTTTGGCGCAATGGCAGGTCTGGTCTCTGTTAGCTGGATCAATGTCATCCTTTTCATGAGCACAAGGGCCCCAACAGCCGCTACACATCACCTACTCGGCATGCTGCTCACTCGAAGCGTGCATTCCCTTTCGGCACCGTCCACCCTTGTATGCCTGGTGTCCATCAAGGTTCTCTTGAAGGGGACCGGTTCCGAAAGGGCGCGGACGAAAATGCCTAGAATTCTGAGTAGAGTTTCAGTTGGAGGCAAGCCCTCGAGCACATCACACTTGCATGCGAAAGGGCGGTCATCGCGCTCGCCCTCCAGTACCAACGAGACCGTTGACCACAAAAGATGCCAATTGTTAACTACAACATCCCGATGGACTCGATGAAGTTGCAAGAGCCCTTCAACACCATGCTGCGTATGCAATCCAAGTTCTGAAAAGTGACTCGGAGCGGTTCAATGAGGAATTGAAGTATTGCTCTTGCAAAATCCGCAGATTATCGTTCAGCGCCTCGTGATAGAATGTGCTCGCTGGCAAAGCGGAGCGCCGACCACGGGAGAACTAGCAGGAAGCCCGGGCACATCCCCAAAATAAAACAGCCATTCTTGCTTGTCTTTGCATTAAGCACTCTATACGTCACTCTTCAATCTCGACGCTCCTATGCAGTCGAGCAAGTTAGTTTGCCGTGACATTGGGGCAAATGTCGTCAAGATGCCCGTGGTCAATGAGACAAGGACGAAAAGGTGATCTGAGGGCGAGGAAGTCATCCATTGGAGTGCATTCCATCCAGCATGGTGTAATCGTCTCGCCCAAGTCGCTGTTGGCGAAATTCAAATCACTGTGAGCGCTTGTACATTTCTGCAAATGCCACTCTTTTCAGCGTCACAAAGAGCCTCGTCTGCCCGGACGTCAAACGCCCATTCTGGGTCCCTGAGCAATCTTGTACATCGCGTGTTGGTCAACACGGCAAAAGAGCAGGATCGCCAAGAACAGCAGCCGCCATCCCCGCCGTTAAACTTGGTCACAACCACTCCGTGGAATGCCACTAGGCTTATTGTCCGACTTGGGCCGGTGGTTGAAACATATGAAAATTTGGAGGCGGTGGTGCGGTGGAAGGACCCAGTCAAGACCGTTATCTGGATGATCGCTTGGTGTGCGCTGTGTAAGGGGCCTTTCCGCTTTACTCTCAATGTTGGGACAGAATTATAAACGTCATGGTCGTTCTACCACTAGGCTACTATCCTACACTCCTCTGCATTTCCCCCAACCTCTTCATCATCGTCATAATCTTGCGCAACTTTTACCGAAGGCAACGTGAGGACCAAGATAACCCACCACCTACGCCACCACCCGTCACAAGCTGGTCGACAAGTATCGCTGTCGGTTCAGAACCTTACTTGAAAAATATGCAGGTAGGTTAAGTGCTGCTTGTGTTTTTGCTTGCGCACCATGAATCGACCGCTCAATTTGAAAAGCTTTCGATCCAATGCAGTTTCTGCAAAATGTCATGACGGTGGTATGTCAATCCGAGCACTTGTGTGTTTAAGATTTTCAAGCGGAGTATTGGACTGACTTTTAGTAATATGTTAGTATTGTGACGCATATGACAAGATCGTTGGTTTCCTCAAGGATTTGACGTGGACAGATACTGAGACGACATCTAGCCTTCTACAGTACGCCCTTGCATCCATACCTCTGACATGGCTAGTCTACTTTACGGTTCCTTTCAACTACCTCCTGATCTTTGGCGGTCTATTGATGTTTCTGCACACCACGACGCAGTTCCGTGCTGTGCACATCGCGTGGTTGCCCGTGATGGTCCTTGCAGTGATCAAGCGCTATTTGACTACGCTGCTTGAGGCACTCAGGGGCCTAGAACCATTTCCTCCCCTGAATAAAGACAATGGAATGGTACGCGAGACAGACAAAGTACCTTCTGTAACAGAGGTCCCAGTAACGGTAGCAGTGTTTGAAAATCAGAGATGGTGGGCTGGTATGCGATCGCTTACAGGAATGCTTCATCTTTTATGATACCAGTCACTTATGATCTCTGTGCGCAGGTCCCGGTTGGATTCCGCACTTACTACCTACGGAGCGACCACCATGGAGTGATAGTACCGGTAAAATTGTCTGTCCGACTCTTGCCGACCACAAGTTACCTGGTCCAGGTTGGGCATGGGCAGATCTAGACTGGAAAGTGGATGCTGATTGGATGCCAACGGACACGGAAGGCTGGGTATACAGGTACATTCTCCCATTTTCATTCTCAATGGGTTCAGTTGCTCATGTCATTGGCTGTTTCCTCATTTTCAGTGATCACAACTGGCTTCATCCATCAGGGCAACCGGGACTGGTATCACTAACGCGACGTCGTCGGTGGGTCAGGTCCATGCATCCGCCGATTGGTGGCATGGCAACAGGACAGGGAGCAGGATCAAAATAATGCATCTATTCACCGAAGCGCAAAATATATGTTATTTGCATGTTAAAAAAGTTTCAATGACTAACTGGCCCCGAGCGCCAGCGCTTTTCCACTATTCTCTGGTGACAATCCTTTTCTTCCCGTGACGGTCAATCATGACAACATCCTCAATCCGAACACCGCCCACGTCTACAAATTCCTCCACCCTATCCCAGTTCACAAACCGCCCAATTCCTTCCGTGTCTTGCTTAATCTGCTTCCAAAGCTCTGGAATAAAGTAAACACCTGGCTCGATAGTCATCACATGTCCAGGAAAGATTTTGTAATTTGCTGGGGGATCCGAAAGGGTAACGAACCACGGCAACGATGCCGGATATCCACCTGATACAAGGGATGAGGCTGTCATCAAACGGTGCACTTGCGGCGTAGGATCGTGCACGTCAAGACCTAAATTTCCATCCGGTTAAAAAGCGCCGACCAAAGTAAAGGAACTCAGACATTCGCTTACCAACTGGGTGCCCAAGGCCATGCGGCATAAAGATATAATCTGCCCGTTCGTTCACCAATTCCTCAATGTCTACTCCCTCTTTGAAAAACCGGTGTTGGACTAACTCTTTGAGCAGAGTTCTAGTCGCAACTTTGTTTATCTCTGCCAGCTCCACTCCGAGCTCATATGTCTCAATCGCCTTTCGCTGCGTCTTTTCCACAATCGCGTGTACCAATGTCATTTTCTTTGACCACTTGCCACGCCGTGGGTAGGTGCGCGTCATGTCACTGGCGTATCCTTGGTATTCACCAGCTGCATCAATGAGGACAAAATTTGGTGAGTCAATGCTGGCGTAGCCAGTCGTTTCGTTTTCCCCGGTGCGGTAGTGAAGAATGGAGGCGTGGCGTCCGGCACCCACAATTGGCGAGTAGGCCTGTAATCTTGATCCACAGAGGGACGACAGGTGCGCAAAGAGGGAGGCGAGGGTGATCTCTGGAATAGAGATAGCGGAGGTGATTATCATAAACCGGACAATGATTTTGGCAGCTACCAACCATTGAGGTGCTTGCTATTGCGAATACTCTTTTCCATCTCCCCGTGCACCCATCGTGCCACACGACTTGCGTAGGCAATGGCCTCCAGTTCATCCTGGCTTTTGACAAATCGGGCCTCTTGCAACGCTCCTTTGAGTTCTTCACTTTCAACTATTGAGGTGCCTTCCGGAACACGGCCCAAGGCACGAGCGACACCGTGCTTTGACGTTGTTATCACTGTCCGATTCCTGACGTACGACGCAAACTCGGACATCTTCTTGGCTCTCAAGACGCCAAATTCGTTTCGCAGTATGGTGTCGTCTGGGAATCCTCCTGAAAAGACGAGTTCCCGCTGCGTTTGGTTAGGGAAAAAAACTGTCACCTCCAGGTCGCTCTTGTCCGCATTGGCTTCGAGCACCAACAAGGCGTCTGACACTGAAAACTCGCCCATTATGTACATGACGTTTCCAGAGGGACGCCAAGCGACCATCTCCATATCGCTATTGTCCCGCCCAGGTCGCGATCCTGTGGGAATGGCGATCAGCGTCGCATTGGAGTCGCCATATGATGGAACAGCTACACCGAGGACATGGTGCAGTCGAGCGCGATTTTCAATAAACCGGGTAGTTGGCGGTGGGGGATTCAAAGGACATTTCGTTGGGAAAGCAGAGTTTGTTTCAAATTGAAACTGGTGAACACATGAGATGACAAACACCGCAGCGACCGCCAAAGCGATCCTCCAATATAATTTGTGGTGACGGGCCTTTGGCTCCTTGTACAGTACGGTCGGGGTTTGCTCACAAGAAGGTTTTGAGTCCATGAGATGCAATAAATGAGGTTGATCTGGGCGAACTGAACAGTTCTTGTCGGTTGAGGGAGATTGTCACGTGTGCGCAGGATTTAAAGGCTTCCAGCGAGCTCCCCTCCATCTCTACTCATCTTTATTGAAGATGTGGGACTTCTCAGGATTCCAGATCGTAGCCAGCGTGCCAGAAAGCTCCTCCTTTGCGGCTCCGTAGCAGACGGTCGGGTACGCCGCTCCAATCTCTGCAGGTTGCTCGATCTAACGTACGATTATCGTAGCTCACGATGGTGTGGGGCTTATATTGCTGACGTAAGCGATCGAGACTGCTTGCTTGCCATTCCTACGCACCAGCCGTAGAGTGTGCGATGCCTAATCCTGTTCCATTCAAGAGATGTATAGCACATTACAATCATTTCTTTTCTAGGCTTTGAGTGACAACCTAGAATTGGGGGCATTTCCAGTTAGCTTCCACCACTCTGCAATTCATCACCTAACAAAAGGTTCTACCGCTCCGCATTGTGGGTTCCTCCAAAGGGAAGATCATTTGCATTTCTACACATATGTCGTTGACTTACCCTAACCCCACTACGATCAAAGACGGTTTGCAAAGCCGTTAATTGGAGACATCAGTCGCGTCCGCCTCTAAAGGAGAAAAACATCGCTGCTGCTTCAGCTTTTGCTTCTTTAAATGTTTTTGTGGAGCATCCTTCAAAGGACCTCAAGTAGACCGTATTCCTCAACACCGTCCATTCCCAGCCGTTCATGTGCTCGCAAAATTGAGAGTACGAAATAAACCTTCTCAATGGCGTCCACGGTCTCTGCAATGAGAGCGAGCTCGCACGATACCGAATGCGATGGCTCGCAGCAGCTTCCCTATGGACCTCTCTGGAAACAAGACTGCCCCTCGTCGGGGCGATGACTCAATTCCGAACAACTGGGATATCACTCATTAGCGGTGACCCGGAACCGATGGTTTATGTGATACAACCCACGTTATCCCACTCGTCCATGGTTTTTGCCCTCAATTACGATGCGCATCAGGGACTGCAAGAATCGTTAGCAGCGGAGACAAATCAAAATATTCATTTGACGGCAAGGCCGCCGATATCGACGCTCAAGGATCATCCGATTACGTTTGCGCTGAACATGACGCTCCTTTTGTCACAAGAAGTGTTGGTACGCTCGCGCAAACTAAGGGAAAAGGGCTGCGTATCGTCGTGTATGCCAAGAGGTACTCGTATCCTGTCTTACGGTATGGTACGCTGGTCTCGCTGCGCTAGGTCATTTGGACAAAAGGCGAATGTCCTGTATCAAATTTTAAGCCATCAACGACGACATGCAACCGTTCAAGCTGATCGCTGTCAGGCCATCTTAGCGCACATGTTACATATAATTGCCCACGGTTCTTATTAATGCATCCGGCGCCCCGCTGTCATCGAGAAAAAAGGACTCATGAAGCTCCGAGACGACAGTTCCCGTTTGCTTTGCCTTCCCAAAATAGAAGGTCTGACGAGAACGCAGAGGAAGCATTTGAGGAAACCCAAGTCAAAGCGCTGGATCTTGACGTATTTAGAAACCAATGAATTGTATCATTTTGGACCTCTTCTTGAAGATCATTGGGGCTTATTGGCACCAGTGTGTTGCAAACAAATGGCTTTGATCGTTGCAGCATATCAGCAGTTGCTAAACAGCGTTAGATAAAGAATTGGTATCGAATGGCAGATGCACAGTAGGGTGCTTTACAGCCTCTTTGTCTAACAGCCAAGGACAAGTCCCCAAAGTCTGGCTCTCCAAAAGTAATCAGATGAAGCTCTCTTTCGTGGAGCTCAGCGACATAGCCCCGAGCCTTCCCACCCAAAGCTGCCAGTAGCACTAGAACGTGTTAAATAGAAAGCCAGTATTCAGCGATCGAATGCCCTTTCCCAGGTATTAGGCTCAAAATGATATTCGGCCTGCATCAGAGCTCTAGTCAAAATCTAAGCCTTCAAGCAGCAATCAAGCGTCGAAGGGTCTCCAGTACATCGCCTTTGCTCTCCCTCAATGCTCGTTCTGCCGTGCCCTTTCCAATTTGGAATTCATTCATCTTGCGTGCGGTCAGCGACGAGTGCAAGGCAAACCAATTTTGCATTACATTAATACTTACAATCAGCTCAACATCCTCTTTTGTCAATACGACTTTGGCCAGTTCTTTGTCCCTTGCTGATTTCTGTGCCTTTTGTTTTTTACTCACATCTGTCAAAAAGGTCATTGCCTTAAGAAAGCCAAGAGCATGAGACGAATCCAAATTACCAGTGAAGCTTGCGGCTTTCTACTTACCTTTCCTATCTTGCCTTCATCCACCTTGTCTCCTACTCTTTCGTCAAAGTATCCGGACACATTTTGCATATCTTTAGTCGCCTGGCCCTTGAAGCCTTTTTGCTGTGCCTCTTGATCTTCCCCTTCCTCCACCTGCTGGGAATCCTTTTGAGCAGCTACAGGCGCAGCAGATGCGGCACTTGCTTGGGCTGCTGCTGCTGGTTTCTTGGGCATGGTGAAATATGCGAAATTGTGTGGATCGGAGACAGATCTCCAAAGACTGACTTTTGAGGGGATGACTCATCACAGAGGCTTAGCCTCCTGTCCGCCGTCGTTTAGACTTCCGACGAAGCGCTTTCTTGCCTTGTAGATCCTGCGGGATCTAACTTAGTTTCCGTCAATTTCAATGTCACCGACCCCATGAGCTTCAAAACCCCCGACAATGTGCCGCAGATTGCATTGGAGGAGGTTGAGGCACTTAAAGCCATTTACATGGAGGACTTTAGAGAAGAACTCGTGCCCGTAAAGTCTGGTAAGTATTCTCATGCGCTACTTCTCAGAATTGATCTTTATGATTCACCTGCTTTATCCTGTTAGCATGGAAAGTGGCCCCACAGAGAGAATATAGCATTCATTTGGTACCGCATGGAGAGGAATTTAAAGACCATGTAAGCGTTGTACTTGCATTCAGGTGTGTCTTATTCGTGCAGTTTAATATGAGTAGAGACAGGCATACTGACTTTGAACTCAGATTCAATAGAAAGTATCCGGCAGAAGTACCGGTACGGTTAATTAGTGGCTATCTTGTCTTTCTTTTTGTCCAGCAAGCTCTCATCAACGCTATCGCAGACCCTTGTGATTCGCAAGGAGAAGGGCGTTTCCGATGCACAGATCGACGAATTACAGCGTGCTGTCATAGACTATGCACAACAGCTGAAGGGACAGGAAATGGTACTCCTCCGCTCGAAGGCATATTGTGCTGATTGCTTTTCTGATTCGTGATATTATTGCAGATATTTGATATTACTACCTTCATCCAAGATTACCTGTCAAGGCATAATAGCGTTATCCGTGGAATTAAGCAAGTATCTTTCTTTGAGCAAATGCGAGATAGACGCGAGCAGGCAGATAAGGCGGAGCAAGAGCGGGCCTTAAAAGAACTGGAGAAACATCGGCAGGACGAAGAAGAAGCAATGAATGAACAAAACATGACCCTTGCTTCTCAAATACAAGAAGAGATTGAGAAGAAGCAAGCTAAGATGAGAGAACAGAGAGATAAGCGCAAGAAGCAGACTGATCCAAATGTTGAGCTTGCGCGAGCGCAAACACCTCCAACATCCATCGGCTCAGTACCGCAGTTTTCGCTCGATTCTATTGCTAAAGGTCCCCGTATTCATAAAGGTAAATTCTGCTTAAGAGCCTTTGCCTCTGAATAAGCGTCTTACCATTCCTGCTCGTAGGTCTTCTTAGCACGTTGTACATTGTCCGCATGGGGGCGCAAGCCGACACCGATGAGGAACGACTAGTTCTCAAGCAGATCTTTGTGTCCAATCCGCATTATATATCCGGAGAAGGGAAAAAGAAGCTCTTTGACGCGTACGCTGAGTTGCAAAAGCTCATATCTATACGGCATCCCAACATTGTCACAATCTACGATTCTCGCATACAAAAGGTGGACAGTTCATGGCGGCTGGACATCCTGCTTGAGCATTGTCGAGGAGGATCGTTAGAGGAATTGGTCACAAGGAGCGGAGGAGTCAAGCTGAGTGTAGCCAGAAGCTATATGAAACAACTTTTGAAGGCTGTCGCGTATCTTCATTCACAGAATACTATTCACAAAGGTAGGGTTGTGGATTTGTCATGACTATTCTCGCTTCGATTATTGATCAGATTTACCGCAGATATCAAATGCCGAAACGTTTTATTCTCTAGCGGCGCCAACCAGGATGAAGAAATCAAGCTCTCTGACCCGCTGTATGCTCGAAGACTGCTGGATCTCCATAAAACTCGTCCCTTAAACCCGTCGCTTCCCCAAGAGAAGCCAATTCCCGACGGCTGGTATGTTGGATGTGTAATGAGACGGCCGTATCTAAGCTTAAGACATGTATTCTCAGGGTTACACCAGAGCTGGTCGATCGACCCGGCGTTTATGGTCGAAAGAGTGATATTTGGGTACGTCTGATGCTTTATAGTTGAAGTCGTTTTAGATCATTGCTGATGGCATTGCGATAGAGCCTAGGGAGGACATTCTTGGAGGTCAGATAATCTTTGCATTGCGTTCTTATGTGAGGAGAATCCTAGAACCGACCAATTCGTCCCATCTGCAGATGGTTTTAGGTTCCACAGTATATCGTCATAAAGACTTCAATGAGATACGCGGGAGAGGTAGAGCCTTGCATTTCCCTATCTGCCGTCTGGATTTTAATGTATTCCCCATTCTAGTCAAAACGATATCCGATGAATTTCATTCTCTTCTGTCGCAAATGATTTCGAAAGATCCAAAGGACCGCTCCACGGCAATGGAACTGCTGAAACATCCTTTTTTCGACGATGTGGACGTTGTGGATTTACCCATTGCACTGGAGGTCATGATGAGTGCATCAGCTGTGCCTAGTCCTGCGGACTCGTTCCGGCGAGAGCCTCCCCCTCCAACGCCACAAAAGCAGTCGCATCTGACAATCGCACCTCAAGCAAGCATTTTTGCTACCCAAACGTTATCTCGGTATCGACTTGATTTTGAGGAACTCGAGTTCCTTGGTAAAGGAGGATTTGGCGAGGTTGTGAAAGCCCGGAACCGAATAGGTATCATGCAGCGTTGACTCTATTTTATCTATTGTGTCTCAATAAGTTCCCGTTGCAGACGGCCGCTTTTACGCTATCAAGAAGATTCGGCTGGATCCAAGGGACCGCGAGGGAAATAAACGAATTCTTCGTGAAGTCCAGACTCTGTCACGACTGCATCACCAATTTGTCGTCCGGTTCGTGACGCTGATATTTGTCGTGTCCGGTTCACATACCATTCTCATTGCCGTACCACAGATACTATCAGGCATGGTTCGAAGACGCTGCCGGTGAAACCTGGCATGATGACTCCGAAGACTTGGAATCCGATTCAGATAGCGAAGGAGCAGAGTCAGCAATCTCCGACGACGAGCACGACAGTATAGAGGCGAGCTTTGAAAATGACTGGCTTTCCTTCAAAGAGACGTCGAAAAGTTACCCAAGTGTGTCCATATCGTTTGGCCATGGTGGGGATCACACTACATCCTCTGAAGCGGAACCTATGGATGACGATGAGGACTCACATGACGAGTCGGCAAGCCCGTCCACTGATAGCCTGTCTCGTTCATCGTCCCATCGGGTCTTGTACATACAGATGGAGTATTGTGAAAATAAGACGTTAAGAGATGTCATAAATGAGGGCGTTGACGATGAAGAAGGTTGGAGGCTGTTTCGACAGATCTTGGAAGGTCTGGCACACATTCATTCGCAGGGGATGATACATCGGGATTTAAAGCCCAGTAATAGTACGTTAGAACGATCTGCATTGCATTTTTCCTTTGTGGGAGTCTCATGATTTTCGTAATTCAAGTATTCTTGGACGCAAACGGCAATGTTAAGATTGGCGATTTTGGACTGGCGTTATCGAGAGACGACGATATGGTGCCGAAGATTCAGCTGAATGGTGCAGACACCAGCGCCTTGGATCCTGAAGCCTCGCTGACCGGAGGTAAGTGGCTGCGAAGCGCAGCAGAGGTCTGTCTGGTGCTTCATACTGATTTTCCCGACTTGCAGATGTTGGCACGCCCGTTTACGTTGCTCCAGAAGTAATCAGCAAAAACGGAAAGTACAATTCGAAAGTAGATCTCTACTCTTTGGGGATCTGGTAAGATTGTCTCCATATTCGTTCTCTACTGCTCAGTCTTCCACTGATCAGCTAATCTAATTTCCGGTAGCTTTTTTGAGGTACCACCTGCATAGAGCTGCTTGACACATATCCTGAAGCTGATAACTAATGGTCACGTAGATGTGCTATCCATTTTCGTCAGGAATGCACCGGGCAATTGTTCTGCGAGATTTGCGTCTACCAAGTATCACCATGCCCAAAGGTAATGTCTAATCTTTGCTGACATACCGTAAAATCGGGTCCCAAATAATTGTTGGCACAGACTTTGATCTCAAACGATACGAGGCCCAGACAGAGATCATCAAAATGCTTCTAAATCATGTGCCGAAGGAGCGGCCGAGCTCCTTGGAATTGTTGCAATCTCCGTTATTGCCGCCTAAGTTGGTGAGTTGGGGATCGTATCGACGTGCACACAGTGGTGGAACTTATAAGGTATCACTACAGGAAGAAGAATATATCAGTGAAGCACTTCGAAGTATTGTTAACCAGAACAATCCCCTCTACTATTCGCGTCTGGTTACCTCAATCTTCGCACAGTCGACCGATAAGCACAAAGACTTCACCTATGAGTTCAATAGCAATGCGCTCAGCATAGACCAATTAAGCGGATTGGTCACGACACGGATGCATGCGCATGCCCTGAGGGTGTTTCAGAGACACGGAGCGATGGACGTCCCTTCTCCATTGCTGATGCCCAAGTCGGACTTGTATGATGCATCCTCGCTGAAGAAACCTGTTGATTTGCTTGATTCTTCTGGAAATATTGTGCATGTGAGTACGGAGTCTTCAAATATACCATTGAGTCTACAGTATACTAAATATGCAGCTCTTGCTGAAATCATAGTTACCGTATGACTTGACGGCGCCGTTTGCCAGACTCGTTGCGCGCGTATCGCAAAATATCGGTATGCTGCCGTTGAAGAGATATTGTATTGATCATGTATACCGCTGTAACACGGTAGGAGGTAAGAGTGTTTCGTTTCACTTTGCGTATTGATGGAAGCACGCTAATGGTCTTATTATAGGACAACCTCGAAGTGTCCTCGAATGCGATTTCGATATTATTACACCTAATTTGGGCAACATGTCACCTGATGCGGAAGGTACTTCCTAGTAGACTTTCGCAGCATAACCAGACAGGTGACTGACTGGCCTCTGACAGTTATAAAAGTGGTATTCGAAATTATGGAAGTGGCGGCAACAAAATATAGCAATTTGTCCCAGTTCGAGATACGTATCAACCATTGCTCTTTGCTCGACGCTGTATTCGATAGCTGCAAAATGCCTCCCGATGGACGCATACGTCGCAGAGTGTACCACGTCCTGGAGCAACTAGAAAAGCCAATGGGGTGGTCGCAAGTCCGGACACATCTTTGCTCCAATGGTGTGCCTCCAGAGGTTGCCAACGAACTTGAAAAGTTTCATCTTGCCAAAGGTCCCTTTGAAGCAGCCGCGAGTCGCTTGGAAGCCATGGTGGATCCACGAGTGCGCTCTGCCGTGAGAGACGTGGTCAGCCAGCTTCGTGTTTTGACGCGGCATTTGCAACACCTTGGAATCAAGAACCGGGTTACTTTTGTCCCCTTATTGGCATACAATGCGAATTACTATAAGAGTGGGCTCATGTTCCAAGTTGCCGTCAGCGGGAAGAAAAAGCTCGGTATGTCATTTGCTTCGAAATCCTTTGCCTGCTGTTACCAACATGCGCAATTTCATTTAGATGTCATGGCTGCGGGCGGGCGATATGATCACTTATTGACACAATTCCGCTATCCATTCGGACCAAGCAAGAAGCTACATGGAGTTGGTGTCCATTTTGGTGAGCCCACTACTTGGTGTTCCGCGGTTGATTTCTTCCCGTTCCTGATGTTTATCGTTGTATAGCCTTGTCAAAAGCGATATCGGCGATGGTTGCTGAGCAGGCGGAGCATCTACGCCGCAAAATGGCACCAAAGGGTGACGAACAGAAGTTATCCTTAGGCACTCTTGCCCGTCGCGCAGACGTGCTGGTCGCGTCATTCGGAAAGTCGTCGGGAGCAGTCGAGGAGCGGATGGCCGTCATTGCAGAGTTGTGGAACGCTGGGATATCTGCGGACATGGTGTACCAGGACGTACAATCACCGCAAGATGTGATTCAACAGGCCGAAGCACAAGGATACATACTATCCGTATTCATAAAGCACAGAAATAGCGATGTGAAGGGTGGTCTGATCAAAGTTAAAAACCTCCACACCAGGTTTGAGGAAGAGGTATCCCGAAGTGACTTGGTTGCTCATGTTCAAAGTGAAATTGGTGAACATCTGCGCATGGAACCCACCCAGCACGGGAAGTCCCGACGGGCAGACATGAACGCGCTAAGCGACACTGCAGCGGTTCACAAGGAATTGGAAGGTGGTAGCAATGATGTTCCATTAGAAATGGATAGAATGTTTGTGGTGCAGCCACCCTGGAAAAAGGGAAAGTTGAAGCATAAAGAGAAGCTGATGACCATGGAACGAGGTAAGGTTGGGATGTAACCAAGAAAACTACGAAAGATTTTTCAGGCGCCTAATTCTTCTGATCGGTACAGCGGCACATTCCATATCGAATATGATATCTGGATTGCGACGTGGCATGGTATTTGCCCTAGATCTGCCTGACCGGGTCGTGAAGCGCTTGACGGAGACCGATTTAAATCAAAGTGAAGACTCATTTCGCAAGACTTTTGAAACCCTGCCTTCCAATCAACGAGAGTACGTTGTTACATTTAGTTCGCTGTCGCTGGCATATCACACTCACTGCATATGCAGATACCTGTGCCAAATTAAGCGGCTAATCTTGAGGCATCATACTCAGGACGACCAGAATCATTTCTGGCTTTACTCCATTTTGGATAATGTAGCTCATCTCTATTTCTTTTCATGAGCTACGACGCGACCTTGACACGAAAGTTCACCAGAACAAGAGGGGCATGGTTACCTATAATCCTCTCATGTACCATAATGTTTATAGTTCCCATCACCACCATGCTTAATCTTTGTTTATTGAATAATATACAGATATTACAATTATTCCGACTCTTCATCGTCCTCGTCGTCGTACGCATACTCCATATCTTCATCTTCAAAAGCTTTTTGCACGTGAGTGCTCACTCGTATACTGCTCGTCTGGACTGATGCTTGAGGTCTTCCACTCCCATTCACCACATTTTTGCTCTGCGGTTCACTAATTATCATCTCCTCTCGTTGTTTTCTGAGTGCTGCGAGACGTGATACAAAGGTCTCTTGTTCCATCCGTCGCTCCTCGTCCCTCCCCATATCTTCTTCTTCTTCCTCCACCTCTGCTACCTGATCAGCAGCTATCACATCTTGCTCAATCTCCTTTTTGAAGAGATCATATTCTTTGGCTAATTGGTCTTCTCTTCGCTTAGCTGCTTCTCGTGCGGCCTGTGCTGGGTTAGTATCAAAAAAGTCGGATGGAAGTGTAGACGGCGGTGCTTGAAGAGATGATTCGGCGGAAGTGGAAAGTGATGGCTCATTGGAGGTGCGTGGAGGAGAAGACGTTGGTGCTGCTGGTGTATTGTCAAAGAAGTCTGCCGGAAGTGCATCGTTTGCGGATTCTAGAGCTTCCGATGGTTCGGTTTCCTTTCTTCTTCGCTTTCGCGACTGCGCGGCTTCTGTTTCCTTGGATTCATCCTGCGAGTCGCTCCCATATCCACCCAGACTGGCAACGGCGACGACCGCTTTGTCTGGCTTCGCTGCGGGAGATTTGGGTGAAGGTTCCTTTGCCGACTTGACTGTAGATCGGCTTGCAACAGTGGCGGCTTTCCGTGTTTGCTTGCGAAGAGAGGATGGGGTGGTCGATGGCGACGAGCGAGCAGCCCGCGCTTGCTTCAGCAGGCGGCGTACGTCGGACATGGTTGGTAGTAAATTGGAATCGTCTGTGGATGGCCAATGCGTTCAACAGGATAGCAGACTAGTTCCATCGGTTGCAATCGGATTTTTGGAACCAACAATCCAACTCGTTGATTCTTCAACAATACAAGTTGCAAAAGATCACACTCGCTCGCAGATTTCTGCCTCCAAGGGGAGGACTATATGAGATTTATGAGGAGCGCACAGCACACAAATAATAAATTCTACAATTAATTAAATACTAGTATGCAAAAATAGCAACACGTTCGCAGTGTTAGACGACAGGCAAGGTCTCGTCGCTCGGCACCTTGATTTCAAGTGCCCGTTGAGCTTCAGCGAATTCGGCTTTTGCGATGGAGTCCATGTCAATGTCCGCAGTAGGGCCTAAAAACATGTAAAGTTTATATTTCAGTGAGTAGATCGCAGCCAAAGAGAACGTCCATACACACCTTTGAACCATCGTCGTGCATCGAGCGCCCACCACCCACCGGCAAATAACAGCATAAAGCCAACTGCCACTGGGGTGTAGTTTAGCTCACTTGCTTTGACGGGCCACGCCTGTTTAGATAGAGTGAGTCAAAATACTGATCTTTACAATGAGCTCCACGTATACTAATGATATGTACCTGCGGCAAATTGAACAGGACAAACGCAAGAGCTGTCCACGCACATCCGAGTCCACCCAAAAGATACGACCAGCGTCCCAAGTTGAATTCGGATTGTACAAAATTCTTCCGGCCAACGGTGATGCGTAGAAAGACCGGAATCGCGTACGATACAGTAAATCCAATAATGGAGATACCAGATACAGCCGAAAGAGCCGATAGGGAAAACATGGATGGGATGGCGAGGATGCAGACTAGAAGTGCTGACAGCCACACAAGACGGATTGGCATTCCAGATCTTTCATCGAGCCCAACCCAAAACTTTGAATAAGGAAGACCGCCATCGCGGGCAAAGGCATAGAACATACGGGAGTTGGCCGCAAGAGTACCGATACCGCAACACCACCCAGCAGACACAACAATAGAAAGGAGGAAAAGACCTCCATTGGTTCCCGCAGATTGTGTAAATACATACGCGGCAGCATTTCCAGACGCGATAGCAGCCTCAATGTCATCAACGTTAAAGTTAAGACCCAGAATCAAAGCCCAACCCATGACGACGGCCGCGATGATGGTGTACACAATGCCACGAGGTCCGTTGATGTAAGAATCTTGGGTTTCTTCGGACATGTGTGCAGACGAGTCATATCCGAGCATAGACCATTGAGATGGCAGCAAACCAAGCAGGAAAACCAGAAAGCTGCTGTACCCAGCAGCGGTGTAGCCACTGCCATCATGAAATTCAGTGAAGACAAACTTTGCAGAGTTCTAATGTTCCTTGCAGTCAGTATGTGCCAAACTGCGACAGTAATGAATAAAAAAAACCTTACCCTGTGTGAACTGGTAGCGAAAAGGACGATCACAATGACAATGGTTCCGAGAATGTGAACCCAGACACTAAAGATGCTAGTCGCTTTCAAGCCAATCCCTCCCATCGTATTGACCAAGGCCCCAGTAATAACAAGGGCCAAGAAGATGCCATATGTCTTGTATTCGTTAATTTCAGTGCCAGGGTTGGCAATGGTGATCATCGCACCCAAAAGCTGTGCTGCTGAAAGCACAGATCCAGAGGCACCTGCGACCTGACCTAGAGAGTTGAACCACGCTTCGAACCAGGAGAAGACTGGACCGTATTTACGACCACCAAGCTTTGCGGTCCAGTAGTAGAGGCCACCAGCAGTGGGATAAGCTGCACACAAGTGAACAGAGTCAAAAGTAGTCCATCTTTCCCAACCAATTTCGGATACTCACTTGAGCAGATCTCAGCCATGCAAAGACCAATACACATGACAAATGAGGCCACAAGGAGCCAACCCCACGTAAGGGCGACCGGTCCACCCAATGTCAGAGCAAAGGAGTAGAGAGGAATGACACCGATCAAGACAGACGCATTTGTCAAGACGAAACCAAAGTTTTGAAAGGCAGAGAACTGGCGCTTCAGGTTCTGCTGGTATCCCAGCTGATGGACGACGAGTCAAAGGATTTCAGCAATGAGCAGGCTGTTTGTGTTTTTCACCCTGGAGCTCACCTTGGCCAAACGGATCTCATCCTCGGTCGCGGGTTGGTGAACAGTCTTTGACGCCATGGCACTCACTTCCTTGCCGTCCTCGGTGTGAGATGGGCTTGCGTCGATGGGATCGTCGTTCGTCCGTCGCCGCCGTGGTCGTCCTTTTAACCTTTTTTTGTCAACGGCGGTCGAGCGGAGCGATTTTTTAAACTCAAAAAATTCTTTTTTCTAAAATCCTCTTTTGGTTAAATTGCCATCTAACCTTTTATAGCAATATGGACGGGCAGTACGTAATCAACGATAATCTGACGCTTGTCCGACCGTTCCAGAAATATGGTTCACAGACAAGCCCGCGGCTCAGAGCGATTGAAGCGATTCCCGGAAAGTGGCTTATTCCGCCAGCCACCTGACATCATGTGAGAGTTCATAAATACAAAAAGGGTTTAATGAGACTTGTCCATGTCCGGAAGCTTGCCCACCGCCCAAAAGCTCCTTCCGTTCGCCCCATCCAGCCCCATTTTTCTCGATCGATTTCCCGCAAACATGACCTTGCGACTCACAAAGGGAGCCCTTCTCTCGGTCTCTCAGGCACCGCCAAACGTTGAAGGACCGAATGCTGTTCTTCAAGTGCTGCAAATTAAAAAGACAAACTTGGATAAATACAGGTTGGTTCAGCACGAACGAGAGATTCAGGGTGCTTCCGAATTTGTTGACCATTCCCCGCTCCCTTTTTTACATGTTACAGATTATTGCTTTCAGATGGAGATCATTACATGACGGGTAACCCACTATTTGACACCCCTTGTATTGTCCAGCTCGGCGCATGAGCTGACGCAAATGACTGTAGCCATGCTTAACACGCAATTCAACGACAAGGTGACTTCGGGTGAGATGAGAAAGGGTGCTATAGTCCGTCTCACACGGTACCTCTGCAATGATGTAGCCAACAACCGCAGGTCAATATTGCTTTCGCTGAAAGAGTTTACGATTAAATGTCTCTGACATTGTTCCTTTTACCATGTAGAATTCTTATCATCTTGGGTGTTGACGTTTTAACGCCACATCAGGACAACATTCCTAGGCAAGGCAATCCCGCAGGTCTCGGAATGGGTGAAAATTCAAATGTCGCTCTGCAGCAAGAGCAAGATCAAGATCAGCAAGCACAATCCCGGAACTACGGAGCGCCGGTGGCCACCGTACAGGGTACCACAGGTTATGGCGGCAACAACACAGGGTACGGTGGTGGAAATTACGATGGTGGATATCGCCAACAACAACCACCACCACAGCAGCAGCAGCGGCAAGGAGGGTTCGGCTCGAACCCTCAAGGCAAATTTGGTGGGGGTGGGACAAACATGCCTCCCAAGACTGTCGGTGATACACCAGCGGCGATCTTTCCTATTAGTAGTCTGAGTCCGTACCAGAACAAGTACGTTGCATTACTGTTTCTGGATGTGATCAGGCACCAATATCCTTGTAAACGTCTAAACTCTTGCGTCAATAGGTGGACTATAAAGGCACGAGTGGTAGGAAAATCTGACGTGAAGCACTGGGACAATCAGAGAGGTCAAGGGAAACTGTTTAGTTGCACTTTTGTGGATGAAAGTGTAAGAATCTACATGACATGGGTTTTGGAAATTGAGACGATTGGGCTCATGTGATGGAATAGGGAGAGATTCGGGCAACCGGTTTCAACGATGCAGTGGACGCATGGTATGACGTTTTAGAGGACGGGAAGGTAAGATATTTTGCGGTAAGACTATAAAGAGAACCTCCGGCAATTCTTGACATTGGCGAATGTAGGTTTATTATGTCTCGAAAGCTCCGATCAAACCTGCAAAGAAACAATTTTCGAACGTTAAAAACGAATATGAAATGCAAATCGAGCCTGGAACCACCATTACACCGGTAAGCTTAGTTAAGATGTCTCTGGTACTTCCAAGATTTGACCGAGATGCGTGAATGGTCAAAGTGTTTGGATGCATCAGGTTTGCCGGAAATGCGCTACAGTTTTGTCGAGCTCTCTAAACTGTATGAAGTCCAAAACGGATCAATCATTGGTTAGTACGCGACGCTCAATTCCGGTATTGGCTGAAGATGTTTAATTATCTCCTTACAGACGTAATTGGTATCGTCCGAGACGTTGGTGATTTGGGAGAGCTAGTGTCCAAAACAACTCAGAGACCTGTAGGTGGCCAAGTAGCTGATATAACTATGATCCGCACAGCCATTTTGATATTCCATGTGCATCGCATGACTCGTTTTAGTTCAAGAAACGGGATCTTACCATTGCAGATGCCACCCTTTTTGAAGTGCGGATGACGCTTTTCGGTCGACATGCGGAGACGTTTGATGGTAGAGATTGTCCCGTCCTTGCTGTCAAAGGAGTCAAGGTTGGGGATTTTGGAGGTGCTTATCCAGAATCCATTGGCCATCTTGATTAGATCATCTAAGTCATGTCTTACGTGCAGGTCGGTCGCTTACAGCATTGAGCTCTTCGATGCTGAGTGTCAATCCCGATATATCGGAAGCTCACCATTTGCGAGGATGGTACGATACTGAGGGTAAAACTCAGCAGTATCAAACGTACAGCACGGCTGGTGGCACGGGGGTAGGCACCGGCACAGGCGGCAAAAGAGAGCCTTTCAAATGCATCGCACAGATAAAGGATGAGAACTTGGGCATGGGCGAGAAAGTAAGTATTGGCAACGGGTGTATTATCATACAGTCGGATGTCTAACTTTGGCATCTATTGCAAGCCGGACTACTTCAGGGTTCGTGCCCTGGTCACGTTTTTCAAAGACCAGAATTTATGGTATCCTGCTTGTCCGTCCGAGAACTGTAATAAGAAAGTGACAGACGTCAGCACTGGTTGGCGTTGCGAAAAATGCGACAAACTATACCCTAACCCTTCATACCGGTAGGTTCATCTCTTTACAATATCTTAGCCCTGGAGAAAGGCGTAACATAAATTGTGGATATAGGTACATTTTGTCACTCAGCATCAGCGATCACACAGGTGGAATGTGGCTTCAAGCATTCAACGAAACCGCTCAGTCCTTGTTGGGCAAGTCAGCTGATGAGTTGGTTCAACTCAAGGTGAGCTAGTCTGCAGATGTATCACATTTTTGATCATTTCTCAATCTTGGTGTCAACAGGATATGGACCCTGCTGCGTTTGCTGCGGTCCTGGCGGCCCCCAACTTTAGAATTTATGACTTTAAAGTACGAGCCAAGGCGGAAACATATCAGGTATATCAGCTATGCAATGCTCATATTTTATGTAATTGCTCAATGTCTTTTGTTTGCGGCCCCAGGATGAAGCAAAGGTGCGGAGCACGATCATGGGGTATACACCCATCAACTATGCATCGGCCTCACATGAGTTGAGCTCCATGATTGAGCAGTACGGGTCGATGGGAGTCAAGGAGGAGTTAATGTAATTAGCAACATCATTTAAATAAGTGTATTTTCTTTTGCAAGCGTAGAACGGGAATGTGGTTAAGGATGTTTCATGTCGTGAGCTGTATGTATGAAATATGGCAACGACAACGATATTGAACTCATTTATCCCAATTCGTTGATGAACACGTGACACCACAATTCTCCACCAGAAGCTGGACGTTGGATGAGCAGAAGTTAATTTTGGCAATTGAAAGGATTTCAGTTCATTTCCCATCTGCAATCACACTGCAGTTTTTCGTTTAGCTCTGATAGGTCTTTACCCAACACATTTTTCTATCCACCCGAGATACAAGGCCCGCTCCTGTCACAAGAATCCATTTGACGATTGCAAGCGCTATGGTGAAGCTGAATTATGATGTTTTGGTGACTGCACCGTCGTACTTGAACGCTGTGAAGGACAGGGAGCTGGATTTGAGAGGTACGTGGGCCAAGCAGTGGCAGTAATATTGACTTATATTCTGGGAGGAGGAGGCAGTAAGAGTGCATGAGAAGGCTGCTGAAGAGACGTTGACGATGTCTACGCTATGTATTCGAGATCGCTAATGATCTGCCGCACCTTTTTCAAAATGTGCACACACTGACGTTCATCTTTTTCCATACACACTCATGGACGAACATTGCAGGGTTAAAAATACCGCAAGTGGAGAATTTGGCGATCACAAAGGTAAACCCTAACTGACTAGCACGCCATACAATAATGCCAAGTATCTCATTCTTGGTTTCCAATTATTGCAACCCTCGCTTAGGATTCACATGATGTCGTTGACCTGACTGATAACGATCTAAGACGATTGGACGGCTTCCCTCTGATGAAACGACTGAAGGCTCTAATGGTTAGCAACAACCGAATCACACGAATCGATCTCGATCTCGCCAAGCAGCTACCAAACCTGAATACTTTGATTCTGAATAACAACCATATTGAAGAGCTTGGGGACTTGGACCCGTTGGGAAATTTTGAACATTTAGAGTGTCTCAGTTTGATGGACAATCCGGTGGCGACCAAGAAGTACTATCGGTCATATGTGATCCATAGATGTCCAAAAGTTAGGATATTGGATTTCCGGAAGATTAGGGAAAAAGTACGAAAGAGAAAAAGATGGTTCTGCTCATTTTTGGCAAACAAGGTTACTCAATTCGTGTAATAAACTTGCGTAGGAACGACGGGACGCGGCCCAGCTATTTTCCGGCGCAGAAGGAACCAAATTGGCAGCGACTCTCTCCGCCAAAGGTCGAGCCAAGACGTTCGAACCAGGGGAAGTACTAAAGAAGGCTGCTAGGCCATATCAAGGTCCTTCCCCGGAGGAGGCGGCCAAGATCCGAGAAGCGATCAAGAATGCAAAAACATTGGATGAGGTTACCCGGTTGGAGAAGCTTCTGCAGGCTGGACAGGTACCGGACGGGAGTGCACAAAGGCCCCCAAGAAACCTGGATATGATGGAGACAGAAGAGGATGAGTGACAAGAAGTATAAGTGGCGGATAGATGCGATGCGATGGTTTTGAGGAGTGCAAAGTGTTTGCCTGTGGAGCAAATGTAATTAGTTTGTTTATATGAGCTATCGCTTTGAGTACGGACTGCAAAATGCATTCTTGGCTTGTGTAAATGCGCAGCGTGGAAGGAGAAGAAAATGCCATAAAGTGCAAATACCCCAATTATGCTAGCAAAGCTGGGTATTTGCATTTTGCGCTATGCCATACCAATGCACCCGGCTTTTGTAAATGCTTTGCCGCATGCACTGCAGATAGGTGACCCGCGCACCCAATTGTATGGCATGATGTCTTTTCAGATCATGTCGTCTTGTAAAAACTGCGAGGACAGATTGGACACTTGTATGTTGATGTAAATGGACAGCAGTGCCGCGAGGTCGTACTCTAGCTGGTGCCCATAAATAATGTACCTATTATTGTCGCACTCCGCCTGCTGGGCGATAGTTCGGCGTTAGCAGGTAATACATAGATGCTGAAGGGAACCCAGTAGGCGATAGGTGGGTGAATGTCAGCATGGCACGGGATAAATGCTTTGAACGAAAGGTGATACCTGCGGAACTGGCGCTGGTAAAATCGCGTATGAGCAGAGAGGGGAGCGATGGATGTTGGTGCGTCTGTTGAACATTTGGTTCGGGTATAGAGGTATTGCAAGGTGTCAGCTAGAGTAGATGGACGTGCACAGCATGGATGCCGTCGTTTCTTTGGACTGGAGACATGTTTTTTGGGCGACTACAAGGAGCCGCCAGTGTGGAATGTCTACCTTTCGCGGCTGAGAATAAGCATTGGGTTTTTTGTGCAAGAAGAATTGTGGTCAAGTGATAGTTGATTGAGATGGTAAGATTGGTTGAAACTGTAGGAGGCTGGGCTCTTTGGTGCTCCCTCGTTCATATCTGCAGACAAGCATACGGGTAGTCTAATTTCTTGTTCCATCCCAGTGTTCACGCAATCTAACATGTACCGGGACGGCATTTGAAGCCTGTATGTTCGGATACTGGATCCCAAATCAATTTCAGGAGTTCACTTGAGGGTCAGCCTTCAACAAAGCACAGCTTGCCGTGGTAATGACGTCCGTGATCGGTTTCTGGAACCCGGTCCGACTGATCCGTAGAAAACGCCCCACTGAAGGTTCGGAGGGCCTCCATCGGCTTACGTTAGCAGCAACGCGCGTGTGCGAAAACCCTACAAAACCTAGCGACGGTAGAGTTCCAAACGACATGAGAAAATGTCACATTCATTCTACTGTAAAGAAAAACAATATTCTGTTCCTCCCCCAGTGAGATCTCGCAACATGCTATTGTAACGTGTCCCATCATTCCACCATGATCATCTATTGCTCGTCGTCATCGTCTGTACCGTTTTCCGACTCGTCCACCAAGTCGAACTCAATAATATAGAACGGTACATTCTTGGAGAGCGATTTTGATATTAATCGTATAGGTTGCTTATTCAAGTACTGCAATAAGTTGATGTTTATGCCCAGCGTCAGATCAAACGTATTGAGGTTCATGAAAGGTGCAAAAATCTGAAAACGATGACATGTTTGAGTTTCGAGCGAGACCGGTAGACAAAATCCTCATCACACCACAGCGCACCTCAAAATTATAAATGTAATCTGGCTTGAAGACCATCTCTTTGCGCGCGTTTTCATTCTGAAAGTACTTTCTGCGCTCTGAGATGCCATCCGAAGGGAATGGCGAATCTTCTCTTGACGACAGCAGGAGTTGCGTACTCTCTTGCAGTTCGTCAGGTCCAAACCAAGCCCACTTTGTCAGTTGGGGTTCTGGCTTCTCGTCCGCAGATTTGGTAAGTTTTGAGACCTCCAGTTTCACATTCTTTGACTTTGACGTATCAGGTCCAGTAACAGTCTGCCCGCCTACGGTAGTTCGAGGATTTGACTCCGCGGGATGGGCATTTGTGACGGGATTCTCCGCTTTTACAACATTCACAATGTTCATTGAACAGAGAGCCGGGCTCCAGAGCCATGGTTTGTCAGCATACACATCATTCTTTAGAGCTGGGTCAATCAGATTAGCGAATTTGAGGGCCACCCAGGAGCCAGTGGGCAGAATCACTTTCTTCTCAAACTCTGAACCAAAAACAACGTCATCTGCAGTGTATTCCTGGCGATATTTCATTTTTCGTCAGACTTCCGCAAACGATATCGAATCGTCTACACCCAGAGTCACTCACATGTTTGAATCTCCCACAGACTTGTACGGAGAATAACCGTTTCTTGCTCTCAAAGTACGGTAAGGACTCGATAGGTTTGGACCCGTCCGCTGTGATCCCTTTAAAGTTCTTCACGCGCACCGATACATATCCAGTAAAGTAGGGAGAGTCGATGAAATGTGGGTTTTTCTCATCGTTGATGTTTGCCACCGCCAAAGTGTCCAAGGATGGGCCAATTCGGCATCGCAATTTTCTGTTCCCGATGGCGGCTTGACCGCTGGCACCAAATAAGTACTCCAGTTTGGCAGTGGTATCAAGGTAAACGTGGGAGATGAGGGCGAGCTATAAAGACACTTGAAATTGTGGCAAACGTGGAGAGAAGAATAAGCCCATGACGATTATGCCAAAAACATTTTGTTTGCCTTGAACATACCTGAATGCGATGATAATGCTAATGTCCCAAGCCGTTGCAGAGATGGGCTTCGTCGGTCGCTGCCAGCCGTCCAAATGAGAAGAAAAAAAAACAAAACAAAAAAAAGCCAAACGAAAAAGCGTTGACGTTGAAGGGGACGCTTTTTAACCGCGCGCCCGAATTGAATCATCCATATGATGGATGGATCGCGTGGCAAATAGTGTGGCCAGCAGTTTGCCATCTTAGACTGAACGAACAAACGAACGACGACGGAAATGTTTTACTCGCAAGACATTCTTACTTCTAAACGCCGGTCGGGCCTTGCAGTCGTTTGGTTGGCGGCCACACTGGGGCCAAAGCATTCATTTAAAAAGGTTTGGCATTCAAAACTAGAGTTTCCCACGCGTTTTGCCAAAGCATTCATGCTTTCGCTTTCCCCATCTTGCATAGTTGTCGAAACGGGAAGTCAACGGAGTCAACCTTGTGAAAGCATGGTATGTATTGGCCCCTTTCACATATCACAGGGTCGACGAGCATATCCTCATATGGGGGCGTTAAGCGACTTTCTAACCGACCCGCCCGAACCCATGGCTCTACGGTTAACGTATGTGTGCATGATTCTACTGTAAAATTGGGTTCAGATTAGGGTGTTAAATGTCTCTATTGATCTTAGATCAAACCTGATGGTTGGCGTAACGAGAGTGTACTCTCAGCAGTACACGTTCTTCTACAGTATGACAAGCTTGCCTTTGAAAAACGGGACATTTTTATCGTCCAACACACTGATATTCCGCAGCGGAGGTGAAACAGGTGTTTATGAAGTTGAAACGAGCTTGGACGGATATTCAATCGGGCGATGTGAACATGCCCGCCGGTGAAGCAAGGTTAGATCTGTCAGCTTGGTGACGCGCCCATGTTTTAGACTGATCAGTTTGTAGATTTGATGCTATCACGCTGCAATTAGACGAAGACATTGAGCTGCGCTATGAACCGCCCATTGCGCTGCAGGATACATCTATGGTCAGTTGGCGCGTGATCCCACTTCTAGAGCAACTTTTCATTAATTAAATTGGTCCTGCATTTGGCCTTTGCAGATGGAGAAGCAGATTGACTTTGGTTGGGTGGTACGGGGCGGACAACCTTCCCAAAGTACTACGCTCTGTACGTAATCTGTCTAAACGGTGGTTCCTCCCCCCATTCCTCACGTTTGTCAATCGAAACTAGCACCTTCGACTGCTACCAGAAGCCCTAGTGCACATCCATCGAACAGCTTTGACGCCATGTCAATTGGCGGATCTTCGCATGTGGGCTCTTTGAAGTCCATCACACTGCAGACTCAAGGTCGGCTGAGCACAACTCCGCTCCGTTCATCGCTAATGGATACAACCACGGGCATGGAGTTTGATTTGGGCCTTGACCCGCTCTTACCACGACCTGATGAGAGTGGTACCGGGATGTCTACACTCCTCGATGACCAATTTGATCTCTTTGCCGACATTAGAGATGACCACGAGGCGGCCCGGAAGCGAAGGAAAGTTCGCGCTGTAAGTGACATCTAGTTCTCGTTATTTGAGATAGCTAGTGATGATTGTTTTCATTTAGGGATCTCTGGGCATTGACCAAATTGCCGCGGAAGGATTCCAGATTGAGCAGAGCGTACTTGAACCGTCCATGGAAAAGACAGAGCTTGGTTTTGTTGACGTTAGACAAGATCAACCTGCGCAAGAGGGTATCCCCCTTGGTGACCCCTCTGGCGACCTAAATGACGCGCTCGCCGAAGCTGCACCAAAGCCGCGAAAAAGCCGGCGGAGATACCCTCTCATTGATTTGGAGGTATGCTAGCCTCTGACCCGGATTCAGTGTTCATCACATGGGGACTAACCATCGTGTATGGGATTAGATAGAGTTACCTCACGCCGAGATGGTTCGTATGAGAAACCGAGCGAGTTATGATTTACTTTTCGCAGAGAAACAGGCTCAGCAGAAGGTGCGTCGTGGTACCTGGATGATAAGAACTCCGTACTTATCTAAAGCGGCATCAGGCTAGAATTAAAGCGGACAAGGCGTTTCTTCAATCCGTGCTGGAAGCTCCCCCTATCGGTAAATTACCGTTCGTCCGATTCAAGCGATCGCCAACTCTTCACAGCCGACCTCTAGGTCTCGGACCGGATCTTACGAACTTTTGGCATGAAACAGTTCTAGTCAACAAACGCCCTGGTGGTATGCTGCAATGCTCACGATGGATGTCACCATACATTTTAAACTGTCATTTGAGTAGGTGACAGTCTTTTGGAGCGTACCTCAAAAAGGCCAAAGCATGCCGGTCATATTCTTGTTTCCCAAGACTCTGGAGGTGCGGGAGCAGGTATAGAGCTGCATTCTTGGCTCCTAACGAGATCCACAACCTGTCCGGCAAATGTACGAAATAACGATTGCAAAAGCATTAGGTTTAGGTTACGACATGGATAGTGGGAGCTTTGAGAATATCAGGGTAGGACTTGCTATTGATTGCCCTGTTTAAGCCGACCCGCTGTCAACAGTCTGGATTAGGCGGATCTGTCTGCAGAGGACCTTGAAGTATTCCGAGCGGGAGACGAAAGGCGCAAGAGCGAGATAATGCCTTGGCATCGTACATCCCGTCCTGGGTCTGTTGCTTCAGGTAGTCTTCACTTGTTGGTATGACATTGTGCGCTTTGATAGGAGCTGGTTTGATAGATCAACCTGGATCTGTTCTGGGCTCTGCACGCAAATCAATGTCTAGACGTGACTCTTTCTCCACCTTTGGTGGCACGGATGATTTTGCCTTGGAGCCGATGCGCAGGTACATAGCACGTATTTGGGTGTTTCGTGTAATGCAGCTTTGTAACCTCGTACCCCATTGTCACTCTAGGAGGTCTAGTTCGATGGCAGGATCGGCCCGTGACTTCTCTCCGCTCAAAGATTTGCCGGATTTTGAAGGATTCAGTTTTGGTAATGGAAGTACATTTTTCTTCGTATAATTGAGTTCGAAAGAGTGGACTGAAGGAGCTTTATGGCCAGATGCCGAAATTCCCTTCAAAGATGTGGACATGAACCTTACGCCTGTGGACAACGAGAGTTCCCAGTTCCTCAAGTACGTGATACGTCACCTAGCTTTGCGAACATGTCTAAACCTTACCATAATTGGGCGGATGCATAGTTATGTGAAAACCGTTGTCCCAAACGCCGATACAAGCTATGGTAACAACTATTGCATGTGATTCTATGAGCCTATCGAAAACACTCGCTCATACTCCCTGGCAGTCCACTTTTTTGATGTTTTGCCTCCCAGCGGGACATCCCGTGCGGCCGCCAGTCAGGGTTTCTATCATGGTATTTTACGCGCATTGAAGAGTACGTGTCTGAAGGAGCGACATAACCTTCCTTGCTCCTTTTAATCTTAGTACTCGTCTTGGCTACACGCGGTGTTATCCATCTTAGGCAAGCCGGCCCATACCAAGACATTCGCCTTGGTCTCGACAAGACGATGGCATTGGATTGAAGGTGCAATGCTATGTGCAGGCGGTAAGACACCTGGAATGGTACAAGTTGCATCTCTAGGACCTATGCGTTGCAAGACCTTATCGATCGTAAGCATAGAATTGATGGAAATTGACACTGTGCCTATTATGACGCGGATTCTCATATGTAAAGTAGTGTCTCTGTAGTTGACCATCTTTTTAAATAGACGGTGTTTCATCCTAATTTTTCAAGTCTATCAAAGAATCTGTCAGGCTGCCATTTCTCAATATAGCTTTCTTGACTTGATCCCCGTCTTTTGACGACTTGACTTTTCAACGACTTGGCCAACCCAAGCATTGGCCAGTCCATTGCAAACAAACTTTGGCAATGAAGAAATGCATAGTTTCGATTTGTATAATGAAAAAGGAATACTGCTGAAATGGGGTTAAAAAATCCAGAAGCTACTGTCGCTTAAAGAGCTTTCGTGCTGCTGAGGCTTGGGCCTCAAAACTACATTACGTCATCGGCTTTTTAATACTTTCCTTTTTGGTAAGCGCTGATGGCAAATCCAAAACGGGTCAAATTGCTCGAACCTTTGGCTTGTGTAACGTCTATCCAAGTTACCACACTCGGGTTTGCCCGAAAACACATACTGGATTTGAGTCATGTCTCGACTATCGTCCGCCGATAAAGTCTTCAAAAAAGAAGATAAAGGATCAAAACGAACAGATACAATCCCCTCAGTCCTTTCATAGAGCTCCCTCATAGGGACATACATAGAGGCAGATTAAAATGTCCCTCCCACCATTCGACAGAATTACAACGAAGACGAACCTGAACTTGAACCTGAACAAACTAGCCTACAGTCAGCAAAGATAGATTACATGTATATTAGGAACAGCACCACGAGGTTCAGCTTTCTCAACTGGGCTTCCTCTTGGATGCTGTGATTCTACCTGACAAGACTTTTCACCGCGATACTGGTGCAGTGCCATTCACGATCAATGCCTTCGTCTCTATGGACGACAAGTGTCGGGCGAGCAGCTTGGATATGGCAATCCCGATTGTGACCTTTGCTTTGTTCATTATCGCGGCTACTTTCACCACTCGCAGTTCCGATTCTTAAAATTCTCGGATTGGTCACTTTTGCGGCCCAAGGGATTACCAAGATTACCGCCATCATCATTGAAGACGCTCTCCTCTTCGTTCTGCAGAGGGAAAACATCAAACGGTGGCGGAAAGTATTCTCAAGCGTGACGGCATTCTCTCCTCGGCTGGTTGACACGCTGGCAACAAGCACCTGAATGGCGTCGGAGGGGCCAAATTCCGCAACTAGAACGGCAGACTTAACTTTAATAGCTTTTGTTACTAATGATGTAGAAACCGAAAAGCAATGACTTTCTTATGTACTGCGGGCACGTTCAACGAGATTTTGGGAACTGACCAGGAAAGCTTTGTCGTGCCGGATAGCTACCAAGATAATAAGCCTGGCTATTGATAATGATGCAAGAGTATAACTTCCGTTTATGAAGTGGATCATCTGAAAAACAAGGTTCAGAAAAAAGATCAAAAAGGCGCTTTTTGATATGATACTAAAACAGCAACAAAAATAATGTAGCAACAGAAACAACAAGATTAACAGGAACAGATTCAGCAGCAGATTGAGCGACAACAGGAACTGGGTACCGAAGGCAATGCCAGTAGCACTAATTGCACCAATTGCATCTGCAGGCCGCCAGAATCTATCGATAGGAAATTGTTCTGGATCTATGGAAACTAGCTCGTGAAACCGCCCTGTAATTGTTGACGACTGATATTTCTCCTTCTCACACTATTTCACATCGAAAGCTATCAGCCACAAGTAAGTTATGAGACAGGAATTAGAAGCGAAAATATTGAGCTTACACTGCCTCAAATGCTAAAGAACTCCAATTTCAAAACTGGACACGTAAAGGACTGTCGGCGTTCCTGTAATGCTTTATAAAAAATGTTGCTCAACGAAGAGAATCCGAAAAAGAAATTGTAATACATTGCTGAACATGACGACGATCTCAAGTAATCGGAACAAATTGGGTGACCCATAAACTGGAGGATAAGAATTTGCCACCGTAGATGATGAACTGCTAAGTAACATACTTTTCTAGTTCTTTCTTAGTAGATTGAAATACGGATGGAAACAGAGCTTTTCTCGAATATCCACTGCCAGATACGCAGTGCAATTAGATTCTTTAGTATGTAAGAACAAATACATGCTGAGCAACACCTCGCTCTTCAATGTCACCATCTAGTTGCAGTTCTTCACTTACTCTCGATATTTTCTTTTACAGTTTGTCTTGATCCATTTGTTGATTCTTCCCATATCTTGATGCTCCGCATACCTTGTTCGTGATTAAATCAAACACCGGATCGGTTGTATAGGCAATTGTGTAGACATCTGCACTAGTGCTCCCATCTACCTCTTTTCGCAAGGCCTCTAGATATTTTGAACGGGCTATGTCGACAGCCGTACATATAGCTTTTTGATGGAAAGCATCCAGAATTCTTTGTTTTTTACTAATCGTGAGCATAATTCAGAAGATCCATGCTCTTGGAGACCCGTACTTTTCTCATCTTGCACTTTTTGCTGCATCTGTTACATTCACAATATTCATGATCATCACATACCGTCCAAAGAACTTCGACAGCATGCAAGTCGTATACTTTGATTCCCACAAGTGGAGCAATTGTAAGACAAAGTTCTTAAGGACTTTTTACCTGTCTTCGGAGAGATTGTCGATATGACGACAAAAGTCTCTGCCTTCAGTTACCGTTATCGCATTCAAGTACAGCAACATGACCCTTCAATATCGCCCCATTATCTTCTGATTTTATTGTTTCTTTCTGTGTGAATACTTTTAGCAACTTTTCCCCATCAACAAACATGACGTTTTTCATTTGACAATGTATGCCGACGCAGCTTTTTCGATTATTCGACTACAGACGTAATGATTCTAGATCGGCCATGACTGATAATGACGGCGGGAATTGCTATGGTAGTTTGTATATCTGTTTCCATTAATCTATCGATATATGTCTCGCTGTGCTAAGGATGAGGTATTTTTCAAAATGCGGATCGCATTCTCCATCTAAGCGCTTCATTATGTCGTTTGAAGAACTAGCAGGAATTATCATTACTGATGAAACGAGTGATCAAAATAGTAAGCAGCTCAACAGCAGCCACAATGTCACCGATAGTAATACATGCGGAACGGTTCTCACGGTTATGTGGCAGTCTTAAGAGGAAGTGCAATTGAAGGCTAAACATGGTGGGTCCGAATGTACTCGCTTCGAAACCGGCCGGATTTATGTATCCAACTGATATTACTGCGGTGAAGCTTAATGAGCTCGACCATTCGATAACTGGGGAAGCCATTCCGGAAATGAAAGCGTTGAATAAGCGCAGCGAAAGATGTGCGAAGAAATCCAAAAGTCGCACCCAGCCTCAGCCACAAGAGAAAGCGAAAGAATAAGATCTGCAACAGCAGCAACCGGAACAGAAGCAGCAACCGGAACAGAAGCACTCGAATCCTGAGCTACAGCAAACCCAGGAGCCTGAAGAACCCGTGCAACTGGTAGCAGCAACAGGAACCGGAGCTGCGGCAACAACCGGAACAGGTAAGTTCATCCCATTCAAGGATAATTGTCAGAGGAGCAAAATACAGCAACCGTAAATCCAAGCAAACCAGTCAGCAGATTAGTGCATCAATCACCCACAAAACCAGATGTCAGGACACACAATGTGATATAGCGAAAGATGTAGGTGAGAACAGAGATCAAGAAACGAAAGTACGATTCAAACCAACTTGTTGGTAATAGAGACGACGGCGATCACAAATTCGGTTGTGTTTTTGGATATGTTGATTCAGGTTGCGTACCCTCAAGTATGCATCTCCTGTTGGTTTCGAAGCTGCTTTGCTCGAAAGTTTCAAAGAGTGCAGAGACGGCACCGCACTTACAGGTTTCAGATCAAGAACAGAGCAATGGTGTGGAGGTCATGTAATGACGATTGTGGGTCACGACGACGAGAAGCCTATTGTGGTTGACGATTGAGGTTAACCTTGGGGAGATTCTGGAATCTCTTGCTTCCCTTTTGGTTACTTGTTGAATGCAGACTATTGTTCTAACTTTTGGTCTCTACGATATTGCAGTTGAACTTAGTCAAATCGTTCGAGCAGTTGGTACAGATCAGAGATTACTGTATTCTTCCATATATTTCAAGGAGCATAGAGCATTTAGAAAAACCTGCTAACCACCGGCATGCATAGATGAATGTATGAATGGACGAAGAGGATAATATGAAATCAATGCTGTTAAACTTGGAATCATCAACCGATTTGCTTTGAATCATTGTGTCTATGGCGTGAGCAAAAAGAAAGTCAGTGCCCCAAAAGGTTATAAAAAAGGTGCTGGTTCCCACCATGTTAAATATATCCAAACTTGTAGATCTACAGCAATCCGACAAGTTGCGAATAAAGGTGAGTTACAGCTTCAGTAACGCTTATGAAGCAACTTGTGCACTGAATGGTCTCCTGTGGGACTTCGAGTGGGCAATTTTCATGTATTATGTAAATGCTGCAAATAATTGGGAGAAAAGCATGTGGATTTACTTATCCATACATGAATATTGAAGAATACACAACTGCAAAGGAACCCTCTATCAATCGGTTGCACACTAGATATCGAATAATCTCTTCTGAGTTGCTTCGACCATTCTGCAGACTCTAGAATAATTAACACTCCACCAATGCCGAAAGTTTGTCTTGTAGTTAAACCATCTCGTTCCATACCCGCGTACTGCTTTGTTCAACTAGCTGTTCCAAAAGTGTCGTAATGTCGTTCATGGGTTCCTCTCCCGGTGAGAATGTCTCAGCCCGTCTCATGTACAACTGAATTAGTCTGCCCCATCTCCCTAAGGACTAAATGACAATATGCGTGACATTTACGAACCAGCCGGTCTTTGCTGATATTCGTCTCCCATACTCCAAAGTTGAACGCAATCTCCTCTAAAATTTCCAATAAATCACTCACGCTGCATCTTTAAAAGAAGGGGTTTACGCCGTTTTGAACGAAAAGCCAGGTATTTAGAGATTTAACAGAGACCTCATTCTCATGGTTGAAATGCGATAACATGGCCTCGCTGTTCTCAACATCATAGGCCGATAAGCATATTTCGTCCTGAATTATGACCTCCTCTGGTATGTGAAAATAACACGGCACTAAAGTTTGTGTCTTGCTGGATCATAGCACCACACCATTTCCAAGCATGAATGGGATCCACAATACTTTCTGCTGCCTCGATTCTGCAACCAGAACAGACATGTTACTCCTGTCTTGTAGTTTCTGGCATGACTATCTACTATTACCATGACGAATTTAATAATATATAATCCAAAGGACTGCTACGAATCTGAACTAGAAGCAAACTACATTCAAAATGTGAACCATTTCTACCAAATTCCCGAAAGAAACAAATATGGCCATTTTCAAGAAGCATTTGCTGAATATCTATCTAAAAAGTATTAGAAAATATCACCATAAGTTGGTCAATGCAATTTTCCATTGGAAAAGTGGTTAAAAAAAGGTGCGTTCGTGCGTTCCATTAAAGCAATCAGAAAGGAGATATTGAAGTAAGAGCCAGAGTGGGTCAAAAGAAGCGTGAATTCCCATCGAGATACAGAGAATATTAGATCAAAGAGGAGACAATAAGTGAACCACTCATCGAGAGTTGAGTGAATCCTTGTTTTCATGTTCAAGTTCTCGTCTTCCTTGTATGCATCGTGATCTCAGTCGTTTTGGAAAGACAGGCATATTATTTGCAGGGTGAAATCTATTCAGAGCTTCGGCTTCCAGTCGCTGAAGAAGAAAGCAAAACGTCCTGCCCTGAAGAAGCTGCATTCCACCCAGATTGCTCTAATCCATGCACCTGCGACTGTCTATCGATGAGTGAGAAAGTGGCTACATTGGCCATAGTTGTAAATCGCAGATTCATATCGTGAGTAAAATTGAATATGCACAACCTCTGCGACGTTCGCCGTCACAAAAGAAATCGATCCGGGGATGTGAGTTCTAGATAAAGACGACTGGTATTTGCGAGGAGACAGCGAAGATGATGCGGCCAAGTGTTCGGGCTAGCAAGGTTCCTACGTGGTAAAAGAGAAAGAGAAAGTCCTTTGTGCCCTATCTGGCATCACGAAACGCTTGAAGTCCATATCTGGGTATCACAAGAGTGAACTGGAACTGACAAAACTCTTTGATTGCAATATAAACAACATGTTGAAAGAAAGGGAGCACAACGATCATAAACGATCTTGGGAATTTGCTTGCGTGGTGTCCAAAAAGCATCATCTTATGAAATCGTAAGATAAACAAAGTTAGTTTTAGGCTTTTATTCCGATGTAATACTGGCAAGATGCTAGTTAATATATTTGAAGGTAAAAGTCATAAAGCCAGGAAAGAAGCGGGAGCAGTGACCATTTGAAGCTCTTGTTGGAGGCAATGTGAGGATTGTACGAGATGTCAAGTATATATCTCGCTGCTTTAGTGTGCAGTCCGCTCAAATTGTAACTAGAAAAACAAATCTGCCTGCCATGAGATATGACAATATGCTCATACTGTCGACATCCGTACTACGCCTTAAAGAACTTTATCAAGGGCAGTTATACATATGCCGCCCTCTTCGTTCCCAACAGCTAACAGCTATAAAGAAGCGGGGTGAGGCTGAATACATATCTGTTGCAGAATGGTGCTTATCAATAGATTTATGATAGTGACTTGAACCCGCGGCTGCCAACTCGCATTCCTTACTGCAAACGAACATCTATGGATGAACAAAGATTAGAGAAAACCAGTGCCGCCCAGGTTGAGCAGAACCATTTAAACGTATCTACGTATGAACTACTGCTCTTGGGGATATTATAAGATGAATAAGGATAAAGAATTACAACCTTTTTCAAAATGGAAGCATGGTTCTGACACCAGAAATAAACAGAACGATGATCTAATCTGATTAACAACTGCAAAAATGGTTATTGCCAATGCCACGACCACTGCAGTTCCTAGCAGCATCGTGGAGCTGGACAGGGATCCGTTACGTTCTGCCGTGAAAGAGTACGAAATGATCGAAAGCCATGATGATAAGAATATTTTATCGCCTGTGGGAGTGCTTGGACAGATTTCATTGATACTTGCCGCATTGGAAATATGGCACCTTTCCCACCCAAGCATGGAATCAATGATATAGTCGAAAGAGAGAAGCGAGACAAGAGGCAACAGTGCGATCGATGCAGCAGTTGGGGCTTTCCGCTGTAAACAATCAAGAAACCCCACGGCGCGACTCAAAGAGAAAGGTTCGTCGGAGGATGCAGAGATCAATGGAATCGGTAATGAGCAAAATCCCAGGCAATGATGCGATAGAAGATCATGAGCAAAGTCCGAAAGTTTGCGGAGGAAGATTCGTGGCAAAGCATTTTGCATTCGAACGTAGGATGATAATCTCAGTATCTGTTTCTTCTATTGTGAGTTACTTAATCTGCAACATTGTATGCACCTGTTCATTTGTTCCTTTCTTTGACCTTTTGCACCTTGTACTCATGCCCTTCGCATTTGCACTTGGAATCAGCAAGAATTGGAGCAGCATGAACGATGACAATGACGATGAAGAAGAAGACCGTATGGAGGAGAACACAGTGAGAAACGACAACAGAGAAGAAGACCAGGAGGTAGATGGAGACGAGGAAATGGCTGGGCAGGAAGACGAGATTATTGAGAAATGCATTTGTCAAAGAAAGACCATAGAAAAGGTTCAATTCCCACATTGAAGACATTATTTTGCATTTAGAGTTTACGTTGAGAATGTACTCAAACAAACGAAAAATAAAAACAGGCTCTGAACAAGGAACCGGGATATGTGACGAGGTATCCTCTCCTTTCTTTACAGGTAGACGATATGCTTCCTATTAGATGGGGATAGATGCTGTTCCTTGTAGTTTCAGAAACCAGGAAGACCAGCGAGGATATAAACGGGATTACGGAATGGCGAATGCAGAATCTATTGGATTCTCGTAACATTGCGTTTTTGTAATTACGAATGAACACAGGATCCATTGCCTCTAGGTTTACAGAACTATATTGTGAGTACATTGATGTTAACCCGGCGGTTCTCCTGAAACTTGGAAGTATGTGGAAATCATTATCTCGGAAATCCGTCGTAGATACAACTAGCCTACTGCAGTCTCTGAGGGTAAGATATGCTTGCTGCATTGCGACTTTTACATTGCCCGTACTTGATAGAAATTACTCTGTTGAACTCAAACTAAGCGTGGCGATTGCTTATGGAAGAATCAGAGTACAGGCATCCCAAGTTTCCTGTTTCCTTTAACTCAAGCAACATCAAAGGAATCGGAGTCAACTCTGGAGACTGAATACTTTACAAACATTGCTGGATGAAAGAGATTTATGGAAACAGAGCGGTTGTTAGATTCAATACATATCCGGGCCGATTATGCATTTGCGAAGGAGAAGAAAGGCAACAAATTCCTGAGAAAGATGCTCGAGAAGAGTCTTGTGAAGGTTACGAATTCAGTACGAGTCGGTGTCCTGTCAATTGAAGGCTAACATAACTTTTTGAAACCTATTCGTATGCACCTGTTACTGAATTCTGCAACAAATGTACGCCGCTAGTCATCTTGCGTCGATACAACGCATAGACAACTGATGATGAGGATGGTGAAGATCTTGTTCGAAATCGAAGGATAGCCAAAGTCCTAGATATGCAATCTGATGAAAGTTTGGCCAGCTAATTAACATAATGGAGACCCCAAATCCAGAGACTTTAAATGACAAGACGTCAGGAGCAAGGAACAACCGGGTTTTATGGTATGAGGAATCTTGCTAAACAAAGTGCATGCAGATGGGATCCGTGTTAATTCTGTGGCACTATTCTGATGCCATTGCAATCGGTGTCCAGAGGACGAGAAAACCACAAAAAGTTCTACAGGGTGAGCCGTCGTTCGTCCAGGACGGGTAGGCCAACCGTTCGTTAAACCCTAAAAGAACTTGCAATTTCTTGCTTATCCTAGTTGGATTCTTAGAAGACAGATCATAACGTTGGAGAGATTTCAAATCTACCGGTTACATGTTGCATCTGGTAGCAATCACTGCCGGGACTCCACCATTCCCAAAGTGGTGTACGTGATGCAAGACGGATCATTTGTAAACTACACGACTCATTCGGTGGGTATCTGTACGTACCGTACTGACATTTGAATCCAGATTCACTTCCACAGTAGGGGAATAGTTGGGAGCAAATCAAATCATAGCACTTCTGGGTTCTATTGAAGGGCACGTTGTTTGGTTCGAATATCTGCTTGCTCAGCCCATGAAAGTGAAGATGCGGGAACGTTTTGAAGGAAAGCTCGACCGTCCAATGGTTACCTGGATCCATATCTTAAATGCTGGTTTTCAAGCAATGAATGATGTATCTCTTTTTCACGCAGTTACTTGGATATCTCATTGTAAGCGGAAAGTATCCAGATAACATAATGAACTAAGTTTCCTACCGATAGACTTAGAAAGCACTGCTTGAAGAATCCAAGCGGGTAGCGAGGCTTGCAAGCTCTCATCCATTTTCCATCGAAGATAATTGTTACGATCTTCCGACTACGTTATTACCGCAAATGTGATTCCTCAAAGGGCCAAACCTCGCAGGTTCAGCTTCATACTTGGGCGTCGACATTGACGCTCCTCCTACCTGGTAGCCGGTGCCGAACAAAGTCAACAAGAGTCCTACTATGAACAAGATCGTAGCCAGTCTGTTGCTGATCACAAGACTGGACATCGGCAGTTTGCATTGTACATACTCGGGTTCCTTTCGAAATTCCTCTATTTCCTTGAGTGTATCTTCACAAAATGAGCAAAAGCATGCTCCGGAGGCTTCAAAAGCCAGTCGCTGATCTGGCCCCCCAAAGGAACAAGAGATTTCTAAGCCCAAACCGACTCGCAAGAAGACGACTGCTTACCAAGTTGCTTGGAAGAACTAATTGCACAGAAGAAGAAAGAGGCGGCGAAAGCGGTTTTGCGTGCCATATACAGCAAGGGATGCCCAGGTTTTATTTTGCTATTTGACAAGAGCTGAATGGCGACGTTTTGCCTCCAATGCGTGCATCGCAGGAATGTGAAATGCCAGCATCGTCACGATGGCACTTAAAAGGCGCATCAAGAACTCTCTCCTTCCCACATAACCTCACGTTCAACACTATCGTTCTATCACAGTCATGGCGGCTTTGTACCTATACCACTTGATCTGCACTTACGTATACATGTCTATCGCGACGATTTTGTTGGCACCGCATTCACATTTTGGATGGCAGCGGGTAGTTGATCGCATTTGTAGCAAAGTCATTGCTGACGGCGATGAACGGTACTGAGTCCTCCAGGATGTGGAACCAACAACATTGTGGCGATTGACATGTATACGTAAGTGCAGATTAAATAGTCAAGTAATCATTGGTATCTGAACTCTTTCTAACAAGCATCGAAAAAGAGCTGATCAGACAAGTTATTCCCGAGTTTGCGAAAACTCGGTCTTTCTGCAGTGGCAGTGGGGAGAATTCTGGTGACGCTTTGGGGAAGCGAAATTAGATTCCCAAAGGAACGGTGCAGACGATCAAGGTGAGGGTCAGCCCCACGAACGAGGGGTCATATACCACAGGTGCATATCCATGCATTTCTGTTATATAAGCTAAAGTATTAATATGTAATTTGCGTATTTGCACTATGATACCACGGGCAACTGCTAACAACATCATTGGCGACTCGTTCAAAACCATTTCCTGGAAGGAAAAACGCAATCGGATGATATTGTTGATCCCGAGAAAACAAAAATAAGACTTAAAATTGTTTAGCAACCGACTTGTTGCACTACGTTAACCCCAAGTGCGTGTGAACAAGCAGTGTAGAAAGAAGAGTGCTCGGGCTGCCGGCTCCAGTCGCAGAACTACTTGTAAAAGGGCACAAGCGACGGTTTCGGCTTAGTGAGATAAATTGTATCCCATTGAATATTCTTAACAAAGACTCATATTTGACTCGTATTGCATCTCATCAAAAGCAAAATGAGCATCTTCCGCACATTTTGTTGCTACTTGCACATAACCCTAATGCTGTCTCTTGTTCCTGTTTGTTATCTCGGAAATCCAGAAAGCTTTGCAAGTCTTTTACTACTGTTCGGCTACCGAGGATAGGATGCCTTTGAATTGGTCTCGGAAGTCATGACCCAAGAGTACACATGTTAGATTGTAGATACTTCTGACATAAGAAAACTGTAGAGTGCATCACACTATATTTGCAGAACGTGCTACGCTGTCCGCTGACCAGAGCAGGATATGTCCACTGATTCTTCTTCACTATCGTCTGTGGCTGTATAGGATAAAGACATTGAATGTCAGGCATTGACAAGTAGATTCCTATGAGCGGGAATGTCCATCCATCTGCACGATTTCCGCTACTCGATTTTTCAAATTCGTCTTTAGCACACAGACAAGCTTCGCACGATTGTGGAGGACGTCATCTGTGCATTTGAGATTTTCTTTAGTAAGATGAACTACAGACGAGCCGACGAAACGAGGGATCGCTCGAATCGTTGTAAAGGGGTATATGCACTAGTTTTTATAACTGCCTGGATCCTCGTCATAGAAAGGACTCGACGTCGTAGCTGGCGGCAGATTGTAGAACATCTGATAAGATAGTCTCGTATCTTAAGGAGTTCCAGGGGCGTAATGATTGTTGTTGTTAGGAGATCCCCTTTCAAAGCGAAAGATAACACAGTTTCTCTTGAATATGTACATTTTCTAATGCAGAGGAGATACCCCAATCCGTTGCGGTTGGCACTTAGAACAGAGGAGCAGCTATTTCGCCGTTCGTATTGTCGATTTCAATGACAAGTTTTACATAAAAATTCGACAAGGCATGCACGAATACCCTCCAACAATTCCAGCGTGAAGAAGGAATACTGCATGTTACCAGTTAGGACATTCTGTCTCATAAGGGACCATTGCGATAATAACCAAACCGAAAGTTGAAATTCAAAGAAGACTAGCTCTTTCAGTAATTTCATTCCTTCTGTGATAAAAGATTCTATCGGACAATTATGCGGCGCGTTGTTCACGACAATGAGCGAACGTTTGTCCGTTATTGAAGTATAGCATTGCCGTTTTCAAAGCATCCTGGATTTAAGCAAGAAAAATATATTCTAAACTGTCAACGAGCCCCCATCATGTCAATGTTTATCTACGTTAGAGATCATCAAGACTGGTCTATTCAGAATGAACATTATGATCCGTATCATTCCGATGAAGACGTTACACATAGTTATAGAAATAGCAAAGGAGTTAGCTAACGAACAATTGACGCGTTGGGAAGCATCTGGGAGGATCAAACTACTCCCATTGACGGAGGAAACAAGAGGGAAGAAAAATGGGGAATTGTGCCTTTGGATGTAGATCATGTTTTCATGTTATCGATGACATTGCCTACGTGCAGAGACCGGCGACTTTCGACGTTAAGCAAGCTGCAATCGACAGCGAAACCGTTAGACTCGGCCCGAGCGGGATTTATATCCTAATGGATCCAACTGTGCATTGCAAACAATGAGAGTAACTTTCATGTGAAACTGGTATAGTTATATGTCATGGCAGTCATATTGTTTGCCACTAATAGAACCATGCCTGTTTGGCATCGGGTCGATGCAAAATCTTGAGCAAAAGGGCAACGGCGGACGTGGTTCTCCCCTTGATACGCTCCAGCCTTTGCATGTTTTGAGGTTTAATGGAGAACTGTACAGCTTCACACAATCCGAGATTATATTTGCAAGCACCGATATCAGGACAATATCATGTGGAGGGAGGTAGTCCTTTGAGGCTAGTACGCGTTTACAGAATCTGACGGTGGCATCAAGGGGGAAGGTCAGGGAGAAGAAGGATGACATAGGCAAAAGATATGCACGAATTCCGAATTGCAAAAAAAAAGCGCAGTCCTCAAGGGTTATAAAAAGGCGACCTTTCCTCTCCCCCCCCGGCACTTCTTTACTCCTCACCGACCTCTCCAACATTCTCTCTTTCTTTTGTGTTCTTGCTTTCTTTCTATGGTTGGAGAGAGGGGGGAGATCGCCCCGGGATTGGCGTTAAACTCGACTCGGTCAAAAACAGATACCGGAAATACGTGTAAGGTCGTCGTTGGAAAGCGACGTGTCGCTCCTGTCGGAGTGTCAGGGATTGTGCCGCGCGGGACGTAAGTGGTAGGAGCGCGGACGTGCTCAGAGCTGCATTTGTAGTGATGACGAGCGCTCCTCTCAGAGGAAGGGCCCGATATTTTTTACAACATAAAGGAAGAAAACTCAAAGAATGAAGACATGATGCTTGACTGTATAAGATGCGAGGTCCATCCGCGCTTTCAACCATTTGCCTTGGCAATGGATATGACGATGATCACGATTACGGACACCCTGCACAGATTCCATCCTGCTTCACGTTATGGTTCAAATATTTATTTACATGTGTGTGTTCAAATAGATACCACTCGATCGTTCCAATCATACAACAATAAAGTTCAACTGTCGCCTTCCTACTCTAGAGCTAAAGGGCATATCATCTGATCGCCATTCTCCTGTACGCATTAACCAACTCATCCTCAACGTCTTTCTCTCCAACAGATTTTCCACACTTTCCGCCCTTTTTCTTGGCCTCCCAAATTTTCCAAAACTTGAGGTTCTCATCGCTTGCGCCGGTCGCTACCGTTTGACCATCAGGGCTTAAGGCTGTGTGAAGAACACGAGCATCATGGCCTTCCAAATCACCAATCTTGGTCAGTGACGGATATTTCCATATTGAAAGGTGATTGTTGGGAAATCCATGAGATGTGAAAAATTCCTTATATTCCAGAGACCACAAGATGGACGTGACTTGAGACCCAGTGTCAACCGAGGCAATTTTTCCAGTGGTGGAAACGTTCCAAAAGTGAACTGTACGGTCGTGGGAACCTCCTCCTGTCGCCAGAGTGTTCAACTGCCATGGACACCATGCAAGCGCCTAGGTTTGAATAAAGCGGAGTCAGTACGGTGATGAGTTTTCTAAGAATAGGCGACTTCCTTACCTTTACTGCAGCGGTATGCTCTGCCTTTGTGAACTTAGGAAGACTCGATCTAGCATCCCATATGACAACCTGATTGTCATTTCCTCCACTTGCCAGGAACTGTCCATCCGGCCTCCACTTCAGCCCACAGACATCGGACTCGTGAGATAGCAAAGAGGCCACCCGATGATTAGCCAAACGCACATCATGATTCCAAATACTGCCATCGCGGGCGCCCGAGGAGAGTACATTGGTATCCCAGGCAAGAACACCAACCCTGCTAGCCCTTCCTCGCATGGTTCGCATCTTTTTCAAACTTTCGAGGCTCCATATTTCTATATCACCCTCGCTCAGACCCACTGCCAAATGACTTCCGTCGGGTGCCCATTGTAGAGATGCCACGTATGTATCCTCCCGGGTTACCGAGCAAAGTGGCGCTGTTTTACCCGTATTGCCGTTCCAAAGATATACGGTATTGTCAAGAGCGATTGCTAACATATTGTTCGCCGACCAGTCGATCAAATTCAAGTAGAAATCGTCAGAGAGCCCTGGAGCATCCAAAACCTTCTCCGGTTCCGATTTCACGCGCCTTGCTGCAACGGTAGAGTTGGGTTTGCGGAGTGGTCTACTCCAGGATGTGCGAAAATCTTGCCGCTGGGCTGCTGGAGGTTCTGCATTGAACGCTAAAATGCGCTTATCTAGAGCCACGCCGCACGCTTTAGCGACCTGCTCTTGGTATGCTAAAGTGTCCGGATCCAAAGTTTTCAGCTTTTGCCGATCTGTGGTGTCTCGAATATTGAACTGTGAGGATGCTCGATCGATAGCGTCTTGACTTGGCACAAATCGGTCATACTACATAAGGAGAATTGTGCGGTTAGCTGTCTGAATTGCACAATCAAGGCCTATCCAGTGATCCTCTAATCCATTTCTATATCAAACGAGATGTTCATCTCTTCTATTTAAACAGCTGTGTTCAGACCTACCATCCTTTCTTTTGCTTTTCCCCTTTTGCCACCACCACTCGGACTGACAGCCGCGACGCCCAATCGCTGCTTAATAAAGTTCTCTGCATTTCTCCCACTTATAACAGACGATCGTGGTGAATGCCCTAATCCAGTAGCATTATAGCTGCGCGGAGAGCGGGTATGGGCGACGGACGGTGAAGCACCTCCAGCTGAAGGACGGGTCGGTGTGCGACCGTGAACATGAAGACGGTCAGCAAAGCTGCGAGTTGGAGTTCCAGCAATCCGGCCAGCTGTACTCTTTCGCCGTGGAGTTTCCATAGTTTCCCTGACTCTGCGAGCTATCTGAGGGCTCATAGGGTTGAGACCTGTCTGGAGGTCCTTGGAGATGCTTGGGGGCGGCATGATCGTATATGGATTCCCGCAACGGCAAAGATGGGGCTATAGACGTGTTGGTCCAGCTTTAGAGAGCAAGTATAAGAAGCTTGATGGTCAATGGACGCGCGCAATGACTAGAAGATGAAGAAAAAACAAAATGGTGAACTCCAGGTTGAAGAGCTCTGAGGTGTGCGGAGTGTTTTCGGACGACGCGCTCGGTTTGTCGAAGTGTCTGCCAGGTTCGATTCTCGGGGCACACGAAAACGCATCGGCTTTTGGGACGCCGGAAAGCAACTTTCTTTCGAATAGGTTCCCTATGTTAAAAGGATCTTTTTTCCAATTGGACTGCCAACGAGGTCAACTACCATATGTCGAACCATTCGATGCGTTTTCAACACATGAGCGATATTGAACAGGGAGCGCTACTGAAGCAAATCACGGCTAGGATTACTAGTACAGAGAAAAGACATATCCACAAGACGTCAGTGTTTTGGGAGGTACATCCTTGAAATTGCCTCGTTGAATACTGGTAAAACGGTGACGACGCCGACCACATTGTAAATAAAATGCGTAGGTATGCTTTTTGTTGCCCCGGCCGGTGTTGACCCGCGCGTTTTCTGACAAGCCAAGATCTCATGGGGAACGAGGTGGGGAAGACAGTGAAATGGTAAGGCGGACTATAAAATGAAGTCGTCAGACGGAAAAGACCATGCTCATCCGTTATCCTGTTCATAAACGATATAGTCCATAGTTTTTCTTCTCGCTCTTGCCGAATTCGGACTTGCCGTTCGGGCTGGCCATGTCCTCGGCATACTCACAACACTCCTCTGTCTTGCTCAACTTTATGCTTCTGCAAGGCTTGGCACTGGTGCGGTTTTTATGCTTGCATTTTGCTATGTCTGAGCTTACTATGGCACAATGCCCTCGTGTCATCTTTCAGGAATCTTGGCGACCACGCTGGTTTATCTCGGCATGATATTGCGAACGTATATAGCCGCACTGGTGTACATTCAGGTCCGATCCGTTTGGAAAGGTAAAATCTGGACAGAATTCCCGGGGCAATACGATAAAAACGCTGGCAATATCGTTCGCTCCGCACGCGACGACAATGTGAGATGCGGAGCATTGGCTGGGCCTTTGCGGGTAGGAGAGTTTGTCGCGTATCCCCGCAATTAGGGAAGCTTACCATGGCAATGACATCTTTAGTTTCCTGCATCCAGCGATCGTATTGGAAGCTTGATATCTCGATGGACAGAGCAAACTGAAGGAGTTCGAGTCAAATCCGTACATCTGGGAAACAAGGAAGGTTTTCGGCATGTAGGTAAAACCTCAGAGTGGATTACATTCTGTTTGTGTTGTAAGAGCCCTGCTAACTCCCAGCATCATAGAGTACATCACAACTTTTTTTGGTTTTGTGGACGATATCGCGATCCATTATTTTCAAGAGCACAGTCATACCGTAGTCGAATGGCATTCACAGTCGAGATGGGCCAGGGATTTCGATAGAAACGCCACGAGATTACGAGAGTTTGTAGAGTATCTGAGGGCTCATTGTGATTAGCTACTGCGTACCGTAGGACTTTGTCCAGCCATCTGTTTCACCTACTCTGTAACTGCCGGGTTACACCTCAAACTGGAATGTCATGCGAAGAGCGAGATGAAATCAAAGATTAGGGCGCACACTAGCGTCGGCATTCCAAACGGTAAACCTCGCTTGCGAAATGAAGCTTTTGGCGAACGATCGTGTCGCATGATGGCGGCTGTATTTGATTTCTATTATGGTCGCTGCATTTTGAGCCCTTCCCGGCCATATGGTCTCCCCAAAAACTAAATGTATAGACACTGGGCCGCTTTCGAGCACATACCCAGCATTTGCCAGGGAAGCAATGCATTTGTTTGCAACGTCTACTTCATTTGCAATATCAGTTTTGCATTAGTAGAAATATAGAATTTGGGGGTATGGTAACGGAGAACATACCATCCCTGATTTTATGTTCGATAATTTCAAAGAAGTTATTTTGGCTATAAGAGTTGGTTCACTCTGCGGAGGCAATGCGTCTCAAGGTACTTATCGGACAGATTAACGGGAAATCTTACGGCATAGGGGTGTGTGGTGGTGCTAGTTGCAAGCAAAACGCTAGAAGTCCCTCATGCATAGCCAGCGCTGGACTGATACCGCTCTTGGCTTCCTCATCAGACGGGAGATTGCGTGGCATGTGCGGATATTTGAAGAGTCCCTTTCCATCCCGTCGAGAGACATCGTCCCCCATATACCACTCATTGTGGATCGCATGACCTTCGACAACAATATGTGCGGTCGGGATGAATGACCCGATTTATGACCATAAATAAGTTTGTTCAACATGTGCGCCCTCAGTTATATGACCTTGCGTATTCTAACCACAGGTATACGCATGCGTGTTTTTACTATTTAGATTGCGTACGATCTGTTGTCGCAAACGTGCATAGGCGAATGTTATAGTCAATGATCAGAATCCAAATACCAGTCATCCAAAGTGCAAAACAAAGATGCACTTCCAGAAACCAAGAATATCTACTGCTTATTTTGCTGAGCTGAGACATCCAACCAAAACTTGTGGCGGAATAAAGCATTCTGAAAGTGGACCTGATATCCAATTCCTATTGTTCAGAGGGAGACAGATAAGCGTATGGGAGACACATCCAGAAGAATCGTAAAAAAAAAAAAATAACACATACACACGTGAGATGAACAGCCAGGAGGTTGGTAATAACATGGAGTACCGACAACGGGGCGTCATGAAAGGGATATCGAAAACAAGCCGTAATAACTCGGAGACATTACCAACGGTTCCAGCTCAATTCCAGATAGTCGGGATTTTGGGGTAGTGTTCTTTATTCGATCCTTGTTTGACCTTTATTCTCTGTGTGGGTGGTAAACTATGAGCGCGCTACCCTCTTTTTTTTTGTTGTGTGATGGCAACACAAACTCCAGGATGTACAATGGACGCCCATTGAAGTGAGCCTCAGGCGATGGAAGACGAGACGCAAATGTTTGGCCCCGGATCCCCCATACTGAAAATCCGGTTAAAGCAGATGGCTATGCTGGCGATCCCCCCATCTGCGCGAGAGAGGACTTTATCATACCAATGGTTCGGACAGCAAGAGCGAACGTTGCCATTTTGGCAACACTGTTATCCTTGACACTCGACGTAGCGTATGGTCTAGTGGATCTGAAATTTGGTTCCATTCTACCCTTGAGCTATGCTGGCCTCGCGGATCTTTCCGCCGACATTCAGCTTGCGTTAGATCTCGCGCTTTCTGACTACAATACCCGAGTTTTTAACCCACTCAACGTGAACGTATCCATTGTCTATGCCGACTCCCAATTTACGCCGGCAGTTGCAAAGTCATATGCGAGGCAATTTGCATCCCAAGGGCTACTGGGTGTCATTGGTTAGTACTGCATCTTCCGAGGTAACAATCTTCACATTCTGATTAACCAGCTTACCCACCACCCAGGTGAGATGGGCTCCGGAGTCACGCAGCCTATCGCCCTGGAGTTGGCAGATAGGGAGATTCTGCAGTGTTCGGGGTCCGCAACTTCAGAAGACTTGTCATTGAAACAATATCGTTACTTTTTCAGGTAACTGCGATATGCAAGCTCTTTAAAGATAGATACTCGATTTTAGCTAAACTTTGTACAGAACAATCCCTCCTGACAGTGTCCAAGGTTTTGTACTTGGTCAGATCGTCGATACCTTTGGCTGGAAGAAACTCGGCCTGATTTACCAGGATACCGCTTACGGCAAAGGCATTATGACGAACCTACGGGCTCACGCAGCGGCAACTGATATAACTGTATTGACTAATCAACCGTATGTCAACGCCGATGACTACGAAGATGCGGTAAAAGCCTTGAAAGCGTCCGATGCGAGAATCATCGTCTGGACTGGGGTCTATGCGGAACTTGTCGATATAGTCCCAATTGCCAGGTAGCCATCTTAGTGACCACGCAATCCTCGTCCTGTTGGATGTAAGTATAACTAAAAAGGCCAATCATGTAGGCGTCATGGCTTATTTGGACCAAACTACGTGTGGATCGCAACAGAAAATGCTATATCGGCCATTGACGCCATACGGAGCAGAATTGCGACCGGAGCAAGCAGTGCTGATGACCTTGCAAGTCTAAGTGGATTGCTCATTAGTACACCTGGTATGGCTGCATGGTCTTCGACACGTATACCGGAATATTGAAAGAAATTGTTCATTATTCTCCAGTCGAGGGTCAGGGATCCCGATTCGACAATTTCTCTGCCTCATACTCGTCAACTTACCACAATTCCATGGGCCAATATTCTGCGGTATAAAGCGCACTTTGACATACGTGCCCCAAAATTGCCGCCATTGCTTAATCTCCTTCTGCATCATAGTTCTTTGTGGACTGTTTGTCAATCATGCTAGACGGGCTTACAAAGGTCAGTGTAATCGTTGGAAGGAATTGCATGCAGGGACACCTCCTGAATCACCTATTCATGCAGTACCAAAATACCTCGAATTCCACTTGGAACGACATTGCTCAAGGCAAATTTCCTCGCGACTTGACGGTTCTGCTGAAGCCAGTTGACGGGTTGACCGGTCTTACAGGACCAATTCATTTCAACACCAATTTTGATCGGATTGGGAGCTACAAGGTCCTCAATTTCCATCAAGGAGATTTGACGAAGATAGGCGAGACAGTCGACGAAACATACAACGTTCAGCGCAACAATAACACAGTCATTTTTGCGAGCGGTACCCCTGTAGTACCAGCAGATCGGCCTGGTTTGTAATTTGCATAACGTTGTCAAGCCAGCTCCCTCATCTTTTGTTGCTTACGGTTTCATTTTGCCCCGTAGTGCTTGTCCCGGACTGGTTTGAATACGGACATGCAGTTTCCGTCATTATCATGATCCTATATGGTGCAATGATGGCCATCAACTTCGCATCACTCGTTATCGTATTCCTTTGGCGTCGGCGTAAAGAAGTCAAAGGTATGCTACGTCGCTCATGCCATGAGGTCGGGAATCACGCATTTAAATGAGTGCTTGAACGTTAGCTCTCAGCCCCGAGTTCATGATTATTATGGGTCTGGGTATGCAGCTGAGTTACGGGGCTGTTTTCACCCTCATCGGAGAGCAGACTACCGTCAAATGCATGGCAAGACCGTGGCTTTATGGGATTTCTTTTGCAATTGTCATGGGATGCCTCATTGGGAAGGTCAGTGTTCCATACTTGCCGTGGGAGAACGGTCGTTAATAGAAGACTGATTGGTTTTGAATGCCTGCTCAATAGGCATTCCGTATTTGGAAAGTCTTTGCAAATGAGGTAGAGTTCACCGTTCTCTTGCGAGTTACTGATAGAGCACAATTCGATAACCCCTCCTGCAGCGACTTGCCGCCCCCATTAGGTTCCTTCAAATCCTCCGCCTGGCAGGAGCGTTTTCCATTGGAGAATCTGTACGTAGGGAGTGCATTCTTACTCAAGTGCTTCACTAATCCAAAGCAAACAGATTATCCTGCTTGTGTGGAGTATCTATTCGCCGTTGTCCCCTTTGATGGTAGCGAACAAGGAAAAAGGTGGGGTCTACTTGGCAAATTAAACCTACCAGGAGATGTTGGAACCTGATCGGTTGTTTTTCGGATTCGCAGGAACATTCACGTACGTTTGCGTTTCCCCGGAGCAATCTGACGTGTTCAACGGAGTGATTTTTGGGTGAGGATAGGCATTACAAGCACTTGATCTCTGCATTCCCTGCTTACTTACTTGCCGCCAGATACAATGGGCTTTTACTTTTGGCTGCAACTTATTTAGCTGCAGTGACGCGGAATGTACCATCTAGATACTCGGAATCCAAGGTATTTAGCGAGTAAAGGTGCAATCAAGCGGCCAATAACTAAAACGCACTGCATTGATCGGCGCTAGTTCATTGCTTTAACGGTGTATTCGGTAATGCCATCCGTTTCCGAGATTGTTGCTGATTTTTTGGCTTACGACCTTCATCCTTCTCAAAATATTGTAGCTACTAATTTGGTGCACGCTTATTATCGTCGTGTCATATTCCGCGGGCGCTGCCACAACGCTGGTCTTCTTTATTATCACCTTCGGTGTTCTTTTCGTGACAACGACCACCTGGGCTCTTCTCATTGGACGGGTCATTCTCAGTCAACTCACTAACGATCCTGCTGATGAGATTGCCAGCCTTCCCAGTACACCAAAGCTTATGCGGCAAAATGCAGTGGGAGCTGGGGAAGCATTCAAGAGTGCTTCTCAACTGCCAATGTCTGCAAACAGCAGCACAAAGATTCCATCCCCCTTAGCATCTCAGATGCTTCGTGGAGATATTTCCGAATTTCCTGTGAAAATCACGTCGTCGTGGATCTCCCGATGGGAGCGGTATGAGCTGATCTTTACTCTAGTACCGGTAGCTCGGTTAGCACTTCGGCCGGTAGCATCCGACAAGGAAGGTGGGCGGAGCTATTGCGTAGACATCAGCAAAGTGCAGGCAACGAAGGCAAATGTTAAGGGAGTTAAGAACTGCTTTGAGATTGTCGCTCCTGGTATTACGCTTCTCGTCCAAGCCACCTCTGAGGAACAAGTTCAAGACTGGCTGCGTAGAATGAAACAAGCAGGTTGCCTGCGGGGAGAAGATTCTACTGGACGGACCAGTTCAGCTCCTGGTCAAGGCGGCGGCTCGATAAATCGTGCGGACGTCGAAACCAAAGGAGGGAAGGATATTTCTAGTGCTGATGTGCTAGGAAAGTAGCTTCCCATGATAAATGACCCACCATGCCGTAGTTATTAGAACAAGTAGACTCATGTACAGTCCTATCATACACGACGTACAGTCCTATCATACTCGTCGTGTTCATGTTACTGTGTCCCCTCACACTTCGATATCCATATGTCGGTTTATGCTCTTCGTAAGCATTGCGTGACAGTTTGGTCGACAAGGTATCATCATTAAAGACCAACCGATGGGACTACTGCTGCTTGAAGTTTAAAGAGGACCAATTATGCCCGACTTGGGTTGGGCAATGAGACTGTGATTAAGACCAAGTCGCTTGACTTTGGACTAGTTAAGCGCAGCATTGCTGATGTTAGTTGGAAAAATACATTTTTCGTGGTTTTTTATGTTTCGGGCAATGTGCGCTGGATACGGTCATTTATGATGGCATACCCCAAGGATCGCAATGTACGGGGATCCAGTGCACACTCAAAAAGCTATTTTCGTCGATGCAGCCTAGGGATCCTGATATAGTTCCAGAAGGGGTTTTGACTCGATAACCTGCGAAGTTTTAGAGCGGCTGGTAATCGGAGCTCAGCGTTGGGGCTAACTTGAAGGCGTTTATAGGCTCACATGGTAATTGCCGTTTGCTTTGGTATGCAGGGCATGTTGTCTTTTACCTCATGTCCTGTTCTTTTGCCCATCCTAGAGCCAGGTTCACTTCCCTTCTTTATGGCGAAGTGCACTGTCTGTTCACGGTCACCATGGACTGCCCGCAGCTGGACATAAGAAATATCGGCCCGTATTCGCTTGAGGATGACTGGTATATTACCGGGAAATGCGTCTCAAACATCGGCCGTCTCAGCCTTTATGGTTTCAATATTATGATATACGGAGCTGGCATCTTACTCGGGATATTTGCAGTCGTACTGAATACCCGTGCCCACAAGAATTGGTTGAAGACAATGCCTGCTAAGCCAGTTATTGCCTGCCTCCTCGTATCGATAGGTAAGTAGCTCTCCATGCTCTGGCATCCACCGTACTGAATCGTGCTCACACTTTGTTTAACTCTGCGTTCGAGGTTATACTGCATCGTACCTTTGCTATCTTTTCCAAGTGCCACCAGCAGCTGGAGTAATATGCTGGTGGTTAAGCATTCAGTTCACCAATATCTTTCAGGAATGATCCGCTGTTTCAAAGCCTGGGTGCGAAACGAAAATGTTATTAATACATATTGTTCAACAGGTGGTGGTTGCAAACGGCTGGCTGGCCCCCGTACGCAGATTCATCGAGTTGCAGAGTATTGGGTCGGACGTCAAATCATCAATCAACACCGCCGGTACACATCTGGAACGCCATTGTTTTCTCCTACTCGGCGCTTCTATTACATATAACATCGGCATCGTTACGGGATGGGCGGTATATATGCAGCTCCATGATGCAGGGAAGGTGTTCCTTTTTCACACCTTGTTTAATTCTGGAACATTTCTGTGCCTTATCGTACTCCATTTCCTGTGCTCGAGATCGTTCACAAGAATACTAGTGGCATTAGGTGAAGCGGATAATCTTCACAAGCAGGGTATGCATATTTTCCCTTGTTTTTGGTGAACAGCGACTGTTCTGGTGAGCAGATAACGATCTGATGGTAGTACTTGCTCTTATTGCAGCTCTTGTGGTTGGCGGCAATGTTAGGCACGCGACCACCAATGCGGGCAACAATGTGATTTCCGGTGACGGAAGGAAAGTTCTTAACGTGATTCGGCTGGTAATGTAGACGGACGAAAGCAATTACGAATGCATGGATTAGAAAGTCCCCGACCTAGTGTATTGAAACTCGCAGGTTCCTTTCAGGTGAAGAAAACCCGCCGGGCTGCGTGGGCCTCCGCCGGTCCATCATTTCTCATCCAGAGCTCCGTTCTGCTTTGGACAGTGATAGCCCGTACACCAGAAGGCATGAATGGCCAGACATACCTATTCTGCTTTAGATCACTTGCCACCGCACCCGCTGTGATTGCAAGTTAGTTCTTGGCAGATTTCATATCGCGCGCCTTGTAACACTTGGCTCTTCCAACTGATGTGCTTCTCTGCCTCTTGGTTGGTCACTCGATAGGTCTGTGGATGTACGGAGTAGTCAAGGGCAGGGAGCGTGCAGATTTCACACCAGAATGCATCAATCACCTATCTCTTCGATCCACTTCTTTGCATCAGAGCGGAGAGGACCTCAAAGTAACTTCACAAGCGGTAGATAGTTGCATTGAAAGCAAGACGTCAAGGATATTGAATGACGGCTTTGAAGTGGATGATTAGTCATGTAGACATATTATGATTGGGAAGGATTCAAGGTGGTGACCGGCAAGGAAAGGTATCCAAGAAAGACAAATAGATATAGACAAATGGACACAATAGACTATTCTACTTCACGTTAGGGTAGCTCTCATGGTGCTTTTCAGAATATGAGATGGAATAACTTCCACAAGTGTAACTAATACGAGGCTATAGGGGAACGGGTGAAGTAAAGTAAAACCTGCGAACTGACTCTTTTGGAAAGGGCTTTTATGTCTAGCTACGGCCGTTGCGCACAAATCCCTTTTGGATGGATCATATCTTACCCAGGCAAGACGTTTAGAAGTGAAGGCGGGTTCGGAATATTGTCCTTTGATAAATAAACTGCCAGAACCCTTGTGTTCTCTCTACCTATGGAAAAGATTTTTGGATACTGACTCAACTGCTACACTAAGCTTGCGAACGAGAACTGCTAAGAAGGGACTACCGAAATCTGGGTCTTTGGGGTTAGAGTGCTCCCGAGAATGTCCAAGAGAGATGAGGTACTCACGAGACAGCCGCCAGGTTAAAGCTGTCCACACTGCTTTCACGTGCAGTTGCGCAATCGGATGCAGCAAACTTGATCAAGAGGACTTCGTGTGCATGCAGGCGTTCTGAGACCCGCCAGAAGTCGTCAGTCGTAGATCAGTTTTCAGAGGACCTGTTGCAGATGGTTCATCAATCCGAGACCTGAACTACCCGCTAGGTAAAGCGTGCCAGTCATGTTATTTAAGTGGAGCGGAGGTTATGGTATAGCGTACTTCCCACCAGTGTCCATCTACAAGTACCCTCGACATTTGTCGCCTTTTTAACTCATTTGCGGCCTCACAGTTTGTGCACACTGCAATATTTGCGGCCGGAGTATGTGCGTGTCGGACAAGGCTGGTCTGTACGAGGGCCACTGACAAATACATGATGGCACTGCATGCACGACTTTCTGCCAGGCTTTGCCTCTCGGCTACAAGGTTGTCGGTCACCTGTTCGATTAATGGAGTAAGAAGTGAATCTCAAAAGGGAAAACTGAACTAAGAATTGCTATGCACTGACCGCACACTTTGTTACACAGTAGCTGTTGCGTTGCCAATGTTGCTGGAGCACGATGTGAAGCAACCTTCTGTTTCTTCTTGATCTTCTTATCTGACTCGCGTGCTGCGCACACGCGTTTCTTGGAGTCCGTATCCTTTCCATCGTCCTCTCCATCATCTGCTTCATTGAAGCTATACTCCTCCGGCACATACTTGTCGTCTGCCGTCATATTCGCCAAATCATTTGGCAGAGTGCGATTCAATCGTTCCTCGTCTTCTTCATCTTCCTCATCTTCATCTTCCTCAATCTCCTCAGAGTTGCTGGCACCAGCGTTTCTCGGACGTCTTCCAATGGTTGCTGGAGGGTTTACCTTGTAGATTTCGGCTATGTACTTCAACAGCTTCGCATGGCGTTTCTCGAATTCCAAACAAGTCCACTGTTGATCGGCTTTCACAAGTGTCATGGTAGTGAGCGCGAAGGGGACCATCTCCCCTTTCCGATTTTCAGTATAGATATCCTTCTTAGTCGCCCATGGGGCGTTCGAGCACTGAATGTTCGTAGAAGCGGGAAGCAAGCATAGGTTGCCGAGACGATTTGTATTCCCTTGAAAGTCGATTTTGTCCCACGCACGTCCGGGGTTTTGAGGATAGATGTGTTCGATCTGAACCTTCTCCCAATCATATGCCACTTTAGTGGAAGACATCTCCGCATTAATTCGACGAAGTATATATTGTGTAGCGAAGATGCCTGCTCCGCCATATAGATTGCCATTAATGCGCGTAAGGAAAACTTTAATTTCTTGAGGCCTAGGTTCGAGCGCCGTACAGACCATCTCATCACTACGAGCGGTCGCTATGTCCTGAGGAACATTGAATATTAAACAAAAGAAACTAGTGACTGACTTATATTACCATTACCTTCAGAATGTCATAAAATCGGATGATCAGTTTTTCCTTTAGTGAATCCACTCCTTTGCGGGGTTGCTTGTAGCCCACAAACAGGACTGCTATCAGTTTCTCTAGTCTATTCCAAAACTCCTCCTGTTGGAGAAGCTTAATATTGAACTTTCCGGCCGCCAAGGCTACAGTAAGCCACGTGCGCCAAAGCAAGCCAATATCGAAAGTCGTTTTGAGATGAATGCGCGACTTATTTTCTCGAACCTGGGCCCAATCCAAGGCAGTACGACTAGGTTCCATGATGGAACGCCATAAGACTGAGTGCGTCTTGATCTTGTCGATCAGGATTCCGGGGGTCAATGTATCGAACATGTAACGGTGATAAGGTGAATTTGTGTTCCCTAATGAGGCAGAGAAACTTAACAGAAAGCTCGACTTCTGTGCAGTACCAGCCATTTCGATGCGGTATAGATGGTCAAGAAGTTCGCTGAAATTCTGCAAACTAAGAGTTATAACTATGCCGCCCCTCTGCTTCAGGTAAAAAGTGCACATACTGCTGTATTGCCAAGTTGTTTCTCGGCTTTAACCCACTGCCCAACTTTCAATTCATATCCATCTCCGACAGAAGCCTTTAGCTTTCCAAAGGTGACGGCTTTGAGATAATCCACTGGCGTTAAAGGTACACCGGGCACGTTTAAAGAAGTGAAAATGCGGTATGCTGAGTCCACGTCATGAGTATAAATAACGAGAAAGCGACACCGCTTATAAAAATAGTGTGCTAGTTTCTCCCTGATGGCGATGTGGCCTGTTCAGCAACCGTCCAATGCTGCTGATGCTTCAGCACTAACCTGCTTTCCCGTTCCATGTTCTCTAGAATGCCCGCCAACTCGCGCACGTTTTCGCTGAGTAACTCGACAACAGGACGAGCATCTCGATCCGGAACAGCGAGTTCATAATCTTTGTCTAAGTGCTCCTCTAAGTCTGCCGGGTCAAGGAAATGGTCGCAGAAAGCTTGGTGATACGGCGCAGCAAGATTTAACCGATACGTGAAGTAATCTTTCGGAACCGCACTCTTTATCCATTTGGTATAAACTTGCTTCTGGTTCGGTGGTGCGAAATGCCGGAAGACGGAAAGGAGCAATATCATAGTAGTTAGGCGTTGTTGACCATCCACTATATCAAGTACTCGTTTGCTGTTCTGCTGAGGAGCCAACACAATTGTACCGAGAGGATGATATGGCGCACGTTCTTTGCATGCATCGTGCACATCGCTAAGAAGCCGTGTTACCATCTGTGGAGTCCAACAGTATCGTCTTTGGTAAATCGGTACTGAAAGGATAATCTGCTGATGTTTTGTTGTTTCACCGAAAATGCCTTTCAAGCGCTTTTCGGTGAACAACTTATCATTGTCCTCACCAAAGAGTTGCGCGAGTGTACAATCTCGTACGTCTCTTATCGCGGTTTGATGCTTTTAGGTATATAATATGAGTTAATTGCCCTGGGAAGTCCAGCAAAGGAAAAACCATTTACCTGCTGGGCTCCGGCCATATTTCCTTGACCCTGATTTTGGCGACGAGGATGATGTCCATTTGCTGTCCCCATCTCATCGGAAAATAGTTGGCCACTCCATTCCCTTACGTAATGACTGGATACTATATCAAAAGCTCGCACATCTGACACAATCCTGGATGCAGATGTGCCCTCACCACAGGAGAGTTTACCTTAGGGCAAGCTGTCCAATTTCGGTGTTTTGCAGCCAAAACCATGCATCCTGAGCCAGAATCGTGATTAAACTAGATTTTGACACAATAGAGGCACTCAGTTTGAACATAGCCCTAGATACAAGACCACCTTTCAATGCCAGAAAGCCCCAAGTTGTCATATGCACTAATTTCCGATTGCTCTCGAAATATCAGCAACTACATCAGAGGGATCCTTGCCTTCCTCCACCTCCAAAACCAGCTTCCCATACGGCCCACTGGCGTTCAACATGATCTGGATGGTGCGCGCTGGGTCATTGGTGTAGATGAAATCTGGCTTTGTCCTCCAATGATAAAACGTTCCTTTTTTCAAATATGCATAGAATGATGGTGTTAACTTCAGAGGCCGCTACCTGAACAAAATGCCTACCAACCTGCTATAAGACCGTGAGGTATAACAACCCCATACCTGGTGGTATACCAAGGCACGGAGACATTAGCATCTACCCTAACAGAGTCGATCTCCGAGAGCGGAACGGTGAGATCAGTAAAACGCCCACACAAGAATTTCTGCAGCATCGTAAGGGACACCGTCAGATGAGAATCAACAAGGGTGATTGCTACGGGCATCGTGCAATATTGTAGGGCACTTGTTCATGACGGCGTCCTTTTATAAAAGGACCAATTCCTTGAGCCCTTGTGTGACTGATCCACATATACCACTCGACCACACAATGACTTTACAGATTGACATATTCTTGGGAATTGAAATACGCATCAATTGAAAAATGCGTGAAGTCAGTGGTGGGCCTCAGTAATTACTGCCCAAATTCGCACTTTGCTGTTCGCTATGAATAATGGTCTTCCTACGTTCGCCGTGTCTTCCATTGCACATAAGTGGCTCATTACCAGTTCGTGGTTGCCACGGTTCAACTGCGGGTGCCGGGGAGCCACGCCTCACTTGGCTCGCTCTGGCGGTATGGGAATTGCATTGCTTCCAAGTGAACAGTGATTGAGCACTTCCCATGAGGCTTCTTCTACGCCCAACTAAACTGTGTTGATTAGGTGAAGACCAATTCGGCTAGTGGCACAGTCATGTTGTCTTTGGCCCAGTCATGGCACATTTAAGGTTTTAAACTTTAAAAGTGGTATGCCAACCCCGATTTGCGACCGCTGGTGCCAGACGGCTAGAGGCCTTCATTGCTGCACATCCACAAAGCCGACGAACCAACGAACAAGCACCTGCACACAGCATGTGCATATAATAAAAGTAGAGGAGTCACTGCGCTGACGTGTAGTGATGTCCGCAGCTGCCTTTCTTTTCCAAGAAGTACCAGTCTCGACGATCCTTATCCTGCTCGGTTTCCTCGTTCTTCTCAATTTTGCTCGCACGCTCTTCACGATTGCATTGCGTGCCGGGCTAGTGGGAGAGATTGCCATCGGCCTAGTGTTTGGCACCCCGCTACTGGATTTGCTTGGTGTTGGGCTTCAGGAGACCTTTGCTGCATTAGGGTATTTGGGGCTTCTTTCCATTGTGTTTGAAGGTACGGATATCGTCATTGTTGGTTTGCTTTTGAGTTGGTATCAATAAGTTATTCACCATGGTGTCACTTTCAAGGTGGACTGGGAACGAACCTGAAACAAGCCAAGCGCAACATTGGGCTATCCCTGTTAGTTGGCACTACAGGCATATGTTTGCCGATCGTAACATGTATCCTTTTCTTTCACTTTGGGTTCAGTTCTACATTCTTGCAGGGGTTCACTGCTGGTGCGGCTTTGAGTGCCACCTCCCTTGGAACTACTTTCAGCATTCTGGAGGATGCAGGATTAACTAAGACAAGGGTTGGGACTGTGCTAATCAGCGCTGCTATGTTTGACGATGTGGTTGGGTTGGTGATATCGCAGGTACCATCAAAGGTTCTGTTTTACAATGAATCGGTTATGCACGTGCTAATATCAGTATGCATACAGGTCGTCCACGGACTTGCACAAGATGCCCACCACGGCGCAAATGCCATAGGATGGCAAATTGGTCGTCCGATACTCGCATCAGCTGGGTTGCTCCTGGTAACCTACGTACTTGTTAAAGTAGGCTTGCTCATCTTACCAGCACTTTTGGCCCGTATGTCATTGAGCAGCCGAGGCCACCAATACTGGAGCGTCGTAGCATTGTTCATTTTACTCGTTGCATTCATCGCAATATCGTCCTACAGTGGCACGTCACATCTCCTAGGGACATTCTTGGCCGGGATATCACTCCGAGCAATTGAATCCGGTCTCACGCAAAAGACAGGAGCAGAACCACATTGTGCCCCGTCACACATATTTGAGCGGCACATTCGGCCGATTCAAGAATATGTGTTTGCACCGCTTTTTTTTGCGACGATTGGGTTCGCGATACCTATTCGAACAATGTTTGATGGAGAGACCTTGTGGATGGGGCTTGTGCTGACAGTTTTGATGACCGTTGCCAAATGGCTGTCAGGGATTTCGGTTTTGGTTTGGAATTTAAGACCGAAAGAGAACTTGATGGATGAAGCAGCTCTGGAGATCGTCGTGGGGCCAAATTCTTTGGGTGAATTCAATTCCACAAGGGAATTAGTTCCGATGACGGTGCACGAAAATGCAAACCTGGTTAGCCCAGAGTTTAAGCCCGATACGCGCAATCAGAAAGACGTGAAGCTTCTCCCGTTAATGATTCTCGGATTCTCTATGGTTTCCCGCGGAGAGATAGGGCTCTTGATAGCAAATATTGCTTACCCTAGTGTATTAGACGAGCGTCTATTCAAAGTTTCCATATGGGCGGTGTTGTTGTGTACTATTATTGGGCCATTTGCCGTTGGGCACATGGTAAAAAGTGGAGTAGTGGAGCGCTTGGGCAAGTGGGGATGAATGGTGTGCCAATCGAAGAAACAAAATAGAAGAAGAACTTCGGATTGTGCGGACTGGAAGTTCTTCGTTTTCGTAGAGAGCAAATGCATGTATATGATGATTTTGAAATTGAAAGGAGCGCTTTCAATATCAAAGACATTCATTCATGGACGAATACTGGTTACTTTGCATCTTGTACTTTGCGAGACACGGGTCAGTCGCTTGACATTTGAAGTCATCAGTCTTCTCACCAGATAATTATGTTACCATAAACGTCCACCTTATTGAGGAAAAAATTCGGCCGATGTTTGATGCAAGAAATGCTCGATCATGTCAATAATCAATGTCATCCATTTAATTTATGATATTGTTTTCTATTTTGGTCGATCAAAGTTCGCTGTCCGGGCTCCTTTTTTACATCCTTGGATCGGAGCTGCGCCAAACACATCAATTTCAAAAGGAAACGAAATCGCAAGAATTCAAAAGTTAGGGTTAGAGTTAGGGTTGTGGCATGATCTTCAAGGTCTGACAGATTCTTTGCATCTTTAAAAATGTTAGTTGAGGGAGCTTCTCTACAACTTCAGTCACCCTGATACCAAGGGACGACAGGTATTAGAGAATTCTTTCGACTAGCCATCTTATTATTTATACTAATTATCGGATGACTACATCGATTGAATAAATGTCATAAACCGATTGATGATGAAAGATGCCGACTCTCGAAGCAAGTGGGAGAACTCCGGGAAGCATGACGAAAGACGCATGCGAGTGGCAGAGCGTCGTTCCAGGCGCTCCCTTGAAATCGTCAAAAACGCGGTCGTTGTTGAAAGGTCATACTGTGTCACTACGCGGCCGTCGCGGTTGTCGGTGTCGACAAACAGCTGTGTTCCGTTCAGGACGAGCAGCCCAGTTCATCGAGACTCTGCCTTTCCCACCAATGCGGAAATCCCTCATGGACGAACCTGCGGCGAGATCCCAATGTTGGATGAAATGATTAAAGATCGCTGTTGTGGTAGGGCGCATGTGCATTATAGACAGTTTTCTTCCTTCGGGTGATAGATATAGATCGTAGACTCCGAGTGAATCGAGACTTTGTGGAATGGAATAATTACGGAGAACATTGCCCGTGGTGATCCAATGGGTGACCGGTGTTATTCCAGCTATACTGGTCATTAACTGCTGTCAGTCAGCCGTCAGAGCCTTTCTGATCGGACCCACAACCGGGGCGGGCTCGCCATATCTACGAACTACTTCACTTATCTATTTGTCCAACAAAATCTAGAACCTCACACATCTGGATCATAATACCATCCTTCTTCCAGCTGTTTTGCACACATTGTCGTTTTAGTCGCTAACCAACCTGCCACAGGCCTGAGCAGCCAACATTGGAGCACCGTAGGCGAAAAACAGCATTTACCCCCTCCGGATGTCATCACAGCTTGCGTACCCCAACCCATCGCGACCAGGTCTCTGACTCGTTGCCCACAAGCACATTTTTGTGTAGACGCTAATTGAGCCGACACCTCTTCGTACCATCCTCTTCCTATTATCCGCAATGACGCAGGATCCCGAGGATT